TAGCTTCGAGTTCTACTAGCTTCGAGTTCTACTAGCTTCGAGTTCTACTAGCTTCGAGTTCTACTAGCTTCGAGTTCTACTAGCTTCGAGTTCTATTATAGCTTCGAGCTTTTTAATAGCTTTAAGTTCTACTAGCTTCGAGTTCTATTATAGCTTCGAGCTTTTTAATAGGTTCTTTTAGTTTAGCTCTTTTTAAAGCTATTAATTTTTAAAGTTTAAAGTTTACGCTAAAAGCGGATAACTCGGCTAAGCTCTAACTGTTCAACTAGCTACGCTATAAAGCTAAATTTTTTTTAAAGTATAAGACCCTATGTTTTAGGTATATAGGCTATTGCTACAATTACTACTATAAAGTTCTAAGTAATAGAAGACTTAGAAGGTTTTTTTTAAAAAAGGTTTATCTATTTTGAAGCTCGAAACTAGTTCGAAGCTAGTATAAAGCTCGGGAATTCTCAGCGATTTAAGGACTTCTCGGAGAAGCTTCCGAGAAGCTTCCGAGAAGTATCGGAGAAGACTCCGAAGCTGTCTCGATACGGTATCTATACTGATTTAAACTTAAGGGGGTAGGCACTATAGTACTTATTAAGTACTAGTAGTAGTAAGTAACTCGCAGAAAACGTAGTGCCTCCCCGTAGTGCTCAATCTTCAACTATTAGTACTAGGAGTCAGACCTACTTAGCGAACTAATAAAGTTTTCCCCTTAATCTACTAAGTACTCCTTGGGGACCTCCTACCCCAACTTAATACTACTAAAGTAATCAAGTAGTGGATAGGTAGGTAGGTAGTATCGATACCAGATCAAAAGGAAATCAGAACTTTAATAGAACTAATATTAACTAGGTGGTATACTAAGTAGCCTCCCCCATTACCTAGATTAAGTTGGTTTTAACGCTATATTAGAGCTAGATTAAAACTAGATTAAAACTAGAACTAAACTAGATTAAATAGATTAGTCAATTTAGTATCTAGTAGGTAGCTTAGGCCTAATAAGATAATTCCTAGTACTAGTTATAGATCTAATAGTTTTAATCTAGTTTTAATCTATTTATCTCTAGATTTGCTTAGTACTAGGTACCTGTTAGGTACCTATATTTAACACGGCTTCGACACGTTTTTGACACGGCTTCGATACGGCTTCGACGCGGTTTCGATACGGTTTCGACGTGGTTTCGATATAGTATCGACACGGCTTTTATACGGCTTTTATACTAAGTCTATATAGCTTTAAGGTCATTATAAACTATAGTAAGTACTAAGTAGGTACTAACTTAGGTACTAGGTACTTACTACTATTAGTAGTACTTAGTAGTAGTCTATAAATTATAGTAGAAACTCTGTGTACTCTAAATCTAGGTACTTAGTACCTACTATAAGGCACCCAGTACTTACATACCTACTAGTACCTCTTAGTACTGGCTTCAAAGTTTTGCGGAAGCGTCTAGTGCCTGATCAACCAATTTGACGGCGGCATTCGCACAGCCATATGAGTTTTGGTAACCTTGAGAAGTGTTAGTTTTCCAGTATTTCATACTACGTGGTAAGTTAGTGTAAAAGTTCGTTCTCACCTGCACCGCCGGCACCATAGTTGTGCACCACCCAGACGCCGTGAATACGCTCCTTTCCAACTCTCGTGCCGCCTGCACGTACCGGCCGCAGTCCGACGCCGTGTCTGATGATGTCCAGATGCTCGACACCCTTGCCTCCGGTCAGGGAAGGACATATATCAACGGCTCTTTTCATGATCCTGACGGCTAGGTTGGGGTCAACCTGAGACTCCCAGTTTCCCTTTTGATAACAGCCACCCAAGATTGTGCCGCCTCCAGCGGCTCGGGTCATGATGTAACAGGCTTCATCATCGCCGTCGTCTGTTCCAGAGGTGGCAAGCATTTTGCCGGCATCATTGCGGACAATCACAACCTGGGCCCTGGCAGGCACGACCGATTTGTCCTCAACACCACCGAGCTTGGAGGCGTTGAGGCCCGTACAATTCACCAAGAGGTCAACTTTGCGTTCGTGGTGAAGACTCGGAGAAGCGGCGTCGGCAATATGCTGAAATACCGCTCGTCTGAATGTCACGCCGTTCTTCAGACACTCCGAGACCAGCCAGGGGAGGTAGATGGCCGTGTTGATGCAGACTGACGTAAATGATGTCGCAGCATTGATGCCAGGACCAAAGGAGCTCGCGGGCAGCTGGTGGAACTGTGTTGTATCTGTGAGTGCCGGTCGAGTACTTAGTGTCTGACAGCCAGGGGGCAACTTACATTCGGGACCACGTCCTTGAACCATGCATCAGGAGAAAGCAGTTCGTTGAACCAGTCAGCAGTTGCAGAGCCGGCATCTTTCGCACGACTATGGATTTGGCATTCTTCCTGCAATCAGCACAAGATGGCCTGACACGAGCGCGCCCCGATCATACCCTGAAAGTGAACTCCGGCCTCTGGGTGATTCTGTGCTAGGTCTTCCAGCGGAGCCCATGTGTCCTTCTCGTACTCTGCTGCCTTGGAGCCTCGAGCGCCGACGCTATGGGAGAATTTCTCTTTAGCGACTATGTTCCAGCTCAAACGTGTGTGCTAGCACGTACGGCATGTAGTTGGCGCCCGCCCAGGGAGACGCATATTCAATATCATAGTCTCCAGGCATATGCTTTGCTGCCACGACAATCTTGTACCGAGCATTCCTTGACAATAGCAAGGCCGTCGTTAACCCGGCAACTCCAGCCCTAAGATGGTCAACAGATTGTTCTTAAGTGTCAAGCCGTGAAAAAGGTGTCTTAGCGAGGCAGGACTGACCCGATTACCACGATATTCTTTTGAGCCATTGCCGATAGCTTACGGTGCCAGCTGGAGCCTCACAGGAGAAATGGACAAAGGTGATTAATGCGCGAGGATGTGATGAGGCCTCTACCGCTCAAGACAGGAAGGCTGTGTTTTGTATCCTCCTTGGCCTGGGAGTGGTATTTGTAAGGCTATTGTGACTTGTTGGTGTATACTGGAAGTTGACGGATACCCGGTTCTGAGCAATTTTGCGTGTAGTATGTGCACGCCACAAGCATCAATTGAGGATTGCAAGCCTCATACCATATAAATGAAGGGTGTGGACTGATTGAAAATGGTTATCGGATTTTCTTAGGATTGGGTTGGGGCGGCGCTGGTGGCTTCCAATTACCGTTCTAGGCAGGAAGGAACGTCCACCATCATCCCGGATATCTGTCAGCTACTACTTGTACTTAGTATAGCATGTTCCTCCCTCTGGCAAAGGTCAGACAGAACACGGATCGGCTTGTTGAGGAAGTGCAGAACGCTTTTCTCCCGCAGTTCTTCTTCAAGTACTACTATATAGTGATCAAGTAGGTATCGAGCGTTGATCGATACACTATCGAGTCAAAATCAGGTATCAAGTACGTAATCGATCGAGGAGTGATGCGCGCTTGATCAGTAGTCAGTACTACATGAAGACTTAATCGATACCTATTTGATCACATGTTTGATTCACTTCCTGAGTATGATCGGATCATGATCAGATCCTTGAGAAAATCAGTATTTCAAGCCCGCGACGACGTAATCAAGCCTTACTTGATCAAGTAGGTATCGAGACAAAATCAACACTTACTCAACTACGGTATCGATTCATACTTGATACTATATTCGATCTAGGATCGATCAAGGATTGATTACTCATAAAGGGCCCAAATAGTACTATAGTATCTACCGCTTCCCTTGTAGGAACCCCTTGGTGACATTACCGGTAAACCTCGCAACGTCGTTGTCATAGTCGTCCCAGCCCAACGAGCAATACCAGTTGATACTGCCTACACTGCAAACAGCGCCACCACCGGCGCCGACATAATAGACTATGTCACTGCGTATCAGGTTCGTCTGCGTCCCGAGGGTGTTGACGGCAGGGAAAGTCAGGTCCTCAGTCGCAATGCCGAAGTCGTCACTGTGACCGGTGCTGGTGGCCAGAATCACAACACCTTCAGGACTTCCATTGTCCACGTCGTAGCGATCTATTTCGTCGCCCGATGCGCCACCACCAAAACCTTGCTCGCCAATCAGATCACTCTTGACATTCGTGAACATCCAGGAGAACTGCGGATCTTTGGACGCATCTGTGCGTTTGTAAGGCACGCCAGGACCTGTCCCCTGGCCACAGAAGCCGACACCAAACAATGTATTGCAGCTCATTCCTCGGGACCGCCACAGACCACCCTGTTGCCCGTTAAGGCTGTGGATGTGCTCTCCACCTGGAAGAGCAAAAGGGGCCACTCCACGATCCCCTCGACGTAATTCCAATCGATGCGGACGAGCAGGGTCGACGGCACTCACCCAGTAGAACCCGTTGCCGCCCATGTACATGAGATTCCCACCTCCACTTGCAAAGGCAGTATAGGCGCCGAAGGACTCTCTCGTGTGATATTCTGGATGACAGCCGGTGATGACGGTGTTGAAGCCTTGGAGGGCATTGACACCGCGTAAATGTAAGTCGAGGTCAGTTACAACTTCATAAGGTATACCCTCGCGTTCGAGATATCCAATCATCATTAGATCGGCGGACAGCTCACGTGGGCGTGAGAAAGCCCACATCAGATATCCCGGGCGGATATTGAGGATTGGGCGCTTGGCGGAAGAGAAAACAACGCCGGCACCGTCGGTGTGACGGTCGTAACACGACAGCCCGATGTCCAGACGGCGCTGCATCTTGTAGAACTCACTGCTTTTGAGGACCTTGTTGATGTCGAAACCTGGGCCAAGGTCCGCAGTGTTCTCCCGTGTCATGTCGTAAAGACGCTCGTTAGCATAGGCAAGGTACGTGAACGTGGAGAAGACGAAGCAGACTTTGTTCGAGTTGTCTGAGGTCCACGATGTAGGTCGTACGAAAAAGGTCACCCAGTCCTTGTCCTTGCCGTTTGTTGCCTCCACCTCGACTGCATAGGCACCGGAGCGGGCGCTGGGAGGGATTGTGATGCTGAAGTCCGTATCCCAGTCGGCGTCGTCCAGATCGTCGTCGTGGAAATGAATGGCGCCGTAGCCAGATTTCGCTTTCGTCCAGTCACATTCTGACGCGTCCCAGTCATGGCCCTTGACAGCCCGAGTCGGTGCATTGATCAGGGTACCGTGGTGACCACGGCCAGAGATGTCGACAATGGTGTCGCTTGACATTTCAAGCGCAAAGTTATACCTGACAAGAACACTGGGTTTTTCATCCAGCGTCTTCAACGTCAAGCTATCAATGCGTCCATTGAAGAAGTTGCTGGCCCGCCGTTCCAACCGCTTTGAAGAGTCATCTGCCTGGTTCGCAGCAATGAATAGTGGCCCTGGTTGGCATAGCAATGGTTCACCATCTAGCTGCGCTTCAAATGCGGTGTGAGCAGATATCGGTTCAACCTTGAATGCCTTTGGCGCAAGGGACACCTTGACCGACCGGCCGTCAATTGTAAGCTTGAGTTTGGCCCAGACCTTTTTCTGAGGTCGGAGTCCGGTCTCGAGGACTTGAGTTTTGTTGGTCCCAATGCCCACACATATGTTGACAGAACCTTGACTGTTCAAGACAATTGAGAATCCAGAATTTGTCGCCGCATGTAAGGTAGAGACCAATGTCTGCGGATGGGAGCATTCCAATAGCCAGGGCTGCATGAAGAAAGACACCTGAAGGCCTTGCGTCTGGGCTGGTGGCCCCCAATTAGAAACATAGCCATATGATCCTGGATTTGCTGTTTGCAACCTCCCTTCCCCGTGACCTCGAGGAATTTCCGTTACTTCCTCTTCTACCTTTTTGGGTGAGTGCTCTAGGTCGATGCCTTGAATTAAGCGGACCGTGCGATATTTGTATTCTGATTCTGTACAAGATATCTGTATGAACTGTCAGCGTAGGACAATTGGGTTTAGTTTGAATCTACGTACTTTGATCGCCACTGGTTCACCAGGAGCGACTATCCAAGGGTCCGCATAGCCAATGATTTCTGCTGGATGGCCGTCATTGAGCACATTGGGGTTTGCCATACCTACTCTACCATAGAATAAGGTAGTATGCAAGGCGGCAAAACGTCTGCGTCCTATGATGCGTCACTGCTTCATCGGAGAGAGCAGTAGCTATAAAGCGTCGGCTGGAGAACTATCGCGGTGATATCCAAGGGGCCTGATAAGCGCCGCGGAGCTGGCGCCACAGCCCCATCGTCTGAAGGAATGGTGACACGATTGGAAGTCGACTTTCAGTGGTCCAGGGGAGGATCCGACGTCTCCTAACGATGATTATCGTGGTATACCGTGAACCTATCTGGGCAGCTACCGACTTGAGGACTTCGATCAGGCTGGTGGGCAAAGGAGGAAATGAACTGGTTGGCTAGTATTAGGCATAGCCAATAGCTGTACGACGATAGTCGGGAGGTGGAGCCGACAAGGTCCTCTGTCGGTAGTTACCAAAAGGGGCATTTTGGCGGCTCCATAGCCATCTTCGCAATCAAATGTGGCTACGGGCAAGGGAGCTAGGAGATGGTTTGTAAACTGCTTTGGAGTCGGCGCGCGATGTCGAAGTCAGTTGGGAAAGCCAGCCATTTATTTCCCCTTATCGGTTTCGATAGATACCGAGATAAGAGGAATCTGACAACGACAATAACTCCAGTCATATTACTAGTACAGCTAGGAAGGCACAACCTTCAACCCTCCAAATCACACTACCATTGTGGACTCCTGGCCGCCGGCTATCAGCTCGGTGATCAGTCGGGCTCGACGCTACGATACGACGGCCTGCACTGACCTGGTCGGGTGCCTAGCGCTGTCGGTGCTGATTACCGACCTCCTTCCCTATTTTCGCATTACTGAATAGAGCAATACATACTGAACCTTCCTTCTTCTGGATTCGTTATTCACCAGCCCTGTGGCAGAAGAAGGCACAACCCGGCCGCGTTTCGCGGCGTTTGCTTCAACCGATTGCCATACATGCTTATCAGGGAACCGGAGAAGTCAGAGACAACGGCCCTACTGCTCGACATGTCTCGATAGAGGCACCAAGTGCGGCGCCTATGCCACAGCCCTCCCATGGTATGAATGCAGATTATACTCTGGCCGCCGGCCATCTTGCCACTCACCTGCACCGCAACTGTGGCAAGACGTCCCAGGTCCAGAAGCAGCTTCTTCTACCGATCTTCCTGGCCGGGATGGAAGCCCGAGATAGAGACCTCCGGAATACTGTTTCGCGCTTACTGTCTTTGGTGGGGTGCAAGGAGTCGCGAGGGTATGTTCTATAGTGTCTCGTGCCTGCTCGCGGAGTATTGGGCAAGAGAGTCTTCAAAGAATGGCGAACCGGTGTGGTGGGGATCTTTCCTGGATGCGCAGTCCAGCTCGAAAAAAGCTGGCGATATAGTTGCAATGCAGTTTCTCTTCGGCTAGGGTAAAGCATTCACTGGTTGCAAGGATAGAAGCATGTTTTGAATGTAGCTAAGAACCCTTCGCCATCCATGTGCCCTTTATGCAAATTTTCACCATGCACAGCCATTGTGGTCGCTTGAATGAGGCTCAAGTACTAAGAAAGGACTTTTCTCTCCATTGCATGCGGCTAGCAATGCACTGGTCTGAGAGTTTTTCACATTGCCAGTCTCTCTCAAAAGTTCAGTTTTGGACAGGACGCCTTCCCATATGACTATGTTGCCACTTCCACCCAAAGTGCTTTTCCTCATACGTGTCCATTTACTCCATTGACTCCGTTCGCTTTGCCATTTTTGGCCACTCCGTTCTGCTTGGTGCCGTCATATTGAATTGCGAAACTGTACTTCGGGTCGTAGTGCATGGCCCAGTATCCATCCCAGATCTTCTTTGTGATTGTACCAACCTTGCCGTCTTGTATGGGCTGGCCATCAAGCGTTGTGATGGGCATAATTCCTCCTGCGGTGGTGCACATAAACACCTCGTCAGCCTCGTAGGCTAGTTCGATAGGAACAGTCTCGACCCTGATTTCGATGTCTAGAGATCGCGCCACATCCATCACACTTTTCCGCGTCACACCATGTAGAATGCCGCGGTCTGGGGAGTAGAGCACGCCGTCCTTGATCAGGATGATATTGAACCCGGAACCCTCTGTCAGGTTTGTATCTCCATCGGTAAGGAATGGATACGTAGCACCCCGATCTGCTGCTTCAAAGAGAGCCCGTGTAAGATCGCCCCACTGCAAGTTCTTGACGGTAGGGTCTATAGCACCCGGTGGGACGCGTCGGACAGTACGGGCAATAACTGCAGCACCACCGGTCGCTTGAACACCCGGGTCCATGACCCAGACAAAAGGTTGGATAAGCATATAGAGATTGTTCTTGAACATTTCCCCTGGAGTGTGGCCGCGGACGCCTTTCAGACCACGAGTAACGATCAGCTCGACGAAAGCGTCCTTGATCTCGGATTTGGCCACCATGTCCACTAGGATATCTTTCACCTGCTGGCGAGGCAGAGGCAGCTTGAGCCGCATCTTGGCGCAGCTGGCCTCGAGTCGATCCATGTGGTCGTCGAGTCGGAAGAATCGGCCATCCCAGACCGAGGGGACATCGTAGGTCAGGTCGCTGTGCATGAAACCCTCGTCAAGCAAAGGAACACGGGCTTCGGCCAGAGGAACCAATTCTCCTTCAATCCAGGCAACCCCCTTTGTGAATATGTTGTTGCTCTTTTCGAGGACGGCTTGCCGGCTGGCGTAGCCAGCAAAGATCTTGTCCATGGTAGCCATCTTGTCGTACTGGCTCCTTGAGATGGGAGACAAGCTGCAAGGGTGTGCAGTGAGATTTGATGATCACCTTCTTTGGCACTGTTTGAATGTAAAGAGGCAGACAATATATGGCAAGATCGTGCCCTTTTTTCGAAACTTGGCTTCCATTACTCTGACTGCTGGATGGAGAACCAGTATGTTCAGGTCAATAGGTTGTCGATCTGGTTCCGAATGAGGAAACTACCTGAGGAGGAAACGTGTTAATCTGTGACTTGACCCACCGAGTTGCCGCTCGGTAATGTGCACTCTAACCCTGAAAGAGTTATTCCTAAACAGTACTCGGGTATGTAAAAACTGTAGGTTGGGATGTGTTGGCCATGCGGAATCGGGTAAGTGGTCGTTATCGGCTGGGGTTGTAAACAAAGAATAGTGATCTACAGAGCAGACACGGTATCGGATAACGGCGCATTGCCAGTGTGGAATGCTACTCTTCCCCTTCCTTCACATGTATCCATCTTGTCTGCTCGTCTATCGTCGTTGGCACAGTTGATTTCGCCTGCGGATCAGAGCGCCGCAGTACTGGTGTAATTGTGGAACTTTTGGCGATAACATACTTATGTTGGTGACGGATATCCGGGCCGAAACGTTCTCTTCCGATCTAATCGGCGCCGTCGTGGTCTTCGTAACTTCTGTATGGCCGTTCAAGACGGGTGTACCCAAGTACCCTAGACCCCTTGGGATAAGAGAGTCGGGCGTCGGGTGGCGCCTCCCGGCGTCAAACGTTCTGGCCCGAACGAAGGGCGAGCACAGGGCGGGCTCATCTCGTCGTCTTGATAGGTGAGTTTGCCAGCAGTAAAGACTTGGTTGGGGCTCACTGAAGTCGTTGATCGCAATGACTTGAAGTCTGATCACATATCTTTGCGGGTGTGTTCGTAACCCCCACCACGAGTGGGGCCCGCGAATCTTACTAGGTCACACTAAGTTGAGGCTTGTGGCCGTCTTATCAGTGAGTGCTGTTGACATCTCATGTTCGAGGACCTGATCTTTTTCCTAAGCTAACAATTCCACAGTGATTGTCAACTGCCTCACGGATCCCTCTTTCAACAATCTTTTCACCAACAACAGCGGGGAAGGGGCGTGACACTCTTGCAGCGAGCTTGCCATATGGCCGACTCTACTACCTCAGGGGAGCCCGCCTATCGAAGGACCAGTTCGCTGGCATTGGAAAAAGCAGATTGCCATGTTTGCACCGAGAAGCGTCGCAAATGTGACAGACGAAGAAGATCCTGCAAAAGATGCCAAGAACGCGGTGATGTCTGCACCGGATATCCTGTGCGACTGATATGGCAAAGCAACATGTCTACGAAAAGCATGAGATGGCAAAAACCTGCCAGCCGGCAACGTCCCCGCCCGCACAGTGACGGGTCGCCCAAAGCCTTCAAGATGGGCAAGATGATGCCAGACAACGTAGAACGATCTGGCAAAAGACCCAGGTACGGTCGCGCCCAAGACGCAAGCTCTGGCAGCAACAGACATTCGCTTTCTCCCCCAGCCGCTGGTGCCCAAGCCCAGAGAGAGACGGCCGACGACCTCAATGAGTCACAGCCGGGTTCGAACGCTCCTATGATGTCTATGTCGCCGCGAGCGGTCCCCGACATGCCCGAGGGCATGCAGGACAAAAGCAACAGTATCCCGACGACGACAATGTTGGACATGGACTATAATAACCCTTTCCCTGATTTGGACTACGACTTGGACCAGGAATCGATGCTGAGGTCACAGTTCAATATGTACAAACTCACCGCTCAGTGGCAGAAAGACCTATCTGACAATCCTTCCACGAATCAGGAATCTCTGGACTGGATGCCCACCGACAGCGGCCAAGGGTATTATGGCATTCCTTTCATGAACTTCTCTGCCACCGATGTGGAACCCATCACACCCGGCACCTCACAGGTTCCTGACATCAGCTCCCCTTCGAAGTCTACGCCATCAGCAAATGATCGCTTCACAGCCCTGTTGAATATGTGTACGTATAATTTTCTTTGGCTGTACGAGGCCGTTCTCGCCCGTCTGACCCCTTTTCTCTTCAGATGATCGAGTATTTTGTATTCACCCCGTCACCATTGACCTTGAAGTGAACCCATTTCGCTGCAGCAAGGACACTTCGCTCGGGTCGGCGCATCTCTTGCATGCCATCCTGGCTCTTTCCGTCCATCATCTTGGACGGATAACGGGAGAGATGCATCTGAGTAAAGAAGTGATCACCCACAAAGAAATGGCCACGGAGCTTTATAAGAACGCCTTGAGAGGCCCGACGGTCTCTTCAATGGGTCTCGCCTTGCTCGACACCGCCGTGATCCTGTTCGCATTAGATGTACGTACCACACATTTTGGGCTGATGGAAAATCGGGGCTCTGCTGACGAACCAAAGGCCGCGCAGTCAGCATTCGGAAATTGGAATAAGCAGCTAGAGCAGGTCCTTCGACTTACAGAAATGTTTGGAGGTTGTGAAGCGCTGCGCCAGTCTTCACGAGTTCGAGCGCAGTTAGCAATGTTTATATGGTCGGTTCTTCCCATCTTGGACCATGAACCTGGCGGAACTCGCTGACAGGCCTACAGGTGGGATACGACTGTCTCCTTGCTTTCTCGCATGCCACGGACAATTCCAGCATCATATTTCCACGTGCTTCGCGAAGATGGCGAACATGATCCTTGGGACTTCTTCAGCCTGGTTGGATGCCCTTCGACTTTGGTGGCATACCTCACCGAGCTGAGCGACCTGGCCGCTGAACAGGAGAAGACCCGAAAGATGACTTGGGCCAAATTCGATCCGTCAAGGGTCATTGAGATTCAGTGCGAAGTTAAGGCATGGACGGACGAACGCTTTGTAAACATCAGGGAGGAAGACGCAGACAAGATGCAATACAAACGCGATTGTTATCACTGCGCCGAGGCCTGGAAATCCGCCATTCTCCTCTACATTGTTCAGGTGTTTCACCCAGGCGGTCCTCAGCGCGAAAAGCAGACGCTGTCCTACCTGTCACGGGTCACTCTGGATCACGTCCGCTGTTGTCGCAAGACCAACACGGTCCAGAAGCAACTGCTGCTTCCCGTGTTCCTCGCAGGCTGTGAGGCTTCTGGGGCGGACTCTAGAATGCAAGCGAAGGATTATTGCACTTGGTGGAACGAGAAGAGTGCATACGGAATGTTCTCCAGCGTGGCCGCCTTGTTAGAGCTGCTCTGGGCAAGGCAACTCATCAATGGAGACGATAGTATATTCTGGGGCGACGTTATCGACGAGAAGGTCACCAGTGCCTCAAAGGGCAAGAACGACATACAATGCTTACTGGGCTGATGAATCAGATATCTTGACCATTTTGCCTGGCCGCTGTTTTCCTTACTGTATCAACGCGATGATAACCAGCATCGCCAATGCATAAGGCAGGATGTGCCACGACAAAAGCCAAAGTGCAAGAGGGACCACGTGCCTGTCACTTGAAGTCGTGACAACAGTCTTGACCTCAGCATCTTGGACTCTCCCAGTGGGCTCCCTAACCGGTGGAAACTTACATCTTAAACTTGGACAGGTTGTTTTCATCAGATGAAAGGTACCGGGCTGTCCATCAGCAGGAGCAGTAGTAGTGGTCTTTCATGACTTTCATCCCTCGTTCATCGGCTGGGCCGGCACCAAGACCGGAGATGGCCACAACCAGATCTGACCTTTGGCCGGGACGTAGATGCGATTAAAACCACCTTCCTCTTCAGGCAACCGTTTTCTATCAAGCCGCGGGTTGGTCCATCCGCCCAGGTGGGGTGATATGAATATCCACTGTGCACCACCCCTTGATTTCATCTGCTGCCTATCTGTCGTAGGGGCACGCCAGCCTTCTTGAAGCCTCCAGCACCACGATTTCGTCCCGTCTCGCCGAAAAGGAAGGCGGTTTCGCGGACGAAGTGCCTCAACGCATCTTCTCATGGACTCTCAGGCAAAGACCCGGTCGATAAGAGAGTATGGATACCCAAGCAGGAAAAGCGTCGGTCGGTATCTGTTCTAGCAACAAACCAGGCAACTCAGTGATAAGGAGACAGCCATCGATACGCCTGATATGAACTTTAGGTGGTGTTACCGTGCACTCATCTAGAGGCCTCGACAGAGTGAGCGACTGCCCCTTGGTCAGTAGGGACACAGCTATAAAGGCTCAAAAGGACGGGGATATCTTCAGATCCATCCAGGGAGTCATTGTTGTCCCCATCAAGAGCCGTTGCAACCATGGACAGAACCGAGACCAGAAACACGACGGAGACGGCTCCTGCGAAGAAGGACATGTCGGTCAGCCGAGTCGTCGACTACGACATAATTGAAGGTTCCAAACAAGCTGCTCGCAGAGAGCACGACCTCACTATCCGGCAGGCGGTTTCTCGACACAGGAAAGCCGTGCTCTGGGCGGCCTTCTTTTGCCTGCCCAACCTGATCATTGGATACGATCCCACCATTGTCAGCACGCTGGTCGGGATCCCTGAATTTCGAAAGAGATTTGGCTATGAATACCCAGCCGGCTCGGGCACCTATGTGCTTGAGGCTGCCTGGACATCGGCGTTCACATATGCACCCGTCATCGGCTTTCTGCTGGCCTCGGTCTGGGGAGGATGGTGCGTCGACCGGTTCGGTCCGCGCAAGACGCTCTTGGGTGCCACAACCTTGTCGCTGGGGACCTTGCTGATCGAGGTGCTCGGCGAGAGCGCGGCCGTCATCTTCGTCGGCGACCTTCTCACGGGGCTGCTCACGGGCAGCTTCCCTGTCCTGGGCCCCGCTTACATCTCTGAGATCCTCCCGGTGTCTCTTCGAGGCATCGGACTATCGTGCAATAACATGGCTCAAGTCCTAGGATCTCTGATCGGGATCGGCATCTTGCGCGGGACGGAGGACCGCATGGACAAATGGGCGTACAAGGTGCCCTTCATCACCGAGTACGCGTTCCCGCTCATGTTCATCGTCGGCGTGATTTTGGCACCTGAGACCCCTTGGTTCCTGGCGAAAAAGGGCCGCAACGAGGCCGCGGCCAAGTCGCTCCAGAGGATCGGCTACGCCGTCGGCGACGAGATTGACAACACCATAGCCCACATGCAGGAGACCATCCTCCTCGAGGAAGAGCTCTCCAAGAGTACTACCTACCTGGACTGCTTCCGGGGCACCAACCTCCGACGGACAGTCATCTGTGCAACTGCCTACAGCGGTCAGTTCTTCTGCGGCATCAACATCGCCTCGGGCTACTGTACCTACTTCTTTGAGCTCGCCGGCGTCACCACCAACCAGGCTTTTGATCTTTCGTGCGGCCTCTTCGCCCTGGGAGTAGTCGGGAACATGCTGGCGTGGCCCCTGATGACATACTGGGGTAGGCGAAGCGCGTACCTGCTGACCGCCGCGCTGGCGACGATGTTCATGTACCTCATCGGCTTCCTGGGTATCGCGCCCAACTCGAACACCGGCGCCATGTACGCAAAGTCCGTCATCCTGCTGCTCTTCAACTTCGTCTACAACATCGGCCTGGGCCCCATCGTCTATGTGCTGATCGCCGAGCTGCCATCGACGAAGATCCGCGGGAAGACGCTCGGTGTGGCCTGCTTCGTGCCTCACATCTTCTCCATCTCCATCACGGCCGGCCTCCCGTACGCCATGAGCGCCACTGAGGCCAACTGGGGTGCCAAAACAGGCTTCTTGTTTGGCGGCCTGGGCACGCTTACCGTCATCTGGGCCTTCTTCTGTCTTCCCGAAAGCAAAGGTCGCACTTTTGAGGAACTTGACATTCTCTTTGAGCGCAAGATCCCGGCCAGGAAGTTCGCAACCACTGACCTCACCGACTTTGACCGTAGCGCCATTGTCGATGCCAAGTATGTGGAGGCATAGAGAGAGCGATGGAACGGAATGGAGAAAGGGACTGCCACAGAGAGGAAGTGGCCGTGCTGTGCTGGGTAGACCGAGAAGAAGGGAGGACTATCGGAAGTGAGCACTTGACATAGAGGGACAATGAAGCGCGCCCTGCCTGAACGGACTTGATGTCTCCCATCCTGGCTTCTCACACTCCAGAGTAGACATGCCACTGTGCATATGCAAGTTCCAGTATACTCGAGTACTATACACATGGCCTCTGAAACTTCGACCCACCTTGCCCCCCCGGTTCTTCTCTCTTGTATAGATCCTGGAATATCTGTTGCCTGATCTGGCTGATGTGTAGCACATCCAAGTTTACCCTCGGTCTCCAAGGATGCCGTTGAGCTTCTATCAATGGGATCGGGCACGAGTGCATGCTTCAACAGTGTATCCGGAATGATAGCTCGTTGACCCGGTGAGGCCGGTAACGCTGCTAGCCTCTGCCTGATATCGGCGATATGATCAGTTCGCACATTTCTCAGCCTTGTTGTGGTTTGTTGCCTTATCGCATCGCCGTCAGCTCCGGAGCCAGTCGCCTTTACCTTCTTGATTTGTTGTTTCACCTGATCCTGGAGTCGGCGGTAGTCTTCGCCGCCTGGTCCATACCCAAGTCTTGATTACTATGGGGCGTCGAGTTTCCTAGCAAGTTGTCTCTTTCAGGACCTGGTCGTTGTTTCAGCCAAGACGGTCCCTGACACCACACGACACCGACCCACATCATAACGGATGCGGCGCCGCGTAAAGGAGCATTGTTGTCTTACGGAATCCCATTCCGGACAAAGTCCACTACTTACCTGGGTTTCCCAATTCAAAAAGCTAGTCTCGCGACAGGAGAGAGACGGTATAAATTTTTTTAGAGGTTACTAATTTTAGTACAGTTAGACTGTAAGTCCTTAGTAGAAGTTTGTTGCAGTTTCTCTAAAGGTTGTAAAAAGTTAAGAAGTTGTAGAAAGTTAAATTCTAAGCAACGTTGCTCCTAGTTGTTATACCGTATAAATACTAGTTAAAGGTTGCTAGTATTGAAGGTCGTCGGTTCGAAAAAAGAAAATCTGCTTTTTTAGTATTTTTACTAATACTACTACTGCTACTACTGCTACTACTACTACTACTAAAAGTGCTACTAAAAGTGCTACTAAAAAAGCAAGATTTTACCGCTACGCTATTATACCTGTAAATCCGAACTTACTCCGAAATTCGAGAAAATATCCATATAAGCCTTAATATTTTAGGTTTACTAGAAATTTACCTAAGGTTGCTAGTAGGTTGCTAGCTGATTAAGGTTGCTTTTCTCTAGGAAGAAGTTGTAAAATTACTTAGCGTTGCTATAAAAACAACGTTGTAGGAACGTTGCTTTTCAGATAAAATTGCTAGGCTGTAGCTGTCTAACAACTAGTGCAAAACCACCTAGTTTCAGTTCCAAAACCCCATTTTCCTGGTAAGTACTACTGGCCCTCGACCGGAAGGCGCGGCCGAAAATGCCCGGGATTCAGACCCGTTTTTTACCACAAGATCTTACCGACACAAGCCCGAAAACTTTATTGAATGAGACGAAGAACTGATAAAGTCGGCGGCAATGTCAGATGGGAAGGGCCGACCAAGACTAGTAGCCAAGCACCTTCGTACCCGGGTTCGAAATCACCCACAAGTCGGCCACTCGCTACTCGCAAACGATCTACGTCAAAACCACGCAACTCTTCGTTTGGAGAAACAGAAACAACCAAAGACGCACCGAACCTAGGAGCCAGAAATGGCACACGGACACCCCAAAGTCGTCCTGTTCGACCTGCTGACCGCGCTTCTCGACAGCTGGACGCTATGGAACCAGGCCGCTGGTAGTGAAGAAGCCGGCCGACGATGGCGCGCCAAATACCTGCAGCTGACCTACCAATGCGGAACGTACCAACCGTATGAGGATCTGGTGCAACAGGCGTCCGACGCAGTCGGCCTGCCTCGCAGCGCACCCGAAACGCTGCTTGCACGATGGGACGAGTTGAAGCCATGGCCCGAAGCGCCCGGCGTGCTGCGAAAACTGCAATCTCAAGCCGTCAAGATCGGGGTGGTCACCAATTGCTCAACCGAACTGGGACGCCGGGCGGCGGCGACTTGTGGCGTGACCTTTGACGTCGTGGTGACCGCGGAGGAGATTGGATTCTACAAGCCTCGGATCGAGACATATACTGCGGCATTGAGGGTTTTGGGTGTCGAGGCAGGCGACGTCCTCTTTGTGGCGGGGAGCAGTGCTGATGTGCCGGGCGCTTCGGCGGCTGGAATGCAGGTCGTCTGGCACAATCGGGTTCAACTGGCGCCTCTGCCGGGCACGACCTCGCCGTTGCGTGAGGGCCGGACGCTCGAAGAGGCACTACAGGACTTTATCTGAATCATGGACATAGACTAAGAGGCATTCAGACATGTGCATTTCGGCTGTCTTGGTTGTCTCGATTGGCTACTAAGCTTATGTCCGCCATCTTTGACGTTTGTCAAGAAATATCACCTCTCAGAGGAAGTTTGCTATGGCATGAAGTAGGTTGCCATCTTCGATAAGGACAGTATATGCAATATTGCACCCGGTCATCATTTGTCTACGGCGCTGGCCCCGATACAACCGCCACACATTCAATCTCAACGTCACTTCCCCGAGGTATCGTCTTCACCACAACGCAGCTGCAGCAAGAAAGATCAGTCACAGTGTGGATACAAATCAAGGCAGAAATCTCATAACTAACGTTCTTGAAGGCTTCTGTTCTCCCCAATAAGTCTTGTAGACCTCATTCATCGCATCAAAGTCTTTCATATCAAGCAGATATACATTGACCTTGATGACGTCGTTGATGCTGGAGCCTGCAGCTAATAGCACCGCGGCGAGATTCTTGATACATTGATGCTAGTGGCGTACTGTCAGTCTCGCAAGCAATAGCTTGTAGAGTGTTAGGTGGCCTCTCTCTTACAGTATGGGTCTGGATGTCACCCTCGATGATGGCCCCTGTCTCTGGATCTGCGGGCAGAGATCCTGAGCACCAGACGAAGCCGCCGGCGACGGTGGCCTGCGAGTAGATTCCTACTCGAGGTGGCGGTGCGTCCTTGGTGAAAACCGAGACTCGAGACATAGTATCTTGGTGAGATTGAAAGATTGAGATGGACACTGGTACTGTTTTGCGGTTGAATTCGACGTGGCAAGGTGGATTACTGGTAGTGTGACTCTTTATTAGACTTCTGCGAAAGGGCATATCATGGCATGCCAGGTGACATGCATGCTGTCTGGGATGGGTGATCTGGCGTTTCCAGCCTCTCAGTGGTGAGAATCGTCAAAAAGATTAACACGTATCCTCTTCCGGAATCGCCCTCCGAAGATTCTCTGCGAGCGGTGGAAGCCTCGAACCGGCCTCTAACTCCTTTCTCAAATCGCCGAGCGGAGTTGTGCGGTTGGCTTTGCCAATTTCTGTGACATCGTAGAGGACCCATGCCAATAGTACTACGGGATACCCGAGAACGAAGGTGCAGGTGCGTCTGCTTGAGATCCAGGAGCGGCCCAGAACCAATCCTGTTGCATCACGTCGTCCGGGATCCAATCCCGGGTGAAATCGGAGCCCATCCCATCAAACAAAGAAAGTGAGACGTCCGACTGGTCTTGGCTTGTTTGAATGTCCAGGGTGTTCCATAGCTGATCAAGCTGCTGGTTGCTGTTGGGCGGACTTGCCCCAAAACACGATGAGTTGGATTTCGTATTGATCACCCGAGCCGCTTCTCGAAGCTCTCTGAGCTCGTCCCTTCGACTTCCGGCTGGCACGTTGCCTTTGGAACACATCCAATCCAGTATTTCTTCTGACTGCGCGATGTATCTATCATCGATCGCCATACTTGGATATGCTATGGTTGTCAAGGTAAGGATAAACCCCGCGGAAAACACTGATTGCAAATCGAGGGGGAAAAATGGCTCTAGGTGATATCAGAACGGTTCTTGGACTGCTAATAGTGCATGAGACAGGGCCTACCAATAAGGTCTCGCTCATGGAGAACAGATAAAATCTTGATGGCAGTCGTCGCGGCGCCGACGCAAGTCTTCAGCAGCGCCAAGACAGCTTCTGACAGGGTTTTGACGATAGGTAATCCATTCAGGATCGGTGCGAGTCTCTGCTTTGCAAGGACGAACAGAATTGGCCGGGTTGTCATAATAGTACACTGTCGACGGCCCAGTCAGTGTACACAGAACCCGGTATCTTGAGTTGGGTATAATACCTGATAATACATGATTTGTAAAGTTGCCGCGACTCGAGAGACCCGGCCGGCATTGAGGTCCAGTCCAAAGTCACCGGTGAAATCTTCGGCAATTTTCGTCATCGAATGGAAGACTTCGCGAATAGTGGTCATAAAAGATCTGTCGAGTCTGCTGTTGATTCCGAACGCAGCTTTAACAAGTTAATGGAGTCTAACCAATGATGGTCTTCAATGCAGGAGCTCACCCGACATGACCTTTCCTTCCAAGTCAGCCAATTTAACGTGGAGGAGGAGCGCAGCATTTGAAAACCCAAGATCCTCCTGGCCTGGTAGTGAGATGTCAAAGTCTTTCTCCGTGATGCTCAGGGGGGCTCCCATGTTGATGGAAAGCTTTCGATCAATGATATAAAGTGTCCACCAAAGCCGTCTTCTGCGTTCGTAGTCGGTGCGTGTTAGGGTTCCAGGAGGCGCCTCCCGATTCATGCCAAGTGAGAGGGCGATTCGCAACGCTTGGCCAATCTATTATCACCATACCCCTGGTTAGTAGAGTCAAGTCAAGTTAGAGAGTCCGGACGCACCATTACATAGGCAGAGCCACGTATGTCTGCAGTTAGCAGATAGAGCGAAAGAAGACATAACACCTCCACGTATAGAACAGGATCTTCCCACGAGTCCAAAATGCCGGGTAACAGCTGTAGGGCGCGAATGACATCGCTGGCTCCTGGTGGCCCAAGTGAAGACGCTCCTCGACGAAGGAAGAGCTTTCCGAAAGCAATCACCACGAGGAATTGCACGTGCCACAAGTCGACAAGAGCTTCGGCCGTCGAGCCATTCTTGTAGAAGGTATCGAGTTTATGCATAAAGCTCTCCTTTTCGAACAGGTGATACGTTGGACCTAGATGAAAAAGCGTCGTGTTCGTCAAGAATTCTGCGTAGTCACGGGTTGGGATGTCGTTGGCGTTCAGCGACAGTGAATTGCGCACTGAGGCGGAGCCCATTGCGTAGGTGGCCTCCTCCGAAGAGGGGATGAGGTTGATCACAACCTCGTCGCCCACGGTTTGACGCAGGAAGCTTCGGATCTGCCAGCTAAATGCCCATGAGGACGAAGATCCTAGATAGCCTGATGATGGGGTCAGTGGCTGTGAAAAAGTCGGTCTAGGATGGTCCACGAACGCTCTTTCCCTGATGAGTCCACCAGGAAGAAAGACTGGGACGAAGTCAAGGGGTTTTGGACCGGCGGCACCACATCTTCTGTCAGCGCCAGACGACTGACGCCCGTATTTGACTGCGGTACGGCGATACCCTCACGATCGGATGCAACCCCCCAAGAACTCAATCCAGCTTGGACATTTGGAGGGGTGCCCAAAGCCGTCTGAGTTTCGGGTTGAGGAACGGCCTGCCGCTCATAAGCAGCGAGCCTAGAGGTAAGACCCTGAAGGTATCTGCTAGTAATGAGTAACGATCAGAGCGGCCCATTGCTGGTGAAGAGTGGCCCTGCCTTTCCGATACTGTGACTCTTCGTCCAGTATTCTCGTAGACACATGCTTCTGATCGCTCGGTACAAGTTCTGCAGGGGTACAATCCAGAGCACCTGATTTTCTTTCGTTTACATCTCTGGCATCTAGGACGTTGCGGTCCATGTTAGCGGAGAGCCGGGGCATGTAGCGGAGAGACTCCTCACGCACGCATTCGGTACTTTCTTTCGTATGGCCGGGGGATTGGGAGATTCGCGTGGCATTATCTAAGCGGAGTCAGACACATCGACCGTTACTGAAAGTACTTGTTAGGTACATGGGTGAGTAATGCAGGATGAACCGTGAATGTAATACAAGAAGAGAGAAAACACTCGCGGCTTGAATCCATCAACACCGCCAAGAATCGGTAAAGGGCAATCAATACCTATGATTGGTCATGACATAATCCAGCCTCACTCGGTAGCTACAGGCTTATGATTGGCGGAGATATATCGGCTGTCAGAGTCCACCTCGTGGGTACCGAGCGAGGTCAATTACCTAGGTACCTACGAAGGGGCCGCCTCTGTCCTCCTACCACCACTTCCATGGAAAGAGTATATCCCGGACAGTACCATCCTCGTCGGTGATAAAATGCCATCCATACATCGCGCCGACAATGCAGGTGTGCTGGACATCCAACTCAACCTTGTCACCAATGGTCCACACATCCTGGGCGCGTTGGTTGTCATCTCCATCATACACTAGTATACCATGCTCCTGACTCACACGTCCAACGATCCATCCTTTCTTCTTTTTGTCTCGAACCCGAGCAATGCCACTTAACTCTCCTGGTTCGCGAGTGAGAGCGAGGACGCCGGCGTTGATCAAAGCCTCGTTGCGCTCGCTGTAGACGGAGCATACCTCGGCTATCACGGACATTGCGAGGTTCGAAGAATCGATGGTGCCCGTGGAAAGCTGCTGAAGGTCATTATAGATGAATGTGCCTAGACTTTGTCAGCAAATCACAGCTCACACTTAGGGTTATTGTTCCTGGAAGCACTTGCCGGCATGAATCTCGAAAGTTATGTTCGAAGCAACTTGCTCCTTGATCGAGCGGATAACTCTGGCTGTAGGTGATGATCCGATCGACAAGGTAAGAGGTTTTGTTGGATCCGACAAAAGCTCCGTGGCTGCCAACACCCCGGTGATATGATTTTGAAGTACTGTCTCAGCCATCTCCACGGTCCATCGATTCGCCGTCTTTGCCGAATAAGAATAGAATCCATAAATCTCTACATTTGGTGCTTCTTCGACTGCACGGACGAGCTTCTTCAACTCAGGTGAATCTAGAGGCAAGCCTGCACGTCGACCCCCCATGTCTAATTTGATGAAGACTGTCCATGGTTTCCCCCAGTTCTCTCTGCATCGGACATATTGTGACAGGATAGACACGTGGTCGATGTGGTCGATGAGGAGCCTCGTAGTGACCTTCCTGGAGAGCTGGTCCAGTTCTGGAACCACAGAGGGACAAATGGGAACGCCATAGAGAAGCTATCAAAACTGGTCAGTACGGCCCTTCCGGGATGTGTCCTACTACATACGTCTTTGACCACTCCTTCCGTGATCAGACTATCAAGTCCGCGCGCTTCTCTCAACGTTGATATGATGACCTTACTCGTTACGTCGCCCAGGAGGATCCGAGAGACAGCTTCTGTCTATTATCAAGTTGGTATCAGTGAATGAGTGACAGGAGCTTGGTCCAATTCATCTACGCACCTTGTTCGTCTTGACGTGGGCGCGGAAATCTACGCCCGATTTCTTGACCTTTTCATGGAAAGATCGCGCATTCCGCTTCATCACAGGAAGAGATAGGCATAATGAAGGGGAAGGCAACTCGGACTTATGCTTTCCGATAAATTGCTGAAGATGGGATGGGTATGGCGAACCCGTTGCCAGTGTATCGTGAGATATGGATCCCATTGTAGCGAAAGCCTGGCTGCCTGAGACGGGGTGTCCAGAAACCTGGCACCAGGAGTGAACGCGCTCACGAGGATGTAAACATATATTCCCATTCGGGACCTGCCAGCGCCAAGTGATCTGTATAGGCGTTTGCCTGCCTCTACTCCGGACAGCGGTTCCGGTGATGGAGTCTATCTGGCTATTGAGTTCGGGCAGCCATTCCGGACCCACCAAACTCTGAATACATCAAACAACTTTTCAAGGGTACCGATTCCGAGCATGAATCCAGACTCCAGAGGTAGGATATGTTAATCTGATTGGTTTATGCTGGCGAACTGCATCATGAGAACGGAATATTGGCTTGGCCTTCGGGTAGAGCTACTCTCCTGCCCGAGGCTGTGTAGACGACCTTACAGCTATACCGCTTTGAGCCGCAAGGCTTCGAGCCCCACAGGGAGCTTCTGCATGCTCGCCGATGCTTATATACGCTGTCGGGAATGATTGAGCCTTGATGAGTCGATACCTCTGTCCGTTTCGCTGGTTGCACATGTCAGCTCCTTTACCTTTCAAACGTGTCTCTCTCATTCGAAGACCCAGACCGACAATGGATGAACAAACCACCAAAGCCCCTGCCCAAATGGAGGTATCACAAATGGGAACCGGCAGCTCAAGAGAAGTTGATACTCACAGGGAGCTTCGTCGGGGTCTCAAGAGGCGTCACGTATCTATGTTTGCACTTGCTTGTGCTGTTGGCACCGGCCTCATCATCGGCTCGGGCACTGCTTTGACAAGAGGTGGTCCTGGAAGTATGCTCATTGCTTATATCTTGGTTGGGATTGCCGTGTTTTTCATCATGACTGCACTGGGAGAGATGGCCACATTTGTGCCTATGAGCAAAGGATTCAGTGGATACGCTACACGAATGGTCGACCCAGCTTTTGGGTACGTATATATGTCTACCATGCTGGATGACACTTTGCTCACTCGGACCATACAGGTTTGCGACGGGGTGGAACTACTATTTCCACTACATCATCAGCATTCCCAGCAATCTTACAGCTGCGGGCTTGATCATCCAATTCTGGAGGCCAGACCTGAATGTTGCCATATGGATAACGATCTTTGGGGTTGTGATCGTTGCCATCAATGTCAGTCTTGCCTGCTTATCCTGTGTAGCTTCAATTTTCACAACCAGCTCATCTGACAATCTGGTAGGTTCTTCACGTCCAAAGCTTCGGAGAATCTGAGTTCTGGTTCAGCATTATCAAAGTCTTGACCATGACTGTCCTCATCCTCACCTGCCTGATTATCTCCTTAGGCGGAAACCCTCATCACGACCGCATCGGGTTCCGCTATTGGAACGCTCCTGGGGCTTTCGCCCAACACCTACTCACGGGAAACACAGGATATTTTCTCGGCTTTTGGGCTTGCATGTGCCAAGCGTGCTTTGCGTATGCAGGCACTGAAGTAGTGGGGATGACATTTGGGGAGATTCCCAACCCAAAGAAGAACATACCTCATGCCGTAAAGCAGAGCTTCTACAGGATAGTCTCCTTCTACGTCGTGGGCGTTTTTGTTCTCGGCATGGCCGTGCCATACTCCAACGAGCAACTGGTGGGTGCTACGAAACACTCGACCAGCGCAGGTGAGTACAATCAAATTGCCATGGTACTTATGAGACAAGATCTAACATCTAGGCCAATCCAGCTGCATCACCTTTCGTGGTCGCGATCACTCTTGCAGGCATCAACGTCTTTCCTGATATCATCAATGCTGCGTTATTGGTGTTTGTTATCAGCGCGGCTAGCAGCGGTAAGGTCCTTCTCAACGATATCGTTTCTATGTGCTTATAACACTCCCCGCTAGATATCTATTGCGCCTCCCGATGTGTCTATGGATTGGCTAAAGATGGTCAAGCACCTCGAATCCTATCCCGGACTCTCGCAAATGGAAGCCCAATCATTGCGGTTATTCTAAGCTCATTGTTTATTTTGCTCGGATACATGAACACCCATAAATCAACGGCGACAGTCTTTCAATACTTTGTCAGCTTGATGACCGTACTGGCCGTCTTGAATTGGATAGCCATTCTACTATCCTATATCGCTTTCCGACGCGCTCTGAAAGTACAGGGCATCGCTATCAACCAGCTTCCATATATTGGCATTCTACAACCCTACGGCGCATACTATGCACTATTCATTTCAGTTGTGGTTGTTATATTCCAGGGTGAGTCCCCGTCGCTTTTAAAGGACTCAAAACCTGACTTGGCTGTCTCCCAACAGGATACAACGCTTTCATACCACATTTTGACGCCACGACATTTGTCCTACAGTACCTGGGTATTGTTTTGTTCGTGGGAAACGTCATCCTCTGGAAGATATACAAACGAACAAGACGCGTCCGTGCAAGGGATCTAGACCTCGTTACCGGAAGACAGGAAATTGATGCTGTAGAAATCGAATTGGAGGAAGAGAAGAAAGGCTTTGTATTGAAACGAATGCTTGAGAAAGTGCGTAGCCAAGCCTGATCCAGATTGACGGCGCCATCTTATGAGATTGCACTATGGCGCCGCTGCTGACAGGGGAGGCAGAGTCGCTCCATGGCCAGGAACCCTCGGAAGGCTAGCAAAGCGACGGGCGGCGCATTAGAGTGAGAAGGAGAGGATTTGGTTCGTGTATACCATCAAAGGCAACCAACATTGCTTGCACCCCGCTGCTCCTGGCATGCTTGCTGCAGCCTACAAAGCTCCCTCTTCCGATGGTCTGTACAAGACCATGGGCCGTCGGTATGCAGTGCCGACCGTCCACCTGTGAGATCTTGTTGTTGGCGATTTGTCTTGAATACTAGTAGGCGTTGAGTCTGAAATGCTTGGAAATTCACAATTTGGCAAACCTTGACTTATGCTGGTGAGTCGTAAAGTCTAAGTCATATCTTTTAAGGGGTTAAGTCTATACCTATACCTATCATGTTGAGATAGTACTCGGTATTAAACAAAGGGGTGAGCGCAGGGCGGCGTCACCATTGTCCCGAGCGGGACTGGGCCGCGAGGCTGAGGAACATCAAGTGTCAACCGAGTACTTCACAGTACCAATAATACGGTGGAATATAATTTGCACCGTACGACGTGCCCGATGAAGTCATCCTCATCATGGTGTTCTGGGACTTTTCTCTTTTGAATAGCCATACTTTCTTAGCTGTTGAGCGTAAACAACACTCTTCCGCCTCCGCGGACTGCAGACGGTGGTGTCGCAGGCATTATTACTGCCTCTAACAGGACATCATTCAACCTACCGTATCCTCGCCAAACCCCCATTGAAAAGCAAAATGTCAGAACCTATTCCAGAGTCAATTCCCACGTCCGCAGACCCTCGCTCTCATCGACCCATTAAACGCGCCCGCGGCGCGAACACTCCTCTGGCGGCCCAAGCGAACGAGATCGAATCTCTATTTCTGGATCCCAGTCGACCTGTCACTCTACCTCCGCCGTCAACTGAAAGGAAGTCAGCACTACCAGCGCCGCCAGAGATCGTCGCAAATGTGCAGGGCTCATCTGCGGGTGCCGGTTCCGGCGAGTTTCACGTGTACAAAGCCAGTCGAAGACGCGAGTATGAGCGACTGCGGGTGATGGATGAAGAAGCCAAAAAGGAAGAGGAGAACGAGCGGTGGGAACGGGAAGAACGAGAGAGGCGAGAGAGAGACGAGGAGAAGACGAGGAAGAATCGCGAGAAGAGAAATAAGAAGAAAGCGAAGAAGGGAGGAGCGAAAGACAAAGACCACACGACGGAAAATGGTGCAGCGGCTGTGGGCGCAAACAGGGCGACTGACGGGGTGAAGAGGAAGGCTGGCGGCCTCGAGGTTCCGAAACGAGACAATCAGGCAGAGGACCAGGAAAACAACGGCGGTCTTGGGGAGGTCGTCAAAGACGCAGGCATAACGATCCTCGAAGACGATTGAAAGCATACGCAAGCTGGGAATTAGCCGAGCTTAAGGACAGCTAATGCAATTGCCCTGACGAGGCTCTACACCACCGATACGGACGGTCCATCACACTTTTATTCTGGACCCCGCTGGACCACGGGCTATGCAGCATATGTGCATTGATACATTCCACTACAACAACATGCTATCGTCACCACATATTGTACCAAAGCGCCATGCAGACACGGAGAATCCATCCTTACATAACTCAGGGGCTTCTTTTCGTCTTCTCGATAATCGCTTCATCGATCCCGCTGAACCAGCGCATGAACAGCTGAAACGTCCCTGGCATGGCACCATAAAAAGGCATACACTTGGTATAGAATGGGGTCCTTATCACGCCACCATCTCCCCTTTCTATCGTGCGCACAATCTCTTTGGCCAGGTCCTTGGCCTCTATCACTGGGCCGAAGAAATGCGCATAGAATGGAACAGACGTATTGTCAGCGAACAGCTGTGTGTCGAGTTGACCTGGCTCGACGAGGAGAGTTTTGACCCGCGCAAAAACAGAAGGGTCCGGATTGTTGCGCAGTTCATGGTAGAGCGTCTGATGAAGTGATGAAACCGCGGCTTTCGACGACGTATAATCTGCCAAGCAGGCGGGCGCGAGATGAGCGAGAATCGAGGAGATGGTAACTATATGCGCGCCCTTCGGAGAGGACGTGAGTCGCGGCAGAAGCACGGAGAGCATATTGAAATGTGACATGGCATTGATCGCCAATGTCTCGCGGGCCTGGTCGGGTGAAAGGGACGATGGTTTTCCCGGGGAGCACAGTAGGGGAAGGCCATTCACAGGCGTCGCGGCATTGTTGACAAGGATCGTAGGGGAACCGAGCTGTTTTCGGAACCAGTCAGTACTGCAGCTCGCATAACAAGATGAATCGCCATAGGCACCAATTACATAGGGCATCGAAGAGAAGAGACCATAGAGAACACGCGGTTTAGAACAATCCCTGAAGAGTACGAAGAACAAGGCAAATGAGAGACAAGTAAGCAAGCCATATCTCAACCGGGATACCAGAGAACAAGTGAAGAAGTGGACGAGAGGAGGTGAGAGACAAAAGGAAGACAACCATGAAACATACCTCATCGATGACCCTGTCCACCGCCATCCTCACATCCTCAAGACCGCCAACATCGACCTTGACCCAGATCAGGTCCCACCGCTCCATCTCCTCCTCAACCTGGGCATCAGGCTCCTTAACATCCAAGATGGCAACCTTGGCCCCTTTCCGCAAAAACATCTGCGCCAGTACTCTGCCCAATCCAGACCCGCCGCCCGTGATGACAGCGACTTCCTTCTCCCATTCCACTCTCCTATGCCGCCCGTAGGTTATGCGATGGTTGATCCAGCCCGACATCTCCACCACCGCGAGAAAAGCAGTGTAATATAGCGTATAGTAGGCCATAGGTTCACGGTGCTTGTGGATTGAGGCCAGGCAGAGGTAGAAAATCAAAGTGATCCAGGGGTGGAAGACGGAGTTTGCTAGAATCTGGAGGAGGAGATCGAGTGTTATGTGGCGATACCATGGCTTCGGTCTTGCCAGAGGAGAAGGAGAAGAATATTGAGAAGGGGGTGATGACCCTGATGATGAAGACTTGGAAGCCATAGCAGTCACACCTTGTCGTCGTCGTTGTCCTCTGCTCCAGAGAAATATCAAACAGGAAGGAGTATTTGTCAAGGCACAGTCTAGACGACCCTTAAATAGCTAGAATCGCAAAAGTCTGGCGCCTGGGGTTTGTTGGTGTACAGCTTGGATTCGGAGTCAAGCCGTCAGGGCCGTGGGTGTCCAGGCGCGGGTTGTAGACTAGATCCGGTCAGTTTAGTGTTTAAGGTGAGATTTCAAGAGGGATCAGCCTCGGTGAATGCATCGACCCTTCTCTGGCAGAAGATGAAAGAAGCCATGCTTATATCACAAGAGGTTCAGTGGTCTTTCAGTAAAGTGGTTGTGTCATGGAGTTGTTTCAGATATGAAGCCGAGGGGCGTAAGGTTGAAACACAACGTGTCCGGCTAGCAGGCCAATCAGAGACTGGGCATCTTCAGCATCTGACACGGTATCTAAGACAAGGAAGAGATCACAACATTGATTATATTCCGCATGGAAATATGAAGGCACCCAGATGGGTTAACAACGGGAAAAACGTGTACAAGTCTCACAAAGAAAAAGGCACAAGCAGAGGTTAAGCAGGAGACATGCAGATACATTGTACTCGTATACAGTATCTCCCCCTAGTCAGGATAAACTGCATATCTACTGCAAGAGACAAAGCAGATTCAATCAGGTCGCTTCAATAATGGCTCATTGGCATCGTCAGGAAGACCGGCTGCTGCCATGGCATCCTTCGAGGATACTCTGCTGTTGCACTCGAGGCAGAAGTAGCCCCACCATACTAGGAGAAGACCAGCACGGCTGCGAAGAACAGACCACCTTCGAGCTGCTGCCGTTCTTTTAGTAAGAGGCAGACGAGTAACAAACTCATAACAACCGTATCCTAGTGCTGTCTGTACTTCGAATCTCTGATCGCAAAGCATCATAAAGGGCAAAAGCCCAAAAACAGGTTCAGTTGCTGGTATGCCGGCCAAAACACTGCACCTTCACAAAAGAATGGTGCCAAGGGTATCTTCTGAAAACTGTTGCATTTCCGTCGTGTCGTCCAAGAAATCATCAAGACTCGGATAGCTGTCACATATCTGCACGGCCGTCCAACTCCAAAAGGTCGCCATCATCGTTATTCGCGTCCGCCTCGAAGCCGTCGGTATCAACAACAATGCGTCGGCCCAGGTTGTGTTCGGGTATGCCGTCGCGAGCAGCACCGTAATCGAGAACCTGGAGTCAAGTCAGAATGATGGGTAGGGAAAGAGTGCTGAACCGCCGTGCTTACCTCTATGTACGTCAACCCGTCTCGCTGTACAGCTGCAACGCAACGACGCTCATCAAACTTGACCTGCCAGACCCCGCTGAGGTCCGAAAGTAAGTCTTTGATGCACTCGCCAGTCCTAATATTCCACAGTTTCAGTGTTCGGTCCGATCCCGAGATGACCTTCTCCCCATCGTGCTTGAAGCACGTGATGGCCCCTGTATGTGCACTCAGAGTGGCTTTGCATTGCCCGTTTTCAGGATCCCAAATCCTCAAAGTTGAGTCGGCGGCAGCGGAGACAAGCTTGTCACAGTTCAAGTCCAGCAGCCCAACAAGAGAAGTATGCCCTTCCAGGGTATATTTCAAGGAACCTGTGTTGAGGTCCCAGATTCTTACCATGTTGTCCATCGAGCCACTTATGCACCGGTTGCGAGCATGGTCGAGGACCACACTATAGACTTTTTGCGTGTGTCCCTGGAGACGGTGCACGGTTTCACCTGTGGAGATTTTCCAGACTCGGACAGTACAATCGTAGCTGCCACTGACCAGAGTGTCAGCATGAGCGGCGATGGCTCGCACCGAATGCTGATGGCCGGTCAGCGTCCGCACAAAATAGGGACAGCTGTCGGTATCATTGTCGTTCTCGGCCTGGATAAATTCGGCGTCTCCAGGTCGTGGCAGCTTCCACACCCGAAGCGTAGAATCCCGGGAGCCGGTGATGATGAGGGGCTGCTTAGGCATCATGATGGGCTTTCCTTCTGCATTCTCGCCGACTTTCACAGGCATGACGATTTGCAGACAACGCACAGTGGATGTGTGTCCACGGAAGACCTGGGTCTCACGAGCCTCTTGGATGTTCCACACCCGGACCGAGCGATCGGTCGAGCCGGATACAAGCGTGTTTCCTTCATACTGCAACGCCCAAACTCCACCTTCGTGACCCGTTAGAACTGCCCTGAGGATGCCGGTCCTGGTTTCATAGACATTGATGTTGTTATCATCGCTGCCCGTCAGGATCTTGTCGCTATCGAATTGCAGGCACGTGACCACGTGCGTATCATGCGCACGGAAAGCCAGGTGCTGTGGTTTCGTGTCTTCAAACATCCAGTTGCGCCTGATGAGATGATGTCTTCGGTACAGCGACTTGTAGAGATGAAGGCCCTTCAGACTCGGCAGTCCAACATTTGGCTGCGGCACTGCCAACATTGCCGCATTAGCCGCATTATAAGGCCCTTCGGCCGACGACATGCGTTGCATCCAGTCAGCAGACATGACGTCATTGGAGCAGTCACGTGAAGAGTCCTTGCGTTTCACCTGCTTGTTGCGCCCCGACAGCATCGTGGCAGCCTTGCGCTTTGAGCGACGGAGGATACCACTGAATCTGTTTTGACAAGGCGGGGTTGATGGGCTCGGGGAGTTGTTGGCCTCTGATTCGGGCTTGGGGTTGTTGGTGTAGATGAGATTCTCCTCATAACCATGTGGACCGACAGGGTCTTGCCAGCCCCAACCTTCAGAGATCGCCTTTTGCAACTCGCCTTTGGCCAGAGTATATCCGTCCGCCTCGAAAAGCTCCTTCCAGGCTCTTTCGTCGCTGTTGATCATCTGACGCCACTTTTTGGACACCTGCGCTGCTTTGCATAAGCTCTTGAAGTCGAGGTATTTGAGTATGTTGAGTGCCAACTCCGGAGGAAGGATCGTCAAGAAGTCACACTTCAATGCTGGGTTGACAGCATCTGCAACCACTTGTAGCGTGGGCTTGGGACATCGGCGAAGTAATTGATGCATGACATAGCTTTTGAGCTCGTCAGGGATAGCCTCAAAATAGTCGAGCATAGCAGGCAGATCTGTTACAGATCCGGACATAAATGGAGCTGACGGCCGAGAGGAGAGTCGAGAGTCAACGTCAAGGACTTGCAAGGGTCGAAAGGGGTTGGATGGCCGTACTTCAGCAGTAGAGCCTCTCGAGCCTATTTGATGCTGCGAAGCCATCTCAGAGGTAGCATCGACATCCGCGAAGTACCCAGAGTTTTGCAGTGTTGCTGCGGCCGTGACGGGAGACAGGCTCGGACTAGGAAGGCTGCCATCATGTGCTGATGGGCTTCCAGCAACGTGTAGCCGCGACGGCACGGATGATAATGCTCGTCTGCTCGGTGGTCTCGGCTGACTGGGCCCAGCCTCCTCGTCGACTGGAGGTGTGGGAACTGCGCTGTCCTGTGAAGAGCCTCGTCGTTGTATGGGAGCGACCACTGTCCGGTCGGTGGAGCTATTGGAGTCATCGTCGAGAATTGGTGGCTGTTCATCGCCAGGCCTAGGCGGACGAGGAGTCGGCAAACTCGTCCGGTAATCCACGCTCGGAGATGGGAGGAGTGTATTGGTGCTTCTGCATGCGTTGATTGTGCTTAGAGGCACACGTCGACGGCTTGCTCTGGGAGGTCTGGTAAGACTGTCTGGCGTTACAGGGTGCGAACCCTGCACGTCATGTATGCGTAGTCGAGGGAGGCCTGTACCCGCCCTCACACTTAGGTCAATGGATTGTGCAGAAATGCTGGACACGGGGGGTAGGGTAGGCGAGGAGGTATGTTCTTCGTCGTCGGCAATGGATTCTGGAGAAGCCGGTCGTTTCTGACCACGAGTTTGTGGATACGTGGGAGTTGAAACATCACCAGGGGTCTCTGTCCAGGGCCGGAATGTTTCAACCGTTCGAATCGTTCCGTTTGCGTTGCGAAGCGTCCGTTGCTCGACTTCCATCTGTGTAGCGAGGTCAGCATAAATTCACATTATGCACTCAGTGTCTAGTACCTGTTCCAAAGCCAGCGTTGTATCCTTGGCCTCACGAAAGACCGTTTGCTTTCCTTCTATCTCGAAAAAGATCTGCCGGAGGTGGGCAGGCGTGGGGGTAGTCGCAAGGGGATAATGCTTTGGGTCGAGGTCTTGCATACGACGTGGTGGGCGCATAATAAGAGGGGGGAACTTCGTAGTAGTCGTGGTAGTAGTCGTAACGACTGTAGTCTGTGTCGCTGGAGCCAAAGAGAATTGGCCCAACAATGAATTCGAGTCGACATCTCGAGTATACATTGGGAATCCTCGACTCAGCGATCTGCGCCCCGTTTCCGGAGCCGAATGCCGGGGGTGATGAAATTCTCGACTAATATCCTCCATCATCTCTTCATCCTCCGTTGCACAGGTAGTATTCATCATAGCGTTCAAGAGTTCGTGTGGTGAACACACATTTGGCCAGAAGAAGAAGGGAAGGGAGGGGGCTGGTGAACTGGGCGCGTCGCCGGGGTGAACGGTCTGTTGAAGATCACCTCTCGATCGTAGGCTTTGACAGAAGTGTGTAAGAATCGATCCTTAGATTTGTGCTCAGATGAGTCTTGCCAAAACATCAACCTCGGTCGACAAAGGGAGAACAGGATCAGTCGAATCTAGGTTGTGAGTGGTCGTAGGTCTGGCCACCGACGGCCTGTTAAAACTCTTCAAAAGACAATGGCACTACCGCCCATGAACGACATAACGGCAAGGAGCAGAATACGGCATCCCAGTCAACTTTCCAGGAGTGAGGGTCGTAACAAAGAGAAGTGTAGGAGGCGGGAGTGTTTGGTATGTTCGGAGAGTGGCATGGAGTGGGCGGAAAGGGACTGACATATGACTTATTACTGACGACCGTAGGACTGGGACGCGCAGCGCAGTCCAGGCGCAGCGCAGCGGCCACCAAGCGTGACTGCACACTCTTCGCTTGGCGCGCTTTGTCTGTGACGCCCTTTAGCCAGATCCGACTCTCACAAGCCCATCATGGATTCAATGCTTTTATTAACTACGACCGGTCACCAGGTACTATTCCATCAACTTCATGAAATTGAGCGTCACTGGCAGTCTCTGCACCCAGTGAACTTCTCTGTTAGTTGCTGACTAGCCTTCAGGGTGTCGCATCCTTCTCCAATAGTCGACGCTGTCCTTTACCGCACCGAAGTGAGGTGAGATCAGGATAGTATGATGTTGGCCTCTTTTCTTCTCATTCTTTCAGGTGGGCCGTTCCCGATTTCCAAACTTATTAATGTCCTTCAATACTATGTCTTAAACTATGTTCTCAAGCGGTCCAGAGTACGTGAAGAGGTGGGCGACGTTGAGACAAGAGATCACGGTTCTGTGAGCCCAAGAGCGTGACTGGACCGGTTGATATGTTGCTTATTGCAGCTCACAGGCGCCTTGCATAGTAGGTATACAGCATCGAGATAAATCTCACAATGCTACTACTGCGATAGCTAGACTAACTCTGCCTGGTCGTCGTGTCATATTCATGCGTGCCATGTCTTTCAATTGAGGTAGGGAGGTCGCCGCAGCCAGCTACGGCAGGCTTGGCTGCGCGCATTGCGGGAGACTGATGGTTAGAAGCCATTTCTTGCGGTTGTCCGCAAACAGAGATAGTTGTTGTGCTCAAGCTCTACTACTTGGGAGCTTCAATCAGCTTCGTCCTATTAACTTTGCTTCGTTCAGACACTGACCTTTCATTGAATTATTTCATGGCTGGACATCAGCTTCTGATCGTGCCTTCTGAGAGGAGTCTCTCGCAAGCGGAGAGTTTGTCACTTGTCCAGATCTTCCTCAACGCTTCTCTGGCATGTATCGCGCATACGAGGGAGCTCATCCCATGGATGTCTCCGAGTCTCCGAACTCGTTACATTAACCACATCGACCCTTCTCTCCTGGTCCGTGGCGAGAACATGTACAAGACCTTCCAAGTTGCCAATCCCGAGGCCGATTGCACTGGGCAAGAGATCAGGATATTGGTGCCTGGCGGCCACAAATGTGCGGATCAGATAGTCGAGATGCTGGTGAGGATTGCATAATGACATGAATATGCCTTGTCTGACAGAGCGGTAGGAGAGAGGTGTATTCGAAGCGCTGGAACACGGCTTTTTGGACACCCTGCAAGTATTTGTGACCGACAACAATGGCGATCCTCCCACTGTCATTGAGTCGTATCGTTTTGCGTTCTCCTACAACAATGGCCTCATAAACAGCATCGAGTTGAGTCCCACGAATCACGTTTTCGTTCTGGACCATTTTCAGAAGAGTTTCAAAACTGCCATACGCGCTCTGCTTCGTTCTTTGAAATGTTTACCACGTCTTCCAGGTCCGCCATTATACATTACATTGCTGAGCAATACTAACCTTGAGCAGCCCGTCGGAAGCTAGGCATGAGCCTCACCTACAATGAAGCCTGTCCCGATATCTACCAACCGCCGGGTTTCATGGACACCGATCACCTGGAGCAGTCCAGTGGCCAACTACTATGTGGAGTGTTGGGGCATGTTGTCGAAGATATCGTAGGCAGCCTGGATACCAGTCACCACCAAGTGGATGTTGCTGTTTGCCGAAACCCCCTGAAAGACGCCGAGACGCCAATCGATCCACAGGATGCCGCCATGAGCAAACAATTGCAGGCAATGCAAAAGACATCTTCCATCCGGAGCACTGACTTAGTCTCGACATTGAGAGATTCCATCTCTCGCAAACGACGCAATGGGTCTCCGATCCCCAACGAGAAACGCCTGAAGCTTGTTGGAACGGAGAACCTACTTGTCAAAGAACAAGTCCAGGCGGACAACAAGCGGCTGAAACAACGCGAGGTCTCTGGGACCTCCATCGGAGAGATGATCGATACCGGAAGCAAGAATATTTCCGTCGCTTCACCGGTCAGCACTACACGAAATGATGGTCCATGCCTCATTATCAGCAAACTGGCAGAGCTGCTCGTCCACTCTTACGCCATCCAATGCGGACTCTCTGGAGATGACGGAATTGTCTTCGACCAAGCTTTGCTTGCAGACGGGATAATCAGGCGACGAAATCGGTCAACCCGGCTCCGGTGCGAGTGTGGCAGTGCCCTGACTTCGGGTAAAATGGTGAGCTTTCCCCAAACGCTCTCTGCTTGGTTTCTTATACGTCTCAGATCTACTGCGACATTTGTGACAACTGGCAGCACGCCAAATGCTACGGCTACGATGGAGGGTACCCCGTCAATCCACCAGCGGAGAGGATCTGCTACACCTGTTTGTTTTTTCCTGCAGACAAAGACTTTATGCATACCCCTGCATACATCATTTCCATACGACTTGCTGTGAGAGCATTAACAAGCCAAACTCGATCGAGCTCCGTTGTGGACGAGCAGAAATTGCAGATGATACTTCAACCAGTGCAATGCACCAAACAGCTCCTAGATGCAGTGATCACTCAGCTACTCTCCGAGGGCATCCTTTCAACCCATGACAGGCAAGGTTGGAAAGTTCGGTCGCTTGACGAGTCGAAGTTGCAGGGACTGAGGCAGAAGTACGGCAGTCCGTTCGCGTCAATCGATCAGTTCTACGACTGGGATATCGATGCCAAAGACCCACAACGGCGCACCTACCACATTGCACGCGCACTTGAAAAATATGCTCAAGGACAGGATTTCACAGCGGGCCAAGGGTGTATAGAGGTCGTCTCTTCCCATAAGCTGGGCGCGCCTATGAGGCGATGGGGTTATGTCCAGGACGAACCTGTCTCGGGCACGGGTTCCGTGGCATCAGACTCCCCTCCAGCAACACCAGTGCGCCGTCGCAAAGTCAGCATTTCACGTTTGTTGGTTAACATCGACCGCTCGCCCTCCGCAGGAAGCATGAGCTTCGAAGAATCATCGCTTCAAGCTCTCGAAGGCATGACCTGCAGCAGTGAAATCAGTCCCGCCAGCTCTACAGCGACAGCGGACTTGTAAGCACCAATGCCCGTCTGGCGTGGGGAGTTTTGTGGGTATGCGAGTTGGGACTCTCCAACCCGCAGTCGGTCGCTCTAATGGTCGCGATCTGGTGATAGTATGAGGCCTGAAGAGTAACTGCTGATGCGCACTGAGCTCTCTTGGCTTGTCACTCATATCGAGAATGCTCCGAGAAAATTGTATCCGTCCTTCGGGGTCCAAGATGTGTTGGGTGTCGTCAGAGAGGACTTTACAGCGTTATATGTTGTGGTGTGCTCAACTCCTCCGGCAAACCCAGCTCGTCAATTGACAAAGGGTCGGCTGAGTCTAATAAGACCACTGCAGACTGACAAACTTGATGTCTTCACTACAGGTAGGTAGTACAATGAATGTCAACAATGACACCGTCTTTACCATGTATCCTGTTCGACGGGTGGACTTGGCTATCAGTGTGCTTGAGAGTCCGTGAAGACTGCCAGGGAGAATCCTACCATGCCCGTCAATACTAAAATGAGCACCCCACATACACACACAGGATGTTGAAATATCTGCTCGTTCCGAAGGTCGAGATTAATTGCTAACAGTTCTCCTGAAGATCCCCGTGTGATTGTGGGAACATGAACGATACCGTCAAATGGTTAAGACACAGCAACATGCCTCGCTATTCGTCGATTCCACTAGGTTTGATCTGGAGGGTCAAGCTAACAGCGAGGGGACAACTGAACGAATCTGCAACATTCAGCACAACCCCTTGTATCCCAAACGGCCGGCGCAGAAACCAAGCGTCCCAATGCCAAAACTATCTGCCGCCGGACCATTTGACGTGGAGGGCTGCTAAAGTACCTATGTACCTAGGTATTTAGAGCCGTCCATGCCTCTTTTTGGTGTCTACATGACCCATCATCACGACCCGAGAGGCGCTTCAAGCATGTGAAGTAACCGCAAGAATGGCCCAGGGAAACATTTCATGGTGCTATCAACCACACACCACTCTTCCACCGGCTCCCATGCTCTATCGGGGGGGACGGTCAATCCACCCAAGGTTCTCCAGTAGTCAGTTACCTAATTGACACTTGCACCGAAGCTTGCGAGCCGTCTACGATCAACATGCACCCTGATGTTACGGTTAACGCTTTTGATCTTAGCCTTGGGACGAATCCTTGTTCTCCCTTTATCGGTCCCACACTGTTCGTCATCGATGGTCCAACTTCGTTCGGGCCTCTATCTCCATATCCTTAACTGTTCCCGTTCGTGGAAGGACCTGGTTGCCCATCATCGTTGGTCGGGCCCCATGCTGTTCAACACGAGATACTTCCCCTCCTTCAGTTCGTTCGACATGTACAAAACACTCTACCACATCTAGCTCATCGGACCGATTCGTCGCACCGGTAGAGCGGTTGGGCCGCAAGATCTCGACAGTCCGACTGGCATCATCCTCCAAACCTCCGACAGCTCCCTTCCATCTAGCAATTGCAACCGCAAAGAAAAACACTCAAGGAATAAACGAGGTCGAGAGTCGCTAGAAGATAACACAATCCTGGTCAACCGAGCAATGCTCTCTTGAAGAGGTGTCTATGGTACCAGCTCCATCTTGGGAGCTGCCGCACAAGATCTCCCCACGCACACGACGCGCAGAGGACTGCGTGGATAAGCTTCTTCGAAAACCCAGGATGGGAACCAGTCAGAGGTTTCGCTTGCCGAGCTCTCTCAGGCGGGAGAAGTCACAGTCTCATGCTCCAACCCGGCCGGCAGATGGAAAGGAATATAAAGCCCAACATATTCTTGGGCTCACAGAAACCGCTCTCAATACCGCCAGAAACGAGAGCATAAGCTCTTCGGCCACCACCAGGCTCCCCAGGCTCTCTTTTTCAGACTCCACGACGGAGTTTGGATCTTCTACTGCGCCAGCAGATCAGTCAGACCCCGATCAAATCCTGCATCTAAAGGCATCATCTCTGCTGTTACACGAAGATTACCATCTGAACAGAGACGGCGCAAGTTCAGTTCGCTCGGCGCGGCTCAAAGCATCCGCCTCCTCCTCCACACTGAACTCGTACTATGACGCACAGCGGACACCGCTCTCCATCTCACAACAGACCTCGGAGTCGTCCAGGCGTGACTTTGCCCTGCGTAAAGGCTTGCCCGTGGTCGTCCAATCCATAACTCCCGACCGGGAGTCGCTCCGTCATCTACGACCTTCTAGGTCGTCGAAGAAGCCAGAATCGAAGAACCTTCCGAAAGAAGGTCCTCGGTCGCCGGTTTCGCCAACCTGGACGCTGTTCTCCAGCCAGAGGTCATTGGCATCGTCTGAACAGCCAGCGGCCTCCAATTCCGCCCAGCATATCCTGGCCAGTCATGCGGACAAACGCCACAAAGATGTGCGTTTTCAGCCTTCTCCTCCACGGGCTCCGTCGAAGAACAAGAGGATGGAACCGTTGAGTGGTTCTGTGGCAGCTCGATCTGAAGTGTCTCATGTTAAAGTCAACATCAGGCGACCCAAAGTCGGCGCAAAGCATTGGTTCGACGGACTGGAGGGCGAAAGTAGCGAAGATGAGAGCATACATGAGCCGGAATTACAGCCAGGTTTTGTCGCTGGGATGGAGATGGCCTTCGGGGACGACAGCATCGGGCCAGTACCGAAGGAATCTCGCGGGACGGCTACGTTCATATCCGAGAGCTCGAGTCAGGATGCAGGTTCTATGCCCTCCAAGGCATCGGACCATGCTTCTCGTCATGCTCTTCCTGTTTCAACATCTCCTCCCCGGATCTCGACGCTTAATGCGAAGTCATCCAAGTCGACGCTCCGTGGCGGTCCGTCGAACAAGACTTCTTCACTGCCATCAAAGCCAAGGGGAAGTCCGCTGGCTTTTACTGATCTCCACCAGACCAGTGTTCTTGACCTATCCTCCTCGGAGGACGATGAAACTCAGCCTGCGGTGACGGACGCTACAGATCAAGCCCTGCCTCGTTTACGCGATAGTATAGCAGTGGAGTCACTCGTTGAATCGGAAATCGAGATAGGGACGGCCCAAGCTGTCGACACCAAACAGAATTCTTCTCTGCAAGCGACGCCCAGTTTACGGCGAGTGTACGGCAACCCAGCCAGGCGCAATACGAGGCTAGCAATGCATCGAGGCAACAATGCTAGTACACAGCCATCAACCTATCTTAGTGGTCAACCGTCGGCTCCAGCGCCGGAGGAGAACGATCTGCTCACCTCGTTTCCACCAACTCCTACTGACTCATATGCTTCACGCCGTGCCTCTCTGCAAGGCTCCTGCCGGTCCGACAATGCCAGTATAGAGAGCTGCAGACTTGTGAGCGTGACTCGGCAGGAGGAGTCGCTCCTGGCCGCAATGAGGTTAAGGAAGATGGCTTCCAACCAGTCGAACGGCAGCTCAGCCAGTCGCCGAATCCAAGCAGTAAGGGTCCCAGGTCGAAGACTCGCAGAACAACCACACGATGCGGCAGGCAGCCCTGTCGGAGAGTTCTCATATCGTCCTCAGGCACGAAAGCGCGACATTGCCCCGTCCATTTCCTCTGCAAATTTTGATAAGGTCTCCTATACAGCTCTCCAGACCGGCGCGTCAAATGACGCGAGCGTACGCTTTTCTCTTGCAAGCTTCAAAACGGAGACATCTCTGGATCACGAGACTGAAATGTCCTTGTCGCTGGGCATGGCTTCTCCTGTGTTGGTCGCGCCATCCCACAGCGCCAATCGCATGAGTCGTGTAACCTTTTTTTCCACATCGACCAATGACTCCAGAGATGAGTCATGTAGTCGACGAAGGAGCGGGTATCTCTCAACCCTGGAGGAGCTTCAAACCGTGCCCAAGAGAGATGAGATCTCGTCGCAGGATTTTATCGATTCCCCATATCGCGGATGGGAGGCAGAATATGCATTACCAGCACCATCTCAACCAAGGGCAGTGACAGCGGCGGCACATTAATAATCTGATAGCCCCTCCAAATATAGGCTACTCTCAGTCGGGTTGCTCTTTAAGTTCGTGGTTGATGGGCGCTGTATTGTTCTGGGCGTGTCACTTTGTGTGATTCCCATTGTTGGGATCTCCAAATGTCAATTCGATATCGATGATTACGCTGTGAGCGGTGCCAGCCAAGCAAGAGTAGCCAAGTTGCGGGAATCCATAAAGTACCTACCTGCAGTGCTAGAGAATAGGAGGAGAGAAGCAATGATAACATATCCAATCCAGAACCAGTACCTAGGTACCTAATATAGGACTGTTTCAGTACCTGAGTAGTAGGTCGTTAAACGACCTAGGTATTAATGATAGTAGTAATGGGTTGCAGTTGGACGCGCCAACAATTCCGCCAACTGTCAATCAAGGTCGGCCAAAACTTGTGCCAACATTCTCCCTCCTTGTTCTTTCCCCAATGGTGGACGGATACCACGTACGGGTCATGCGCCCTTCATCACATTCAACCTTCAAGTTGTAGTTGCTGTTAAACCTCTTCTCAGCGACTAGAACGTCTTCACAGTCCGACGTGCACAAAAACATGAACCCTCCTTTCCACGAGAACTTGTCCATTCCCTCGACGACCCTGTCTCTTCCTTCCGCATGACGGATTGCACTGGCTGGCGCAGTGCCAGTTCCTTACGGACGACACCCGCAAAGACTTTATAACATCCTTGGGTTATTGATACCCCCAACAGCAAGATGGCGGTGGGCAATCCGCCCAGGTTTTGGGGCGTACCGTTGCGCGACCTGACTTTGGGCCTGGTAAGAAAGCGCAGGATTGAAGATCTAGTGTATCTTATACAGCGGAACGCGGGCTGACCAGCGTGGCAGTTGACGGTTCAATTCTCTGCCTTCATTCTGGTGCGCAGTCTCAGTACCTACGTCCGAAACAGGATGAAACTGATCTCATGCGGCAGGTCCTCCATTACTCTCGTGTGATGTCTACGCCGGACGGGCATCGATATCTTCCTTCGACGGCCATCTTCCTTGTCGAATTGATCAAAGTGGTGGTTTGTTTGACGCTATCGTTATACGAGATCTCCCTCACAGTCCCCCGATCGATGCCCGCAACTTCCATTCTCAGCGCATTGGGAAATGCAACCTTCTCTGGCGACAGCTGGAAAATGGCGGTGCCAGCCGGTCTGTACACTTTGTCGAACAGTCTGCAGTATGTTGGTATCTCCAACCTCGATGCTGCTACCTTCCACGTCGTTTATCAATTCAAGACTTTCGTCACGGCGGTCTTCAGCGTTGTGCTCTTACGAAGGAAGATCTCGGCACGCCAATGGATATCCCTCATCCTGCTCATGGTAGGGGTCGCAATCGTTTCGTTACCTCAAGGCTCTACCCTGTCTCTGGCATCGAGCCACCACGCAAGGGTCTACACTCCTAGGTCATCGAATCCGTTGCACGAGCATGCCAATGTGGCGGACCCCGGTGCCCGACTCAGAAAGAGATCCGCCACATACGAAGGCATCGCGGAAGACGAAATGGCTCTGGACATCGCTGCTGTGGATGCATCGGCAGGGCTTCTCGCGGTTCTGGGCGTGTGCATCTTCTCGGGACTCGGAGGCGTCTACTTCGAGAAAGTCATCAAGGAATCCCCAAAGGTCACATCTATTTGGATTCGAAACGTCCAGCTGTCGGTTTATTCCCTCTTCCCGGCCTTTTTCATTGGAGTCATCTTCCTTGATGGCGAAACAGTGGCCAAGTATGGCTTCTTTGTCGGGTATAATTGGATTGTCGTTTTGTCAATCCTCGTCCAGACACTCGGCGCCATTGTTGCAGCATTCTGCATATTCTACGCCGACAACATATCCAAGAATTTCGCGATCAGCATCAGCATGGTTTTGAGCGGTCTAGCGAGTTTTGTGTTCTTTGATTATCCCGTGTCGAGACATGTAATTGCGTACCCATACCGCAATCACTTGGATCTGCTAATAGGTATCAGTTCCTCCTCGGCGCCTCTGTTGTCCTGGTCGCGACATGGCTGTACAACATCCAAGAAGCCCGTGCTCAGCGAGCCCCCTCGATCAAGATATACACGGAAAAGAAGACAACGCTGCACGGCGCAGCAGAGGCAAATGACATGTCCATTCAGATCCCTAAGACGTCTCTGAACCACGGGGAGACTGCGCTTGCTACTTCCCGACCGGGCTCGCCGAACCACAAGAAACGCAAGAACGACTCCCTGGGCTATTTCACGAATCATCATGATTAAGGGACAGCTGGTGTAGACGATGACTTACGATTGGATACGAAGGAGAGGACCTGTGGATATGCCGAGGGAAGATACAGCTGCTTGGACAGCTAGACTGATATTCTTAGAACCCGCAGACAGAATACAGACTGGCTTTTCGCCAGCGTCCCTCGAGGATGTGACTGGGCCAGGGAAGAGGGCACTGATACTAGATTGAGACAAGGGGGTCGCGTGGTCACGTGGTCACGTCCAGATTCTGATGTCGACGGCGCCTGCCTGCTGCCTCCCGTCCTCTGTCCCAGCCATTCTCCTGCCTCAGGCTTGATGTCCCTCCTCCTGTATCGGCTGCCTGCATCGATTTTTCAGTCTGATTGAGAATGTTTCTGATTGACACTTTTCCCTCACTGTCCACGGTCCCCCTTGTTGCCTATTGCACTACCTCTGCCTGTACTGTGGCTCATTCGTGCCATGGAGAACGCCGGACCTTTTTATGCAGCTTTTCGACGAGATTCCGTTACTGCATCCGGCCGTCTTTCAAACCGAGACCTGAGATCACAAGCGCCTGGATTCAACGGCACCCGTCCCCGTGAAGCTGGTAGTGGATACTTTTCACGGCACCTGCAAACTTCTTCTTCGAACGGTCAACCCTTGTACCCTTCGTTTGACCGCGATATCGATGTCCCACTCGACGAATTTGGTGAGAACCACGCCGGTATATCTACGTGCTCGGCTGCTCACAACATGATCAGACAGAGGCCTGCTTGAGGCAGACTTACAAGAATCGGGCTATTTTGAGCAGGAGAGCATCGCAGGGTCACCTCTGCCCCCGCACTCATATACTTCCCTTCCTGCCAGTGAGAGGCAAAGGCACCAGGCAGGTAGTAAGAATGGTCAAATTGGATTATTGGAAGCTCATGATGAAAATAGATGGCCTTGACCTTTCGTCGAAGTTCCAGATTTCCAGCTCACCCCCTGCGCACCCAACAACGAGCCCCACCATATCTGCTCTGCGAAATCATCGCACAGGTCGAGTAAGCTCGTCCAATGAGCCGCGAATATTGCCACCATTGCGAAGTCCTGCAGAAGCCTTCAAAGGAATCGCTGCAGAACAGAACAACAATGTTTCATTCTCAACGGCAAGATCGAAGATGCCTCTGAATCCTCCCCTGCCTGTGGTCCAGGGTATTCACCTTATCCCAGCAACAGCGCTGCCAGACAAACTTCGCTCTGTGTTCAAGTTCCATGTTTTCAACGCGATTCAATCCAAGTGTTTCTCAACTGCTTTCAAGACAGATGACAACATCGTCGTTTCGGCCCCAACAGGAAGCGGCAAGACAGTTGTCATGGAGCTTGCCATTTGCAGACTCATGGCCAAATTCCGTGGTGAGGATTTCAAAATTATCTACCAGGCCCCTACCAAGTCACTGTGCTCCGAGAGACACCGAGACTGGCGGGCTAAATTCGGCGTTCTCGACCTGCAGTGCGCCGAACTCACCGGTGATACGGAGTCTAGCCACTTGCGAGACGTACAAAGCGCGCACATAATCATTACTACCCCAGAGAAATGGGATAGTGTCACTCGGAAATGGAAAGACCACGCCAGGCTCATGCAGCTCGTGAAACTGTTCCTGGTTGATGAAGTCCATATTCTCAAGGAGAGTCGCGGTGCAACTCTGGAAGCTGTCGTCTCACGTATGAAATCTGTGAGTTCGGATATCAGATTCGTTGCATTGTCCGCGACGGTTCCAAATTCGGAAGATATTGCCACTTGGTTGGGTAAAAGTCCCACTAAACAGCACTTGCCCGCACATCGGGAGGTCTTTGGTGAAAGCTTCCGGCCTGTGGTCCTCAATAAACATGTATATGGCTTCGAAGCTAAATGCAATGATTTTGGTTTGGGGGAGTTATTGACACCGCAGTAAGTCATCATTGCGGATCTCGATCTGACAACTCACATTGGATAGCATACCCAACGTCATCGCAAAGCATGGCAAAGGCAAACCTGTGATGATTTTCTGTCCTACGCGACGAGCATGCGTCACTACAGCTAGGATGCTGGCGGATTTGTGGACTGGCTCACACTCCTCGCAACGTCTTTGGCGTGGACCGGACAGGCCACTTTCGTTTTCAAATCCCGAAGTTCGTGGTATGTCTATTGGATGTCACTTTCTTTTGTGCTTCTCGTTTTGACCTTCGCCTGATAGCCACCTCCGGAGCTGGTGTCGCCATTCATCACGGGGGCCTGACAGCGGAAGATCGTCGTGGTATCGAGCAGGCTTTTCTGGAAGGGCAGATCAACGTCCTCTGCTGCACATCAACACTGGCTGTGGGTGTGAACCTACCATGCTACTTGGTAATCCTCAAAGGAACTACCAGCTGGAACGGCAGTGGTTTCCACGAATACGCTGATCTCGAGGTGATGCAAATGCTAGGCAGAGCTGGCCGACCGCAGTTTGAGACTTCGGCATGTGGAGTGATCCTCACTCGAAAAGATAAGGTTTCCCAATACGAACGAATGGTGTCAGGAGAAGAACTGCTTGAGAGCTGTCTTCACCAGAATCTGATCGAACATCTCAACGCCGAGATCGGTCTAGGCACTGTACGCGACCTGGATACGGCAAAGCAATGGCTGGCGGGCACGTTCATGTACGTCCGAGTCATGAAAAATCCCTCGCATTACAAACTTAGAGAAGGCGTCGACCATGACAGCGAGGACGAGCTGTTGGAGCTGTTGTGCGAGCAAAACATCTCATTGCTTCGGGATGCTGGCTTCATCAACCAGGACCCCCGACTGACCTCGACTGCATATGGCGAAGCAATGGCACGATATTGTGTCAGTTTCGACACTATGAAGTTGTTTGTGGGGTTGCCTCCAAAAGCTAAGACTTCTGAGATTGTTCGTAAGACTACTACTAGGAGAGGTTTCACACTGACTCCTGGCAGCTCTCGGTATTAACGCAAGCACGCGAGTTTCGAGAAGTAAGGATGCAAGCGGGTGAGAAGTCGTTCTACAAGGAGATCAATAAGGCACCAGAGATCAAATTCCCCATCAAGGTTGACATCGCATTGCCAGCACACAAAGTCTCGCTTCTAATCCAGGCCGAGTTGGGGAACGTCGCGATACCTGACGGCGAGAATCATGGAAAACATCACCAACAGCATAGGCATGACAAGTGCACTGTTTTCACACATGCCAATCGCCTGATCCGATGCATAATCGATTGTCAGACCTACTTGAAGGACGCCATCTCGACGCGACAGGCCCTAGAGCTCGGTCGCAGCCTCGCTGCCCGAGTTTGGGACAATACAGCCAGTCAACTCAGACAGATCGATGGTCTCGGTGAAGTATCTGTTCGAAAACTGGCTTCAGCCTCGATTAACAGCATCGAGACATTGCTGAATACCGAGCCTTCCCGCCTTGACCTGGTTCTGGGAAAGAATCCCCCATTCGGTCGTGAACTCCTCAAGAAGCTTGAGAGCTTTCCAAACCTGAGAGTGTCCGTCAAGGAGACCGGCCGAGAACTCCAGCCTGGTAGGGGTGTGGTAATCAACTTTGTCGCGGACATTGGTTTCTTGAACATCGCACCACCGAGGAGCTTTAGGAAGAAGCACCACCTATATGTCTGCTTCTTGGCAGAAACAGCTGATGGTGACCTTCTCGACTTCCGCAAGATCAGTGCAAAGAAGGTGGGCGAGGGTGAGGAGATATCTCTCACCACGCAGCTCACAAAGCCTACCAGTCATTTGAATTGCTATGTCATGTGTGATGATATCGCCGGGACCAGCAAATATGCCGAGCTACGTCTATCAGGAATTCCAGACTCAATCTACCCTGGCCCTCGGCATTTAGAAGACGTGACGCCAAAGTCCACAGCTACTTCGAGCCGAAATCGTCAAAACGCAAGTGCCTGGGACGACGAATTCGATGACGGTGGAATCAACGATCAAGATCTTCTGTCGCTTGAAGCGCATGCAGACGACATCGAAGTTATTGAAGACCTCGACGCTATTCTGGCTGAAGAAAGCAGGCGCCAAAAAAAGTCTACCAAGGCGTCCCCGACTGTGACTCCTCAGGTAAAACATGAACTTATCGAGGACGCTGATCACACTGCGCATCGAGAACCAACACGTCTCAGAAACGGTCGTTGGACTTGCCAGCACGATTGTGAAGAACGCGGTAGGAAGTGCAAGCACAAATGCTGTGCGGAAGGAGTGGCCAAGCCCAGACGCCGGCCCAAGGCCGAATCCAAGTGCAAAGCCGTAGAAAAGGTTCAAACGACATTGAGAAACGTGACGACCGCCGGGAAGGCAAAAGCAAATCCCAACTTGCAAAATACAAACGTCTCGGCGAAATCGCAGAAGTCCACACAAAGAAGTGACTACAGCGAGACTACCTCAATGAGAGGCAAGGAAGATTCGGCGGAACCAGCACGTAAGAGAACAAAATATTCTGCCGAGCCAGAGTCCGACGATGGCCATCTTGAACAACCAAGCCGTCTGCAGCGGGTTGACGGCACTAAAGAACCCAGCCCAGAGGTCGAGCTGTCTAACAACCGAGAGAGCCTATCGAATGTGGAAGATGGCAACATTATGAACGGAGACAACACCCCTTTTGATCCGATTCCCAGCGACGCGTGTCCAGTGGATGCCGACCTTCCCAGCAGAGAGGCGTCTATCTCCCATGAAGAGGGCATAACGCCCGTCATTCAGCGAGGAGCCGAGGATACCTGGTCCGGACAGGACTGCTTCCCTGACTTCTTAACTTCGGAATTTGATCTCGGTGGTTTCGAACCACCACTTGAGCATGTTGCAATGTCCGATGTGCAGAGACCTTCCAAAGGGCTGTTTATCACGGGATTCAGCAGCAGTCCAGTCAAACCCTCCATCGAGAACACCGTTCCAGACGATAGAGCAGATGATGCGTCCGAAATGGCGGTGGATCGCGCTTACCCTTCGATTGGGTCAATTGATATCACATCAAACATCGGCTACCGAGTCGATCTGCTGGGTAAGAGTTTGACGGGATCCGACCCAGGGACTCCCACCGAGATCACGGCGGAGACCCCGGAAAGAACAGAACTGCCAGCGATCACAGTGCCAAAAGAGCGAGTTGCTGTAAGCATGCCACAAGAGGGCCAGGCAGACCGTCAACAACAGATGCACGATGAAGATCAGAAGAAGAAATGGGAGGGTGTTGACCAGTGGATTTATGATGCATTCCATGAGTACGTTGAGCTTGTTTGAACACAATAGGGCAAATGTACCCTGACTAGCCTGTGCTTTGACAACAGTCAGTGAGGGAACCGGGCGGTATTCACATATATAGACAAGTATTGTGCGAGAGCTGTACACGGCTGTGAAATGGCCGGCCTATGCTTGATAGATGATGAGCGGGGCCGAAGAAAGAGTGCAGTAGAAGTGAATACAAGCGCTGTGTACATTTGCAGTGAGGACAATATTGCTGCTTTGGCCGTTAGCCCAGACTGCAGCCTGAACCCGATGCAATTCAGGAGATGCTCATATTCTCTTCTATCAGACTTCCCACGCTTTAGCAATCAAGCTCTCGCAAATTCAAATTCGATATTTTCTCACTCATAGTGATACCCATCAAACTCTGTAAGAGGGGACTTGTCGCCAGGCCCTCGCATCCTTTAAGCGCCAGCCCCTTACGCCCTCAAAGGGGACTTCCCAGCCTCTTTCGATCAGCTCAGAAGCGAGGATCTTGCCGTTGAACTTGTGCTTGCCCGAGTCTTCGGTAGGGGAAAAGAGCAGTTCTGGCAACTCGCCGAGTGACCCCAAGGCGAAGGGGCGAGATGCGTGGCATTGTTTCCTTTCGCACCCGGAGTTCATCTCGGAAATGATAGGCACTTACCTCGGTATTGATATGTCTTTTCTGTAGGAAGAGTCTAGGCCAACTGCTCAGCCATAAGATCTTCTCATTGCCACCCCCCTTTATTGATCGTGGATAGTAACGCGTACGCGAGGCTGACCACTCATCATCGACTGGACGCGTCAACCGTTGCAGTCCGGCGGCTCATTTTGCAGGCGGGTAGGTAACGCGAGTGGGTCGCGGTGGCTCAGCCGGCTCAGGGAGAGTGGGACGGGAATCCGAATCCTGAGCAGGTCTTTGCTCGAGGTGAGTACGTACCAGATTTATGGAAGATGCACCAACGTGTTTAGTAGACAGAGCCTTAGCCACGAGAGATATCTTAGAGATCGAGCATCATACGTCCCGTCAAGCTGTCCTAACTCTTATAAAGGTGCCCCGGGGTCTGTCCAGCGACGGGAAGATCTCAAATCGACGCACGGCCATTGGCTCGATGGGGAATGGTCTGGCGCGAGATATCACGGACATGGAGTTTTTCCGACTCTCTACTGCGAAGCATTGCAACTTTTGCTTTTAGTCTGGAGCATAGAGACCTCGTTGTGCATATCGCAGCCTCAGGCTGATGATCCTGTCCGTCGTCCTTCCGCCTCTTGTTCCTGTTCTCAACTCACCCGCGAAGCCTGGCTTGGGCCAGTCCTGTAAGCAGCAACCATGCTGCTGAAGCCCAAGGAGGAGGGTGACACTCCGGCAGATAGCGATGTACGCGGCCTGCGCAAAAGCCGAGTTCAAAATCCTTGGACATGGCGACCTCTCACGCTCATTACCACGGCTTTGGCGCTTCTGTCACTCTCTCTCATTGTTCGCTCGTCCCTCAAACTCCAGGTCGATCCGCAAGGATGCGTCATGTCGATGATGACACCGACCTACATCAAGCTATCCGGATTCGATTCCGAGCATTCGCGCTTTGCGACTAAGTACTCGCTCTATCTGTATCGGGAAGAGGGGGTCGACGAATACACACGAGATAACATAGGCTTGCGGGGAGCCCCGGTGCTCTTCATCCCAGGGAATGCTGGCAGTTACAAACAAGTGCGGTCCCTCTCTTCAGAAGCGTCCCGGTATTACCACAACGTCTTGCGGCATGATACGGCTGCTATCCAGGGAGGTGTAAGGCCTTTAGACTTCTTCACGATCGATTTCAACGAGGACCTGTCTGCCTTCCATGGCCAAACTCTGCTGGATCAAGCAGAGTACGTCAATGAAGCTGTCGCCTATATCCTCTCTCTATACCACGATGCAAATCGGCTGCGGCGAGATCCTCAATTACCCGACCCGAGCGCTGTCATTCTGATCGGACATTCGATGGGAGGAATAGTTGCTCGCACTGTCCTTGCGACGCCGAAGTATCAGGCAAATTCGGTCAATACCATCATCACTATGTCCACTCCTCATGCACGCCCGCCGGTCACCTTCGATGCCGATGTTGTCACACTGTATCAACAAGTGAACAAGTACTGGCGAGATTCGTATCTGCAAAGATGGGCTAGCAACAATCCCCTATGGCACACCACGCTGATCTCTATCGCGGGGGGAGGACGAGACACCACAGTTCCATCAGACTACACGAACATCGCCTCTTTAGTGCCAGAGAGCCACGGGTTTACCGTCTACACTTCGACGATACCAAATGTCTGGACATCCATGGACCATCTTGCGATCACCTGGGCCGACCAAGTGCGGAAAGTCATCATCAGGTCACTGTACGATGTTGTGGATGTCCGCCGTGCCGGACAAACCAAGCCGCGATCCGAACGAATGAAGACCTTCAGGAAGTGGTTCTTGACTGGACTCGAGGACGATGCGCCAAAGGCACTAAAGGACACCGCACATGAAGTTCTTCTCACGCTGGGCGATGTATCCAGATCGTCAATGGCCAAAGACTATCATGTGACTCTACGACAGCTTGGAGCTCAAGACGAGATGTCTGCAACTTTGCTACCAATCCCATCTGTGGACAATTCAACCTCGAAGCGGTTTTCCTTCCTTACAGATCAGCAGATGGATGTCGAAGGGAGTCTTGATAAGATAGAAGTCCTGTTCTGCAGTGCCTTTCCCCTTGCCGGAGGTCAGACTTCGATGCCATTATCTGTCCAGATTGATCTTTCACCCGGAGATCCTAGCGCGACAAGGTTGGCATGTAAAAGGCCTGCCAACGACGGCATTCAGCTCCCTGCTTCCACAAGAACGTCACAATTTGCGTTTGAGCAGCGACCAGCATTTACCTACCTAAACTATGATCTTAGAGACCTCCAAGATCATCAATTCGTGGCTGTCGTCGACAAGTCTATCGAGATCAGCAAGTCGTGGGCTTATGGGGAAATTGTATCGACCGCTGACTCGGTCATTCAAAGTGATGTGAGCCTTCTGAGACTCCTCCTCCGAGGTCTACATGTGGAGCTTCCTCCTAACCGACCTCTGGTGACCGAGGTTCGTATTCCCTCACTAAAATCGAGCTTGCTGGCCTACAAACTCCAACTACGTCAACATGGCTGCGGTGCAGACTCGGAACTATTCACACCGCTGTTGAGGCAGCATATTGACAGCCCATACGAATCAAAGTATTTTGTCAATTTCAAACAAGGAGACGTCAACCTTCACGGGGTAGCGCCCTTCATGCCTCCCTCTTTGGACGGTCGCGAGGCGGAGGCCGGGATTGCCTTTCAGATTTGGTCTGATCCAACATGCAATTCTTCTACGGAGATTCGTCTATTTGCAGACCCTATCGGCAGCCTGGGTAAGCTCGTAGTGAGGTATCGCACTGTCGCCGCGGCATTTCCCTTGCTGGTGGTTGCGATGGTGCTACGCAAGCAATTTCGAGTTTACGACAACACTGGAATCTTCATCTCGTTCACCGAAAGTCTGGATCAGAGCCTACGACTCGCGCTGCCAGTTCTCCTACTGTCCATGACCTTTTTTGCCACCGCCTTTACCACCACGAGTTCTCTGAGTGCTGGTCCTGATCATCATCAGCACAGTAATGGAACAAGCATCAATTTTGCCCAGAACGACCTTCTGTTGGGGTCACAAGACACATTTTTCTGGTTTCTGGTGCCTTTGGCGGGCCTGATCAGCATTGGGGCATGCGTGGTATTGAACTACGCTGTTTTGGCATTGTTACAGCTCGTTGTCTTTGTCTCCAACCTGCTATCGCAACGGTATGTCAAGCTGGACGACAGTGATAAGGGCATTGCCTCTGCCTTCGTGGCAAGTACTCCCCGTCGCCGAGCCATCAACACTGCGGTGCTTCTGCTCCTTGTTGCCACCATAATACCCTATCCATTCGCCTATGTGGTCGCCTGTGTTGTCCAGCTTACAACGTGCTCACGAGCGTTGCGCCATGCAATGGAATGCAGGTCTGGGCCTGCATTCAACTTCTTCAACTACACATACTCGATACTTATCTTAATGCTCTGGGTCTTGCCGATCAACGTGCCGGTCTTGGTTGTCTGGATCCACAACCTCTCGGTGCACTGGTTGACGCCTTTCTCCTCCCATCACAACGTCTTGTCAATAATGCCGTTCATCCTGCTGGTCGAAACGCTCTCCAGCGGCATGATGGTTCCCTCTGTTCGGCCGTTCAGGTGGGCAACCAATATCCTATTCTTTGTTCTCGCCGTCTATGCCGCGTTGTACGGCATGACATACGCCTACAGATTACACTACATTGCGAACATCATTGCTCTGTGGTTGGTTTTATTACATTTCTCAACATACCAAAGACGCGTGCCTGCATAGACCACTCTTGCACGACGGTCCTTCGGTTCGGTCGGCTGTAGCTACAACGTTGTCTGGAATTACAGGGTTTGGAGTTAAAAGGAGTATTTGTGGGACATTCAGCGCTCAGCAAGCAGCCACAGTGGGCGCGACCGGGCCGGCCAGGGCCGTTTGATATTAGATGTCACAATCATCTTGTTCAGAAAGACATTAGGAAGTCCTGTAACTACTGATCAGGAAGCCTCTCTGGATCTCTCCTGTTCCGCCTTATGCATTTGATGTGCTCACGCTAGAGGATACCAAAGACAACCAGGCCACGCTGGCCGAAGGTTCCCGGCCACCGTCAGCGTTCCCAGTCGCATATGACGAGACATTACCGGCTGCTACGACCGGCCCGGTCATCGGCCGTCGTGCGTGGTACGTACATACAATCAGTCTGCCGTCGGCATGCATGAACATTAATTCCGCCCGATTTATCCAAGTTCCTTGGTGTCCTCCACGCAGATTTCTTTTGCTACATATCTCCTCAAACAACCTTGGTTTTTTCTGACATTGCCTGCGTGTTTGCGTCAACGCCTTTGCCTACCCAGCCGCAGGGCTGACTTACAATACCTCGAAAAGAACGACGAGGGCACAGGGAAGGCTCGATGAGACCACTGACGTGACAGACCAGGGTCGAGCTTTCCATACGGTGAACTGATTTCCCTCCCGCCACCGTGGCCATTCGCATCATTTCGACATGAACATAGATGTCTTACCTCGTCAGCCTTCGAATGGGTATCACATACACTTCGCATGAATAGCGAGTCCTTATAGCTTCAGTATCAGCCCTGTCATATTCTTGTCCCAGCTATGACGATCGAGCATGAGTATGTGATCATCCTTATCTTCAGCGGCTTGTCACTGGCGATGTCCGACCCGGACAACTTTCTACCAAGCCAGAGCGAGCCTCTACCGTTTACTGTCAACAAAGACGCAGTCAGTAAGAATCCCGCAGATGCGTGGAGCCTTGGTATCACGTTACTGTGCCTCTTATTTGTCCTCCTGCTGGGACTGGCGGTGCGGAAACTGTACGAGAGGGCGTTGCGGAAGCGACGAGTGCTGGGTGAGTCGGTGCTACCTACCTCGGACCACTACGATTGAAATGCAGTGAGATCGGAACCTCTGACCATAATTTTCTAAGAAAGCAGCAGATGGAATTGTGTATCCTGATTCTCTTGGCCAATTCCTGGCGGAGAGGTTGGCCAACTCGTCTCATGCTACCCCTCAGCCGCCTGGGAGCAATGTCAGTGAAGAAGACCAGGCCAGACAGTACAGGGAAGAAGCCCGCGGCCACCAGCGTACTCCTCATGCCACATCGTCGAATTTGCCAGAGATGTCAATGTCGGCGAATTTTCCTGCTAGACCGCATTCGCCAGGGAGTACTGCCAGTGAAGAAGCCGAACTTCACCAGATCCAGGAAGCAGCTCGGACGAACTCTCAGAGCGTCGGCTCCGATGATCCTCGTGCCGCTCCGCTTACCTTGCAAGAAGTATGAATGAAGTCTCCTGTTGGAACAGCATTCTCTGAAGAATCACCACTGGGGTTTTGCTCGGTGAGCTTCGGTTCCTGGTGGGATGGGAAGTGATTAGATGGCTGTTGGCAGCCGGGCTTACTTGGCCATCTCGACCAACCATCTTGTGCATCCCTTGGTGGTATGAAAGAGCGTCCGGCAGGCCCAACATGTCAGCGAGCTGACAAGCGAGCGCATCAGTCAAGAGAGCCTAGTTCCTTCGGTCACCGGAGTTTTCACTAGATCACCAGCAACGACCAAACGAAACCGAGGCCCTGTCGTTTCGTGCCAAGGCAGCGTTTGGCATATTGTATAGGTGCATGCCATTTGGACCCGCAAAGGTGCTAGGAAGGCATGAGTGATTGTTCGAATGAGACCTCACATTGGGACTTTTCAGAGGAGTAAATGTCCTCCATCAGGAGATACAGTTCGAATGAAAACGGCATTCTGATTGTGCAAGGGCCACGTGCCATGGAGCAGTGTACGATACAAGGAGCTACTATCACTCCGGAAGTGAAATAGGAGTGAAACCATTTGTTTGCCTCAAGAAGCGGGGACATAACTCCTTCATGAAGCAAAGTGGGACATCACAAGCTTATGTCTTTTGTTGCTGTGAAGATCCGTTCTCACCTGAGGTGCTTCTCACTCTGTGCGGGATTGTTCCCACGCCATCCTCAGCACGATCTCGTCCTTGTATCCAGAGAATGACACCCGGCGAAAACAATATCGGCTTACGTCCATCGTCTAAAGGGCCTGTGTCAAATCGCCCTTGAAGATCAAGAATGCCCGCACCAGCAGCACCTATTTGGCACCCGCCGCCCCAGAACGGGACCAGCTTCCATCCTCCTCCTCCTAATTTTCCACCTCACAACCCACCTTTTGGAGTCCGCAGACATTCTCCGCCATCTGCAGGCTTTTGGGCTGGTGTGGCCATCTTCATAGCTGCAACTCTTGCATGCATCCTGCGCTATTCCTACCTTGCTTCACCATTCTGGCTCGACCGGATGAAGCGTCGATTAGGGTTTCGTGGGAGACAGCGCACCCTGATTTCTCACCACCCACCGACAACATGTATGCCACCCCAGTTCCAGCCAGATATCACCATCACACAGCCTCAACAAGCGTATCTCGGCCTTCGATCGACGGATACGTTGCCGCTGTACAGGCCGCCGACCATGAATTTCAGCAGTGATGTACTGCAAGCGTTGTTGAGCTTTGGTGTTCCGGACGGGACTGCGCGGCCTCCGTCCTATAGATCGAGGCTGTCAATCGGGTGGGATGCGAGTATGAGAGTTGACGCGCGCAGACGGGATGTTGATCCAGTCCAGGTTGCGCAGGTAGACAAGCGACAGCGGCAGCAACAGTACCAGCACGGACAAGAGCACCCGGGCAGATGGAGTCATCATACACTGCAAGACAAGGGTGAGCAGTCAGAGGCCAAGCAGACAGGGCAGTAGTAGTTGGAGTAGGATATTGGGATCTTCAGACAGGACCAAAGGCCTACCAAACTGGGAGGATCGAGAGGAGGGTAATGCCGGGGCAACGGTCGTTTACTATGCCGTATTACTGCAGACATGGTGAATTTTGATCTCACGATCCTTGCAAGTCTATACAAGTAGATCGAAAGGGTACCCAAAGGGGCCCCAGTCCGTCTAGTACCTGGTAGTACGTGCGTATTAACAATTCTCGGGTAACCTTCCTCCATCCCCCGCATCGGGAAATGGCCGGATTGAACCTTAAATGCACTTCTCGGGCTTGGCGGCGAAGTGGGCGATTCAGTTCGCTTTTCCTAAGTAGGACTGATTCCTCGTTGATCGTGCGCGTCCACTCGTTGATCCGTCTTCTGACACTGTGCATGTCGCACGCTGCCCCTCCAATGCTGCCAACCACTCCATGCTTTGTCCAATATTTCATGCCTGACTATTCATGCTCCGTGTAGAGAGACTTCACAACGTGTCTGGTTTTCTTCTGTTTTGAATCCGTCTGCAGGCTCGCATCGCAGCAACCGCCATTCTACCATGAATCCGAGCCCGCCCGACACACCCGCCCTGTCACCCATCCGAACCATGAATCATTCTTCACCTTCTCGAATGTCCATCGATTCTCCTCACACACAGACTCAGACACATTCGTCCTCGCCGTTTCTGCATAACCTTACCCAACGACTCCGCAAGGGTTCCAATGCAAGCTCCCACAGTGGTGAGCACCCTGCCTCTCCTCAGCCACTACCACCGCACGACCCTATAACCAAAACCGAATCGTCCCGGGCGGCAAGACGTATGTTATTCTCCATGGTAAGAGATGACTGGGACTATCCGTCCACAACAGTCAGGAACAATGACACGGGGCCCCCGGCGCGGGAACCGGTCGGGTACCGGCTGCGCGACGAATGGCAGTCGGACATAGAGGCCGAAGAGATGTTATTGAGACGTGGCGTTCGATCAAGAACGGATCCCTACAGATTCGAGAATCCAGACGATGTGGGCACCTTCGTGGCTGAACGCCTTCGAAAACGCCGCCGTCTGCTAGAAGACGAGATGCAATGGAACGAAGGACTGCGGACCTGGGCCCAGCGGCGCGACGCCTGGACAGGCGCTGTAAGACACAAACCGATCATGGAAGACCAAGTCAGCAGCAACTCCAAGGCCAATACAAATCCCGGTCTCAACGCCCGGTGGCCATCATCGTCGTCGTCCACGAAGCGGCCCTCGCACAAATCTCGACTGTCACACACGATACGGCCATCCCATGAACGTGACACTTCGCATTCGGCCAACAACAGCCCGGCGCTCTCGCCACAGACTCCGACTTCAGTCGCGAATTCAAACATGTCGTCTTCCGCGTCGGAGTCTTCGTCCGTCGAGAGCAATGTCGACTCTAAGAACGACGCTGCCGCAGCCAGCGAGCCCGCCTCCGGTCCATGGCTACCAATCTTCCCGCCCATTCTGTCTCAAGAAGACGTGCTGCGCGACCGGATCAAACCTCAAGCCTATGCGACCATCTACAGCAAAGTCGTGGTCCAGTCGATGACGCCCAATGTGCCAATTCCGCTTAAACACATGATCCCCGCATTAGTCGAAGGCTGGAAATCAGAGGGTAATTGGCCACCCCAAGCGGCGACGCTGGCGGCACAGGATCTGAAGAAAGGTCGACAGTCTTCCACATTCTCTAAGTGGAGGCGAGAACACCATTTCGACAGCAAAGCGGCCGACCACACTGCCGGCGTCGTCAATGAAGATGGCAAATCACGGGTCAGGCGGAGTATAAGTATGATGCGCAAGGTTCTGGGCGGCGTACATAGTGACGACGGCCTCGGCGAGCTGGGCATTGAGTTCTGCGAGCAGGATGAGGAGGAGATGCGGAAGAACATCACCCTTAATCAAGGCTTGCTGAGCACGGACAATGGTCATGGCCATAAACATGGATCTTCTCGATGACTGTTGGTAGTTGTTTTCATTTTTTCACTCGAGCGGGGAGGGGAGTACCATGTCTTTTCGTCGGTAAGGAAAATTGCGCACAGCCGCGAGGAAAAGGGAAAGGGAAAATGGCACGGAAAGGAAGAAAACAGACGATTGCGCTGGAATGACCTTTCATCATCTGCTCATCTGTCCGCTTTCAAGGATCACTGCTAGTAGTACTCTTTACATTTTCAGTTGGGCTCTGATTGAGTCCCCGCTGGTCAATCCGAGGAATCGTTTCAAGTCCATGACCTCTTCCACCTTAGGTAGACTTAAGCCGCGCTGCCTGCTAACCTGAAGAGTGACATTTCTCCACGACCACCATACCAGCAATGTCACTCGGCTGGCAACAGACACCTGAGCAGATCACCACCGATGCTGCGAGTAGCAGCCCTGTCTCACTCGTACCCGACATACTTTGACAATCCATCTTCCGGCGCAGGCAGCCTCAAAAGTGCTCTCTTGGTCGATGCTTCGTTGTATCTAAGGGTCGGCACGCTTCTCGACGTACTTCGCGACACGGTCGCGCATTTCCGTCACCCACTCTTGCAATCTGTCCGGGCCGGGGTCGGCTGGGAGCTGCAGAAGCTGGGCACCGAGCGTTTCGCCAGCTGGCACATTGTGACGGGTTTCCGATGCCTCTTCCGCTTGCGTGGCGTCGTTGGCGTCCTCGTTCGGTGGACTGCCGTCACGAAGAAGTGCCTCTGCCTCCTGCGTGGCATTGTTCGGTTCCTCATCCTCTGAAGTACTGTCAGGGTCAACAGCTTCTACACCTTCCCAGTAATCCTCGGGAGTATGCTGTGTATTACCGTTGTTGTTGACATTGCTGGTTGACTCCTGGGTGTCTGCAGCGGCAGTGGTCTGTGCAGCGGCGTTATGAACCGCAAATCCCATGGTGGAGGCCGGTTGGAATGCAGAAACAGGCTGGTCGGTCACCGAATTAGTGATGGCCAAAGCTGAGAATAAATGGGCAGCATGCGCCATTCCACCATGCAACCTATCGTCACCTCCGTTCGACGCTGTGAGGCCAGAAGCAGTCCCACGTTGTTGCTGCAGCTGGCTGGATTTACTTCCACCTTCCGAATCTGTGCCATCCGTAGCCAGGCCATCTGCGTCAGTGTTCGTCGTGGGGTGGTCAATCCCCATGCTCAGAGACAACATGAATTCCTTGATCGTCTGCTTGTCCTTCTCAGGGAGCTCCGGATACCACTGGAGCATGTTGGGGTCAACCTCGATTGCAGGACCACCAATATGCTTCCAGGTGTAGTAGTATCGACGCAGATCGGCCCCAATAACCGCGGCTGCCTGCACCACTTTCTCTCGATCCATGACAAACCCACATTGGCCAGTCGAACATCTGTGCATCTCAAACGTTGATTTGAGAGAACGGGACACCGTACCAACCAACCTAATGACGCGCAGTTTGGGGGCATCGGTGGTGGTGATCAGCTGCGTGTCTGGAGGACCTCCATGTTCAATGATGTTCTGAAGCTTGCCTCGGCCCTTCTTCAGTGACTTGTGGATATCTTCAACAAGAGGTGGAAGATATTTCGTCGTCGCGCCTAGATCATCACGTGCTAGCGGAGTAATGACGGCCTGGAGAACTGGTACTCCAAAACTCGGCGAACAAGCTGCAATGGCATTTGAGATCTCAACAGCTGCAGCCATGAATCTGCCTGAGCCGTGGAAGATGAAGTTGACTTCTTGTAGTCCGCGTGCATTGCCAGTCAATGACTTGACTGCTTGGACATAGCCCCAGACATCTCCCGAAATGCAGTCGATCTCTATCGACCTCAAATAGTCGCTGATTCCTGGCTGGAGAAGAGTCGGCACAGGGAATATATCCCAAGACATTGTGTACTTGTTGCATTGGTAGACAATCGGAGATGCCTCGATGTAGATCTTTCTGCAGGTTGCGAGTAGCTGCAGGGGAAACTGCGCCGACGAGACATTGAGTGCTTTGAATCTACCCTCAGGAGTGATCACAAGCTTTATTGGCTCAGAACGGCGAAATAGCATGTCGTAGAGGTTGAGCCGAAGCTCGAAGGCGACTGTGAGCAGGCCTAATTGTTCCTCATCATGTTTGCTGGCCGTGGGCTTGACGAGATTGGGAGTCATTTTGAGGGAGAAAGGAGGACTTGACGAGGCTGTGGCATGCAGATGTCAGCAACGACGGAGACCTGGCAATGACCAATTGATACTTATACATACCTCAGGATGGTCGCTCAGAGCACAAGCTTGAAAGACAAGAACGATGTCTCTCTGATAAAGCGGAGTGTTGTTGTGAGTTGATGATGAATATGGAGATAGGTTTGGGAGGACGGAGGACAGTAGGTGAGAAATATTTGAGCCAGTGAGTAGGGCGCGGCCACCAGAGCCATCGCGATACTATTTGGAAAGCTTGGCTGTTGCGTGTTGCGCGACAAAGCATGATGGGCGGTCGTCTGAACGAGAACGTTGGATATATCTTCGTTGTGAGGATGAACGACAAGATGATAAAGAATGGTATATGTAGATGATTTTGAGTCATAGTATTTTGATATTAGCGGACACCTGACTCGAAAGTATCCGGGGCCCGAGATCTTGATATTGTGGAGCACACCAGACGCAGGTACCGCCAGATCAAACACTACGAGCCAGCGTGCTCCCTAATGACATCACCATATTCTTCTTCGTGGACAGGGAGGCCTACGCAGTCCTATATCTACTGAAATCAAGTATGTCGAACTCTTCGCGGGCGGCGCCCTCAATGGCAAAAAGAATCACTCGCAGCTCTACTGCTGGTGGCAGCTTGGCCGTCAAGCAACAAGAGCCAAATGCTACAGTCAAACTAGAGCAACCCTCACCACACAAACCTTCACAGAATCCCCAAAAGCGTGCAGCCTCATACAAAGGTAGTAAGAGCAGGAAGAGAGTCAAGGCAGAGAACGAGACAGGCTTACTCAGTCCGACCGCATCCGATGACCCCCCAACCGCAGACACCTCTCCCCGAACGACTCCCTCGACCAAATCCACGTCCAAGGCCTCCGAGCTACAATCCAAGAAACTCAAATCATACGCTCAGTTCGCCAATCAATCTCCATTCCCTGACTTCCCTCATCCCACGCCCGCCGAATGCAAGCTAGCCCATCGCATCCTCGTTTCACTCCATGGCCCACGTATCCGTCCGAAAGAAGTCGTCGCATCCACGACTCGGGCAGGCTGTGGAGATTCGCCTTCTGTTCTTGACGCCCTTGTCCGCACAATCCTCTCGCAAAACACTAGCGATGTGAACTCTACTCGAGCAAAGTTGAGCATGGACAAAGTGTATGGAGGAAGTGACAAATGGGATGCCATCGTGGCAGGAGGCCAGGCCAAACTTCAAGAAGCAATAAAATGCGGCGGTCTTAGTGCAGTCAAGAGCAAGGTGATTATAAGCATTCTGAAACAGTCGTATGAGAAGTATGGGGTATATTCTTTGGATCATTTGCACCAGGCGTCGAGCGAAGATGCGATGCGCGAAATGCTGTCTTTCCAGGGTGTTGGGCCCAAGACGGCCAGTTGCGTCTTGCTCTTCTGTCTGCAGCGGGAGAGTTTCGCGGTCGATACCCATGTCTGGCGCATTACCGGCTTGCTGGGGTGGCGACCCAAGAGTGCGTCCCGAGATGAAACTCATGCACACTTGGACGCCAGGATTCCGGATGAGGATAAATATGGACTACATATCTTGTTGGTCACGCACGGGAAGAGATGTGAGGAGTGTAGAGCTGGTGGAAAGAACTTGGGCAAATGTGAATTGAGAAAGGCGTTCAGGAAGGGCAAAATTGAAGGTGAATTCGGGGAAGAGGTAAAGATCGAAGACATGGAGGAAGTCAAGAAGGAAGATCATGAGGCAGGTTGAATGGCCTTGAGGTCGCGGCGTCTACAACAACTATGGCGTTCCAAGATAGTGGTTCATGTAAATGTGTATAAGGGATGCCTGATCCTGACACGTTGTAATTCTCTTAGAGCCGTAGTATTGAACAACTTGAACGGCAGCGAGCAGTCTGGCCAGGCTTCCAGTCTTCCTGCGTGACTGTTGCCAAGTCGGCACTCGGCTTCGATCGCAGCATCTTGACAAGGCTGTGGCTTTGCAAGTAAGAGCAGTACACCAGGGCAAGGGGTATCAACCCAGCAGCCTTGCCAGCCCAATGGACAAGTGCCTCGTAGACTATATCTCGATCAATGTCTCTGCGACATGCTTGTTACTCCAGCGATAAAGTGCCGGAATCTGATTGGCCTGCCCGAGAACTGCGATCGAAGAGTCATAAATCAGTCAGTCACATTGTTCAGTCATCCCCCAGAAAAGGACCTGGCGAAGGCCTTAAGATCATGAAGCGACTTCAAGTCAAATCTTTCTGCTCTCCAGTTCTCTGCTGTCCCGGTCACTTTTTCTTTCTATGCAATGCAACGGGGTGGCCAACTGAAGGCCAGTAGCACCAGTCGGCGACTTCGCCCTTGTACGATCATCCATTTGAGAGGAGCACTTAATTCTTTGGAAGCATAGACGAGGCCACGTCCAGGCAAGCAGGTTTTATGTCCCTCGTTGCTTATCCCAGAGCCATTGAAGCAAGGCTGTACGACAAGAATTGTCACGGCACTCAATATGCCTAGTCAACCTTCGCCGAGTCCTGTAGAGATCACCCTGAAGCGAGTGACTTCTGAAAGTGACATCCCTACCCTTGCTCACTTGTCAGATCTTGCACTCAAACCGGATGGTTTCCATGAGTTCCGAAGGCGCTATGGAGCGAAAAGTCCATACGATGACAGCGTGGAGAAACTGACCAGGGCGATGCGAGACGACAAAGGTCAATATTTTATGTTCAAAGCAATGATCAAGTCAAAAGCAGCCGTTGATCTCGAGCTGCCAGAGCAACCCAGACATTCCGAGAAGGAGATCATTGTGGGGTTTTCGCAATGGCGGATAGGATATGTGGAAACACCAAAGATGGATCCCTTCGCACCGAGGAGGCAAGTCGCCCACAGTGGCACGTTTGAGGCGGGCGTGTCAAACCTGGCCATTTCGGAAGAGCGCAACGCAGAGCAAGCTGATGGCGTGGACCTCAATGACAAGCAACGGATGAAAGCTTTCTACTCAAATCCTAATGACGAGCTCGCAAGGAAAATGGGAAATGTTTATATCGAGACCATCAGGGCGAAGCGGCATGTGGGCAAGTGAGATGGACCTGTGCAACCTCGATGCTCTGCTGACAATCCATGCCAGTGCTTCATCGTCTGATCGTTCATCCCGACCTCCAGCGACAGGGCATCGGACAGAAGTTGCTCGACTGGGGCATCGAAAAGGCCGACCAAGAAAGCCTTGTTGCGTTTCTGTTTGCCCGACCTGCTGGTTCAAGGCTATATGAGCGGAACGGATGGAAGACCATTGCAGTGTTAGATGTCGAGATCCCAGACCCAGACATCAAAATGGCCCCAGGTCTGGCAATGCTGCGGCTGCCGAGATCGAAGCAGAGCTGATCCTGATACCAATATCGATAGAATAATCGACGACGCCGATCACAGAACCCGGAACAAGAGTGGACGGTGTATCTTCAAGACTACTGCATATTCTCCAATGTGTGGGCATCCGCACAAGCCCTTGGTTCCTTTTCGTGGTCGGCTGTGGAGCCGTCCGGAGTGGATACAGAGAAGAGATTCTTCTGGCTCTGAATGGCATGGGTAATACAAGATACAAAGAAAAGTCTTCGTTGTGAGGACGGTCATTGGAAGCATGCTGGAAAGAAAAAGAGCTGGAAGCAAGATTTGGACAAGCAGAGTCTCTGCAATAGTGGAACCTCATCGAACATGGTGTTGCAACACGATGGTGCAGATGATCTTCTGGCAGCATACTTGAGAGTCCACTGCGACATTTGAGATCGCCTCCAACCCACGATACCATTATTTGCTCATTGGAGCAACCAGTTTGTCCACGGTAGGATTGACCAACAAACTCAACAAATCCGGTCGGGCATAATGACCAACGACATCAATGAAGGCTTTGGGATAGTCAATATCCCTCAGGTCGACATCTGCTGTCATAATGGTCTCGACACCAGCATCGACTGGCTCGCACAAAGGCTTCCCGTCCGGTCCGAATATCATCGAAAATCCACCTCCAGGCTGCACCGGGGGAAAGAAGATATTAGCAGAGGCAGCAGAAACGACATGACTAGCACACTTACCGCCTTGGTCACAGGATTTCCTGTCAAACCATTCTTTTCCACGTTCTTCTCTGTCAAAACCTGGGTGGCGACCAAGACAAAGCATTGCCCTTCGATCGCCATGAACTGGCATGCTCGTTGATTGGCCTCTCCAGTCTCGTGGTAGAGCCAGGATATCTTCTTCGGATCAGGCATCTCGAAAATGGGCGGCCAACTTGCCACATGGATCTGGACACCCTGCGAGTATTCATAGTAACGGAGTAGCGGCATCAGGTGTTCCCAGCAATTTAAACCGCCAATGTTTCCGAACGGCGACGGTACCACACACTTCAACGACTCTGCCCGGCCCTCGCCCCAAAGGGTTCGTTCGACATGTGTTGGCTTGATTTTGCGGCGGTGAAGCACAATTTCGCCCTCGGGCGAAATGAACGATTGACCCATATACAGACTTGAACCCTCCCGCTCGCTGTATCCGATAATAACAAACATCCCCGCGTTCTTAACGGCAGCCTGGATGCGCCTCATCTGTTCCGAGTCCTTGGCCATGGAGTTCTTCATATACTCATGGACGAAGGGGGTATTGTTGATCGCAGCTGTTGTCCACACGGACCTGGAAGACAGACAAGTTGGAGTCAGCAAAGCCCTTGGGCCCAGGGGTTTTCCGTGTGACGCTTACCATGGATATCCTGGAATCCATACTTCTGGGAACCCCAAAACTTGTACACCGTCCTCTGCTGCACTTTCAATCAGGGATATCGTCTTGTCAACGCCACCCTCAAGATCCAGCCACACCGGCTCTGCTTGGACCGCACCCACACGGACTGTCATGGTCATTTCGGTTGTTGAGCGATGTCGTGCCTCAGAGAAAGCAGATGCTCAAACCTTGCACACAAGTTGTGTCTCCTCACGCAGTCTTATAATCGGGATCATTTTGTTCGAAGCACTTCGTTAGTTTGAAATACTATCGTGTGCTAACATCGGAACGGCTTGGGCTTTGGTCTAGCTTATCTTTCATGCTCAGACCTATCTCGAGAACATCAGAACCGCGTAATTGCCCAGTGCATGGCTTGTCCGACCCGTCACTTAGGGACACAGTCATTGAGCATATCAACGGCAGTGCTGTGGATTGCATAGCTCTGTCCGGGAGGTCTTACAACACTGGATCGCCAGTCGCTTACTAGCGCTCGCGGATGAACGTTTTATAGGCACTTGATTGGTCTCTCTGCGACCAGTCCATAGTCCTGCTTCAGCAATCACAAAGATAGAGGGATATACTGACCAGATGGGCCCGTATTGGGGAAGCCATGGCGATCATGTATCAATGTCAGTTGATAACGGGTGGGCAAGACATATGCATGGCGTGCCGAGCTCGGGCGCCGCGGCATCCCTCACGCGTTGAGCAAAGCTTCGATTAGCTTGTTCCAAACCTCGAAATTCCAACTGACCTCGCTTGCCTCGAACATTCAAGTATCTCCGACAGCAAAGTGATGCTCTGCAACAATCGCCGAGACGGTGTTTGTGAGAAGCTGATGTGGCACTCGGAGATATAACAATTACGAGCGGCCTCTCCTGCCTTGGCCGGGGTGTGATCGGTCACTTCCAACCTGTGGTTCTGGAATCTCTTATCTACATACATGTATGTAGATAGGTATCAACATTCAGGGACCCCGGAACCGCTTGAATCTTCGGGTCCATTCACATGTATTTCCGAGACCCACCGCGGGTGACTTTACCGTTGTAGCGGATGCTTCATTACCTCAAGAATTCTCAGCATCTTGATGCTTTGATGTAGACGTCAACGCATATGATACTACGGTCTCATCAGTAACGGTGTGCGCAGTTTAACATGACAGTGGACCACATCCTGACAAGGCTGTATAGTGGTAGAAGAACACAGAGAGAGTTCTTGCTGATATCACAATCATACTGGCGGCATTCAAATATACGTGAACAATGTGGCTAGAAGTGTCCCTCCTGTATAGAAACCACAATCAGAGATCTGAGGCCTGCAGCCTTTAGTTCGTAATCTCATTTGCCTGATAACCGCTGCTCATACTGCTCACTGAGTATACAATTTCCAGTCTGTGCCGGTCCAAGTGACTTGATCGTTCATGATTGAAAGACGTTCCCTTGCCAGATCATCGAGGACACAAAGATCGGTCGGAACTGTTGTCGAACAGCCGTCGTAGAGCACAAAGGCAAGGCAAAGAGATTGTCAAAGACAGTGGCGGTAGAAGGTCACGACCAAGCTGGATAGAGGAGGCGAGAGAGTGTTGGGAGAATTACGTAGAGCGCATCGACAGGTTGACAGGGTAAAAGCGGCGTGGTCTGAGGGCCACATCAACCCCTCGTGGCCCCTTGGCCCCCTCGCCCTTGGCCCCTGCCTTAATAGTACCTCAGGATGGGTAGGAAGAGAGCGCGAGGTGAGCGAGATTTGAAAGCGGCGCGGCGTGGGTGAGGCTCGAGGGGCGCTCGCCGTGAATTTACCTTCCTTTTTCGCCGCCATGAGTGTGTGGCGTTAACAGGGTAGGTGCAGAGTACTAGGGATGTTCCTGCCTATAGATTTGCTGGGGACTCCCCATCGCCCCTAACTGTGCGATGCAGCCGTTCGAGTACAAGTGCTGCAGAGACATCTGTGGGGTGCATACCTAGTACTAGTAGGGGGTTTATTCTTGGGGTGACCCAACCAGGGTTGTTGCTATTTCCTGGAATGCGGTATATGCCTTACGCCTGCGCTTCTCTTCTCGTGGTGCACCGCTCGAGGACTGCAGTTGGCGAAATCCATGATTTTTTCCTGTGCTAGTATATTCAAATTCTTGATCAGCGGTGGAAAGCTGGAAACCATTGTCTAAGCATCGGTAGCCAAAGAGATGATTCTGGACCTTTTGCTGGGCGGTGTTTCTGGCAGAAGTGGTACAACTCTGCAAGGACAAGGCCTGCTTCTCCTGCGACCCGTTCGGGAGATTTCCGTGTCACAGGCTGGGCGGTTGAGGCACCGGGGCCAACTATAATAAGGTCGCCCAGTTGTCAGTGCGGCCTTGTAAGGGATCCACGCCTTCTAGAACCTGGGTGGCCGGAGTCCTGGATCCTGCACAGTGCATGGACACTGGCCACTTCTTGATCTGTACAGCGTAAGTCAGTTGGAGCCACTTCAACGGTGGTCCAGGTTGGTTGCCCCGAAAACGTAGTGATATATGGCTAGAGATTTCTGCCTCCTAACGACGAGCAATCTGCTTGGTGGTCCCAACCCGGGTGTGGTAAAGAGTAACGGTTTTGTCTCAGGTTAAACAAGCCCCAGAGTGTAGGTGCATGATGCTCCCTCCTGCTGCAGCATCGTTTCACAGATCAGTCCCTTGCCGGAAAAGTGTGTTGCGTAGGTACTTTAGGTAGATGGTGGAAGACTACCAATGACTTCAAGTTACAGGTATAGGTAGGATAGGGCACTTACCTGATAATCATCCTCATAACCCAAACTCCGGTCCCTAGGCGTCGCTCACTGCAGGTGCACTGGGCAGGAACGGCTAGAGCATTGCAGGCTTGGCGGGGTTGTTGGATGAACTGGAGTGCAGTTGGTGGGAACTGTGGCGCCCATTTCGAGCAAACAGCATAGGCTGCCCGGCGTCCAAGTTTGACTTTGCGGGAGGCTAAAGACGCCGCCCGGGCCCCAAACCCCGCCTAACAGCCATCTATCTTTCGGACAAGCTACAGAGAAGGTTAGGTAAATACTACAGGGTACAGGTTGCAGCTTTTTGGCCAACCCGCACCGTCCCCTTTGTCCCTTTTCTCGGATCTCCTGTTCAGAGTCCTTTCACTCCCTTCTTCCCCGTTTGTACAATCCTTACCGCTCATCATCATCCCGTCATTCGCTCGCATCCATCAGCAACAGAAGAAGCACAGCCACATACGCTATTTCCTGCTGTCCCCGGGTGCCGCCATCGTCCTCCACAGAATCCTCCCCTGTCATTGTCATCCTCACCCTGGTTCAAGACTCTACAGTACTACAGTAGTCAGCTGAGCCGTCAGCTGCGTGTCCAGTACCTAATACTTTCATTCACGCATCCTACTGTGATAACGGTTACTGTGCCAGAACCAAATCAGCTGTAACCTCCGTCGACTGCGAAATCCCCTGGAATTTCCATGGTCGCGTTTGTTTTGCCCACGGTCCGGTCCATCATCGCCACAAACAAGAATCCAACGGCTTACGAGAGGCCTCTCCCATATCGTACCCCAGCTGTGCGCTGAATGATAGCAATGGCACGTCCGAAATTTATCGAGATCCCCTCCAATGATTCCCGAGCCAGCAGTTCGCTCTCCAAGCACTCCCACCTTTCACCCCGAATCCAACATTTCGACGGCGATGTTCCTCCAGCCCTGTCACCACTGGATGCCATCGCGGCAAGAAGTCGCAGAATGGCGAAAGAGCTGGAAGAAACCAGAAAAGCAGGAGAGCGACGGATGAGCAGGCTGCCCCCTCAAGTCGTGACTGAGTCGTTGACCGAACATCAAAACAACCGTCCGCCCATTTTCCGAGCATTGTCTGACGGCCTTGACACTGTTCCACCTCTTCCAACGATTGAGAAAGATGGAAGAGCAGGGATTCTTCCCAAACTTGCAAACCCCCTAGACAGGCCGACTTCGCAACACGTCCGCATGAGTGCCGTTTTCAAGCAAGAGGATGACCGACAAGGCAGAGAGACGACTCATCAAGAAGACTACTTTGGGGTTCCTCGGGTCGACTCGCCTGCCGCGATGGACGCTCATCGCACCTTTTTGCGGTCGCAAAACGTGGAAAACTCAGCCGCTGATGATGACTTTGTATCTCGACAGCTTTCGGATAGATCTCAACCCGGTGATCAGGTGCAGAGTTTGGCGCCACCCCGGTCACATCCTGACAGATTACGGCCATATCAAGATGCTTCCGACGATGATTATAATAGCTCGACCGCGGGCTCGACGTTTTCACCCTCTAGAAAACCATCTTCCAGCAGCGGAATGTCTGCTCCTCAGTCTCCAGTCTCGGCTTATGCATATTCCCATGGTCGGTCTCCGTCAAACCAATCTTTAGGCTCGCCAAGCCGATCTTCCTTTGCACGCAACTTCTCTCGACCATTGAGCTCGTCCAGTATGAGCAATCTCAAGACCGAAAAGAGTCCGTCGAAAGGCCCGTGGGCTGCACAGATGAGTCATTTGCGAAACGCAAGCTCGTTCGACGACTCGAGACCACCCGAGGGGTACATCTCCGGTGAGGCATCGTCCTACACTCATGCCACGTATAGTCTTCCACGAGGTCGAAAGATATCCGAACGGAACTCTGGCGTCTTTTCCGGTCTTTCACAGCCAAATTTTGAATGGCAAGAGCCTATTTTCTCCGGTACACCCCCTCTGGAGGAGAAGGAGAGCAGCGAGCTTGGTGCTCCTTTGCCCGGAGCATCCACAAGCCGAGAAGATGAACAGGGAGAGAGGTCCGGTTTCTCTTTCGATTATGATATCGAACGATCGTTGGCCCCGGAGAATCAGTCCAGACCGCCTTCCAGCTCATATACACCGACCGGATCTCTAAGGTCTAACGATTCGTCTAATCAGAGGCCGTCGACCGGAGAAAGGCCCATGGTGGCTGCCTTTATGATGCCACCCATGCCGTTGTCGCCTGTCGAAGAAGCGTCACAATCATCGAGATCCAATAGTACCGTTCGACCTACCACTGCTCGGACTGTCAGCAACTACCAAGCTCTATCGGCCGAGGAACACGTGACGAAAGCCATCGAGCTTCACGAACATGGAGATCTGAAAGAATCAACATATCATCTTCGAATAGCCGCCAACAAAGGCCACCCGACTGGGATGCTGTTGTATGCTCTGGCCTGTCGTCACGGATGGGGAATCAGGCCCAACCAAAAGGAAGGTGTCAAATGGCTGCGCAAAGCTGTGGATTCGGCCATGCTGGAGATCGCCGATGACGAGAATCCAGCCATGCGAAAGCCAGGGACCGATTTCAATGACAAGAAGACACATCGCGCGCAGTTTGCGTTGAGTATCTACGAACTCGGTATGTCGCATCTCAACGGCTGGGGCATTGAGCAGGACAAAGCGCTTGCATTGAGATGTTTTGAAGTTGCTGGAAATTGGGGCGATACAGACGCACTGACTGAGGCCGGCTTCTGCTACGCCGAGGGCATTGGCTGTAAGAAAGATCTGAAGAAAGCAGCCAAATTCTACCGTATGGCAGAAGCGCAGGGTGTGAGCATGATCGGCAACAGCTGGTAAGTTTATGTGGACAAGGCCTACTTCTGGGGTTGACTGACATTGTGTTTAGGATTCACAAGGAGAAATACAACGACCCTGATGACGAAGCGGGTCGGGCCAGGTCTTCAGGGAAGACTGTGTCGGAAAAGCCGCGCAGCAAATCCAAATCGCGCAGTATTTTTGGCCGGAAGAAGTCTACGACTGCCTAGGCCTGTGGATTGCTTTGGTGTTAGTTGGGAAGAGTCTTTTGATATATTCTGGAAGTGAACTATTCAAGTTCGAGGCTTCTAACGACGACATGTACTATGATTTCAACTGACAGCGTTGAACTGTGAACAGCAGTCATGAATGGATTTGCACGGTCTAAAAGCCCGGACTTGATGTGAGGAGGATCTTGTGGCTTCCATGATCTGGCGATTGAGCATTGTGTAGTAGTGACATGACAAGCATTTGCTAGCCTGTCCAACCTGGAGCTGAGTGAACAAGGAAGTACTAAGCGATCAATCTGAGACCAGCCACCTTGCAACTTCTTTCCTGTGCGTTACTTCCCCTTGGAGGATGACAATATACTATAGGGGTACAAGGGGTGGAGGCTGTCCGAGAAAAGATATGACGGAGTCTTTTATTATTGGCTGAGAACCATGCCCACAGCCTCGTCGGGTAGCATCATCATACTACTATATGATATGACTCAGTCCATCATCAATTCGAGTCATTTGGCCCCACGTCAATTTCGACGTTGCATCCAAATCAATTCGAAGTAGTGCTGCAAGTATGTAAGATGTGGTATACGAGTAGGATGTTCCATGTTCGAATTTCGACACCAACACAGCAATCCTTCTTGGTGATAAAGGGGCGCGCATATCCATAGTTGGCTCTTGTTGTTGACGGCACTTTTCTACACCATACCCCTGCTTTCGAGTCTCGACCTTCTTTTTTCTGAGCCCGTACCACGGTGGACAAATCTTGCATTCAACGCAGCGAACTTGCTGTACTTTGAGAAGAAAATAACGGGGGCTTCAAGAGTCCTCCCTTGCTCCCCCGGGGTTCTTGCGACCGAGCAATCGTGAGCCATGGCCGACCAACATCAACATCGACAGCCCCACCCCTCGTCCGACTCCCGCGTCCAGAGCGCCGTGCTCTCTACGGCACAGGTGCCACGTCTCCAAGCGAAACTGGGCCGTCTGATGCCCTATTCCATCCCACTGTTCCGCAGGATCCAGCACCATGCGACTCATCCTGTCCCGGACACGGCGAGCATTTTCGTGGCGGTCGCGACAGACAGCGCCGACCACGACACGCCCCAGCAAGACGATGTCGCCATCGACCAGTGGCTGCAGGACTCGGACTCGTCGACAACAACCCGTATGGGTAACTCTACTGGACAATCTCGCCTTAGGAGAAGAACCGACACTGATACTGATACTGATTCTCGACATCGCCCCTGGATCGCGGCGCACATCGACCTAGCTCACTATGGATCAACGCAAGTCTGGGTCTTTGCGAGCTGGGAATGTCCACCACCGTCGTTATCAACATCAACAACATCTCCGCTCTCCTCCTCTTCTTCCTCGAATGCTCTGGCCACAACACCAGACCACGAGAGGGAGAGGAATACCCAAAGTCAAAGGGAAACTGCAGATAGGATTGTCGAAGATGACAACGAAGGCTCCGACGACGACGACCCGCGCCACGGAGCTCTAATGATCGCCCTGTATCGCTATATCTACCACGACCTCGTGCCCCGCATGTCGACAGAGCCCGGGGAGGACTGGCTCGAACTCAAACGCACCGGAAAGTCCTTGACGATCCCATACTCGCGAAACAAGATCCTCTTTGGCACGATCAATACGAAACTACTGCGTTGGGTTCCAGGACAGGCCAGGACGCGGATCGATGCGGGGTATTTGAAATACATTTTCGCCATTGATCCTGACCTTGAAGATAGTGATCATCATGGCAAAGACAGCTCCCGGGAAGACGAGAGAAACGGCGCACCGGTGGACGACAGCAGCAACAGCAGCAATAGCTCCGACAAATATCGTGCTTTACCGCCCGGATACACGTTCGGACCAATGCAATCGGCGCATCTGCAGGCTGTGCTGGATCGCTCGGTGGTTCCGCGCACGCTGGCTACCTTGCAGCAGTTTCCTTCGTTGGGCGTCTTTCCGTTACCGCAGTGGGAAGACAACCAGAACAAGGAACACGACGCCACCGCCGCCACCGCCGCCGCGACTGAAGGACCAGAACTGGAACCGAACCCAAAACTTGAACCCAAGTCCGGAGACCAGATGAGAGGATCCGGGACTGGGAAGCCAGTGGCCTGGGGGTTTCTCGGCACAGACGCCAGCTTGTCCGGGCTACACACCGAGCCGGAACATCGTGGGAAAGGCCTCGCTGGATGTGTGGGCAGAGAGCTGTTGCGACGCAGTGCCTGGAGGGGTGGTGTTGAAGGTCATGTTGATGTTGATCCAGATCCTCGCTCCATCTTCAACTGGGGACATGCCGACGTGTCGATCCAAAACAAAGCCAGTCGGCGTGTCATGGAAAAACTCGGCGGCGTGGCCCGGTGGAAGGTAGCGTGGGTCGAGGTCGATCTAGCCGTCGCGTTGGATGTGCTGCTTTCGGTTCGCTCTGGCTGATACCTTAGAAGTGTCGAGGGTTCTTGTTGTCGTTGTGAAGTGAATGATTGGAAATACTTATTTCGTTGTTTGACTATTGTATTTCGCCCCTGAAGAAGGAGATGTCGAGATGATTGATAGTGTGTCGTTAAAGGAGACATAGTGCTGGTAATAGGAAGTGGATATGCATGTCTGCATGTCTGCAGTTGGATATGTATATATATGGATATCACAGGCAGAGAAACAAGTATAGCCATAGGTACTAGACATAGACATATCAAAGAGGTATACCACTTGGACTAGACATAACCTTGTTCACCAACAACTATATATACGCATGGACGGAGACATATATGTTCTACCATTGATGCATCATGGTTCACGCACAGTCAGGAGACGTCGGAGCTTGGTTGTACGTGGCTGTATGTTGGTTGGGGTTGAGAATATATCCGGAAATAACAATGAAACTATACACACCTATATATACCTACCTAGGTATCCAAGTATGCATGCATGTCGAGGTTCAGAGGACAATTATACACGCACATATCAAATAACAACCTGGATTCTATCGAAGTACAAGGCTTCGGAGCATCACTCCAACACGTTCTTACGCCGGTCACGCAAATTCTTCATTAGATTCGTTGACAGGATCAAGCAAGAAATGACCGTTGTAAATTAGACAAAGATATAAAAATTCTCAGCCTATTTCTTCCGAATAAATGTCATATATGTAACCATCGTACCCAGATACCCATCGCTTGCATGTATCCTCGTTATCAACAACAAATGGTATACTAAATCCTGCTTGCAAATGGCCATTGCAGGCCAAACTCTTTCTTCCTGCCATATGTTTTGGAGCATCCACGAGTCCATGTCTGGTGTCATATATCTCATCCAAGTACTGCACATCGCTACCAACATCGGTATCGGCATAAAACGTCAATACAACTTTTCACAAGTCATAACCCAACCATCATCATGAATCAAACCAGATTTACAACTCCTTGCCGACAGGATAGTCGCCACCTTGACCAGCTTCGCCTGCTTTCTTCAGCTGTTCTTGATGCTCGACGTTGGCAATGGCGGCTTGCAGCGCAATGGTTAAGTCAAGGTGGAAGAATGGCCTGTTTAAGCCATGCACCACCACCTTCTTGGTCGTTTGCCTGTTGTAAGCCTTGCTAGTGCTGATTTCACGGTGAAGGTCATGGCCATTGCTGGAACTGGTGGCTGAGTCATCCTTGTAACGATCGTGGGAGATATCGTCCGTCTTGTCGACATTCGTAACGCTATCCCGGCGAATGCCACCTTTCTCTTCATCCCGGACTTGCTTTGACAACCTCCGGTTGGCGTCTTGTTCAGCAGCAGAGGCCGCAGACCCCGAACCGCCAATCTCCGCAACGCTAAAGATGGGTTTCCATCGGCTGTACTCCGGGTTGGGAGTAGTGGGATAGCCAAATCCGGCCGAGGCCAAAGCACGCTTGGTCCAGCGGTTGTTGATGCAAGCCAAATGCCATTGCACGACATCCGGAGCAGCATATCGATCGAGTTGGTTACGCACATCAATGAGATTCTGGACGCTGGTGACGTCGACATTGTTGACGGACGAGAAGTCGAGGATGATGGCTTTGAGTGTAGGAAGGTTGGATCGATCGGGCTCCGACTTGCCTCTCCTGGGACCAGGATTGTTCCACGGTCGATCACCAGGTCGTGGCCACGAATCAGGATTGGTCCGTCGGGTATGCTCGAAAATGAACTTGACCAAGTAATCGGTGTAGTGGTTGGCGTTGGGATAGTTGAAGCCCTCGCTGAACCGGTAGATGAAGATGCCCGGGTAGGGGGATTCGACGTTGATCTCAGGATTGGTCCCGTCATTGTGATCCAACGGCAGGAAGATGTCGCGGACTGCCAGATCTTCATCTGACGGGTGATTCTGGTCGTGGAATTTATCCTCCATCAAGTGGTCGCCAATCACCGAGTGGATCTTGACTCGACCGACGAAATGGCCCCTAGCTTTGACCACGCGGAACAGCAGCACCGCGATGCTCACACAGATGGTGGTGTAGATGCCGTTCTCGATACTCGAGAAAATGGTCACCAAGACACCGGCGAAGAAGATGATGACCTCGAGCGGTGACACACGCCAGAATTGGTAGACCGTGTTGGGAGGGGTGATCAAATCACCGACCGCGTGGATGATGACGCCGGCCAGCGAGGCGCTGGGAATGTAGTAGAAGACGGCGGGCAGGGCATAAATGGCCAGTAAAACGACAATCGCCGTGATGACACCGGCAAATGGAGTTCGCACACCGGCCTTGGACTTGATTGCCGTCCTGGAGAAGGAGCCGGTTGCAGGGTAACCGCCCAAAAAGGGGCCGAGGAGATTGGTGACACCAATGGCGACCAGTTCCTGCGAGGGATCAATGGTGTAGTTGTTGACCCGACCAAAGGACTTGGAAATGGCAATGTGCTCAATCAGAAGGACAATGACCGAGGCGGGGAGTTCACTGGCGAAGTAGCTGATGATGTCGGTGTTGACGGTGGGGACCGCGGCATGTCGGAATCCACGAGGCACCTTTCCCAAGATGGCAAAAACATGGTCGTCACGGTGGTGCCGATTGACGAGCCAGCTGATCAGGGTGTACAGCAGAATGACAAAGGCAGTGCGAAGGGTCGAGATGAAGAAATACATCTTGGCCCGGCTGGGATACTTCTTCGCCAGGAGGGTGCAGATGATGCGGATGGCATACAGCAAGAAAAGCGCGGTGAGACCCATGGCAGCATCGATTTTGGTGTGGCCGAGATATTTGAGGGTGTTAATGATGACCATGTACGTCGAGTCGCGAGTGTTGAAACCCTTGACTTTGATTCCCATCATGGTCGGAACCTGGCCCGCTGCAATACTGATGGCCGAGCCAGTCATGAAGGCCGAGATGGCAGTCAATGGGATGAAGTCGACGATCCAGCCACATCGGATCAAGCCAATGAAGCAGACAATGGCCCCAGCAATGATGGCCAAAGCTGATGCCACGACATGGCCGGGGACCTCTGGGTGCTCCTTGGCCACCTTGTTGACGACGTTGCCGGTGATGGTGGACATGACCGCGACGGGGCCGATGGTGATATCTTTGGAAGTGGCAAAGAACCAGTAGATCAAGACGCCCATGAAAGACGAGTAGAGGCCGTATTCCGGAGGCAATTCGGCGAGTTTGGCGTAGGCCATACTTTGGGGCACGACAACGGCGCCCACGGTGATGCCGGCGACCAGGTCGCCCATCAGCCATTGGGCGTTATACCGCCCGATCCACCGGGTAAAGGGGAACAAATTGCGGAAGTAAATGCCCATTTGCCTCCCTGAGGGGATAAGATCTCTGATCCACTCGATAGTTCGCGGTTCTTCTTCGACATATGTGTCAGCGGTGCTGGACGAGTACATGGACTCGCCCCGGGTAATGGCTTCTTTCTGCGCCTGACGCTCGTCCAGGTTGATTCGGAGGGCCTTAGCCACTCCATGACCGACCTTGGACGATGAGGGGGCCATGGTGTCGTCGAACAAGCCCCGTAAGGGAGCGGGGAAAGACGCGTGAAGGGCGCGGAACAACAGTCGCCGGAGACACCAAAGATTCGAGAGTTCAAGAGGGTTTCTCGGGGTAGATCAGCAGGGAATAGTCGATTGGAGATTGGAGGGTTGTTGAGTCGGGCAGATCGAGTGACTTTGGTCTTTCCAATAATGCGGAGTTGCAGTCTGTAGTCGCGAGGCTGGTGCTGTCAAGGCGTGGGGATGGCAAGCGGCGCGATGGCGGTAGGTAGTTAGGTAGGTAGTGCGTGTTACCGGTCGAGGACGAGGATCTGGATGAGGCGTCACGCGACTCGTAGGCAGGTCGCAAATCGAGTGTGCTGGAGCCAACAAGTGAATGCTTACTTGGCCACTCTATGTGGTTCGCTGGGCGAGGTGCTCGGTAAGTGATCGATACCGTCGAGGATGGAAGAAGGAAGGAAACCCGGGTGGGAGTTGGTGATATATGAACTGGGTTTGAAACCTAGGGTCGCAGTCTACGGTGGTAGCTCTCTCCCCAGAAAAAAAAGGAACGATATATGAGTTCAGGAGTGACGCGAGCTGGCCGAGACCAGGTGGACAGCCCGTTGACCAAAAAAAACCCGCCCGATGCTAGCAGCAGGGTCCAGATTTTGACGTCGACGGAGCGAGCGAGCGAGATCTGGTGTGGACAGGATGGAGACGAGAAGCTCGGTGAAAGAAAGTCGAGAGATGGCGCGATGGAAGCTGAGAATTTGGCCGGTGGAAGAAGATCCCAAGGATGAGGCTGGCGGATCCATGATGAAATGGCACGACGGGAGAGAATGAGTGGATGGAAGGGCGATGGTGCAATCGAAGGCGTGATGGAGACAGGCGAGAAAAAGGTGGGAACAGGAAATGGCTTGAAGTTCGATGTCGGGGGGATGGCACAACTGGGCTTAGTTGGGCATCAGTTACTACTGAGGGTCCCTAAAAACACATAGATTGCCTGACTGGATTATAATAATAATATCTATCTAATTGCTCTGTACGTAACTGCGTCTGTTACATTTCTCTGTGCATCGGAGACGGAGGATGATCCATGATTCTGTCCTCGTCTGTCTCTTCCTGGCGCTTCCACAGTTTGTCCCTAGGTACCTAGGTAGTAGTGTGACAGCGACCATGACAGCGCGGCAATGGGGACAGTCTCTCGTATCTACCTATCTATATGCACACACTTTGCCTTATCATCCTTCAGATTGCAAGGCCTGCAATATTAGTCTTCCTCTCCTCTTATCACCTATCATCTACCTCCTATGGCCTACAACCTAACAGCTCTCCTGCCCCTTCTCCTACGCACCATGGCCCGAATGTACCGGGATTAGTTCTCTCCAGCCATCGTCGCCATCATCATTATTCATTATAATTCATCATCACCATCAGAGTTTTCCTTCGTACGGTGGTACAACCTCGCCCCTTCGAATTGGGGCCGTGTGCATCTTTGCTTCCACCGATCGAACAATGTTACAGGAGCGAAATGGCGTGCTTGCGGCCTGCTCCAGCGATGCTCCACTCCTAGCCTCGTCTGGAGCTCCGCCGCCAGTGGCTGATCTCGCGGCTCAACGTTGGCATTATTCGGGCTTTTCCTGAATTAGCATGGATTCCTGCCAGGGGTCTTTTCTCTCTGTCTCGCTCTCCCATCCTCAGCTTGCGCCCATCGCTGTCGGTCCTTGGCCAGCCCGTCATCTTCGCCGCTATTCAGCGCCACGAAGCGAATGACAGTTGCAAAGGTCTGTCGACTGTTCCAATCCAACCCTTGTACGCTCTAAGCGTAGAGATGCCGCGCCAGGATATACTGGAGAGCGAAAAAGAGCGAGTGAACAAGCAAGCGACAGATACGTAGTGTGGGGGAACCAGAGACGCATCGATCGGAGCACCCAAACTCGACCATTTGACCTGACTACATACCTGACAAGGCACACAAGCTGGATACATCTCTCAGACTCATGTCACTCTCCCCGGTCAGCACTTCTCGTAATCTTATCACAGACGAAACCAAGAAACAGTCAAGGTAGGTGAAAAGCTTTCTGGGCGCCCGTTGGAAATCTTGTCCAGCACGTCCACCAAAGATACATTCATCTCACCCAAGGTACCTACACTGGCATAGTACTTCACTTACTTCACATACATACCTTGTCATCTGCAGCTTACAACTAATGACAACATCAGGGAGGCATCCTGCCTTCCAGCATCCCATCAGCATGTTTGTATGCATGTATGCATGCCCTGGCCCCTGAAGGGCATCGATCAGTCCCACGGTTGTCTTGCGCTAATCACTTCTCCATCTGCAAAACACGGACCCTCGCCTTGTGCCAGAAGGTGTCAAAACGGCGGCCTCCTTGGCTGTACGTATTAACGTATCACATGTCTGATTATGTCGGCTTTTCGAGATGCACACTGCAGTTGACTGTATGCATGACCAGCCCAGCCCAGCCAGCCAGCATTGAGCCATGACAGCGACGGCACATCGCACTACATCTACATAGCATGGTCGGTCAAACATGCAGAGGGCGGCCTGGCAAGAACCTCGATCTGTCGGCAATCGAGTCACGATATCCAGATCACTTATGGCGAAATACTAGTACGTAGATAGCAACACATCATGGGACACGAGTCACAGAATCAACGGGCGCAAGATCGACGTAATCGTGAAGAAGAATGGCTCATTTCGCACTAACATGACATGCTCAAGTTCACGGTCGCTGCTTGTCCTCTGTCTTCGTCGTCGTCTCGTTTCAGCAATGGCCGAGTCTATCCCATGCAAACAAACAAACCAGGCAGGCTGTCTATGTCATAAAACTGCAATGCGGGAGTGTCCCGGGCGAGCCTTTGGGGCAGTGCGGCCATGCTGGCAGCCATCGCATAGCTTGCCTACCACAAAGATCTCATCATAGGAACAAACTGGTGAGCTCCATTCCCACCATAACAACGCCGCAGAGAATCCCAGTTTGGCCTTCCCAACCCTATGACGCCAAACGATACAGAGCCTCCGATGATGCGATTCGATGGGGTCCTTCCTGGACACACAGAATCCCTCGCCGACTAATGCTGCTCGCTAATGCTCGAGGCCACTAGCACCGTGGGTACCTGTCAGATCCATCCCCGTGTAGTGGTCCCCGCCTTCATGTCTTTCCTTGTTCGCGCGGTGCGACCGTGTTTACTGCGACGCGCATTGCACGCGCTCTGCACCGGCCGGAATGTCTTCGTCATCTTCGTCGTGGGCGCCGTGGGCACGTGCTTGCTGGCGAGGGTCGACTTCTTCCATGTCAAAGTCCTCCACCATCGAGTCCGGCGGGGGCAACTTCTGTTGCATGCGTGGTGGCAGCACCGACTCGAGCAGATGGAGGTTTTGCAATTGCGTCTTGTCCGGGAATTTGACGTCGAACTGCACGTAGAGGTCGCCGAAGTCGTGATGTCTCATCGAGGGCATACCTTGTCCTTTGACGACTTTGACCATGCCTAACAAGATGGTCAGTCGTGTGCTTGAAGCAACGGCGGAGTTGAGGAAACTTACCAGGTGTGATGGGCTCGCCGGCAGGGATGTTGACGGTCACCCACCGGTCATCAAGATGCTCGATAAAGATTTGACCACCGGCCAGAGCGGTCAACAGGTCGATTTCGGCGTGATAGAACAGATCATCGTCCTTGCGCTGGAACCTAGGATGTGGCTTCTGCTCGATCTCAAACACCACGTCACCTGGAAGCACCCCAGGCATCTGGTCGCCTTCGCCGCGGAATTCGATCTTGTGCCCGCTCTTGACGCCGCGGTCGACATGCACGTGAAGCACCTTGCGCTCCACAATCGTCTTCTTGCCCATGCAGCGCTTGCAACGATCACGGTCGCGAAGAATCTCTCCTTCTCCCTGGCAGTCGGGGCAGATGGTCTGGAAACGTTGAATCATGGGTCCCATTTGGCGCATCATGGTCTTCATGCCGGCACCATTACAGCCGGTACAGGTTTTGACCGCACCCTCTTTGCCTCCGCGACCTTCACAGGCGGGACAGATGACGGATTTTTGCAGAGCAAGTTTGGAGACCTTGCCGCGGTAGATATCCTCCAGGGAGACTTTGTGAACATGATGAATGGTTCTGGCCTTTTTCGGGCCAGTATCGCGCATGCCACCACCGAACATGCCGCCGAATGCACCGTTGCCGCCGAAGAATTGGGCAAAGAGGTCTTCGGCAGCCATACCGCCGCCCATGCCACCTTGTTCTAGCCCCTCTTCTCCATACTGGTCGTAGATGGAGCGTTTCTGGGGATCGGAGAGGACTTCGTAGGCTTTGGAGAGTTCCTTGAATTTCTCGGCGGCATCTGGGTTGTGAGCATTCTTATCTATTTGTTGCGTGTTAGTCAATTCTGCGACGCACAGAGTATGAGATAGCTGTGAGTATGCATACCTGGGTGATGTTTCAGTGCGCCCTTCTTGTACGCTGACTTCAACTGAGCCTCCGAGGCAGAGGGATCAACCTGTTATCCGCAGTCAGAACAGTGTCGCGTTTGGTGATCGGTGATCCTAGCAGAACTCACCCCTAATATTTCGTAGAATTTCGTGTCTTTAACCATTTTGCCAGGTTGAGACTAAAAGTAGTCGTAGTCGGATGGCACCAGATACGTAGAGGAGAGGGAAGAAGGTGAAAAAGTGGACGGTGTGAATCTGCGAGAAGTAGTTGAAAGTAAAGGGTCTGGAGGGAAACGAGCGAAGTCGATCTAGTGGATGGGGAAGCGCAGGGTCGAAGACGTAAGAGGCGAGGGAGGTGTTGAGGCTCGGGAGCTGGTTTTGTTCACTATTGCACAGCCAGGCAAACCTGAAGTCAGGCAAACACAATTTATGAAGTGTTCTTGTCTTGTCTGGTGCGGTTCGCGTGTCAGGCGTCAGAGAGATGGAAGTGAAGTATCTGTGAGAGTGATTGCGAGGTCATATTACTAGGCAGTGTTTCCCTTCGAGTGTCCCTTCGCAGTTATTACTGGGGGAAAGATCTGGCAGTAGTAATACTACCCGCGATAGTGGGCAACAGACCCTGTTGGCGCAGGCGGAAAAGGGCTGAATCGGCCGCCAAGCCCTTCCAACTCTTCGATGAGTTTCTGTCGACGACCATGATCCCCGTTAGCCACAGTTCTACAGAGGACTAGGAGCCTGACCTTGCCAGCCTCATTTCCTGTCTTGCATTCTGGCAGTTTCGTTCAAGCTCTACAGGGATCGGAGAGCTACATGGACGATGATACTTGTTGTCACTACGAAAGCCAGCTATATTTACACAATGAATAATGAATTGATGCATGATGTATAGATCTTAAGCACAACCTCGGCATCCAAGCATATTATATTAATCACCATGTTCTAACCACAAACAATGCTAGTGAGTACCTGTCGAGGACTGTGCTGACGACTGCCAACCCCCTGGACCCTTTTGATCTCGATTACGTATATTCTCAGATCCCGCAGGTGAGTGGGATTAATGGGCTAGCAGCCCAATCATGAAGCAACTGACGAAATCGGCTTGAACGAAGGCCACAGAAGGGGTCTCACTACGATTTAGACCGACCCTTGAAATCCGGCGTGTCGGCGACAAACACGATATACGTGATGACCAAGCAACAGACCCTGATATGCAATGCGCACTACGTACTACAGTGGGAGCTATGGTACTCTAGCTGGGTACAATACATATCTCAGAGAGAGATTCGATTGTACATTCACGATTCGGTATACTGATCTATGGTCATACTTCCTTTATGCCGCTATACCCTGCTGTCGCTGCTGGTGGCCAAATCTAAGATATCTCATGGGTATTTCTCAATTATTGTTGCTGCTGACCTTCAAAATAATACACACACCAACCCATCAAGACAGTCACTGTCGGGGGGTGCTGATCTCAGACAACTGCCAAGGTGAGACGCCATCGTCGGGGGCTTACTACTTGTGTAGTTGTACAGAACAAGTGCCCTCAGACCTATGTGCTTGCTTGGGCGACTTCCGGCTTCGGGTCCGCCATATGGATGAAGCGTGCTCTTATCGGGGGAAGCCCATCACTACTTTGTTTCCTGGTCAGAAGCCGGCGGACTCGGGAACTGGCTCGCATTTTGGCAATGAACATCGGAGAGTATCCCTGCTGCGGCCTTGTCACCCTAAGCAGTCATGGGTCAACAAATGGAACGAGTCCAGGTGCAAGTGCATGGTTACCGAATCGGGCACAATTTCGTGGTTGCAATGCATGCGATGGAGCTGAACCAAGCTATCTAGATATGCTCGTCAGATTTTGATTCTTATATCTGCCTCTGCTTCGAAGGCTGCCACCTCCTACTCCTCGTCTCTGACATAACCCACTCATGCGGAAGCATGGGTCCAGACGTCGCGAGCCCGCTGTTCTTGTGTAGGTCTGTGGTGTACCTTCAAACACGCATCAATCTCAGTGTGAGTCTGTTACTCGTCGGTCTGGTTGTGTACGCGTCAACCTCTTCGATACCCTCGTCGTCAACTATCTCCGTCGTCCAGTTCGAATAGAGCGCCGCGACAAGCAACTTCATCTCTTGCAAAGCCAGATGACTGCCGATACACATGCGGCCACCCGACCCGAAGGCCCAGAACCAGCGATGCATCTCCTTCAGGTGGTCCTCAGAAGTGTAGCTGTGCGAACTGCTCAGGTGGTATTCCTCGGTCGTCTGCGGCGGCAGCCAGCGCTCAGGCCTGAAGGACTCCGCGTCTGGAAACACCACTTCGTTCCGGTGCAACGAGTACGGCATGGACGAGACACGCACGCCGCCAGGTATGCCCGCGTAGGGACCTAACGTGCTGCCGCCCGGTACGTGTGGTGAGATGCGTGGCTCGATGCCGGGAATGGGGGAGTGCAGACGCAGAGTCTCCATGACGATGGCGTGCAAGAGCGGCAGCGCGTCGATTTGCTTGGGTTCTGGGAGCTGGAAGTGTCCGGGACTGTTAACGCTGGTGTCGGTGTCGGTGTCAGTGTCGGTGTCTGCATTCTTTGGGGGCCACACGATCGTTGGCGTCAGCGTCAGTAACTCCTCTCGCAGCTGTTTCTGCAACGCCGGCATTTTGCTCAGCTCCCAGTACAGATACGTCAAGGCAATCGCGGATGTCTCGTGGCCGGCGCCTAGCTGGTCGAGCATCTCGCTGTAGACCTCTGCGGTGGTGGTGTCGTTTGGATCAGTGCCATCATCCACGTCATGCCGTATCGTCGGCAACGTGACTTGGCCCGCGACCGCCCTGCCCGCCGAGGGATCCTTCTCGCGCAGTTTTGTGATGCCTGTCTTGAATTGTCTGTACACCACGGGATCGTCTCCAGCATAGGAGGAAGAGTCTGCGTCGGTATCATTGCTGGCGCTTGTCGTCAGGTATCTGTCGGCCTCGCGACACATGCTAGCATTCCAGTTTTCGAGATACATGTTGGCGTCGTCGACGAATTGCGGCACCACCGGCCACCCGAGCTTGCGGCTCAACGACTTCAGCCATGGGATTTCGGCTGAGAAGAACTCGTAAGGCCGGCGGCAGTGGTACTCGTGCAAGACTCTGTGTCTGGTCGCGACGTCCTGGGTAAGATTGGTCCCTGCGCGCAAGCCAAACTGGTAGGCCGACATGAAGTCCATGGTGAATGCGTTGTTCAGGTCGTGCACATCGACCGCTTGGCCCGTGGTAGATAAGGTCTGGAGCAACGGGAGGAAGCGGGTCGAGAATAACGTGCGTGAGTTTGCGGCGATCTGGGGTGATGAGGCAATGTGTGTTTTGGAATATACGTTTGCCATGGTTCGTTTCTTCTGGGAATGTGGCTGGTGGTGGATGGTGGAGAACATGTTCATGACTCTGTTTACCGGTCAGATGTGGTGATGTTAGGCGGAACACCAGTAGGTGGACGGAGGAAGCGAGAAAGAGAGGGTGTTCGTCACTTACCCGTAAGAACCGAATCGCTGCGGATACCATGCATGCTTCTCCCAGCCGCCTGAGTAGATGGTCTTGATGCCGTTGTCGACGCAGTTGACGCTCAACTCATTTGCGCCCATACGGACGACGCTGCCGTATTTGACATGGGCCGCATGAGTGACAGTATTGTTCTTCTCATGGTATCGCTGGTAGGCTATCCAGAGGTCGCCGAAGATGGGGATCGACCAGTGTGCCGAGGGGATGTGCCGCAGGGGATGGAAGAACAGGGGATGGATAATGAACTTGTAGAAGGATAGGAGTGCCAATGCAGTCAATGCCAGGATGGGTAGTAGAGGGACAGCCATGATTGAGGAAGGTATACCGGATCCCTTCTCCCCGCACAGGGTAGTAGGAGGAGGATGTTGAAAGCCGGGCTGACTTGTAGCAGATGAGTGATATATTGGGAAGATGCAAGGCTGGCAGTCGGAAAGAGGGGGAAGATAAGGTACTGTCTCTGTCTCTGACGACGTGCGATTGACGAAAGCAATTCTGACTCACTATCCTCCTCCCTCTTATATCCTATCGGCAGAAGCAAATCTAGCACAAGGGAGAGACAGCAGCCATGGATTACTAGTATGATTTATCCATGATTCCCCTGATATGTATCATGGGAAGTTCGCTCGAGAGGATCCTCCTCCCGCCGCACAAGTCCGTATGGGGTATCAATGCCAGTGCACTCAGTGCAGCTGTGCAGGGATGTGCTGGGTGCCATAATCCGCTGGGAAACGACTGGCTCGAAAGTTGGAGGAGAGGCCAAGGACGACATGCAGCAAGGAATTCGTCAACAAAATGCCAAAGGGGACACGATGAGATTCCTGGCATCGGAAGGGTCATGCTACCGACAAATTGATGGGCTGCACTGCAAAGAAATGCGGGTGTAGCAGAGGCTCACAGTTCAATTTGCTTGTGCACGTCTCTCGGAGGTCGAGCCTAAGTGGATATATGACGGACTAAATGCTCGGCGCGATGCTATGAGGATGCAAAAATTCCTCACCAAACCTTAAATCAAACATTTTGTCTGACAAAGTAATTGACATTAGTCACGTGATGCAGTCAAAGTGCGCAGTCGATTGATTACTCGTGCTGGCCTTCTCACTGCGGTGTTCGAATATTGTTCGAATGATTCTCTGGCAGGGAGTTCAACAATCTTGGGCTGCAGTGTGTGGCAGGTTCAAGTTACTCCCAATTGGAAACCTACCTCTATAGTACCCATCCGCTGCCTTGGGTCATGCAGGGTGATTGTTGTATTTCCTGGTACTGGGAACGATCACATCCCATCCAGCAAGTCAACACCCAAAGGACAATCATGAGAGTCCTGCTTCAGCATCAGAAGTGTTTGTGGCGGAGGCACTATCTTGCTTGTAGTTTGGTTATGACCCGTTGTGCTCGGCAGTCTTCGACGTTCTGTAGACCTGACGAGACTCCCATGTATCTTCGTGTCCGAGGAGCTTGGGGAAGGGAGTGGTGTACCTACCGGTAGGTATTCACTCTCGCCGCAGTGGCTGGCAGCAGTTCCAACGTCGAACGCGAGTATCATCATGGGAGCTGGTACTTTCTTTTGCTGGTTCAGAGAACTTGTCTGCCCCATTGAATTCTGGCTACGAACACAAGTCGCTCTGATGCACAGGACGCAAGCAATGTAAATGTGCTGATCACACGCCGTCAGCCTTCTGCTTGCCCTTGCCACTCTGCTCCTCTACGCTGTCAGGTTCCTCCTCACTGCTGGACACGTCATCTTCGTCGTCGAATCCCGCAAACCGCCTGACAGTCTGCTTGGGCTTTGGCAATAGATCAGAGGGTATCTTGAGTCGATGCTGCAACACCCAGATAGCATCTGCATCTCCCGTCTCGGCCTCTTGCCTCAGTCGTGTCATCTCATCCTCTTCCAACTCCATTACTTCCTCTGCGTCACTGTCTTCTTCGCTCCCAGCTGCAGACCCCCCACTTCCACTGCTTTCGCCGTCCTGTGCTGAAGGCTCTCGAACTTCGCCTTTTGCCTGATCCGCCAACATGGCCATCTTTACAGCGTTCCGCACATTCTCCCCTACTTCCTCCTTCTCTTCAACCCATTCTTCGCTGAGTCCTTTCCGTCGACCATCCGGGCCTTTCCCTGCCCGCATATCGGCCTCCCTCTGCTCGGCTAACTCGATCACCTGTTCCCATCTCTTCCGTCTCTCCTCCTTCTCCTTGCGATCCATCTCGGGTTTGGTGGCTAGATAGGTGGCTAGATTCTTGGCCTCCGTGATCGTGCGCAACCTCCGCCCATCAAGATTGCGAGCACTGCCCGTGGCAAGTTCGGCGTTCTGGCGCTTTTTGCGCGACGACATGCGCCCTCCCGCCGCCCTAAGCTGGGATCCAAAGCCACCCTTCCCGCCAACTAACGAGGCAGAGAGTCGCAGCGGGAGGATCGCATTGTTGCAGTCTTGATGACATGACGAGGAGGCACTGAGGTCCGCAACTGTGATCGAAGAGGATGCATAGATTGGTCGGTTAGAGGTAGAGGTCAGCAAGAGGCGATTGCTTTGCAGGACACTCGGTGGGATAAGTTCTGCAATGGAATCTAGCAGTTCGGAGGCGGTTGAGGAGGCTGGCACAGGGAGACAAATGGTCGAAGGGAGCGACAAGCCAGGGAAGGAGTCGAGCAGAACATTGATTACACGTTCCATGTTGTGCTGATTTTGAACATGAACAGGAACGGTACAGAGGGTCGTGAGTGGTAAGCAGCGGCCTCACAATCTACCGAGGACAGGCGAGGATGGCTGTGAGCGGTGTTCACAGAGAGAAGAACCGGGTATCGTAACGTGATTGATGATGGACGTAAAGATAGAATAAATGCGACAAGATACACTTGTCGCCGCCTTATCGTTTCTCTTATGCTAGATCATTTTAACAGAGTCCCGTTATAACAGCGATGGAGCTAGACTATATGTAGCACATTTGGCCCCAGTATCTAGGCACTAGTAAATACTAATAGCCACTAAGCTACTAGTCTTTGTCTTTGATCGTTCATCCTCTCAGCTTCACCGTCGCGTCCTTTTAGACGATATGATGATGTTGATCGTTCCTCACTACTTAGTATCATCCTCCGCAAGAAACACCTTCATCTCCCAGCACTGAACTTTCTTCCATCACTTTCTCACCCCAGTCACAGATCAACATCCCCCAGCTTATGAATGTCCGTGCGGAAAGTCAGAGTCGGCGCACTGACCCTGGACGCGCTCCACTGAAGATCGCCGCAAGGCTACGGACCGACGGCCAGCGCCAACGGCCCAGCCTGACCCCAACAGACCAGATAAGACCGTGATCTCAGCGACAATAACTGTCCTCGGCCGACAAGCAACGAGTAGCGATAGGCTCTCCTTCTTAACATGCCCTGGCGGCCGCTGCCTCTTTCCTATGCGGTAGCCATATATCCTTTCCAACCTTCAGCCGCCTCCCCAGCGGAGTTACCTCTCCAGATTGGTGATCAGTTGTATGTAATCGAACAGGGGGGCAGAGATGGCGCATGGTGTCGTGGTTATCTTGTCGCGCCGCCCACCTTGCTCTCTGCATTGAGCCCTGATACTAGGACGCCAGCCGATGCGCGCGTGTTCTCCGGTATCTTTCCTAGATGTTGTATCGAGGTCCGAGAGCAACTCGGTCAAGATGTCACTTTGCTTGCTCAACCAGGGCAGTCCAAGCCCTCAGCTCCGGTTCCCATGTTGAAGATTGGCGACGAATCGCCAAACTCATCGGCAGAACCTTTGGTGGATGAAATTGCCTCTTGTCTTCGAGAATGGTACATTCTTCATCTGCCCGATCTGGTGTTACGTCGAGACTACCGCGTACTCGATGAAATGTCGGAAATCTCAAAACGACTCGACTATGCCAGACGCGAGTTGCTGAACGACGTTCTCACCAAGCAGGAAAGGATGCGAGTTCGAGACAAGGCAGTGTGGGATTTGGTCCACGGAAACAAGATGTTGAGTGGTGAAGTCATTGTCCGCGACACAACAAAGCAGGGAAGACTTCTGACTTCGGAAGATTTGGCCATCGATATGGCCAAGCTACAGGCGATCATGAGCGTCTTGGATGCACCACCCTCCGAGAAATCTAAGGCCACGTCCCTGCACCACTGTCTTGTGGAGGTCAAATCAGTGATAGGGGTGGACTTGCAAACGACGACACTCAGTTTGACAGCGTATGAGAAGACCGCCGAAGGCAACCTCACCCCTTTCTCCGAAACGTACAGCTCGATGGCCTCGGCCAACATGAAGACACTTCTCTCAGATCTTAGCACCAGAGACGTTGCGGACAATGGCCGTTTATTCCTCGTCGTCAAGGTTGTCGTTCCGGAGCCTCCCCGAAAACCCAAACGACGCGTTCCGGAACGCCAACCGTCAAGAAGCGGAACATTGCTCGGCCAAAGACAATTGTCCTTAAGCCGAAGACGGTCGAGTCTGATGTTTGGAAAACGTAAAGGTGCAGACAGATCACAGTCTGGGCAGAACGACCGGATAACTCCATCATTACAAGACAGGGCATCTACTCCATCTATTATCGAAGAAGATGAGGAGGAGGAGGTGGATGAGGGCAAAGTCTTAGGACCTCCCGTTCCTCGGACAATAGGGATCGGGGTACTAGACGTGGACACCATTGTAAGGGAGGGTCAGTCGTGCGAGGAAAATGTCACCATATGGTCGGTATCGCAACGAGAGGAAGAAAAGCAGCACCATCCCGATACCAAGCTAGCACAGCTGTTGGATAGTGCTGGCAAAGCCATCGTGGTTTCCAGCCAGCTCTCGAACGTGACTCTCGGCCTCTCGCCTTTTACCGCACCAGACGCAGATACACTTATCAAGAACAATCCCACCTCCATGCATCTGGTCACCAAAACACAGAAGATGGGGTTCTCAGAGGCTCCGTCCAAACCAAGGTCTGACATTTATCTGAGGTTGAACAGGGCAACAGTACCCCAAGGAGCTCACTTATCGCATCCCGATGTGGGCGCGGTGCCCATCAGCGCTCATTCGCTGCAAAACCTGCAATTAACCATGGAGGTGCGAGAAGCTGCCGGACGAAGAGTCGAACATTGTATTTATCCGTCATCCAATGCTACCGGGGTAACCGCCTTTCGAACAAACGCTGCGGAACTTGGAACCGCTTGGGATCAGACGTTGTGCCTTCGCATACCGGCTGAAAAGGTGCCCGGGAGTCATCTTGTGTTGAGCATAGCCGATGCTCCTGAATTCCCCTTTGCTCTGGCCTGGATGCCTCTCTGGGACAAGCAAGCGTTCATTGCGGACGGCAAACACTCCCTCATCCTACATGCTTATGACAAAGTCACCTCCAGTATCGACCATGGACGTGGAGCATATTTGTCTTTACCCTGGAACAACTCCAATTACAGGATCGCGCATGAAGGCACCATGGCCGAAATTGCCTCGTTGGAGGTCGAGACGTTGCTCTGCAGCACCGAATTCTCCCAAGACCGAACGCTGGTCAGTCTAACAGGTTGGAAACACCAGAAATCGGTGCAGTTGCTGGACATATTGCAGCAGCTGACGTTCGTCCCCGAAATCGAGGTCGTCAAGCAGCTCAACGACGTCCTTAATGCACTCTTCGGCATTCTTGTGCATAAGTCAGGCGAGTCCAAGTTTGAGGATTTGATTTTCAATGACCTTGTTTGGGTTCTGGGCATTGTGCATGATAGGCGGTATAATTTGGGACCTTTGGTGGAACAATATACCGAGAGTCACTTCCGCTCACCATGGGCAGCCTCTTGTCTGATCCGCAGTTTCACTCGACTGTTGCAAAGCGTTTCAGATCCCCAGAGTGCTCGGGACATGAGGGCCTTGTTCAAGGTGGGGAGAGCCTTCATGAAAATCGTCATCGCATCATACCAGCAGCGGCGGTTTGGTTCTCAGGCGAGAGGAAGCGATGACAAGTATTCCAGCTTCAAGGAAGATCTGCAAGCCATCTTTTTTGGATTGCAGATGATGATGCGAAGTGAGACGGCTGCTTTGGTCGGCAGCAAGACTCTTCTTGTGCAGAACTTCCATACTTGGCTTCCTGAATTGTTGCCGGCATTCAGCAAAGAGGAGGTTATCGGCATTGCTGTGGAATTCATGGACTCTTGTGAAGACGCCACGGGAAAATTGGTTCTGTACCGGATACTGTTGATTCTGCATTACACCCAGCTGGACACCATCTGGGTCGATGACAAAGACAGGAAAATCCTCCTCAAGAGTTGTATCAGGTGGCTGGCGCCGTATTGGGTTCAGAATGATCGGACGGAACACTGGCACGAGCAGATCAGACTCTGCTGTTCGGTCGTGGCGGAGCTGATACGCTTTACAACTCTCTCGCTTCACGACTTCATGCCCAAACTCATCTCTGCGTACAGCACTATCGCCTGCGAGCCTGTCACCAGACATCGTTCAATGTCGCTCCTATTCCCAGACTCGTATCCCTTCTCCTCCAAAGCCGCCGACAGCAACGACCATTTCGATGAAACGCTGCTCGAGCTGTCCGCGCTGATCTCGACCATCGCCAAGACGAAGACGCCGTTGAGCATCAAGCTGAAAGGGCGAGATCTCTCGGACTACGTTGTCTCAGCTCTCGGCGTTTTACGCTCCCTGCTGCAAAACCAGGCATATCCCTCGACATGGCTCAGTCTGCACATCTACCACCACTCCTCGGCCCTGGCGGTTTTGGAACACCTGTTCTCCCTGCTTGCCTCGGCGTGCCTCCCCAGCCCGGAGGACGCCGAAACGTTCGACATGCAACTGTGGAAGTCTTTCCTCGATACGATTCTCACTCTCGTCTCCTCACCCGCGCTGACACTGGAAGTGTTTTCGGAACAAAAGCGTCGAGCGGTTTGGAAGATTGCGGGCGACGTGCGTCAAGCTGGGGCCGACCTTCTGCGCAGGGCGTGGGAGATTCTCGGCTGGGAAGCCTCGGCGGACGACTTGCGCAGGTACAACATCCACCGTCTAGGCGGGTACCAAGTTCAGTACGTCCCGAGCCTGGTGGCCCCGACCATCAGCCTCTGTCTCAGCATGCACGAGGGCCTGCGCAAGGTAGCCGTCGAGATTCTGCAGACCATGATCGTCAGCGAGTGGGCACTGAGCGAGGATCTCGAACTCATCGAGACGGAAATCATCGGCTCGCTCAACTCGGTCCTCAAGGCACAGACAGTGACCGCCAACGAAGCCGTCAGCCGCAAGCTCTTCATCGCCGAACTGCTTGACCTGTTCGCAACCATCGCCAACCAGCCGGATGATGCGCTGTGGACGGCCCTTGAGGAGCTCGTGGGCACGGTGGAGGAATTGGTCGACTTGCTCACCTCCTCGGGTGATCCCGATGATGATCTACTGCAGGCCAGTCCGACCACCCCGTCCCATCGCAATGGCCATGCGAATAATGGCGACGGTGGCCAACAGCGAGGGGCAAGGGACACGGACGCGCACTCCCAGACCTCGGAGGCCAAGGAGCTCGCCCGGGCCCGCCGCTCCATCGACGGACTCAGCCCCTCCTCCCACCAGCACGGCCGCGACCGAGAGTACGGCGTGCACGCGCTGGAATGCTACAAACAGCTCGCGGAAGAGTACGAGCGCAACGGCGACTACAAGCGCTTGGCCAAGACGCATCGCGCGATTGCGAGGATTCACGAGGCCAGGGCGGTGGCAAGAGGGTTTGCTAATAATAGGGAGCTCAATGGCCGCGAAGGCGAAGATGACGATTAAACAAACTTATCCACGCAGAGCAGAGCAGAAGCACGGCTTCCAGACATGGCTCAGCCAGTCCCATTTGGCAACGACCGACCTGAAAGCTTGGTATTGGGAATGAAGCAAGTTGGTGGTTGGCATGGTCAGGATCAGGCGCGCCAGGCTCTTGGGTTGCCTTCGAGGCCGGGAAAGACATTGGTATGGCAGAGAGCGCCACCCTCTACGATGTTGGTGAGGTATTTTTCGGTGGTTGGAGCCTCCTCTTTTTCGAACATGTCCAATACTAGCGGAGCGTTTCCTATTCAACTTGATGTTTGTTGACTTCCATTCTTGCGTGCTTTGGCTGTGAGTTTCCACCGTGGCAAGATAGCGGGTAAACTCTCGATTCAGGGAGTCATGTTCGACATACCACAACTCAGACGACCCGAATTCGGCGATCCTCGAGACTGCGATTGAAACTGTACGGAACTTCGACTGTTCACTGAGTTGAAGTCACGACAGTAGTGTCTTGGTACCGTACTACGTATAACAAAGTGGAAGCGAAGGTCTGTGAGAGTCTCCTGCGGAGAGGGAAGGGGCCGCGATCGAAGCTGCTGACAAGCGGGCAGTTTGCTGCCACGGGTGCGTCGGGAAAAGGGCAGGCGGCGCATCGAGCGCAGTCAATGCGGCCGGCACAGCTCCTCTTTGCCAAACATACTGCCAGAACAGGACCCGTAAACATACTCATCTGAGGCGTGAAGGTAAACATAGCGGGTGCGACCAAAACAAATAGCGCACGAGCTCAAAACAATCTTACCAGGAAATAAACAATAGTCGTCGCCGTGATCGAGGTGCCATGATGACTTGTTGCGGATTAGAGGCAATCTCAACGTCGCCACCTCTTCTGATCAGCAATGGTAAAGCAATAGATGCAATTAGATTGATCACTCTCCTAGACAACCTGGCAAACAACCACAATCTCCCGGACCACCGCGTGGTCAATGTCAAAGTGGCGAAGACAGGTGTCTGGATGAATCAAAGCAGATGGGAGAGTGCTAAGCGGGCTCGTGTATCTGACAGCGTCGGTGCGCAACACGATCTGGTATCCAACTGTGGGACGTTCCCAAATAGGCAGTATCCCTGGGATCATGAATAATAGTAAGGAGGGACGTACGGAAGCAGTTGGGAGAATAGAGAGAAAGAAGGCTATCGAGGACTGGACCTGCATTTGGGTGTTCTTGGGCTTCACGCTCATTGTGTCGCCAGTTCGACATAGATCGTAGGGGAGCTTACAGAGCCAACTGAGCAGAATCGGCCATAAAAAGTTCGTGTCATTCCCATATTGTTCCTTTTTTTGGACCTTCTCGGACTCCTTTGAGGTTTTGAGCACGCCTGGAGTGGCAGCGGTCCCTGAAATTGCCTCCTGGGGCAGGCAGCTGTCAACACCCAAAAGCATTGACAATTGTTGAAGAAAATAAGGAGCTGCGAGTAATCCAGCGGGTACCAAGACCCAGTGATTCAGGAGTCAATGCGCGCAGCTAATGAATGAGAAGGAAAGAATTGTCTGGCTGTCGAAGTCGGAGGTGAAGTATGGTCTGACAGGTATCGGTGCCAGGGGTAGTTTGTCCTCTGCCGAGACTGACATCAGCAGTAAGAGGGTCCAGAAGGAATCGCCCGGAGCGGAGGGGTTTCACTTCAGCCCAGAGGACATTTTTGGCTGGAGACAATAGAATCGTGTTGCTCGCTGGGTTTCCCTTTCATCAATGCAGGCAAGTTAGTCTAGTCGTGATCCCTGCAACAGATCTATAATGATCGGGGTATAGAATGCAGCTAAAATGTTGAGGAACTGGCCGCACAAATGGCCTGTCAGGTCCGCCACGATGCTGGAAGGAGATGGGAGAAGATGTCAAGGAGTCCAGAGCATGGCAGGATGCAGTGCTGTAGACGAGCTGAAGCATGCCAGTGGTAGTGTCTCGCAGCGAATTTGGAACAGAGTGTAATAAAGCGAGTTTAGATACGGAGGCAGAGGAAAAGAGTGTCTGTCGCTGGTGTTCCAGTCGCCGTCGCAGGCTCGCAGCCAAGCCACACAGCAGCGGAGTTGGGGTGGCGCCTCCCATTCGTCGTTCAGCCCCCCAAACGGTGATTGATTGAGCCTTAGCCACTCAGGCTGCCAGGCTGCCACTGCCACTGCCAATGCCAGCCGCAGGAGGAGCAGGAGGAGCAGGAGGAGGGTGCAGAATGCAGCATGCAGCCACTAAGAATAAGCCCCAACTCAATCCCGATCCCCCTCCTACTACGCCGCACTAATTGTGACGGTGACGGTATGTACCTACACTGCATACGTAAGGTATTGTAGTAAACTCCTCACTGCAGGAGCAAATGGAAAAAAAAAGAATTGCCCACTGCACGGCACCACACGCACTGCATGCAATGTCCACTCCAGCCTCGCCGCGTCGTCGACGACTAGTCGCAGCGGTAGTCCAGGCACAGATCTCCTCAATCTCGTCGTCTCCATGACTACCTCAACGGCGGCTCTCGCACCATCTCCACGTTGCTCACGAGACAGTCGCGCTCGAGTCCGCGCTCGCCCTGTGCAGAGACGTCAGCCCGCCCGTCACTTTGCCATCACCGCGGTCAGGTCCATCACTCCCCTCCAAGACATCTTTCGCTGCAAGATTGCAAAACAGAGGTCCCCTCCCGAGTCTGCCATCCTCGCCACGGACCGCCGCTCAGATACTCAGTACAAAGACCACCTGGAGCCCGTGTTCCGTCTGTCGTTCCATCCTTCATCTTCCTATATCCACACGCTCGGATCGGACTCTATAACCATCAGTGCTGGAGGAGGGCAAGAGTCACAGCCTGCTCAGAACACCTGGAGGTCAATTGCGCCAGTCCCCATTCGGAGGATTAATAGTCGACCGTGTATACCGAACAAAGGGTTCTAGACTTGAGGTCTTGTTGCATTGAATCACTCGATACAGACACCTCGGGATCCACAGAAAGGTGTGAACGGACTCGGCATTCTACTATTGGGAATCAATATCGACAATATCTCGAATTGGGAAAGACAGCCCAGAACCACTACTCCTTCCGGCACGAGCCTCAGGTCTACATATCGAAGAACACCAATACTGGTCTCATAGCGCGCCGATCAACCAACACCTAAAACGTCGTCTATTGCTCTTGTGACAGAGGGAATATTGGCTATACGTTGGCGTCATCCTCGACACACCCCAATTATTATCACAGTCGGCGGTCTCGGAAAGGGAATTGCTGGTTGCCAAGGCGTGCATACCAGAAGTCCTGTTGCCCTTGTTTTGCATTCCGACTCTGAATGCCGGCGACTCATTAGCCACCCTTGATCTCTTCTTTTTTTCTTACCTTCCTTTTGAACATCTTGTTCATCATCAATTTCGCCTTAGGTGAGTACCTACCATTACGTCTTGTTTCCCAAAAGGTCCTTTTGAGCAACGGGACTGTGCTTGGTCCTATCAGCTGCCACAGTCGGATGGACCAACTAGACTCAAGCATATGCGGAAGCGCGCCTTGACCATCCTCCACTTAGCACTGATCCCTGGAGGACCAAGGTGTTCATCAATATCTTGATTCCCATCTCTCTCCATCGTTCCTTCTCCATCAATTGTACTGACCGGCAAAAATGCAGACTTCAAACTTCCGATTCGACGTCGGCCCTTTCACAAAGCCTCAGAGCAGCGCTGCAATTCAGCGGGCTTTGAGACCACCACCGCCATTTCCTGCTAAGGGAGGAATGGACATCGGAGGACTACTGAACGCGAGGAATGCTGCGGCCGCCGACGCTGAGCTCAGACGTCAACTACAGGAGTCGATGCAGATGAACGGCGGCGTCGCATACGGCATGAGCCATAACCAAGGCCCGCCCATGGCTCACCATCCCCAGCATCCTATGCAACAGCCCAATGGAATGCCCTATGGGGCGATGGGACAACCGCAGCACAACCCTCAGATGTATGCGCAAAGTTATATCCCTCGACATGAGGCTCAGAATGCGCTTGATGACAACTTTGGTGCTATAAAGCCCAAGAGTGAGGGCGCGCCGAAAGCATTTGCCTGCAGTACTTGCCAGAAGGGCTTTGCCAGGCGGAGCGACCTCGCCCGGCATGGTATGTTGAGTCATCTTTTTGTCTGAATACTTTATCTGACCCTTCTCAGAACGCATACACAGTGGCATCCGGCCTCATGCTTGCGACTTTCCCGGATGTGGGAAGCAGTTCATTCAAAGGTCTGCCCTGACTGTACACGCAAGAGTCCATACAGGCGAGAAGCCACACATGTGCGAGAGATGTGGAAAGGTTAGTCTTGAAAATTTCCCATCGTTGAAATCTTTCCTGATGCTAATGTCTCTACAGCCCTTCTCAGATTCCAGTTCACTTGCCCGACACCGCAGGATTCACTCGGGCAAACGACCTTACAAATGCCCCTATGCCAACTGCCAGAAGACCTTCACCCGGCGGACGACGCTCACGAGACATCAGAATCATCATACGGGCACCATCGAGCAAGCAGCAGCAGAGACTAACGCCAAACTATCGACCACCCAGGCTCAGAGTCAGTCCATTTACGGATCTACTTCCGGCTCTTCGAGGCACTCCACGGCCTCGCCCGCCGACAGAAACCTTTCGGTCTCACCAAACACAGAAATGCCGCCTGTGACGAATGGAATGCAGCGGCAAGGTTCGGATTATGGCTACATCCCCCAAAACCATTCATTGCCTCCGCACATGCGTTCCGACTTCCAGCAGAATGCATCACGCCAAAGTCCCTCGCTTGGTGGCCACACTCTTCACAACTATACGAGTGCGCCTCAGCAGAGACCAACCACGTCGCACCCTAGCAGGTATGGCCCACCCCGGCCGATGGAGCCTCCTGCAACCGGCACAGGCAGCGGTGGCGCTTCCCCTCACATGGGTGCTCTCGGATGGGGATCGCCTAACAATGGAAACCTTCCCAACCCTAACACGATGGACAACTATGCTTATCCAGATCCGGCTTATGGTGGTCATCAAATCTACTACCCTGGCAGCAGCATCCGCCGGCCTCAGAGCACCGAACCGGAGGACTATGGTATGCGATCTCGGCATCCGCATATGGCGCACCATGTGCCTATTACGGCGGACTGGAGTGCTATGCCGATAGCTGTCCAGGATAACCGGCAAGAGCGATATGTGATGTAGGAACCGTCACAATCAACCTTCGACCCGGTTGCAGCGACTGTCGCGCCAGGACAAGCACTCGCCTTTTTCGCCGACGCGGCGATGGAGTCTCGACCGTTTCCACTCTGTCCGACCCTCCCGAGCGCGCCGGAAGCAGTTGCAACGCCCCCAAGCGCCAACAGTCATTTACTCATGATACCCCGAAACGGTCATTTCTGATTGTCAGCTCGTCATCGGTTTACTCGGCTTTTCCCTTTCTTGATTGTATGATTTTCATGAGTCTCATTAATTGAAGCAGGACAGGGTGGATCAGGACTCAAATGTGCTAGGAATTGTACAAACGATATTTGTCCAGAAGAGGGAGTTGGTGAGGGTGGAACCTTTTTACATCTGCGACGGCAGTGGCTGGGAAACTACTAGCCGGATGAAGCACAGACATGAGGGTGATCAAGGCGCAATATTGGTCCCCAAGGGTGTGAGGGCCTGAGGCGCCTGGAGTCTTCCGCATCGAATGGGAGTGGCGGCATCGTTGACCTGATGATTTTTCAATATGGGCTATTGTCGTTGACGCCAACACTATTAGTTGCTATATCGCTTGTCGCGTTCAATCAATCAACCGTTCAAGATCTTGTCTACTCTGTACTGTGGTATACGGCCTACCAGGCCCCATTGCAGTCTGCTGACGTATCCTTGCTTGGTCTAGTCAGCCTCAACCGATCGTCCTCTTGGATTGATCTGGGAGTCTGGGACATTTTTCCGTGTTCGTTAGTTGTGAGGTACAGTTCATCCCTCCCCTTCGTCTCATGCTCGATAGGTGAGCTGGAGATTGTGGTGTGATGTATCTATCGTACGGTATAGGTTTGAGGGCTTTCTTTGGCCACGTCTTTTGTCAATGGGCTAGCGACCTCCCTCCCTATCTTCATTCGATCTAGACCATCGTGAGTGTTCCTCATACTCGCACTCCTGTAGACCCGCAATCCATCAAGACGAAAGGAGGGAGTGAAGGAGGTGGACAATTCTTTTAGTCTCTACGATGGATGTGGATGGCGATGTCTCGGTTATAGCCTGGCTTTCGCTTACCCCCCCTGGTTCCTTGCTTGCCTGCATGATGCAAGTCATTCCTGCTCTCCACACGATCCGGTGGATCTCTCTACGGGGTGCAGACTGAAGAAAGTTCATCGTTTGGCCCGCTTACTCAAGGGATCCATCCTCCTCTTGACTATTCTTGTCCTCCGTTGTCTCCTTTTCCCCCTGATGAACGATGGGTTGTCAAATCCCAGTGCCGAGCTAGTCAGCGCTGCTCTATGGAGCTGCTGCTGGAGCAGGGTGTTGTCTGATACGACGACAGAATCAGCTCCTGCAGACTTGACATCAAAAACTTGAAACTTAAAAGACTGTTTGGCAGGTGGATTCGTGGGCTTCATTCGTGGCCTTGTGGACCACCTTCTATGTAAAGTAGTGAGTTCTGTGAATCGTGGTTGGATAGTGTCCACTCCATCCATTTACTGTTGGCCCCTGGGCAGTAGACAGTGTCCACTGCTGCTTGTCACAGCATCCATAGAGTATTCTTTCTGCTGGTGAGGTGGAGGGAGGGACAAGTACGTACCATTTCTTCCAGTCATAGAACATCGGTAAGCATCCGAAGTATTGAAGTTCTCAGAGTCAGCAGCAGATTGTTCATTATTCATTATTTAACAAGTGTCGACTTACATAGCGAGTAGACACGCTCATGCCTGGATCGGAAGATACCTCATGGAGATAATATTACCATATACTACGTGGCACTGCCATCAGGGTAAAGGTTCTTGCCGAGTCTGAAAGTCTACCCCTGCCCTTCTCCATGCATTTTCATTGTTACCATCGACTACCTGCGTGTTTCTGTTTGCTTGCAGACTGCATTCTTGATTGGAGCCATCTCAAAGCAGACACAGTCTTCCTTTCAATGCTCGTGGTATTTCTGGTGCCCAAGTTGGAACCACTGACTTGGTCTTGTTGGACATGGGTAGTGTTCACGACTGTTCGGCATTCAACGCCTGCAAGATTTTCATTGCCCTTTGTCTCCCCACTCCCCTGTCTCAGCCTCGCGGTGGCAGCCTTGCAGCGCTGAGTCAGCACCCCCGACGTGGATGTTGCCATTCCCTGTTTGCACTGAACAAGCGATCATCAATGGGTTCAGACATGCATACCAAACACAAATGTGATGGTTTGCCCTATGTTGACGGACTGGATCCATCTGCAATGGCCCTCTTGAACCCATCCTTCCCTTTCTTCCATGTTTTTATTTCAACAATGCTCGTTGTGGTGGCGTCACACGTCGGAGTGTCTGCGTGTAAAGGGGCACGCAGCCATGCAGCAGAGCCTTGCGCGGGAATAGACCCAATCACCCTTTTCGCCATTGCCATGCGATGAGGAAACGGAGCGCAAAGAAAGCAGAACATGAAAGAAGATGAGCCTCTCATCCTTTGAGCGTGCCGTTTGTAACGAACCGCGTTATCTGATGGCTGTTTATCTTCTCTTCTGCCGCCCTTACTGTTCTCTCTTCTGATCTACTTCCCGACCACTCACTCTTCATCGGTCTTGCATTGACTTGAGAACCTGGTCATCGAGGGTCTCTGAGCTTATAACTTGCCCTCAAAGGTTTGGAGAAATGATCTAGCACTTCTCGCCGAGCGCCCTTTCCTATGTCCTGCTGAACCGAGTGGTTCCTATTGCAAACTTACTACGCTGCAGTCTTCTCTGTCATCTGCTGGGTGTCATGATCCCACCACCATCACGGCCATGGCGCCGTCGAATTTCCCCTGCTTCGCTTCCGCCCCGCGAGTCTGTCGTCGAGCAATTCCGTGCACTGGCGCAAGAAATGCAAGGCACAGCTGCTCGACCTGGGGAAACTGCTCCGGCAGTACAAATTCCAGAAAGAACCAGAGTCCAGCAGTCCAGCAGTCCAGCTCATCTCGTGCTGCTTCGAATTCGACACACTCATTTGTCAGCGCGCAATCCGATGGCATGGATACTGCAGAGGAACAAGAACAACTCGAGTCCAAACAAAGCTGCAACAACGAAGATGAACAGGCACAAGACCGAGAAAACGGAGACAGAGACGAGGCTGAGAACCGAAATGCAGAAGCAACAGCAGCAGAAGGACCAGGTCAGTTGGAAGGCAGTGAGTCCGGAGACACCGAGTTCTTCACACCAGATACGTCCCCAACAGACACCGAATTCCCACTCATTGACCAGGATCATGATCAACAATCGAGCGCACGCCGTGTGTTGGCCCTATTTGGACTTGGAGGCACCTCGGCGACGACCTCGTCGATATATCACACGACAGAATCAGAACCAGCGTCAAACTCAACGTCAGAATCGGAATCAGATACAGACACAAGCAGTGACAGTGGCAGTGACTCGTCGTCACCAGGCGGCGGTACACCGCTGTCGCAGGCAGTGCCTCATCATGACCATCATTCAGCGGCGCCTTCAACAACTGCCCGTCGGGAGCCCTCCCCAGAACCATCGACAGGTGAAGTCCCAGGCAATGACAACAGTGAAGCAGCCCCGTCTTCACGTCAACAACAGCGGCCGCCAGCATCGATAGCAGCGACACCACCTTTGTCACCGTCACTGCGTCCAGGACACGCCCAAGCAGTTGACGAGCATTCACATTCAACGTGTAAACATAAATACGCAGACTCTTCTCCTTCTGAACCATCGTCTCCAAAACAATTTACGAGCCTTACATTGTCGGTACCATCGAACCCGAGAAACTCCCATCCTCCGCCCCCACCGATACACTCGCCTCCATTACCATCATCACCCTCTGGTTCTCGTCCATCATCGTCATCACCACTGCCGCAACCATCAGCACCCGCAGCGCCTTGTCCATTAGGACCTCCTGCTACGGCATCGCCGTCTTCGCGAACCTTCCTACTGGATCTCCTGAATTCTCCCACGGCGAAGGCACTGTTGGAGTGTGCCGATAGCACAGCACACACGGCCAGAACCTTTCCCACCAGGGCCACTACCAATCGCCCAGACGCACAACCTGATCGGCAAGATCTCACAACCACCATGTTTCCACGCAGAGGCTCTGAGACAGGAACTCCTACTGAAAGCAGAGATGACACAGGGACAGGCACTTCCAGTGCACCCGCACCTGCACCTGCACCTGTGCCTGCGCCAGTGCCAGCACCAGGACAAGGACAAGCGCCAACACCGCTTAACCCGCGGGCCGCGTTGACCGAAGACCAAGTCCGAGCATTGATTGTGATGGACGATGATTTCGATCCGATCCCGACTGAATATCGAGATGGCTTTCAGGGGTATCAAGACATTGTGTCGGGTCGGCCAAATGCTCAAGCTCAAACCCAAACTCAAACTCAACCACAACAACCAGCGCATGCACAGCCAGGGCCAAGACCCAGAAATGAGGGCGCTGCCCAGACATACCTCCCTGTATCATATGGACTCAACAACCGCGAGCCAGGAAACACTCCATTTGGGATCGGTTATCCTAGCCCAGCAGGACCGAGTCCCATGGGGTCGGGCACGCCACCGGTCGAATACGGATATGGTTTCCCACCAGGCTTGCCAAACGTACCAGCGCCAGGCTTTGCATATGGAGATGGACATGGCCATGGACATGGACATGGTCCTGGAGCTGGCAACGGGTATGGGTACGGGCATGGACATGGACACGGGTTGGGGCCTGAATATGAGTTTGAGTATGGGCGCGGTTCACCGGCGAACATGAACATGAACATGGGCATGGGCATGAACCTCAACCCTGGCCACAACGGCTTCGCGGCACCACCTGCTTTTGGCGGCCCTCGACTCGCTCCACCGTTCGCCAGTCCCCGTCGTCGTGGAAGTCCTTCTCGCCCCGGCCACAGCGCTCATGCGTCCCTGTCGTCCCTCCATGCACAGCAGTCCTACGGACACGGTCCTGGGCCGGGAGCGGGAGGACCGACCACGCCAAATCGAGGTAGCCACCACAGCCGCGCCAATTCTCTCTCGGCTATGCCACAATCCCTCCATTTCACTCATGCCGAAGAGTATCCGGGCAACCGCCTCAGAACGGCTGCTGCAGGTCTACTACCCGCATTGGGGAGTCCGGGGCCGGGTTTGCTTGAGACGCGTGGCACCAACAATCATCTTGCTCCTCCTTACGAATCGCGCAGCCCTTATTTTGGTCGCACCAGCTTGTATGGGCCACGTCTTGCGCGGGAGGCCCGCCAAGACGCTGATGCTGCCCGTCCTCCATTTCGGATTGACAACAATCTGTCTCATGTCAATGCTAGTAGTTCTCGTGAAGCGCCGTTGAATGGACGGGGTGAGGAGGAAAATGGGAAACAGGCCGACGGTGATAGATTGTGAACGAGTGGCCCTGACTGCGACTAGCTATGGACGTGGGATGTGAGCTGGAACGTCGTTGCAGGGAGCCGAGGGGAGAGAATGACGACGATATTGGACGGTAGGTGAAAGGTGAAGAGAATTCGGCCTGGTTTCGGCTGTTAGTGGTGCGCGGAAGGCAACGTTTGAGCTGAACGGTGTCCTAGATTCTAAAGTTGTTGATCCTTTTGTCATATGTGTTTGATCAAACAATACTAAAAGTCCAGGAACTCACAGTCCGCTTCAGCAAGAGAGCGAGACTAGGAAACCCATCTCTCTGTATGAATAGGTCAACCGGGATTAAATGGCATGATGGCACCCACAGCAGTAGTGTCCTTGTCCGCAACGGGAGAGAAGTAGCAAACAGACGCAATATCAGAAATCCAAGCACGACATGCAAGCAAGAAATGGCTTTAACGGACAAAGCAAAGCAGGAAGTTCGTTGCATACTTCCCATTTCATTCCTAGCCTTAAGATGATGCAAAGAATCTGTACTGTCGGTCCATCCTCAGCCTGAACCGTGGAAAGCATCAAGTCTCCATTCACTGGTCTATTATCGCGTGGAACAACGGCGGATCTTTGTGACAGGCAGTCAACCATGCTAGTTCATGCAATCGCATATCTGGTGGAAAAGCAGTGTCGTCGTAATCAACCCCAGAATGTCGCTCACCCGACATCACAAGCGCCCCTTCGGATACAAACTGTACTTTTATCAAAAGTCGTGTCGCGTCGTACTGGTGGAAATAGTGGTGACCAGGCAGCTAGGCCTCGGCGTAGAACTGCTTCATGAGACTGTTGACGACTTCATAAGCCCGCTTGGCTTCAGCAATACTCTCCCCGATCAACCGAAGGCACTTGTCTTCGTCAGGCTCGTCGGATTCGCCGGTCTCGTTCTTCTTGTGTCCATAGTGTTGAATCTTCTCGCATTCATCCTTCACCTTGGTAAAACCCAGCGTGGCAGAGGAGCCTTTGAGGAAGTGGCCCAGACTTGAGAGTTCCGCCAGGTTCTTGTCCTTCCTGTGAAAGGCGCAATGTTAGCACTATCCTATGCACTGTGGATGCGATCAACTAGCGCGGTGGCACACAGTGGTCAACTTACATCGCAGCATCCATCTTGGTAAATGTTTGTTCTGCTTGTTCAAGAAAACCGAACACTATTGACTTGCTGAATTCCCGTTCGTCCTCTTCATCCATGTCAAGGATTTGTTCGAAGGTAGCTTTGTCGACATTGTCGCCGAATTCGAAATCTCCCTGAGCGAACAAGCCAGGTTAGCGTTGTCCTCATGCTCAGGTATCGGATCCGCATTGCAATTATCATCAACGGATATCTTAGTCCGTGGAATATATTATACCCATGCCAACGTATCGGGTTTCTCACCTCTTCAGACATTCTGGAATGTGTTGTGCGAATACCCGGGAGGGTGATATTTCTGCCAGGGATCGGTAGTCCTCTGGCTGCGACGGTCCGAATATTAATGAAGTGAACCGCACCAAAAGCAAGGAAGGTAAAGACGTGTTATCGTATTATCGAAGGTGAGGAGAAGGATTGTTTCGGCAACAGTCTACTGTCTGTCCTCAACTTGTCAGTTATCGGGACAAAGGGCTGAGCAGTGACTCGACACCAGTGTCTGTCTCCTTCTCGGTGCTGGTATCAAATAATGAGACTGGAAGCCACCCACCTCCGATTTTCAACCAGCGATACGCTGGTTTCACTGAGCAGGAAATTTGATGAAGCAATCGGCAATGTGATGAAGATGTTTTTGTCAAGCAGAAGACCAATCGCCCAGCGCAGACCAAGATGTCGCACTTATGCTTGTGTAGAGGAAACAATAATATTGCCAAGTGGAATGCGAGTCTCTTGTTTGTTGAGATGGAAGAGATTCTCGCAGTGCGTTGACGGTGAGTTGTGTAGAGGAGCGCAGTCAGTCTGTAGTAATCGCAGTGCGTAGTCGAGCAGCAGCAGAGGGTTGTGGACAGTGTGGTTGAGTGGTAGTAGTTGCTTCTACTAAATTACTAGTTGACAGTAGTAGTGCTAGTAGTAATGAAAAGGTCCCCTGCCACTGCTCCCTCGCCCCCAAAAATGGAAGTGACGTACGGTTTCACTGTCTAGGACAAAGTCGATGTTGTCGCTTGCTGATCATCGCAGGGGCCTCAGAGCACATAAATTCTACGTATCACTATCACCCTTACTATGGCTATGGCCATCATCAGAACATTTGCTGTTACGGCCGCTGCTATTTGCCTGCTACTGCTATCATGTCCTCGAGTCCACTCTTTTACAGCTGTCAAACTCTCATTGCAAGGCCGAGGTGAACTTAACTCAGACGAGCAGCAACCAAGCTCGGCGCCCTTTCCACTGGCTTTTGAGGCTGATTGATTACTACGAATGACATTAGGAACAGGTTTGAGGCGGGGTCGACGGGACTGCAGGCTGCTCTCTGGTCGAACCTAGAGCTTACTCTGTAGAAGCCCATGACTGATGCGCGACTAGGATTGCCCGATACGTTCGGTGCCAGACCCTATCACAGTAATCCTCGTCCCATCGCAGGGGTCCCTGGGCCCAAATCGGCTCAAGCGGCTCCTCCTAACCATGTTATATGTGGGATCATAGTCGTTATTGTCTGCGATATGCCTTCCTTTCTGTCGCGAGCGAGCGAGTCAAACCTACGATATTCCTCCGCTGTCGCAGATCAACCCGAGTTGACCGCTCTGAGGACTCCGGATACGAGACATTGGGTGGGGATCAAGCGGGTGCCCATCGTGACGAGCGCTCGCTGGGAGTACTTAGTGGTGGCACGCGGACGAGAAGCAGCAGGACCCTGTAATTAGTTGGGACCCATCCCACCATTATTAGGTTGCAAAAGAATGCTCTCCAGGCGGAGAAACGTTGAAGATGTTAGGCCAGGCTGAGGGTTAGGGGTGCACTCTTCTGCCCATCTGACAACCCGGAGACGATGAGACTGAACTTTGCACGCATACACTGATATACCTTCGAACAGTGGCGCGTTGTTTGCATATCTCAAATTGCTCTTCATCCGCCGACTATGCTATCCATCCTGCCAGACCTACAATCGGTCTGCGGTTAGCTGGCTTACTTCTGCCACAGAGTGCCTCGCTGCGTGGGGTCAATTGAGTGGACATGCCCTTACGAATATACTGGACTCTCCTTTGCATCCTTGATGCTGACCCCCCATCACACCCACGACCTCGATTTACCATCCTGGGAGGTGCAATTGTTGCAAGTCACAGAAACATTCCATGGCCGTGAGAAATGTATTGCTCAGCACGCGGCTCATCCTGCACTTCCATCGGCGAGGCCTGCCCCTGCAGAGCACGACATTGGCGCAAAACGCGGTGCTGCCGTACTTGTGCCCGCCCCACGAGAAAATCCCCTACACCTACCTCCCGGCAACAAGACAGATCGACATTGGTATTGTATGGAATGGGAAGCTGACGGCGCTCTTGCAGCAAACCAAATAAACTCCAGCAATGCCCACTCACACCACATGCAGCCCCTGGCACCGAGCCCTAAGGCAGAACACATCGTCTTGTTGTTGAAACTCCGGCAGAGATCTCGAGGCTCACGTTTCTTACATGCGACGTCAAGTGTTGGCCCCCAGTCTGAGGACATTGACCTGCGGGATGACGTTGTTCACTACGTCGGGGTCGCTCGATTCCATAGCGACGAGATGAGCCTTACATCCAGCACCACTGATATATAGTCGCTATGAACCAGAGGACTCGGTGAGTGTCAGCTGGCAGTGTGCTTAACCTGCTTAGACATCTTCATGCAGATAGGCTCCGCATTTGAACTTCAAGACGAGGATGGAGACTATGGAAGGGGTCAAAAAGAAAGCCCGGCAGCAAATGATGTCAACGGGCAGCTCGCACCAGGTCGGCTTGCCACCCTCGTCCAGGCCTAGCTCGCTAGGATGGCGACATGAGAGCATATTTGTCCACGTCCACCATTTTACCCCTGCTCTTATACTTTGTCAGTCGTCCCGGGCCCAACACCGTTGAGCATGTTATCAATTACGCACTTGGCCCGGCTCTTTTGAATTGCATTGTGAAAGGAGAATACGAGCAGAGGTCACCGGGCTTCCCATGAGGAATGCCGGTCGAAGAGGACATGTTACACTAAGAGAACGAGCAGACCCCGGCCACTGAATATTGTGACTGTTGTCTGTCTACTCTCTTCAACTCCTTGAAGCTCCGAGGGACACTGCGTATGGCGCAGGAAGAAGCAAAAAAGAGTCGCCTGATACCTTCTGCGCCCAGTGTACTGGTTCCAGCTTTCCTGGAACCAAACGGTACTACCTTAGTATCTCCGAAACTATACCGAACTGATCACGATTACAGGTAGGTGCGTATAGTTTACGGTTCATGCATGCTGTCTGATAGCTACCCACTACATGCAGACCAAGAGGAAGGACTGCAGACTGCGGCTGCAGAAGGATTGTTAATCCATACCTTCAGCCTAGAGGGCTCTTGTTCTCTTGTGCAACATGCTGTGGACATGCCTTGGGCGACAGGTAAGTGTCCCGACGCTCAGCCGGAACCGAACAACGTGTCGGAAAATCGCATGCCACAAAAAGGAGAAATACGGAACACATATCAAGGCAAAATCTGCGGCTGAGATAGAGGTTGGCCTTATCGGACGCCCGAGTACAGAATAGCAAGCCCGCAATCCCTGTCCACACGTCGACCATCGAGTCTGTCACCATCGCATATTGCAGCTACATTCACACTCTATATCGAGTTATGCATCACCTTGACATGCTCTTTGCTTGCCAATAGCTTGTTCTACCTTGAAGATATCGTAGCATGGGGATCCCCGAGTGAAAGAAAAGTACCATCTTGCATGGCTGACGAGTTCTACGTGTTAGGAAGCGCTCGACATGCTCAGAATTACGTTTCTCCCCCAGTACACCGACAGAAATCTCGATAAAAACATCGCTGTCGTTGCCACATGCCTGGCTGAGATTTTTCTTCTCTGTTCGACCATCTAGCCTAGGAATGGTTGACGGAAATACGGGTGCCACATTCTATGCGAAGGGTTCTATGATGCGGCCAGTCCATTCCATCCACATGCTAGAATCATCTTCGAGAAAACGGAAAAGCTTTTGCCTCTAGACAAACCCGCCTAGGACTCGCTATGACACATCTGGCAGAAGAGCTTACCCGTCCCCCTCTACCCAAAGCAGGTACGAGATAAAAGGAAGACTCTATCCACTCTCCAAGAGTGCATATTGGCTGCTGACCTTGCGGTACCGAACCCCATCGCCGTCTGGCCTCGATACTGTTGCGCCATTTGGTGGCCGTCACCTGACGATCCTGCTCAGGAATGCCAAATTCTTATCCGGTGACTTTGTAGATTGCCTCTGCCAATCTCTTGACATTGCCGGAAGTGATGCCAGCCACGGAGATACGGCCGTCCTTGGTCGCATAGACGGAGTGTTCTTTGGCCAAGGCGTCCATCTGGTCAGGTGTCAAGCCGGTGTAGGCGAACATGCCGATCTAAGGACCAAAAAACCCAGGTTAATATCAACACTAAAGCAATACAGTATTGTTGGCGGACAGGGCAGATCGTGGTGAGTATCTTACCTGGTTGGTGATGTGATCCCAGTTATGCTTTGAGCCCAAATCTTGAAGGTTCTTCTTCAGGAGTGCTCTCATCTCGATGATGCGGTCGGCCATACCCTTAACCTCACCCAGCCATTGCTTGTTGAGCTCCGGGTTGTTGAGGATTTCGCTGGCAATACGGGCACCGTGGACGGGAGGGTTGGAGTACAGAGGACGGACGAGGATCTTGATCTGCGAGTCGACACGCTTCTTCTCCTCAGGCGACTCACAGACAATGCTGAAGGCACCCACGCGCTCGCCGTACAGGCCCATGTTCTTGGCGAATGATTGAGCCAGGACCAGACCATGGCCTTGCTCGATGAACAGACGGACGGGATATGCGTCCTTGTCAGTGTCGCCGGATGCGAAGCCCTGGTAGGCCATGTCGAAGAAAGGGTAGTGGCCTTTCTCCTTGACAAGGTCGCTGAGTTGGCGCCACTGCTCCGGGGTGGGATCAATACCGGTCGGGTTGTGGGCACAGGCGTGGAGAAGAATCATGGATCCAGAGGGAGCTGCTTTCAGGTCTGCCACCATACCGTCGAAATCCAACCCGATGGTGTCCTTGTTGTAGTACTTGTATTGCTTGACCTCGAGACCCGAATCATTAAAGACGGCCTTGTGGTTGGCCCACGATGGGGTAGGGATGTAGATTGTCTTCGCGCCGGGGTAGAAACGGTTTAGGAATTCACCTCCTATTCTCAGCGCACCGGTTCCTGAAATAGACTGGGTAATGGCGATCCGGTCTTCCTCGAGCGGTTTTGAGTCGGGCCCATATGCGAGCAAGGCAGCGGCTTTGGTGAATGTAGGCACACCGGTGATACCAGCATATTCTTTGTCAAGGGCGGAGGAGACAATCTTTTGCTCGGCGGCTCGGACGCTGGGAAGGACGTAGGGCTTGCCTTTGTCGTCACCTGTGGACAATGTCAGAGACCGCTTAGATCATACTTGTGCATGTGTCTGCTAGGAGTTTGCAATCGCAGGAAGTATTCAGGTGGTATGGTTCAAGAGGATAGATATAGAACAGCATGGATGTAGTTGACTCACGATATGCGCCCACACCCAGGTTAATCTTCTCCGGAAACGAGTCTTTCTTGAATGCCTCGGTGATGCCCAAGATGGCGTCAGGAGGTCCTTCCTTGACCTGCGCCCATGTCGATGCGTTGACAATGCGGATGGCCTGGGCCTTGACTTGTATCTGCGCTGGTCGTTGCCGGACGGCCGCACGAGCGACTGGTCGGAGGGTGGAGAGCATGATGCCAGAAGTACAAGGGAGTTTTCTGTAGGGCCGAATCGCAGTACGCTGCGCAGGGAGAGTGCAAGAGAAGCCGATCTGAGACAGACGTGAGGATGAACGAAATAGGAATCCTTCCTGTTGACGATGCGACAACAAGAGAATGATGGATGGAACAAAAAAGGTTGCGTCGTCTAAAGCTCCGGCGAGTCACAACATGCACTGCAGTGTCGGGGATTTTTGGGGTATCAGAATCTCCAAAGGGCGCAGCGCAGTGCCGTCCGATATGAAAGCTTGTGTCAGGGGGGCTAAGGGCACCAGTCGGGGTCCCGGGGCGCTCGTATTGGGGAGTTCCGATATCGCAGCCTGCTAGTGTTAGGCTACAGGTACGTACTTCTGGCTTCAAGGGCTGGCTAGGGTAGGAAACCTAAGGTGGGTAGGACATTTATCAAAAGTGAATCTTGAAGCAATTGCCTTGGAGCTCCGTACAAGACAGTACTGCCCTTGATATCTTGCGTTCAGCCGCCCTTGATCGGCTCTTCCACTTTAATGCAAACGGCCACCGTGTAATACGAAGTCGTGGGCCGTTAGCTTCTTACGTGATGCCTCCCATACCTACAGTATAGGACAGACACTATGATGGACAGCGAAAATAGCTGTGGCGCACCGCAATGAGAGAGCATCATTCGAATAACCACTCAAGCCAATCGCACTCCAGCCTGCTTGTTCCTTTTGCCCATAGTCCCTTGGGCGCTGCTCATGCCTGTCAACTGGCTACTATCCAGTATACTGGCGGCCTCTCTCTTCTTCTCCTCCGCGATCTTCTTGAGATGTTTCTCCGTCTTCAACTTGCCACTTCCTTTACCATGGAACTGGTGACTGAGATGCTTGAAGGCCTCTTTCTGGTTCATCATCCTGCCGTCGTCGTCGACGTATTTGATCTGGACGTCGGGCTTGTACTCGCGATTGAAGGCCGCAGCAGCTTGGATCGAACTGTGATGCTCACGTTGAGTGTTTTGCCACCGAGCGTGCTCCTCTCGCTCCTTCATCGACATGCCCGTCAGTTTTCCCGACTGCCTATCACGCTCACGCTGCATCCGCGCTAGTCTCTCATTCTCAGCCTCTTGCAACCTCTGCTCGATAATGAACGTCTGTCGAGCCTTGTACAGCTCCGTTTTGTCGGTTGGATCACCATCCTTGAGGATTCCTCGTTGTCGAAGGAGGCTGAGTGCTGCACCCACACCTTGGTCGAGCGTCTTCTCCTCTTCGAGTCCAGTGTGTGGGACGTCCGGACTGAGCGTAGATCGTGCGCGCTTAAGTCTATCGAGGAGCTCCTCTTCGTTCTCAATCCCGCTGTATGCTTCACCCATAGGATGATCTTCTCCCTCGTGTTCGCCTTCGGTTGGGTTGTGGCCATCGGGCTGCTCAACAGACTTCTTGATCCTCCGTTCGACTTCCTCCTCTCTCGGCCGTGAGGACAGATTGTCCAGAAACAGGGTGGTATCATCAAGCACCAGACCCGCATTCGCCTCTTCCTGAGCTTCGGCATGGTCTCTCTCCTCCTCCTCTTTGAGCTGCTTGATGATGTCTTCCGGCTTCCGCTTCTGCTTTTTCAAAACGGCTACACGGTTTCTGGCAAGCGCATTGGCCAAATCATCGTCGTCGTTGAGATGGTCTTCAGTATTTCGAGTTCTGGCAGGAGCCGGCCTGTCCGAATCAAGCTCCATAGCATCACCGTTGTTAGTGTCATTCTGTGCAGGGAAAATATCATCGTCGTCGATACCAGCAATCCTCTGCCTCTTGGACGTCTTCTTCGACTTCTTCGATTTTTTCATCTTGATCTCCATATAGTCTGAAACCGGTTCTGGTTTCAAGATGTCGAGACTGACTGTATTCCTCAGGACGTCACCAATATGCTGCCGCTTAGCATCCCGGTCCTGCAGCACGCCCTGCCCGTCCAGAGCAAAGGCCTTCCGCTTTTTCTCGTCATACTGCGACAAAACGCCTTGCTCCGAATCATCATTGACGTCATAGGCTGTCTTTTTCTTCTTCAGAACGAGCTTTTCCTTGAGCTTTTCCTTGGCGATAAGGTCGGCACTCTCCAGAATGTCCTCCTGGTCGCTCTGATCACCGGCGGCAATTTCGGTATCCTTCAGTGTCAGAATTTGTTCCGAATCACCATCCTCGAACTCGCCAATCTCATGTGCAACCTGTACACCAGCGAGGTCCTTGGCAGAATATTCCAGCCCGGCTTCTCTTTCCCGCTCTGCCAGCTCTCGAGCCAGGCGTTCTGCCCGTTCCCGCTCAATCTGTGCTTGTCTCTTCTTCTGGGTTTTCAACCAGGTCTTCGCGTCCAGATCAGCTCCATCATCAACGTCTCCTAATCCTTTCCCTTCGAGCTTCGAATTTCTGGCGGCGGCATCTCGGGCCTTTTGAATTTGTTGTTTACGTCTTTCCCGCTCGACGCGTCTTCTCTCTTCTTCCCGCAACTTTTGGTAGTTCTCATACCCCGCGGCCTCGCGGGTGTCCAAGGTCGACGCGGGTTCTTGATCGCTGTCGTCGCTTGCAGAATGGTCTTTGAATGTTGGTCCTTCAGAGGTTGGTGGAGGTTGTCCACTTACGTTCAGCAACGGTAAACCCAGACTCTTGCGGAGCTTGTTCATCTGCTCGATGTCCGGGGTCGCCATGATGGCTGCAGCGAAGCGCAAAACCACGGGGTGCGGGTGTAGTTGTGTATATGGGGTTCAAGCAGATGAGTATCGGGTTGTCTGCGGTGAGGCAAACTTGGAATGATGGAATTGTCTCCGAGCCGCAGGCGGAGTCTGATAGCGATGGGTGATGTGCACGTGATTGAGTCCAGCCTTGGCACCGCTGCTTTAGTATATCACTACTGTATGTAATTAGTCCTATCAATGGGTACACGGTGGGTACCTCCTACCTGATTTAGTGCTAACTCAGTGATATGACCGCCACGAGCATGCTGTATGATAACTACCTATGTAGTCCTGCCAAGTAGTAGTAGGACCTACATCATATTGTCTCTGATCCGACAACAATACTAATACTATGTATGGATTGCTAATATCGGAGAGTTTTGTCTATCTTGTTTACAAAAGGCCGTTCCCCAGCGACAGCCTGTAAATTGATCTCTAGGATGTCCAGTATCCGTCGCCAATACCGCATTGACTTCCAACTCACGTGCGGCGTGACAAAAGATTCGGTGCCCTCCACAGTGGATGGCCCTTTGGTAATGATTCTGGATCCGTCACGTTCAGCGCCGCTGCTCGAACCAACCCCTTCTCCAGCGCATCGATGAGGTCAGCCGTCACCACAAGAGGCCCCCAGCCGATGTTGCAGAGAAACGTCTTCTTCTTTGCGAGGATCTGGAACTGCTCTTTAGCGATCATACCGCGGGTGAGATCCGTTAGTGGTAAGCTCACAACCAACAGATCTAGGTCTTGGTCAAGAAAACGGTTTAGGTCGTCCTTTGTTGCTCCGTGGAACCATTTTGACTGAATAAGGCCATCAGGGTCCCCTGTTCCCGGTACCGCGTAGCTTTCGTCTTTGCGGGATTCTGGCGTCCTCTTTTCACACATCGTGAAAGCCACGATGTCCATTCCTAAGGCTTTACCGAGCTTTGCACACTGTCGACCGATGCTGCCGTATCATAGAATACCCCTGCTTTGGGGTCAGGTGAAGAACGACTCAAAACGTTACGTGGAAGTTGAAACCTACATCTTCATACCAGAAGAGTCTTCAGTCTCGGTTCCTGACTGGTAAGCAGGCTCCCAATATTCGTCAAGCATGTGCCTCTCATAACGACGAAAATGGTGTTGAACCCCTAACCAACTGGCAATCGCCCATTCGGCAATCTGAGGGCTAGGCCTTGTCAGTTATACACAAGCCGAACGTGCGTCATGGCGCTCATGGATGTACTCCATTTCCGCTGCAGAAGGTGACTGCTGGATCTTCAAATAAAGGGTTCCCGACACATTGATCCGATCCGGCCGAGGTGAGCTGGACAAACTTCAGTCGTGGCAGCAGCTGCGCCTCCGGGAGCTGATAACTGCACAAGAGAGTCACGCCTTCCCAGACATCTCGTGAAATGTCTTCGTACTTGAACAAGGCTCACGTCGGCGAAGCCACGTTGTACCATCTAACCACAACCCCGGGATATCTGGCGGAAATGCTCGCGGTGAATTCGTCAATTGCATTGCAGGGAAGCAAGAGCAAGAGGACTTCGTGGCAACCGCTGTTAGAAGTGGCCTTAGATTGCATCTTGATGAGCGTGCATTGTCCTCAAAAATTTGACATTCGGATGCTTCGACGATTTGTAGTAAGAGATATGAGCATTGTTCTGAAATCCAGCCTCCGGCGCCTCGAACAGTCCCTTGAGAAAGGTTGCCAGATCAGGTAAAGTGACGCCCAGCTCACCCCGGATTAGCATTAGAGTGATGCCGACCTGTACTCACCCCCGGCTCGCGGGAGCGGATGAGCGCTCAGCCTGGCTCTCGCCCCTCGTGGGGCCGAGATACTAGGAGGCCACCACGGCTACCTGTACCGTGGCTTCGGTGGGGAGGCACGTGGCCGGTCGGTCTATAACCACCTACTCGAGACCTTATCGCTGCTCATCAGTTAGACTTACTCTTCACTAGCGATACAGGTGGGCTGCAACCAATCATACTGGCTGAAGACAGTGCCTCGCCGGATTTTCGGTAGTCTTATACCATGTAGGAGGCTAGTGCAAGGCCAGAATGTCAAAGCTACATACGTTGACGGACTAAACAACCTCTCGGTGTTTCTGTACTCCGGACTGTCATACTGTAAGAATGCATATTTGGTCGCAGTACTACATCAATTACGCCACTACTGTGTCTCGGTGATCACATTAAGCTGCCTCGAAGAAGCAAAAGCAAATCAAGCATATCACAGGATTCTAAACACGCTCGACTGAGCTCTGGACGGCAGCTCATTTATTACTTTAATAAGAGGGAGTCGCTGTAATGGGTTGTCTTCGTGCCAATGAATAGAGATACTTGTATGTTAGCTGGAGATTTCAATCCCCAGATGTCAACCGAGCCAATAGCCTTGTGGTCAGGGCAATATCACGCTCAAGGTGATGTGTGAGTTGCTGTTGTAATCGATAGGCGCGCACACATTCAGCCAACTCGACACGAATTTCGCGACATCGTTCGAGGTTTGGATTTCCCCGCATACATGAGAGTTCTGATAAGATCGTATAGAGTTTGAAAGGACGAGACGTCGACGAGGGAAACTATGTATCGTAGAAACGGTGAATACAGCTCAGAAAGGCCAAGAGATCAATAGGACACTTACTTCTGCAGAGATGGCCTTGTCGGGAATCCCGAACGGGAGATTGCGAGCGACCGCGATCTTTCTGTCCAGGGCAAAGGCCGACCAAAAAAGGCGTCGCTTCTGCTCGGTTTCGGCGAATTTATGCAAGCCCAAATCAACACAGACACGCATTGCGACGCCGCTCAAGGCCCATGGATCGGAGTAGTCGTCGCCGACCAAAGCAGCATAGTATGCCAGCCCGACCAAAGCTTCGAGGTCTCGAAGTGGTTGTGGGTTGGCTATCGCTGCAAATGCTGTTTCCAAGTGTACGATCGCCGTTCGCTGGAGACTGGATGCTTGAACCACGGAGCCCGGAGAGATATGGACGGCCGTCGTGGCCAGCATGAGTGCTGTGATGAATATGGAGTAATGGGGTGGGTCAGAGTGGTAGGTCGCTTGTAAGTGCTCATGAACGGCATCTTCACTCATGAAAGGAAGATCGGGGAGAACCGCATGGCGAAATTTCGAGAAGACCTTTTCAGCAATGCTTTTTTGTGGTAGATGGAGCGGTTTGGGAAGGAGTTTAGCAGAAGCTGTGTTGACGGGGAGAGTGGCACTCAGGATCAAGGGTCGGAGGTAGAAGTCCTGGGAGGAGGTTGTCTCGGGAACAACCATGGCAGAGAGCGAGGCATCCCTGATATCGTCGACCAGTGACTGCACAGAGTCTTTCTCCTTGGTGTCGGTGGACGAGAAGAGATTTTCTATCAAGCTTTCGGAATGTGCTGAGAGCGGAGAGGTCTCCCCCATGAGCAATTCCATGAGAACAGGATCGTCCGTCGGACCTGTGGATTCTGGATGCACCCCGTCCCTGTCTTGCACCATTGCCGGAACAGTTTCTGAATCATCATGATCATGATGTTGGGGTGATATAATGGATGAGGTGGCATGACCACCGACTTCCGCTGCTCTCAGCTCCTGTTCAAGATGGGCGACTTCGGCTTCGAGATCAAGGACATAGCTGCCCAGTAACGGTCAACTTGAAGCCTGATGTGGGGTGTGGAGAGCATTGTCTTACTTCATATAAGCCCTGGCCGGATTGCGCACAGGATACTGACAGTCATGACCGATCCGGAGACATCGTGAACATTTCGGACGTTGACGGTCGCACTGCAGAGCCAGTGTTAGTGGCGAGATAGACTCGACTCCATACTCCATAGTAAGTGAGCGGGGATTCCTGCCTTGACTCTATGCGACCTGCATTTGGTGCATGCGGGTGCCGCTCCAGGATCAGTCATTTCCGCGAGTCCGGTCCGGCACACCTTGCAGGCTGTCTGGATGACCCAGTCTTGCACATGGAAGAGCGATGGCGCTTGGTTCTTGAAGCCTCGCCGGGTACTCCGATCGGAGTCCTAGTGCCGGCGCCAAGCTCTGTGTCCTTTCCGTTAGTATGTAGGTACTGTGGGTAGTGGGTATTCTCTGCTTGCTTACATACTCTGGCCGGCGTCTCCTGTGATGATTACCCTCGGCCGGTGGATGGCCGACTCGGATACGATAACAGCTGCCGCTATTTGTCCGCATATGAGCGTGGCCACCGTTGGAGGAGAACGCTAGCGTCACCCACCGCCTCGATCGCTAAGGTACCGACTTCATCTCTACTCACAGAGTAGAAGATGTATCTCGCAGAGTAAAGATCGTTGCTCAATAGGTAAACAGTGGTCTTTCCCACAGCCCTGCACAACAATAAACGACTTGCAGTATACTAGACAAAAAGATCATCACGACCATGATCGCCCAATCCTTAAGCTCGGCGTACGCCAACCTTCACACCAATGCGGAGCGGATGAATGACACCCTACAGTTCTCCTGCCAATGGGGGAGCACCGAGGATGGTGGAATGAACCGACTCTCTGGAAACGACGACGACAAAAAGGTTCGTGACTGGTTCATTGCCGAAACGGCCAAATACGGTTGCACGCACAAGATCGACGTGATGGGCAACATCTTCGCCATTCGACCTGGCCAGAATAACAGCCTTCCGCCGATTGGCTTGGGATCACATCTTGATACACAGCCTACCGGTGGAAAGTATGATGGCATCCTGGGAGTTTGTTGCGCCCTGGAGGTTCTCAAGGTGATACATGAGAACAACATCACCACGTATGCGCCGCTGGCTGTGATCAACTGGACTGACGAGGAAGGAGCGCGCTGGGCTCCGGCGATGCTGGGCTCCGGGGTCTGGGGAGGTGTTTACACCACCGAGTACGCTCAAAACGTGGCGGATCCAGAGGGAATCACCCTCAAGCAGGAGATTGAACGCATCGGCTACGTGGGGGATGTGCCGTGCTCGTATGAAGCGAATCCTTTGCTGGCACACTTTGAAGTTCATATTGAACAAGGTCCAATACTGGACGAGGCTCAGAAGCCAGTGGGTCTCGTGAAATCGGTGCAGTCTATGCGATGGTATCAGCTGAATCTCCGAGGCCGGTCGGCGCACACTGGCAGCACGCCCATGGATCGACGAAACGACACCTTGCTGGCCGCTGCTAAGATGATTGTGGCTGTGAACGAGGTGGTCACCACCCCTGAAATCGCCGCACGTGGAGCCCGGGGAACTATTGCGGTCATCAACTCCCTTCCCCAGAGCACCAATACCATCGCGGGCGAGGTGAGCATGAATCTGGACCTGCGGTCCCCCGAAGATGAAGGCGTCACAGAGCTTGAACGACTGTGCCGGGAAAGATTTGAGAAGATATCTAAGGAGCTGGGAGTCGCTATGGAGATGAACCCCTTCTGGGAATCTCCAGCCACATATTTCGACGAACAGATGAAAGACTGCATTCGAGCCTCGATGAAACAATATGAGTGCTCCCACGAAATCGTCAGCGGAGCAGGGCACGACAGGTAAGCACAGCATGTCTTTTATGGCTGGGACATTGAGCGCTGAGACGTGGTTTGTTAGTGTGTACACGTCAAAGAAGGTCCCTACCGCAATGATCTTCGCCCGTTGCAGAAACGGCGTGAGCCACAATCCTGCCGAATACAGCCGGCCAGAAGAGTGAGTGCACTTCCCTTTCCTGCAGTCGAGACTCTCTGACTTATCATATCACAGCTGTGCGGCGAGTGCAGAAGTTATGCTGGGCGCCTATTTACAGTACGACGAGATTATCAGACAGAAACATGAGAAGAAATAGGGCTGTCAGTCCATTAATGAGACTCGATCTCACAGGACCACTAGGATCAGGATGGCATCTCTTGTGAACCGAGCCCACTCAGGATTCACGGTAGCCGCGATCAAGGCACCGGGATATCAAGAGCTTCCGACTGGATCCTTCAACCCCAAGAATATCTCCATCTACTTCCCGGTCTTGTAGATTGAAGACAACTTTAAAGAGCACGTGGTATAGAAGGGTATCCACCATACAAGACCTGGGTAAAAGTGTTGATTCGCTACTTTCGAGGTATAATGCTGCAATTGCCTGGTTTCGTACATCACGGTAGCTGCATGGTCGATAGCCGTTGTAGTCAAGTCCGCGACTCTCACTGGTCTTCGGAGCACAGCGCAGACCAAAAGCCGCACTCCATATGCGACTCAACAGACACACAAGTGTCATAGGCACTTTAAATATCCATATGTCCGAGCTCTTCTATTCTACAAGCCCTTCAATACGTCGACTTCGCGGGCACACACGGCAATGAGGCGACCATAATGGCTTATTGCCGCACTGGACCATGCCTCTAGAATACTGCATTACAAGCCCGTACCTCAGCGCGACCGAGAGGGTCAGAAAGCCGGGCGAGGGCGAAAATGCTGGGCCAAATATACGACAGAGAATAGTGCACCTGTGCACAAAGCTAGGAAGAGGACGCCTTCGACGCAAAGGTCCCCAAGACGGGACTGAGCAGGCCGACAAGCGGCCACAACGACGTGCCGGCTCAGATTATCGCCTCATTGGAGAAGATTGAAGCCGCCAAAACCTTCGGGTGAGGAGGAGAGCTATCTGATAGCATGGGAAGGAACAAACACAGAACCATCCGCTCAAAGACTCCTCTTGCTAGGCCAACGGCATAGGAAAGCCTGGGAGCTTCGGACATGTTGATGCGCCACGCCAGACTTTTGAAGCTCCAAGCGATGGAGGCTACGCAAATGCCGGTTCCAGCTCAATGGTGCAAGGATTCTTTCCACCCACAAAGATGAACGGATATGTAGTGGCTCTCTACATCGTGTCTCGAGCATGTCTCGCGAGTACTCTCCCTCATACCAGCAGCAGCAAACGAAGCTGGCTAGCTTTTGCGAGAGGAGAGGAGGACTAAACAGAGGGATACCATACACCTTATAGCCAAGGCACTCTACACATCAACGGTCGCAGAGACTTGGAAGCGAGGAATTTCAATCTGATCGTGAAACGTTGCAGTCTTTAGTGCGACGAGCATACAGTTGTGAACCTAGCAAATTTAACAAGCCCGTTCACTTCTCCCAGGACCCCCCAAACCATTTCATCCGGGTATCGTATCAACAATCCAGTTCTTCATGGAGACGTCCTTCAGTTGAATTTCTCAGTGACACAGAAATCCTGGTAGACCATGCCACAAATCCACTCAACCACGGGCTCATACAACAACATCTTGCTCGGGGCACCTTTCATGGCGCCCAGGAGAGCAACCCAGTTCAGCACCTCATGGCCACCGTGGCCGGCCTCTTCTTCGACCTCTTCGTAGGTCAACTTCTTCATCCATTCAATATCCCCAGCCGAATACTTCTGCATGAACATCCGGTCCCAATCCCAGTTCACAAGGGGATGTTTCGAGTTGAGAGGGTATTCGTTCTTCTTGGCCATTTCAACTTCGTAATCGTCAAAGTCGACGAACAGGCGGGGATCCTGCTTAAGGTATGATTTCCCCTCGGTTTGGTAGCGCTTGATACGCTTCAGGAAAGGGTCTGTCGGCGGGTCTCCGCCCTGAATTGGGTTCCAGTACGGAGGCCAATGGGATAGACCACCGGTACATAGGAAGGCGACTTTTGTGTCTTCGGGCCAAGCGGTCTCGATGCCGTGTCGAACGGCTTCGCCGAGGTTGTATGCCCGCTTGTATGAGATAAGGGGTGGTGTAAAGACGTTGATAAAGACGGGGATGATGGGGACGCCGGCAAGAGATTGTTCGACACCCATCAATTTCCACGGCATCAAGAGGTTGTTGCCATACTCACAAGGTCCAGCCCGAGCGACATCGTACCCTTGCTCCACGAGAGAGTCTAAGAGTTTCTCAGCCAGAATGGGAGCACCAGGAAAGATGGTCTTCTTGTCAATGCGGAGAGTCTCCATCCATTGGTCAGCTGGACCGACGTGCTCGTCGGCAACACCCATGATGACTGAAGGGCAGAGGTTGCGGAAAAAGTTCTCGAAGTGGTCGTCGAGGAAGGCGACAATCACATCGGGTTGCGCCGACTCAAGTGAGATGCCGAGCGAGCGAGTTGCATCTTCGGTCCTCTGGCGGACGTCTGGTTGAGCAGTCTCGGGGAAGGCGAGGGCACCAGGAGCATGGGACAATCCCACAGCAGCGACGACTTTGCCCATGGCGGTTTCGTGAGCTCTATCTGTTCAATTATGGTTTGGACGAAGAATAATGCGTCCAGCAGAGCGTAAAGGACGAAGAATCAGTTTTAGATTGTAATGGTGGGAAAGAATGCATGAACTTGGATATCTCGATTTGAAGATATAGGCAGATCGAGACCGGTTGCCACCCCCAGAGAGGAGGCCGATACTTGGAGATGCAGAGTGTTTGCGGTAGTCTAGGCGTGCAGAGACCACGGAAGGTCTTTGAGACTCCTGCTGAGGCGAGACTCGGGCATGGGCCGAAGGGAAGCAATGGGAGTCGGAGCTCTGCGCAATTGCTGGAGGCGGATCGCTCTTGGGGTCCACAGCTTCCTGATAAGGGTGTCGATAGCCAATGAAAACGCGACGGCCGAACAGCGACGATGTCCTGGATTTGAGCTCCGCTCTTAGTTCTCGAGGTTGTAGGCTTGTCCATGTGAAGTCGGATCTTGAACGGGCCAAAGAGTATCCATGGTCCCTGAATTGGATGTGATGGAACCCAGAATCGCGTGGCACGTGGCCTGGCGTTTTACCCTGGTAAAGTCGTCACGTCTCGAGCTTCTGGTTGACTCGTGCCTCTTGTGGTTCCGGGACACTGGCATCCAATACCAGCTTTCACTACTCTCAGTATGAATGCTTGTAAACGCGTTCTCGTATTTGGAGCCACCGGCTTGATTGGCCGCCATATCGTCCGACAAATCCTCACCAGGAAGGACGACTTCGACCGCATCGCTATCTTCACATCGCCCGACACGGTTCGATCAAAAGCCGAAGAGATCAAGCAGCTCAAGAATGAGGGAGTGGAAGTTCTTGTTGGCAGCCTGACGGATGAGGCCGATGTTAGGAAGGCGTATCAAGGTGAGCATATGGAGCTAATCGTGACCTTGAAGAGCCTTTTTTTTTTTTTTTTGGAGCGTCCTAGTCGAGCATCAGCTACTGATGCCCGAGCATAGATATCGACACGGTCGTTTCCGCGGTGGGAAGGAACATGATTGTGCATCAGATCGAGTTAATCCGCCTAGCCGATGAAACTCCCAACGTCCATCGGTTTTTCCCTTCTGAGTACGGCACCGACATTGAGCATAACCGTGATTCTTCCGGCGAGAAACCACATCAGAACAAGCTTAAGGTCCGCTCGTTCATCCGGTCGTGCAGAAATCTCGACCACACCTTCCTAGTAACGGGCCCGTATGCCGACGGCGACCCGGGGCTTTACCTGAGTCCAAACTACGGGGCTGTACGTACTGGGAGTTTCGATGTTCGCACCAAGACGGCAGTGCTGCTTGAGTCGGGAGATTTGAACATCGCCTTTACGACTATGTGCGAGTGAGTGATACATATGGACACCTGCGAGTCATTTCCTCTGTCTCGATTCCGATGGAGGCTGAGTATAGCTGACTATGATGCATGTGCAATTAATAGTGTAGGGAAGTTACTCCTCGCGGCGCTTACTCATCCAGAAGCTAGTCGCAATAAAGCTTTAAGGGTCAAGTCATTTACCACCACGGATGGCAAGATTCTTGAGGAGTTCGAAAAGCAGACAGGAGGAGAGAAGTGGCAAGTCTCGTATACGAGCATCGAGGAGTTGAGGAAGTTGGAAAAGAAGGCCTGGGCAACAGGCGATCATCAGGCGACGTTGATAACGCTCAGGAGGATCTGGGCCACAGGAGGTACCTTGTATCACGAATGGGACAATAAACTAATCGGAGAGCCAGCTGTCCAAACCTTAGCTGAGGCCGTGGCAACTGCCATTGATGTTCAGTTGCACGGGGAGCAGGAAATGAAGCGAAAGTTGGTATAGCCCTCAGTCATGTAGACAAAAGCTGCAATCAATGCCATTTCAAATTGCTATAGCCTATCGACTCGAAGTCAGGATGAACATGGACCTCAATACCTGGTCAGACAGTTGTTTGTAGATCTCCCTCATTCCACTCATACCAGGCCATTTTTCGGCGCAAAAGGTAAGCAGGACCAGACAAGAATTGGACACTTGTAGCACATTGTCCACGAGTATGTGAGCTGTCTCCTCTTGGTAGTCAGGGCATGCTTCACCAATCACTCGGTCAAATGACACCCTCCCATCCAAAAGTAGAATGCAGTAGGCCATTATCATAATGCTAGCCCTGAAGATATTGTGGGCAGCCATGAAGGTGATTGGGTAAGTGCCGAAGTCCGAGTTCTGAGGTGAGGTGATGATCTGCTCAAATATTTCCACCAAGCGACACGCGGAAAGAAATATTTCAACCGGAAGAATCAGTGGCGGCTGTACTGATTGGGATGCCGCAGTTTCTTGGCCCCTTGCGCGTGTGTCCTGCAGTGCCTGGATCAGCAAAGGCTGGAAGAGGAAGAGGATTGTGGAATGGAATAATGTGGTGCAAGTTATCGAGCCAACGGTACGGTCGCGCATGTCGTCTCGGCTTTGCGAATACCAGTCGAGGATACCCTTCAAACGTTGTTGATACCAGGCCAGATCGTGCCGGACGTCGTCTGTGTGACTCAAGTACATTTCGGTAAAGAGCCCTGATCGAAGATGTACCAGCCTATATTGATGGCCAGCTTGGCGCCACCGTATTGCCATACCATCCGGATTGCTGTCTTGAATAGAAACGGTCGCTGAGATGGGATATCTCGCCGCGATTACTCCCTCGGGGAGATCCGACGACCTGCCTAGCAGTTGGCCGACCAATCTTTCGATCGTGTACAATGACCAGAACATATTTCTCTGCTGTTCGCTCTCTGCAACGGGCAGACTTGGATCAGGCTCGTTGTGATAGCCCAACTCCAAGCATAGACGACATGCATAGTCCAAAAGCTTCCAAATGTCACCTTTGCGCGGACGAAACAGGCAATAGATGATAAGTAGCATGAGCGCCCGAAGAGCGTCGGTCGATATCTCTGAGGTGACTTCAGAAACACACTTGACGGCTTCCAGGTAACAGCCATGGTCGCAGGCAATCCTGCTTGCGTAATATCGCGAACGGCTGGCGCTTGCAATGGCTGCGATGATCTTGATGCGAAAGTACTGATGCGCAACTTTGTCCCTAAGTGTTGCTGGGTCGATTCCCCCGCTTTGGACCTCCCAGTACGCCTGAAGATCTGTGAAAAGGTCGGAAGCATTCAAGAAGGGGTAGATGGGGTGAATCGATACCATGTACAGTTCCACAGATTTCTCGACCATTGATTTTGTGATGAGACAATTACAGCCGCCATGAAACTCTGGTGGCGCCAGTTGTAATGTCTCGGGTACTCGTAATGGTGCAAACGAGTACTTGGGATCACTTCGTCCTCGTGCTAGGGTGGCGACCGCAAGCGAGAAGACTGAACTCCCTCCATAGTAGCGAATGTCACGGCCTTGCTGCGTGGCGACGGGGAAGTGACCACCTTCACACATTGAAGATGAAGCGCAAGACGATTGAGGATGGAGAGCATGCTGAATGCTGTTTAAGTCGGCCTGGGAGCCTGCGGGCTGTTCCGGTATGGCATCCTCTGCTCGAACAGTGTGTCGGTAAGACACAGATGACGGCGAAGCGGTTAGTGTTGCCTGTGCTGCTAGATTTGCTGCTTTCTGCTGCTGTAGATTCTTCAGGCTTGTTATCAATGACTTGAGATAGCTATCTGATCAGCGAGGGAGCCCAAGGGTTCGGCTTGATGTCTTACCTTCGTGGCAAGACCTGCTCCAGAGTGTGATCATAGAAGAGGCACTCTGCTCCGGCTCTTCTGCACCGAGCGCAGGCAGGTAAGGATGTATCACACCTGCGTCGGCCTTTCTTGCATCTTTGGCAGCTGGGTAGGGTCTTGAGAGCTTTAGCCAGTGTGTCGAATTCGGGGAAGCCGCCATGCTGGCTCGCAACAGCAGGACTTGATTGTGGTCCAAGATCATCGATGGTCATAATGGCGACAAATGTGATCTTGGGGGATAGCGAAGTGAAGCAGGGCGGTCGTTATCGCCAGAGATGTGAGATCGATGAGGTGTGGGCGATTGGGGGCCGTCGCATGAGTCAATTGTCCATACCTAATCAAGAGGTCCATGTTAAGCCTCCGGCCACTATTCCCCATACGCATTGGCGTCTCCCCCAGGAGTTCTCGGCAAGAGTCTTCGGCGCCACCTAAGTTCTTCTATCTACTACTACTATAGTACGGTAGGCTCCATGGCTTCATGAAGTCATTCGTCACGTCGGAGCGTCTCAACATAGAATTACCCCCAAACATACAGAGCTTTTGATCGTTCCCTAACCCTTGTCTTACGTGTGTTACCAATCCATTGGAATCAATGTCTCGGATGTTGCATCAAGACTTCCATGACATACTTCGCAGCGAGGTTAGTGGCAGAGGGCCCGATTAAATCATTCAACTCTGCGACTCGAAGCGATTAGCTTGAGCAGTTGCGAGTCCTTCCACTCGAGCAGTTATCGAAAAGACTAGAGCGGACAGTATAACAGGCACTTCATTGTCTACTTGCGTGGTGAAGCAGACGATATATCCCCTGACCGCTGTCTAGCAACCAACTTGAATCTCATCAGGCGATTGTGGAGTATGCTCAGGAACCACAAGATCCGGCGGCCACGGGTCTGTCCCTGCAAAGTCTATCGAACCCCAGTGCTGCTGATCATCGATATCTGCAAACGTGTCCTGGAACAGGTCATTCGGATCGAAGAAATCAAGATCCATGTTCATATCGAAGGGTGGGAGATGCGTCGGGAACGCGACTGGACGGAAAGCATCCTGCGAAGAAGCCTTGGGTATCAAGAAGTTGTCCAGTTCATCGTCCATGTCTTGGGGGTATGACAACAGCGATAGAGGGTCCTTCTTCATGGCAGCATTGATCAGAGGTGACAGCAGGCGATCAACTGTGGCTGCAAATGTGGCAATCTCACCCCATCCCTGTGCTGCTAACGTCAACAGGTTTGAGATGAATCTCTTCGTCATATCAAAGAGGTCAGCCAGCGTATACGATGCCACAATATGGTCAAAGGCATGTCTCAGACAGAAAACTGCCACCATGGAAGTCTCCGCCGTCTGGTGCGAGGCGAGCCACAATCTCCGGAATATCCCGCTTGCGATGTTCTCGTGTTGATGTTTGGCTGATTTACAAGCCGCGTCGAATGCGGCAACCAGACTCTGCTTAGGTGGCATAACCATGCGTGGAGACGGTCGGTGCAATCGGACGAGACCGTACGCATACGCGAACTCGTCGTTGTCATCTGGCTTGGAGCCTTCCCGGTACCACCGGTTCAGTGCTCGCTCCATGTCTGCCACCCACGCAGCCCAGTCCTCAGTCAAGGGCTTGCTCTGGAAGTGCACCTCTGTCAACTCGGACTGAAGGCGACAATACTCGATTAGTCGCACCGTTGCTAGGCCGCTCACCGTTGGGGGACTTCCACGGGATGACGGAGCAACCGAGGTCGGGATAGATGTAGGATATAAGGTGTTGATGCTCCTGTCAGGGATGGACAAGGGCCTCTGCAACGCCGGAGAGACCATCCGGTCCATACAGTACGCCGACCAAAACACCCTTCGTCTCTGCTTCACAGTGTCATGACCTTGTATGATGGTGCCGCGGGGTTCCCGATGCAAGCCGAGTTCAACACAAGACCTCATGGCCGCGCCACTCAGAATCCATATGTTGCCGCATTTCGGGTTGATTTCGGCATACTGTAAAATCAACAGAGTGGCTTGAATACCAGCCAATTCGTTGGGGAATGGCATGCCAGTCGAGAGGTGCCCGATCCCCTCCCGAAACAATATCTCGGAGAAGGCAATGCAGCGAGACTCATGCTGGCTTTTGGCACAACCCAATGTCGACGCGATGGCGAGAACGAGGGACAGGATGAGAAAATCAAAAGAAGGCTCAACACGCTCTGGTGGTCTTCCGGTATGATGCTGACGTAATTTGGCTCGCACGGCATCCAGATGTCGATTGATATCCTCGGCAAGGAATATTGGGGTCAGCGGCAAAACATGTACCACGTATTTGTGAATCAAGGCTTGAATGACATGGTCTGGTAATGTGAGTAGCGTTGTACATTCGACGCGCTCTTCCTCCACGCCCGTCGAGACTACTGCCCGACGTGACTCAGGGCTAGCTCCGGTGACGGCGGGCAGCACTAGAGACGGGGTCAGGCCCATACGGACTCGGGACACCAGGTCGGTCAGTGCAGGATCAGTTGGAATGGTGGCACTGATGGCCGCGGCCATTTCCATGCTCTGAATGATATCGTCTGTCAGGGGGTCGACTGGTAAGGCTGGCTTTGAGCGAGCAATAGCGATAGCGCTTGGCTGTGGTGCTGGGACAAGCTCCGCAGCGCTGTTGGCTGCGACATCAAACGAGGGTGTATTTTGAGCTGGGTTGTCGCCCCCTGAAAGCTCGATCTCGAGTGCGGCAATCTGGGACTCGAGGAATTGTGTGACACTGCGCGGGAGGTCGACATTTTGGTCGACGCTGCTGAATCCTTTGCACTCAACTCTTGCAGCGGCACATTGAGAACACCTAGGGACAAGGCGGTCGCACTGTTCTGATCGTCAGTATGGACGACGTCCTGTTGAACGACATCGGGTATCAGCCGGTCTACCTTTTGCTTTCGCTTCCTGCAACGCGCACATGATACAATTCGCCTAGCACAAGCGGTACTATTGTCGCTCTCCATCCCCAGGTGTTTTCGGACAGTTGCGCCCGCTGCCTGGAACGTCCTCGCTACACGACAGGCAGGGGTTTTGGCTGAATGGTGCGATTCGCCCTTAGGCAGATCGCTGTGCGCCGCCCTGCAACCTTGCGCGATATTCGGCACCGGGGCGCAGCCGAGATGATTGGGGCCAGATATTCGAGTACGATAGGTACTAGTAGTAGTATTACGTGGGTAATTGTGTGGCCTACCTAGGTAGGTAGGTACCTTATGTGGCTACCTCAATAGATAAGAGTAATATCTCTAGCGGAGTCGTCCGGCCGAGGCTACGCTACTCCTGGTTTTGCGTATCCAATGCGATAAGTCTAGAGCCAAGCATCCACTCGCTATCTCGCCGAACCTGCCGTATCTGTTCTCATTGTACGGGAGACTGTTCGAACGGGGTGCTGGCCAGGCTCCTCCCAAGATGTCGATGGTCAACGGTATGCCAGCGACCATGTTCTTTGTCTGGAGGGAGCGGAAGATCCTCATCAGACTTGTTTTGCGGAGGAAAGCGCTCTACTGAGTAAGTCATGCGCCTTGCCTAGTAGGTAAGTAGGTACTGCCCTACACGGATGTGAAGCATACATACATGCCCTTCTCGTCGCGTTTCGTGTTGATCAAGCTTTTACTCACTCGCGCCGGTCCATCTATCTACGTCTAACCATCCCTGCCCTCCTCAGCGTTATGGCTTTCGACAATGCTAGAATCGCCATCGTGGGAGGAGGCCTTGGTGGCATGGCCTTTGCCAATGCTGCTCTTCACGTCGGCCTCACCAATATCGACCTGTACGAACAAGCAGCGCAATTCACCGAGGTCGGGGCCGGGGTCAATATAAGCCGAAATGCCAACCGGATCTTGGATGCCTTTGGCTTGAAAGACTCGATGCTATGGAAGTCTTCGCGCAACCCACCCTGTTACATGGAGTATCGCCAGTATAAGACTGGAGAGTATCTAGGTCAGATCGATGAATTTGGACAGCCTGCCTCTCGGCAAATTCACCGAGCCCATCTCCTGGATGTGCTAAAGGAGCGAATTCCCGAACCGATTCTACATACCGGCAAAAAGCTCGTCTCGCTGGAGTACACCGGCTCCGAATATCAGCTCACCTTTGACGACAACTCGGTTGCCACGGCCACCATCGTTATTGGCTGCGACGGTATCAAATCGGTAGTGAGACGACATCTGGGCATTACCGATTCTCCCATCTACTCCGGGCAGGTGGTTTACCGCGGCTATGTTCAGTATGGCGATCTGTCGCCTGAAGCAGCAGAGATCTTCCGCAAAACAGTGGTTTACCGCGGCCACCGGAAGCACATTCTGACCCTACCTATTGGAAACGATGAATCCAAAACTGCCCAGATTGGTGTCATTGGCTTCATGAGCGAGCCAATCAGTGACTGGAAATCTGAGAGCTGGATGGCGACGGCGCCTATCGATGAGCTGCAAGAACATTGCAGCGACTGGGCCGGGCCGATCCAGGAGCTCATCCAGGGGCTTCGCAAATCGGCTCCAGATGGCAGAATGTTGAAGCAAGCCCTCTATGTCCGAGCTCCAGTCGATACCTGGTTCCACGTCGAGGAGTCCAATCATTCGCACGGTATCGTGCTAGTTGGTGATTCCGTTCATTCAACATTACCACATCAAGGTAAGCTTTGAGCCCCAGTTACCTACCTGGTGGAATCACATACTGATTGACTTCTCAGGCCAAGGCACGTGTATGGCCATCGAGTCAGGTATCACGCTTGCCACTATCCTGAAGAGATGGAGAGCTGGTGATGATCTCAACGCAGCCTTTCAACTATACCAAGATATTCGCAAACCTCGGACGGATAAGGTTACCCAGACAAGCTACGAAGCTGGATTGTTGGCATCGGCAGACTTACCTGAAGGCTTCACAGAAAACTTCAAGCCCGAGTTGTTGAAGGAGAGGATGAAATGGATCATGGAGGCGGATATTTTGGAGGAACTCTACCAACGAGGTGCACCCTATTTCGAACCCAAGAGTTCGGATAGTGACGCCAGCTCTGGTCCGGTGCAAGCTAACTTATGATTCAAAGGCTAACAGCACGAAATGGCATGTAATGCTTAGCTGGGTGCAGTGTGGCGGCTAGTTTGCCCCGGCTGGACACGAGCATTGCTGTGATTCTGGCATTGGGTAGAAAACAAAATAAGAGTTATTGTGCAAACATTAGTACTTTACTACTTTCCATGTAGTTTGAAAATTCTCTGAGGTCAGGGTAATAAAGGAGATACAGGCTAGTGGTGAGAATAATGTCAGGAATGCACAAGAGATGTTAGGATTCGGGCTCTAGATGAATTTCCACTAAGCTGTCTTATGCATCCCCCAATCGTACCCTGGAAAGTCATCGGTGCGTATACCTTGCAACAGGACCGACATGAGATCGATGAAAGGATTAAAGCAATCGTTGACTGTGCGCTGGTCTACGATGCTATGGTCTCAACCACTGCATCAGATGCTGCCAAAATACGCATGTAAACAGTTCGAACAACACCATCGGCAACGGGAAGCGGTGTCAGCTAACGACTCGGTCTCCTCCCGGAGTCGACTCTAACGAATGATGAGTCGACTCCGGGTCGACTCAGGGGCCTCCCTAGTAGGTTATAGAGCGCGTTTATCCGCTCTGGGTAGTACATCCGGAACGGGAGTATATAGTATCCTACTCCGCATGATTACTAAATAGAGAGCGGGAGGCTAGGAGCTAGACTCGGAACACGAGGTTAACTATTCGTTATAAGCGCGCTGATAAGTGACCAAAGTCCTCAAGTTTCCATGTCAAAGGTCCGCTCAAATAACACGGGGCTTCTTCTCGATATTTGCGGCCATCATATAACGTAAATCCACACACTTTGCGGCCTGAACCTGTTCTGGGGTGTCCATAGGTATCGGGAGCCTGTAGTTCTTTGCGGTGATGGCGTCTCTCCAGCAGCCAGCTACGCAAGGTTCATAATGAGGCTTGTCACCTTCCTTGACAATAGGATCGACCAAGAAGTTTCGCTCTGGGTGGACGAAGAAGGCGGTCGAGTAGCGAGCCGGCAGATACCCATCGGGGCCAATGGCGTCCAATTGCTTTTGAGACAACTTCGGCGCCATGACACGGTGGCGAGTGGAACGAAGACCGTCGTTGGAAAGTCTTTGAAGAATATCGGCGACATTGATGACACAAGTGCCTGGGATTGGCGTGGCCGACACGAACTTCCCATCATGGAACCGGTCGACTTCGAGACCTCCAACGGAATCTTGGAAGAGGAGAGTGAAGAGACCGTAATCGGTGTGAGGGTTGATGCGGAAGTTGCGACCAGATTCGAGAGTCTTTCGTGCCACGGGCATATAGTGCAGCAGTCGCAGCTGGCCATCAAGTTGTCCAAGTTGGGCCCGGAACTCGTCGGCATCGAGACCTAGCACCGTGGCCAGGGCCGAGGCGACATGGCTTGCCAGGTCGAGCAATTTCTAGACCAAAGAACCGTTGGTTAGCGACGTCGTTCTTGTCACAACAGGAAGGCAGACATCTACAAACCTTGTAGAAGGTATTGGCCCAGGCAGTCCAATCGTCCAGCTCTCCCTCTGCCGGGCAGAGCTCGTTGACTTTGCGATGCTCATAGCATTCTTTGTGGCTTCGACCGCCGTGAGGGTCGCTTGATTCGGCACCATCAGCCGTGTACCCCTGACTTACCGAGGGGTCGTTTAGTCTGAGTTTTTCTTTCCATTCGGTAGGCTGATCGTGGAACTGCTTGCTCTAGCATGTTTGTTAGTATCCACGGTAGGCAGGAACCTCGTGAACAGTCCAAAACATACTCTTCGAAACATCTCCTCGATTTCGGACTGTGAAATACCAAAGTCTTTGAGGTAGACCCATCCAAAATTGTGAAAGGCATCATAAAGTCGATCTGCGACCTCCTTCTTGCCCTCAGGAGTCCCGTCCAAGAAGGGTTGGAAGGACACGATAGGGAAAGGGAATTCAGTTCCCGTCTGGGGTGTATCGTCGGCTGGGCCTATGGAACCCATGACTGCTGTACTTCCTGACTGTTTGACTACGGGGGTGGTAGTTGAGATATCAGGTCAACAGGCGCTGCTACCGTCTTGGCCAATCTCCTCCGGTCGTTATATATCTCAATATTAGATCCGACATGGCACGCCGTCCCACCATCATAAAGGGGGATCCTCCAGGAAAGCCAATCCGCAAATGTGGCAGAGATCGGGGGGCTCGACATCCACCGATGCATCCATCTCTGGCAGCTCGGGGGTTTTGCGATTCATATCTCGGCGAATAGACCATTTTCGCACATGAAGATAAGCAGAATCGCGCTTTGACCGACTGGCGCTGGCTGCGTTGGGTCTCGAAGCGGAGAACTGGTGCCACTGGGCTGGTAGCGGCTGGCTAGAAGCCGTCCCCTTGGCTGTCATACTAGTATCTCGACACCGCACAGATAAGGACAGGGCAGAACAGGCTTCAGTGTTCGCCCATTGACCGACGAAAATAAGGCCTATTCGATCCATGTTCTTTCATTCCTTAACAAACCAGGGCAATTGCAGCTTCTTGACGCTGGCCTATCTCTCTATACCAGGCCAGAATCTCGTATCTTGCACGATGCTGCGCTGAGCGCCGGCTTGGGAGAAGCCCCCCTAAGATCTCAGGCGCAAGATCGTCCTCTTGGACTCCTACACTATCTCAGGGCTATATAGATGTGTCTGACTCCAAGCTGTAGTCGACGGTGAGGTCGGTGGATCGCCGATAGCCCGCCGACCATTCTTCAGCTTCACTCTTTGCATCTCATCCATTGCCATCAGGTCACGGATCGGGTTCGCACCCAGTCAATTTGCACCATGGCAGTATCGCACCTGTTCCGAAAGCTCGAGGTCGAGAGACCGGGCATTGATCCAGAGCATTCGCTATTGGTCAACCAGGATCTGCTTCCAGTTCCCAGGGAGAATCGCACCTGGACCAAATGGACTTGTGAGTTGATCTTACAGTTCTATTCCAGAGGCCGCAGTCTGACCTCATGTGTTACCAGATTCCCTTTTTTGGGTCGCTGAATGCTTCAGCGTTACCTCATGGACTGTCGCTTCCACCGGTGTTGCTGCAGGTCTGGTAAGTTTAAGGCTTGGTCCTCGAAGACATGAGATTGGCGGCTAACAAAAGTCCAGGCGTGGTGGGAAGCATGGATCTGTGTTATCCTGGGTCACTTCATCGCAGCCGTGCCTACAGTGATGACGGGTCGCGGCGGTGCTGTCTACCATGTTCCTTTTCCTGTCATTGCTCGATCCAGTTTCGGCGTCATTGGCGCCCTCTGGCCAATCTTCAATCGCGAGGCTATGACAATCATTTGGACAGGGGTGCAAATGGTGCAGACGTGAGTGGAACTGGTTCGGTTCTTTCTTGAAAATTCTGACAAGATCATATTCAGTGGCAATTGCATCTACACCATGATCCTGTCATGGACCAAGGGAATTTCCAAAGTGCATGACCCCTTTGGATCAGATGTCACCATGACTGGCGGTCGACTCATCGGATTTGCGATCGCCTGGGTGATTTGTATGGCCTGCACAGTGGTCCCGATCCACAAATTCCGCAAAGTCATCTACTGGAAGTCCGTGGTGATGTCGATCTGTATGCTTGCGTTCTTTGGCTGGTCTATCCATCGGGCCGGTGGTGTTGGCAAAATCGTCCATCAAGGACCACAGATCCCAGAAGGGAAGTCTCATGGCTGGGTGAGCGTCTTGGAATCTCTTTGCAAGACGAGTTTGTCACTAACCTGACCATCTTAGCTCTTCATTCAGCACATCTTCGTCCAGGCGGCCAATGTGGTGACCTTCGTGGCCAACAACGCTGATTTGAGTCGATACGCACGTCGGCCAAATGACGCTCTTTGGACCCAGTTGATTGGTTTCACGGCGTCGTATGGCTTGATCGCATTTTTCGGCATTCTTATCACGAGTTCGTCCGGCATCACCCTCGCCTCTGGCAAGGTAAGCCATGCTCTCTCCTAAGAGATGTTTCCGAATCCTGCTAATCTCGCTTCAACAGCCAAACTGGGATCCGCTGGGTATTCTTGCCGGTTACTTGGACGACTACAGTGCCTCCAATCGCGCTGGCGTCTTTTTCATCTCGGCTGGGTTCTCCTTTGCCCAGGTTATAACCGTTGTCCTGGCCAATCTCATTCAATCCGGCAATGATGCCGCTGCGCTTGCCCCAAGGTTGGTGTTTCTGCTAGACACCGTACAAAGCTTCAAGTTCTGACCTCGTTTCCAAAATTACAGATACATTTCCGTCCGTCGTGGCATGGTTCTTGCCATGATCCTCGGCTTTGCAATCACTCCATGGAACTTGACCAAATCCTCCTTCTCCTTCACCTCGTACCTCTCAGCCTACGCCATCTTCCTCGCTTCAATCGTGGGCGTCTTAATCGGGGACTACTACCTAGTTCGCAAGGGCCATCTCGATCTGCGCTCGCTGTTCACCACCGACAAGAAAGGCCTGTATTACTACAAGTACGGCTTCAATTGGCGAGCATACGCAGCCTACATAATCGGCATGATTCCCGCCTTCCCAGGCTTTCTCCAAGTCTGCGGAGTCAAAGGCGTCTCCATGGGTGGGCAGCACTTGTATTACTTTGCTTTTCCGATCGGCATCGTCTTCGGTGCTGTGGCGTATTGGGGCTTCAACTTGCTCTCCCCGCCCCAGGGTGGCCTTGCTACCGAATGGAAGGAGATTGAGCCTCAAGGTACAGGCATTGACGGCACCGAAGGCATCGACTACATCGATGGAATCAGCCAGCAGAAGAGTCGAGAGGACGAGACCATCTATACCAAATCAGCCGAAGCCGAGGAGAAGCAGGTTTGAGCCGCAACCCTGGAACGCCGAATTTGCGGGCCTTACGTGGTATCGACTGGTATTAGATGACTCGTTTTGGATGGAGGTGGCAGGACTGCATTTGTGAATCACATACATACCTGCTGAACGTACATCGGGAGGGAATGTTGCCGAACGGTGAACTCACTGTTCTCGTCGTACAGATGGATTAGCTGTCTGTTTTGACTGATTGAATGAATGCATCGTATCTAGAATTCCACTGCTCGTACAGTAGCACCTTGATCTTCTGATCGTGCGAGGGATTTTAAGTTTCGGATTCAGCAAGGCCATCTACGCCTTCGAGACGTGCGGAGTCTGTGCCAGTTCGTTCACTCTATACAATCCTGTTGACCGGTCACATTGCACATGCCCGTGACAGCTGACTTATCAGCCTCATTCCCCCTCGATAAGTCGCCGCCTGTTGCCACTATTGTCGCGATTCCCTCTTTTTATGCCTTGCGATGCATGATAGTTGCAGCGGCCTGTTGTTACATTAGTTGAGGCTCACTTGCGCACTGACACGTGCTGGACAGGGCTCCATCGTACCTGATGATTTGGAAAGATCAAAGTGTCGGCAATGACCACATTTTCACGCCGGCCAGCAGTAAAGACAACAACCTCAGCAATATCTTCGGGCGTCAGAGGTTCACAGCCGCTGCACTAGTATTTAGCTACGGGGTTCGGTTCACATGATGTACGGAGTGAACGTGGGTGTTACTCACGAATAAACAGCATCGGCCTTGGACTTGTCACCGTAAAATCGAACGACGGAGAATTCCTGCGGAGGGCATTAGAATGAACTCGTTCGTGACGGGTCGGTCGCGCCGGGGGAGAGGAAAGGATCGCCTCGTCACTCACCGTCTCGACTTGGCCTGGGTCAACCTCAATGACCCTGATTCTCGTCGCGATCAACTCCTTCCTCAGAGCCTCTGTGAATGATCTGACAGCCGCTTTTGTCGCACAGTAGATACTACCTCCGACATAAGGCTCTCGGCCGGCAATGCTGCCAATGTTGATTATGTCGCCGGCACCACTTTCGCCTCGTGCCTTCATGAGCGGCAAGACGGCCTGGGTCATGTTGATTAGACCGGTGACGTTGGTTGCAAACATGACCTCGATGTCGTCCTCCGCGATCTCTGGGGCTTTGGCAACGCCCCTGACGAGGCCACTGTGGAAAGTTCATGTGTCAGCAGACACCCCACGAGCATGGAGCCATATTGTGCCACAGGAAAGACATTGGCCAAATTCGAACAGCAAGTGAGGTTCTGTACGTACGCATTGTTGACGAGAACATCAATCTCTCTGAAGTCGGCAGGCAATCGGTCGACGAAACCTGCAACTTGGCTGCTCTTGCTGACATCGAGTTGAACGGGAAGGACCTTGACACCCGAGCCAACCTCGTTTTCTATTTCGGCCGCAATTGCCTTGAGTTGGTCAATTCTCCGGGCAGTCAGGATGAGTTTGAGGTCTTGAGGTGATGTTCGTGCAAATTCGAAGGCCACGCTGCGTCCGATCCCAGATGAGGCACCGGTAATGAGGATTGTCTTGCCTGCGAGGCGTTTGCCCATTGCTGCGGCTGCCATTGTAATACTCGAGGCCTGGAAACACGTCGAGTTGTAATTCGCTTCCTGATAGACAAGATCAAGCCAAAGAACAGAAATCCCGACCAACTTCCTTGACAATGACTCGAAGGGAGATTGAGCCACGTGCGGAAACTATCGTCAATTGTTTAGCATATTCGGTCGAGAGCCACATCGAGTGGAGTGCAACCTATTACAGAATACCAGTACCATTTGTCCCCGGCAAGGCTGGCTGCACGCGCAGCTACAGTAAGTGGTGGTGCGTTCAGCCTCAGGGCCGCTGGTCCACCGTGGTGTAACAAGCAGATCATCGCTCCCGGGCCGATGGTAATCGGGGATCAACCGGACATTACAAACCGCAATTGCTTCAACTCCAATGCTTCTTTGAGCCCTGCGATAAGCTCCGGTCAGACACTACGAGTCCTGGGCTTGCCAGGGTCATTTTGATTGAAGCCGGGCTGAGGTAAGCATTGTAAGTCTGTACGAATAAAGCAATTGGTTAATGGAGGGTTGCCAATCACCAGGTACCTATGAGTCAGGACGAGACACAAGGCGGTGCATGGCGATTTCCTCTTTGCTGAACGTCGCGCTCACGGTCATCGACGAACGGCGCGTACCCTAGCACGGAGATGCTTGACATATCATTTCATACTATGAGATTCTCCGGCGGTAAAACGCCACGACTCCAGCCGATGACATTGTCTTTCACATCTTGAACGAGATTTTCCATCGTGACTTCGCTATACCACGCCGTGTGCGGCGTCACCACCAGCGGTAGCTTTTCGCCGTCTTCTCTCGCGGACTCGTCCGCGAGGGCCTTCAGGAGCACCGAATTCTCCGTCGACGCCGGCTCAGTCACGAATACATCCGTCGCAGCACCGGCAATCTGGCGGGTTCGTAGCGCACTCAACAAGTCGTTCTCGTTGACGATACCTCCACGACTGACGTTGATGAGCACCGCACGTGAATTCATCTGGGCCAGCTCTGCCTCGGAGATCGTGTCGAGTGTGGTTGGCAATCTAGGTATGGCTACAAAGATCACGGTACATTTGGCTAAGATGTCCGCGAATGAAGATCTGGACATGCCATCGGAGCCGCTGGCAGATGGCGTTGTTTGTTGCGTACTGCTTGTTTTGCGGTCGGCAATCAGAACGGTCATTCCAAGGGCAAGGCAGAGCTTCGCGATGTGTTTACCTACACGATGCCAAATTTCTTTCATCAGGTATGATGCACTCAAAAGGATGTTGGCTGAAATGTGGGAGATATGCTCATCAGAACTTACCGACACCACCATAGCCGATGATTCCTACAACCTCGTCCTTCACTCCGAGTGGCAGGTTGTTGTCTCTATCTCGCAGTGAGCTCAGCAGCGTCCGCTTCTTTGGCCATTGGTCATCGACCGTCCGGATATGCGTCTGCACTATGCACCTCCTGGTTGCGAAATACAAGGCGATGGCGTGCTCCGCAACAGTTGTGGTGTTCGCCCTGGGACTGTTTAACACGCGGATTCCACGGTTTCGGCAGTATTCCAAGTCGACGTGGTCTGTCCCGGCTGCCATGATCATGATGGCGCGTAATCTTGGTGTGACCTCGGCGGACAATGTGGCCGCCGCCAGAGGCATGGTCGTGATGATTGCGATATCCGCATCGCGGATTCTCTCATTCAGTACTTTCACATCGTCGCGCGGGGTCTGATCGTAAATTGTGATGTCGTATTCCCCATTGAAGCCGTCGAATTCTGGAATTGGGCCAAATTGGGCCTCGAGAGCAACGATCTTGATGCGTGATGACCCTGTCACCGACATTGACGTCGAGGACGATCCCATTGCCATCGAAGCTAAGATTGACTTACTTCAGCAGCCCTGTATCTTCAAGAGCATGAAGAGAGGAGACAATAATGTCTGTCCGAGCGCTAGGGCGCCAAAGAGGAGCTCGTTTCTGCCGTAATACTACCCAGGCTACCAACTGATAGCACAGCAGGTAAGCATCGGAGACAACGCGAACTCGGCGGAGAATAGCGCAATCCCCGGACAGAAGAGTCAGAACCTAACAGTGGGGGACCTGAACTACAGATAAGGGATCTATGGCTTGCAACTCCGCTAATCGTAGTGCTCGCTGTACGCCCGGAGCAACCTAGGTTGAACTCGCAGTATTGCCGGACTAGCTGGCGTCGTGGGTCGCGGGACCAAAGCGTTGTACTCGCCGAACATCATCATTCCCATAAGTTTTGTAGGCCCTATACTATTTCTATCTCTTCTGATCCGACTGATCAGGTAAGTCAGCCGTCGTCGCTGGACCCTGCCTAGCTTGGTGAAACATTCCTTCTATTCCGTACTTCCAAAGCAGCAGCTTTACTGGCCCACTCAAGGTCCATATAACGGGGCAACTTGCAAGCTTGACAATGGATTTGGGATATAACATTAACATAGTAAGCCCGAGCCGATCGTGTATGCCCCTGGGATTCTATTGACATGGAGTTGTCGTACTGGCCAAAATAAAGTGCAGGTACTCGTGACGCCCGATCAGATTGGACCATAACCGTATGAGAACGTTGCTACAAGATATCCCAAACCTGAAAACGACCATCAGCTAAAAGCCAAAGGGGCTCGGTGTTTGCCATTGCAAGCCAAAGCATTCAACTGAGACCTAACCATGGCAACACTGGCAGCAGCCTCAGAGGCCAACAAGGCACAAATCACCGCCCAAGATGTGGTCGACATAGTCGGAAGCCTCAACCTTTCCTTACCCGAAAGCGACGTGTCTCAATGGCACGACATCATCGCCTCAGTGCAGGAATCTATTGATGTGGTCAATGCTCTGCCAGACTACGTGCCCAATACCGACACGGATCAATATCCTCGACAAGATGTCCATCGACCAACTCCGGAAGAGAATCCCGGGAATGCCTGGGCGTGGAAAGTGAGGATCGAGGGCGACAAGGACGACTCAGCCATTCTGTCTGGCGTCACGTTCGCGCTCAAGGACAACATTGCCGTCAAGGATGTGCCCATGCTCGTAGGCACAGATGTCTTCACCGACTACATCCCCGACACGGACGCCACGGTGGTGCGACGGATACTGAAAGCTGGCGGCACCATCGAAGGGAAAGCTGTCTGCGAGAATCTGTCGCTGTGTGCCTCGTCCTTCTCTGCAGCTACAGGACCGGTCGAAAACCCCTACGCCGAGGGCTACACGGCCGGTGGCTCGTCGAGCGGATGCGGTCATCTGGTAGGCGCGGCGAAAGTAGATGCCGGCATCGGTGGAGACCAGGGAGGTTCGATCCGGTTTCCAGCCAGCTACTGCGGCATTGTGGGCATGAAACCAACCTGGGGTCTGGTACCATGGACAGGCATCATGACCCATGACCCAGTCCACGACACTGCTGGTCCGATGACCCAGACAGTGGCCCTGAACGCCAAAGTCCTCCAAGCTATTGCTGGCAGGGATGACATCGATGATCGACAATACGCCGCACCGCTGCCCGCAGATCTTCCCAACTATTCGGATTCCCTGGAAAAGGGTGTTGCGGGGCTTAGGATTGGCATCCTTCAGGAAGGGTTTGATTTCGCGGTCATAGATCCCAGAGTCAAACAGAAGGTGTTGGATGCCGCGGAGCGGTTCAAGAGCCTTGGGGCAGAGGTTCTTCCGATCAGTGTGCCTTTGCATACCCAGGCCGGGCATATTGTCAACTGCGCGTTGCGACCCACAGCCTCGCAACAGGGCTATCTCGGAAAAGCGTGCGGTCGGAGGGCACTGTACATGACAGGGCTGACCGAGAAGATGAGTCCTTTGACCCAGGACAAATTTGACAAGATGTTCTCGACGTCCAAGTTCTCCCTCATGTCGGGTCTCTATGTCTGGTCAAAGCACCCCGCCCTCTACGGTAAGGCCATGAACTTGTATCGAAGGTTGCGGGATGAATATGACGCGGCTTTGAGCCAGGTTGATGTCCTCATCACGCCCACAACGCCATACGTTGCAAATCGGCACGCGGCGAGGGATGCTGGACCTGCAGAGCAAATGGCTAAGAGTCGTGGTGTTGCGGTAAACACGGTCTGTTTCAATGCCAGTGGTCATCCAGCCCTAAGCTTACCTATCGGCTATTGTTCCGCTGAAGACGATGACAGCATCAAGTTGCCTGTTGGGATGCAAATTGTTGGAGGAATGTTCCAGGAGGAGATGATCTATCGAGTCGCTGCAGCATGGGAGAAAGCGTTCGATTGGAAGTCATTATAAGATGTCGCAACAGCCGTGTCGTGTGCGTGAAAGCCCATCTTCTGATGGCTATCGTGATGAATGAAATAACTAAGGTGGTACACCATAAGACTTCGTGATCTCACAAGAGCGCCGGGTCTTGGAACTAGGAATGTTAGTCTACAAATGGATTTGGGTCTGCAGAGTTGACAAAACAAATACACTGTTGAATATGAAGCCGAGTCCAATATGCACATCTGTCCCACCGTTTATGCGGTTGGAAGGTGATAATCGAACACCGCAGTAGTCCCATCCGTAGGATCGCGCCTTCGCCGGTAAAGACCAGGCCTTGAGTGTGGCCCACCCGATCGGGTCGACAAACTCGAGGCAGCAACGCCTTTTCGCCGACGTGTCCTGGCTTGGGAGCCCTGCGATACATGAGCGCCTAGTCATACAGCCGTCTGTTCGCTCGGGCTCCAGCACGAAATATGCCTCGTGAGAATGTGCTAAGTATGCTTTCTTCAGGAAGGCTTTTGAATATTGGAAGATATGTCATCAAGTCGCGTGAGACCGCCGAAGGGTGGCCGACGATCGCTCCTTCGCCACCATTCCACACTATCATGAACGCAGCCGTAACGTTGTTGACAAGAGATGCGGAAGTGTATATGAGAGCCCTTGCCGTCTTGTCTGCACATATGAGATGAATACTGTAGGCATCTGTCAACATTTCGGTTGCGTGATGAGTACACCATGGACCACGAATTTGCCAAAGAGGGCGTCCACCACATGAGATCGCAGCTGTGTGGATGGTTCAGATATGATCCAACAGAGCTGCGAGATGGACCGAGTGCAGCAGTCCGTCAAGGACAAAGAACGTCGTTCTCGACCATGAGCTCGCCTCACCAACCCGGCACCCAGTTTGGCGCAGACGGTGACGGCCAAGAAGCAGCGGTAGATACGGACATGAATTTGAAGGGTGGTCTCTCTGGCGACGTTCCCGTGAAGACCTCGACCTGCGCCACTCACGTTGATGGCCACGAGACTCCAAGAACAACCTCACAATCTTCAGTCCGTCGGTTCCTCATTTTAGTTGGCATGTTCTTGTCGCTCTTCATCTCGGCACTCGACCAGACCATCGTCACAGGCGCTCTACCGTACATCGCGGCCGATCTCGGCTCCTCAGGCAGCGGCTATACTTGGGTCGGATCTGCATTTGCTCTGGCCCAGTTTGCTGTTTTGCCTCTCTTCACACAGGCAGGCGGTTTCTTTGGCCGAAAATGGACTCTGCTTTGTGCAATATCCGTGTTTCTGCTTGGAAGTGTCTTGTGCGGTTGCGCAAACAGCATGACAGTCCTCATCGCCGCCAGGGTCGTGCAAGGTGTCGGTGCTGGTGGGATTATAACCTTGGTCTATATCCTCATCGGTGATCTAGTAAGCACAAAGTAAGTGTCACCATATCCGATGTTATTTGGAACCTTTGAGGCTGCACAACTGACTGACACATGGTGTGTTCCAGAGACCGGGGCAAATACCAAGGCTTGATCGGGGCAACATGGGCTGTGGCCAGCGCTGTTGGCCCAGTCCTGGGCGGCGTTTTCGCTGACAAGGTTTCGTGGAGATGGTGTTTCTTCATCAACGTCCCTGCCTCAGTGCTGGCCTTCCTGGTGATCATGTTGTTCCTCCACATGACGCACCCACGGGTAAGGCTTTCCGAAGCCATTCGCAAGCTTGATTATTTGGGCATCACAGTGACTGCCGGTGCAACGACTCTTATCCTCTTGGCTCTGCAGTGGGCTCAACAAGGCGCAGCATGGTCCTCAACCCGCCAGATTGCTTTCCTGGTACTGGGCGGCCTCGGCTTTGTGGCACTCCCGTTCATCGAAGCCAAAGTACCGACGCCCATTGTCCCTCTGAGTCTGTTTGCACACCGAACCAGAATCGGGGCTTACGCGGCTTCACTTTTGCATGCTGTGGCCTACTCTGGCATTGCATATTACACGCCGTTGTATTTCCAAGCCGTCAAATGCCAGAGCGCTTCGGCGGCTGGTGTAAACATACTTCCATTGGTGATTTCTCTCACCATTGCCAGCACTGCCAGTGGATATCTGATTACCTGGACCAGAAAGTGAGCCCCCAATTGCCCCGAATGAGATGATATTCTGCATCGCAAGATCACTAACCTGAATGTGTCACCATAGATATCAAGCATTGGTTTGGGGTGGATTCGTAGTATCGGCTGTCGGATCCGGTCTCACGATCATGCTCAATCAGGTGAGGGAGTTGAGACCCTGGATACGCAAACGTGGGACTTTTGCTGACGCTCATTTCCTCCAGTCTTCCGGTAAAGCTACACAGATTGCATTCCTGATTCTTACTGGTCTTGGTCTCGGGCCTAACTTCAACTCGCTTCTGATCCCAATACATGCGTCCTTTGGCGACGAGACTGAGACCGCTCCTGATGTTCTGGCGTCGTCAACCGCTGCTTACGTCTTCTTGCGCTCCATGGGATCCGCCCTGGGCATCAGCATTTCGGGCCTCGTGTTCTTTCAGGGCCTGGCCGATGTCCACTTCAACGGTATGCCGGCGTCACAGGTGGTTGGGCTTGTGCGAGAACTTCCTGAGCCTCAAAGATCTCAGGCCGTTGACTTGTTCTCGAGGGCCATGCGGCATGTCCACATACAGCTGACAGTCGTGCTGTCGGTAGCCTTACTAGCAAGTCTGCTCGTGAAGAAGCATCAACTGCAGGACAAGGTGCAGTCTAACCACAGACTGGTCGAGCAGAAATCTTGAGCGAGCGAAAAGCTCAAATAGCTAGTCCAAAAAAATTGATAGGAGCTGCAACCCCTCAAGTTGAATTTACTGATAGCGCGGACTTCACATTCGATAGAACCATGGGTCCAACTCGTTTCCCATAGAATCCAAGTTCGAGTAGAGCATGGCAGCGCCGTTCTCTGTACCATCCCCAATGATGGGTTGATCCAACCAATGCCCTAGGTCATCGTTCATGAGGGTATCATCAAACTGGAAAGTGCTGGTTTGGTCGATAGATGCGTGCATGGGCAGAGGAGCTGGGAATGCTGCATCGATTCCTGCTTCCCGCGCAGAATTCCCGGGCCAACTTACTTGCCCGGTTGCTTGTTGATCATGGTCTTGTTCGATCCCAGTGATTGGAATCAGCTGTACAAAAAGGCGAATAGTGCCTTCACAGAGTTGACAGTAAATGTCGAGAATCTTTTTGCCATACCGCCAGTGTTCCGCCATAGCTGAGAGTACCATGCGTGTCCTCTGCAAATCCTCGTTAATTTCTTTCCAGTCGGCGATGGCCCTGATTTCGGGACTGGTCCATATACAGAAGAGATGCGTGACTGCGGCGAGGAAGAGCCAGTGGAATGCCATCCAAGTGCAATCGATAGCATTACGTGAATGCATCTTCGCGTAGAGCTTCAGAACATTCGAGGCTGAGGCAAAGGATCGTTGGTATGCTCCTTCAAAAGAACTTGAACTGATCAAGGATGGCCGATAAATGAACATGGTCAAGTTGTGATAAGCATGGTTAATCCAATCCTCCATTTGAGGCGAAGATTGTGACAAGGGCGCCTCAACCAGCCACGCATCAAGCCGTCTCTGGATATTGTTGTGCCAATCAGCTGGCATTGGTCTGGTCTTCTGGTAGAGCACATCGGCTGCCTCACTTTGTAACCTTCGGAGTAAAAAGCAGTGGTTGGCAGCTGCGGCATTGAGCGCCGAAGAGGAGTCGTGTAGACTAGCTGGAGTAATCTCGGGAAAGGGTGTGCGGATATCTACATCCTGTAATGCTGTGGGCCGACCCAAGGTATTCCCCACGGCTCGGTCAATGCTGTACAGCGACCAGAACAAATCCCGCCGAGCACTCGCATCTTTAGCACTGTCTGTCGCCGCTGGTGTGAGGTTGTCTTCATGAAGACGAAGGAAAGTTGCAAGGCGTAAGGCAGCACCCAGTAGATGCCAAGTGACAGATTTCTGGGGGTTGACCAAGGAATAGAGGAGGACAAGCAGTATGATCTGGAGAGTCCCGATGGTGCGGTAGGGCAGAATGTTCGGAAGCAAGTGCAGAGCTCGTTCGTATTGCATCTCTGCGAGATTCGACGCCATGGCATTCCCCTCCATAGCGCCTAGATAGAATGTGGAAATGGCCGAGATTGCGTGAATGACAATGCCGGATTCGGGATACTCATTCGGCGTATCTGAGAAAAAGCGAGATAGATGAAAGTCAAACTGTTCGCGCGTCAGGATTCTGTAGAACCACTGTGTGACAGAAAAATAGTCGAATAACCTCGATACCGTCTCGCGGTCTAAGTTGGCATGCGCGGGAGTTGGAGACAGAATATCAATCAGGCGTTTTGAATCCGTGTGGGCTTGACTGTTGGGTTGGGACGCGAGACCCCGCGAACCATCAAGGATGTGACGTGTCTTTGCGAAGGTAATGGCGTACTCGATGAAGGCGATTCCAGAAGAGGTGCCGAGATAGCGTCTGTTTGAGACCGGGGGATTTTGTCGCTTTCGTTCGGGGTGGTTCACCGGCGTTGAGGCGTCTTTAGGCGGAGGATCGCTGGACAACTTTTTGAGAGCCTCACGGAGCTTCTGGGCATGTTCCTCCAGTCGCTGGACATATCTGGCGCCTCGGTCAGTTGTTGGGGTCAAAAGCATAGGTCCCGGCAGCCTCACGCTCTAGGGACTGTTCTGCCTGTATCGGGATCCTCAACATAGCACTCATTTCCTGACTGCTTTGGGCGGGTTAGCAGAAGCCATGTGTTTCTGATAGGGAGATGAGTCGCGCTCTTACCACGCAAGGCTTGCAGCCATTTGTATCGGAATCGCATTTCTGTTTGCGATTTCGGCATCTCTGGCACACGGGCACGGGTTGAGACCGTTGAACACTTTCATCCAAGTTCATTGTGCTGGTGCGCGTCCGCTAACGAACGCGGCGGATGTGTCATATGTACCCTCGTATTCAAGCAGTGTGAGAAGATACGCAGAGTTCAGCGCATGATAAGGAGACCGAGGCGTCGTTTTGAACCCTTGTTTAATAGGCAATAATGAACGGCGATTGACGAACATGTTCGAGCACCAATAATTCTTGATGTTTGTCGAATGAGGGACTAAAGCGGCGTGGACATGGGGCTTGGCAATGGCTCCAGGCGTCGAACAGCCACTCTAGCCTACCTACCTAGGTAAGGCTCCTTCTCACCCGGGTGGTTGGTTCTGAGGGGGGCCGCGCCATCTGTTTTGGCACCCGGCCTTAGCCCGGTCGTGCCTGCTGACTTCCGTTGATTAGCAGCCAAAGATTGTATGTACTTTTGATACCGTCGAGGTCGGACCTTGCGATAGTACTACCGTGCAATAATCCAACCCTCATCACTTGCAAAAACACTACTCTTAGGAATGAGGTGCATGCAGTTCGTGTCTTGCCGACACACTGGTAGGCCTTATGTCATATCTCCAAAACTATGCCTATAGTACCATCGCACTTGTATTTATTGTGTCCTCAACGCCTCGACGTCCTGCACGATCTCTACATCTACCTCTGTCCTCGAACTGGACGACCGCCCGGACTCGCCATCAAATTAGCCGTCTTTCTTTACGACAACGCTCCATCACCTACTAGTAATTACCAGCCTGGCGTCTCTCATGAAGACCAAAACTTTACCAGTCCCAAGTTCGATTCTGCTTCGGAGTGATGGACATGGAAGATGTGTCTCGCGCCTCAAACTCCACGGACGACTCGAGCCATGATCCCTCCCACCAGGGCTTTTCCAACAAAAATCAACTTCACCTTTGTCAATCAGGCTGAAGATGTCAATGCCCTTTAATGACTCACGGAAGAATCAGCAACCAGCAATACCTGGAGTCAGCGGAGAGAATAAGAGGAGTGCTGGCCGAGAAAACATAAGGAATCACATACAGACATGTCTCGAAAGAGTTTTGACCACCACGAATCGAGTACGTCTATCAAGAGCGATTTTATAAGTATCTCCGGTGTCAGGGGCGATAGCGATCCTACCCAAACAGAGCAGTCCAGTGTCCATCAAAACCAAGGGGTGGGGAATCTGGCCCGACTCGCACAGAGCACTTAGACTACCTACTCATACTCGTAGGTATCCATGGACCCTTTTCTGTGCGCCTCGCATCTCCCGGACTACTACTACTCGCACAGAAGTATGTTTTGTGATCCCAGAACCAATCATATGTTTCGGTGCCACGACAATGAACCATGCACGACAGGGGTCTCTTTTTTCCGTTTTCGGATAAGGCTTGTGGAGGCCAGGGTTCTGATTGGACAAGATTGATGGGGGCCATCATGATTCCACTGACTACGGAACCGGAGGTTCGAGGGATGGAAAAGGGTGCAAAGAGACAGAACTAAGTACCAAGGGCCCCAGGTTTGGGGACATCGGGCATATAAAGAGGGAGGTGGGCTGCTGTGCAAATTTCTCTTTTGCTACGGACTTGTGTAGGACCACTACACTCGACATCCTCCATTCTGTTCTTAGGGCCGCCCTTGTTATCAAGTGTCCGTTGTGAATGTGAAGCAACAGCAGTCACTTTGATCAGCCTTTCCATCTAGCATTAAGGGCCTCCCGCATCTCGCAATGGCGGCCTCGTCCCCAGACTCACTCTCCCTGGCCGGCAAAGTCGCCATTATCACCGGGTCTGGCAAGGAGAACGGTATTGGCGCCGGCATCGCATCCGCCCTCGCGCGACAAGGTGCCGCCGTCGTGCTCAACTACGTCTCCGAGGCCACGGCCCCTCGGGCTGCTGCCGTGGCAGAGCGCCTCCAAACCGAATATGGAGTCAAGGTCGCAGTGGTCAGAGCGGACGTCTCGACGCAGGATGGAGCCAAGAGCTTGGTAGAGCAGGCCTTGAAGGGCTTGGGCGTTGACAAGCTGGATATCTTGGGTATGGTGGAATTGTGTCCCTAATCTCTTCGTATGGCCGAACCATACTGTGTCAAACCCAAATGGCTGTTTCGGCTGGCTGACGATGCGATACAGTGAATAATGCAGGCGGTGGCCCTCCCGCAGGGGCGCTGCAGGCGAGCAGCGAAGACGTCACCGCAGCGTTTGCGGCCAATGTCTTTTCGGCCTTGTTCATGGTCCAGGCTGCGGTGCCTGTGATGCGTCGTGGTGGCCGGGTCATCAACATCGGCTCCATTGCTTCCAAGATGGGGATCGGGCCTATTGCGCTGTACGGCGCCGCCAAGGCTGCGAACGATGCTCTGACATATTCGCTGGCCATGGAAGTAAGTACAGAAAGCCCTTCGTGGAATCCTTCATCTACGTACGTGCATTGCTGATATCGTACTTCGCTGACGGTATGCTCTTCCAGCTCGGCCGTAGCCATGGGCTCACGATCAACACTGTCGCTCCTGGCCCGGTGCCGACGGATGGAATTCCACCACCGGTGGCGGAGATCATTCATGCCAATCTCGTGCCGTTGACCAGAGCCGAGGTTCGCCTGGGCACGGTCGAGGATATCGCGGATGTGGTGTTGTTCCTGGCTTCCGAAAAGAGTCGCTGGCTCACGGGACAGTTCATCTCAGCCAGTGGGGGCATTACTGGTAATTGAGACGTTTGTGGACCAAGTAGGGTGGTTGCCACCATGAAGGCGCAAATTCGATTCGAAATGGGTCGTCATTTAACATAGGCTTCTGTGCCCGCTAACTCATGAATTTTCACCGCTCGCTGCATGCGCGTCAAGTTTGAGATTGATGTCAGCCGCCAACTCATCGGCTTGGCTGTCCATTAACATCCCAACCCAGACAATTTGTTTTGCCAGAGCAATGGCAGCTTCGCTTGTTGAAATCCTCAAAATCGTCATTGTCTGGCAGATCTTTTGGTGAGTTAGGTTGCTTTGCGTCGGAAACAGTGAGGTGAGGGCCACGATCGCCCACAGGCCAATCTCGGGAAATGCAGTGAAGACGTGCGTCGTCGAAGATAGAATATCGATGAACTTTTCATGTAATAAGTCTGTCTCGGCTGATAACAGTGAAAACTGCTTCTTGAGCCTGGCCATCATTACAAGAAGGGTCAGCCGGACCAATTCCCTCAATAAGATCTCTGGTGATATGTCCGTGGGTTTGTCTGGAAGTCGGGGAAACGACAGCAAGAAGTGAGACAAAGGACCGATTAGTTTGGAAGCCAGTTTGCCATCCCTCCAGAATGCAGGGCAGTGGCTGTTCTGATTCACTACAGTGGCAAGGTTTGCTGCTCTTTTCAGAGCGGTGCCTACCAGCCTCAGATCATCGGATGAGTCTTCCAGAGGTAGAATGAGAGCGTACAATAACGAGCTGATCTCTCCGAAACAGGGTTGGGTGTCGGTAACTTGCGGGAGAATTGGGATTTGTGGTTTGGAATCATCGACGACCGATCCAACAACATCCATCCTACAAATGGTCAGGAAATTTGCATGTACGACGACTGGAGAGTTGCCACGTACCACAAGATGAATAGAGCGACGTCTAGACCAAGGTGCGAGACATCTCCACGGAGCCGTAGGATACGTTCGAGACCAATAACATGAAGCCGCCAGCGCTTCCAGGCTCCAACACTAGACTGTCAAGCATGGGAGTCAGTCTTGCATCGGGGGACTTGAAGCCTAAGTCAACATACATCATGACAGAGAAAGCCGAGCACGGTGGTGATTACGCCGTCGCTCGTGCGTTCTGTGTTGCTCGCAAGTCGCCGAGTGACTTGATATAGACTTTCGCTGTAGTACCTGGCAGATTCGGCACAGTCGCTATATTCCGTAGCTCCTTGCTTGCCAGTGGTGATCTGGTTCATGAATAGCGCCGCGTTTGCTAGCGACAGGTAGAAGGCGCTGGTATCTGCGACGGCCATGACGAACCACTCGTATCGGAAAGGTCGGTACAGGTAGTCGCCCTCAGTTTGCACTGTCAACCGTCAGCTTCCTCCGACTTGTCCGGAGAGCCACTGAGGCCACCTACTGAATTGAATGAGCTGTAGGGCACGCGAGTCGGTGTTGATGGGATAGGGTCCGAATGGCTGTAAGCAATGTGGGTTAGTGAGCAACAGACTGTCAGGAGGAGGCTCGCGGCTTTGTGATGTAGGCCTCAGCGAGAGTGAGAATGTCACAGGGGCCTTCTTGCGAGATCTGCCCACTCGTCCCATGACATGGCGTCGAACGGCTTTTCGGGCCCCTTTTTGCTTGATGTCTTCAGGATGAGAGATGTGGACGAAAGTGAGAGCTCCATCATCTTGGATTCGCTTGCGAGCGGCAACCCCGTGTACGCGATACGGAAGAGTGCTCGAGTCCTTGAATCTCGATCTTGAGCTCATGGTCAATTTGATGGAGGCCACCTGGAATATTAGATCGATCCATTAAGTACGAGTAAGTGTTTTTGAGTAGTAGTGAAGAATTTTTAGGTGGGTGGGACTCGCCTAGATGGCACTTGGTGCACGGTCCCCAACTGATGGGCAAGCCACTCTGGCACCAGTCGCGCCTGTTAGGTGTGGCCTAACGGTGACCTGTCCAGGTGCCTGCAGAGCCTGGGGACCTTCTTGGTCCCGGCCATATCCGCAGCTATGACTGACTGAGTTAGTAAAATAGTGTTGTAGAAGAAATGGTTATGGCAGAGACCATACAGGTGAGAGCCGGGCCTCGGGAGTTGCGAATCCGCCGTACCTCTCCTGCACTCGGACCGTACTGTCGATTGACTTGAATGGTGTAGAAACTTGAACATGCCAATGCCGACCATGACTCCGATGAACGGCAGACCTCCAACCCCAGCGTTCCAGCCTGGGCCTCACTCGTACACCACCGGATACGCATCAAAAAGCATGTAGAGGGTTCCATATACGGTTGCTGCGTAGAAGGTGAAGAGCAACACGATAGGGGACCCATGGCCGTGACAAAGAGGTTTGGAGACGTCGTGATAATGTGACTTAGGTTTTTCTTCGAGGTCGATCTTGCTTCGGTAGCATTTTCCCGTTATTCGTGACAGCTGTCCGGCGCGTTTAACGAGGAGTATAGGCGCATAGGGGTCTGGGACGAAGATTGGGACGATCCATCCACCCACCGCCATCAAGATAACATCGGTCCAGGGAACTTGAAGGTCCCGTGTACCGAGTCACTGCAAAGAGACAGAGAGCGAGTCCTCGTTGTCTGGCGGTAACATGTCGGAGATGAGTGTTTGGGTGCCTGAGATAACAGCTAGATTAGAACTAGATTTAAAAAAAAACCGTTGTTACATGCCGCGAAGTTTAGCTCCGCGCTGCATACAAACTTTAGCGTTGATAGACGGTTAACGGTGGCTTCGATGCGTAGCTCGGCATGGATAAGTACCATGCCATACATAACATTTGTATCTGGACAGCTTTGTGTATATTATGGGGGTAGATGGCGTTGGTGCCAGAAGAGTGTTGGGATGGAACTTAAGTAGTATGAAACGCCGTGATGAGTTCATTTTCCTCGCCAGTGTTCTCAGAGATGTGGTACTGGTATGCAGCGAGAAGTCATGGGGACAGTTTTGAGGGTCGTACGGCTTCTGTTCCACCTTAGCTTCCGAGACGTCTTGCAAGCCGTCCTCAGGTTGAGTTCTTTTAGTAGCACCTCCTCGGGCTGTTTGGCGAGGCGCCGACTCGTCCACTGCGGTTTCGGCTTTAGCTTCGGCTGTATGAGGGTCGGGTCGTGTGAGGGTCTTGTCTTCTCTTTATCCCGGCCGCCTGAGAGATGAATGGGGGAGGGCATCTCTCGGAAACATTGGTACTAGCTTTACTGCTGGTCTCTGCGATGACCTCCTGTGTTCCACCTCTTCTTGCTGTTCGTTGCTGGTTCGCAGCTTGCGGCTCTTCAGATCGCGGGTTCTTGCGAAGGGCTGGCTCTGTCGGTCAGCTACTGGTATACAGCGCGTGGTCAGTTGTGTCATTCGGCCATGGATTGGTATTAAGGTTCTGGAACTGACAACTCTGAGTCTCCTGGATTCTTTGGCTCTTTCGCAGGTGATCCGTCGTGTCGCCGTTGTGGTCATCGCGGTTTTCCTGGTGTCAGTTTGCCAATGGAGTTCTCCAGTCATGGATGAGGTTTCCTACCACTTTAGTAAAGCATGATTCAGGCCGGAGATGAGGTTGCTCAGTGTTGTCATGACCTCTTCACGATTGCCTCATGTCCCCTGTAATAAGGAGTTAGTACTAACCCGTTGCCATATTGATTGGCAACTTTGGAAGGCATGCAGGACGAGCCTTGCTACAGTAGTACCCTTACGTAGAGAGTAGTAGGTAGTATCACACACTAAAGGCAGGAGCGGCACTCTCCGACGGAAGCTGGCCGCAAAGTTTTGTCGCGAGAACTTGAAGCACCGATCTCCCTTGTACGCCGAGAGGAAATGGCCGGCCACTGCCAGTTCCGGGGGATGATATCTCAAGCTTCGCGGCACAAGTATGTCTTGGATGACAGACAGGTCAATCATTTATTTGCTCCTGCAACTAGTGAAAATCAATCTTGAACTATGCCAGCAGAACGATACCTTGTCATATAAACTTATAGGTACACTAGTACTACTGGCTGTGGAATCAGGTACTAACTAAGTACAGAGAAAGACTGTTGACTGCACTTCAGCCTAAAAGATGGCTTTTGGGATACTTAGTATCCCTACCTAGGTAGTTAGTACTTAGTAGTACTGGTACCTTTTAGTACGTACCTAGTAGCTGTCGGGGGTTTCTACCCCGTATTTCAAGGATGACCTACAAGCCACCCTTTCTCTCTCTCTCTCCACCCTCTCCGTCCCTTCCCTCTTCCTCTCTCTCCATCCACCCTCTCCACCAGTAGTAAGTGCCTTGGTGCCTACTCCACTCTTGTCAAAGTCAGGCTGGAAAGCCTCCTTCGGCTGCCGACCACTTAGAGGCCGTGTCAAACTAGTACGATAAACAATGGAGCTTCTGACGACGTTTGAGAAGTATTGCTCTCTGTCTCTTCCCTTGTCCACGTACTTACCCGAGCTCAGGTTTTTCCAAAGCGGCACTGTCACAATTTATGCGGGAAAGGAGCGTCGAGAACTTGCTGTTCACAAAGCAATCTTGTCCGAATCTGGCTCGCCATCACTTCAAAAACTGGCCGAGCCAGGCTGGAGGGAGTCCTCAGAAGGTTGTATTGATTGGACTCATACAAGTACCCCAACAGTCGAGCGCGTCCTGACATGGCTCTACCTCCGAGACTACACAAGTCCGGACCCAATACGGCGAGAAGGTTCAGTACGGTCAGAAGAGGCAGACAATATCGTGGATGGCCAAGACCCTAAAGTAAGAGAAGACACCCAATCCGTTGCAGGTCAGTATGGAGAAATCGAGGAAAGCAATGAAGCCGTCGAACCTCTGGCGGAAGCAGAAGCCGCGCCGGAACCCCCACCAGAACCAGATTACTCAGATGTTGAAGACCTGGAGCTCCAGAATGCGATTCTCGATTCATGCAGCCAACGGCCGTTGACTCCTCTTGGTACCTGTGTTGGACTTCCACCCGTCACGACTACATACAAAACCGCAGCCGGTCTTTTCGAGGAGGAAGAGTTTCCCATTCACAGCTTCTCCTATCGCGAGCCTTTGCTGGCTCATGTGGAAGTCTACAGCTTCGGAAAATATCATTTCCTACGTGGACTGCAAGACCTGGCCCTCCAACGGATGATAGTCACCCTGAGGAAAATTGACTGCTCGGTCAAATATGCCAGAGAAGAGCTCGGGGAGATCATCGAATTCGCCTATGACAACATCGATGCCACTGGAGACGGCGAAGAACCCATGCGCAAACTCTTGTCTCAATTTGCTGCAGCAAATTACACTTCGCTCCTGCATGGCAGCTTTGAGACTCTCTTCGGTCGTGGCGGTGAATTCACCCTGGATCTGGCGCGAAAGCTTTCTCGACGACTCTTGGCGCATGGGGTTTCAGGCAGGTTGGTGGAAGATGAGTTGGAGCAACGGATTCAAACCCTTGAAGTCCGAGTGCAAGAGCGAGACGAAACAATCAAATCCCTAAATGTTAGCCTGAACGATTTGCGTGAATGGGGCCGAGGGTTCAACAGGAGAGGCTCCAGGGGACGATACCGATAAATCCGAGAACTGAAGCCGAACAAAGATCCTCCCGAGTCCAGGCTACTTAAGTCAAACTTCGAGCAGATCTCAGGACTCCTCCAACATGTACTTAGGTAGGTAGTACTAGTAGGTACCGGCCGGTACTGGACGATATTGGCGCAAGTTCCATTCGTGAAAGTCCTAGTACGAGGTACCTAGTGGCTTAGAGCAACTTACTCAGCCCTACTACCTTAGCGTATCTCACTGAAATTAGTACCTACCTAATGTAATACCTGACTATACCCGGCTAACCGAGAACTTCGGTGTACTACCGTGCCCACCCCCTTAAGTTTAAATCAGTATAGATACCGTATCGAGATAGCTTCGGAGTCTTCTGCGATACTTCTCGGAAGCTTCTCGGAAGCTTCTCCGAGAAGTCCTTAAATCGCTGAGAATTCTCGAGCTTCGGACTGCTTAGCTTCGAACTAGCTTCGAGCTTCGTAGTGATATATATATATTTTTCAAAACTTTCAAGTCTATTTTTACTAAGTCCTAGTATTAGATTATAGTACTAATAGAGATAGCTTCTGTATCTAAAATATTAAGTTTTGTACTTAAAAAAAATTATCAGCTTTATAGCGTAGCTAGTTAGAGAGTTAGAGCTTAGCCGAGTTATCCGCTTTTAGCGTAAACCTTAATTTTTAAAATATAATAGTCTTAAAAGAAGGTAAATTAAAAGAGTCTATTAAGAAGCTTAAAGCTATAATAGAACTCGAAGCTTAAAGCTATTGTATAAAAAGCTCGAATCTATAATAGAACTTGAAGCTAGTAGAACTCGAAGCTATTAAAGCGCTCGAATCTATTTAAGAGCTCGAAGCTAGTAAAACTCGAAGCTATATTAAAGCTCGAAGCTAAATAGAGAAGTACTAGATACTCTCTAGAGGCTCCGAAGATGCTTAATACAGTATCTATACTGATTTGAACTCTAGGCCTTGGGCACTATAGTACTCTCCCTAGAGATCAAGCCTACTACTAGGATACTAAGTATCGAAACCAGATCGAAACCAGATTAAAACCAGATCGAAACTAGATTGAAACCAGATTGAAACTAGATTAAAACTAGATTAAAACTTTCGTTGCTACTTACTACTATAAAGTACTAGGTACCTACCTACTACCTACTAGTATTAGGTACTAAGTAGTTGGAGAGGATGGGGTGCTATTAGGTCTAGTAATCCCACCGTTTAAGGCTCAGTTTATAGCAGCTTCGGCCTTGAGTGCAGCAGTTTCCACACTGCCTGCGTATCCTGTAATCCAAGACCAGGCTGCCATGGATTCCCTCGGGCAGTTGAACATGCATCTCCTCCACGCCTATACACTGACCGGGCGTCAGCTGTACAGCCAGGTCCGTGTCTTCTTCACTACACTCGTACTGGGCGCGCATCTCGCACTTGCATAGACCCTCGTCACAAGCAGCTTGCTCGACATCGATGATTTTTTCGGCGACTGCTGCAGCTAGCAGGGAATCCCATATCCCTTCTCTGTGCGGAACCAGGCGCAACAATCGAATGGCTTCTCTCCTGACGTCGGCTTCGCGACCGCGAATTGCGGTGTAGTAGAGCGGTGGGATCCAGCCTATATCGGCTATTGCGTTTGACTGGTCTTGGTCGGAGGGCGTGCGATGAGGGACCAACGACTGAATGGAAGGTCCGAGGACGAGCTTGAATAGGAATTTGCATTCGGCCAGGATCGAATGGAAGGAAGGTGTGACCGTGTCGTCCTTCACGTTTTCCGCCGAATCACAGTGACACTGAAGCTGGTGCAAGGTCGTGGAAAAGTTTGATGAGACTGGCGAGTGGGATATCATGGCACTCGGCGAAGTGGAGGTGACAGATGATTGGGATACAGACGAAATATCGGTAAATGTAGACTGCTCGCACTCATCAACCATCACGCAGGCCAAAGTGTGATATAGATGTAGAAGTCTCCAGGAGAAACGCTCAAGAGCTGAACCCGGAGCCGGGCTGCCAGCTGCTTCGCCACTTCGAGTGGCTACCTTATATGCTAGCAGCCAGTTGTCAAGCTCGATCTGAATGGTCGTACGGGCGTCGTTGACCTGAGAAATTGGATCGATCGGTCGATGAGCCGGCCCCGACTCCGAGCAATGTTGGTGTTGATTTTCAGCTATCAGGCTGAAAATCCGGAAAAACACGTGCTCCAGGCTCTGTCGGGCATGGTTGACGGAGTGGAACACATCGTTGAGCGGTTCAATTTGGGCAAGTAAACGGGGCTGACGGACGGTCTGCCCAAAGAGTTTCGCCTGGATGAGCAGACTGGTGAAGGTCTGCATTATCCACTCGTCGACAATGTCACGGCCACCTTCTGCCTTGCCGAGCGCCTCCTCGAGCAACATCATTCCATGTCCAAGATGAGTCAGCGCGGTCTGGTAGCAGCCTCGCATATACTCGAGATGGACGAAGATTGCACAGACGATGAGTGCCACCTTGACAGAACATCCGCTTTGATTCTCGATTCGATGTCGAAGGCCACTGGTCGCACGGATGTACTGTTGCAGCGTGAATGATTCTGCTGTGTTAGCCCCCTGTGATCCGGTAGGTGTCACATCGCAGAGCGCTTGTCTCCTATGGACAGATCCGAGCGCTAGCACAGCATGGAGCACAACGGACTCAGAGACGCTTGCTTGCGGCAACAGGTTATGCCAAAAAGCCAGCGCGAACGTCCCTGGAAGTTTGCGAAGCGACCTATGGAAAAACCATTCCATGCACATGTGCTCGTCCCACGAGATGGTGTGGAGAGGAATGTGTCTGAATGCGGCAGCATGGATGCCTTCTCTGTCTTGCTGCAACGAGAGCTGCTTTTCTGTTGAAGGGGGAATATCAGTGTGGCGTGAAGACCGCTGACTAGCTCGATGCTGGCCACCACCCCAGATGCCGTACCCGTCGCAAGCCCGACCGGTCGACAGACAGCGACGACATGATGGTCGAGCCTCGTCGCATTTTACCTTTCGGATCCTAGAAGCATTGCTTGTGTAAGCCTGGTGACTCTCACCCGGAGTAAGAGACTGGGGCAGATCACACTTACTTGCAGGTACGGCAGCCTGTTTTGGTTTTGCGCAGCTTCTGCCGAGTCTGGCCGAGGATAACCACAGGCATGCCTGTTCAGTCGTCCCTGTCGTGACAAACTCCTGGCACATAGTACTGGAGTGATTTCGAATGGGAGCGACCACCAGCGAGAGGTGCTACGTCAGTCCAATTTGCCCTTTTGGAGAATGGACTAAGAGTTTCATCATCGAGTGATCCTGTCACCCGCTTTGCACTACTAAGAGGTAGTATTGCCCAAGTCTTCGTGTACGTAGGTCTTGTGCACAGTAAGGTAAATAGTTTACAAAGATTGGGCAGGAATCATGGTCGGACCAAAACCTGAATTCCACAAGTTGAGAGTGGCTCCTGCCAGCAGAGGGGTCAAGTCTTGGCAAGTCCATCCACTAAACTTACAAAGCACTAGTACTTAGTATCTTGCTATGATTGGTCCGTTCGCATTTATTGCAATTCTATTCGCTGGCCTTGTCGAGAACTACTATCAATCAGATATCAGAGAACCCATCCATTCGCAACGACGCACATGGGCTTTGGAGCCACTGTTCGCAATCGATCGATCACAACCGCCGAAGACTACCAGAGATGATTTGAAGGAACCACTTAGGATCGAGCAACTCCGAGCACACGAATTGACAGAAGAGAGAAGTCTTACATGAGTCATGTCGACAACTTCTCCACCCATCCTCACGGTGGACGAAACAAGGCAGGCCGAGGTCAGAGAAGGGCACAGCAAGGTATAAGAACTGCGGAAATCTGCTGCTCTGGAGACCTGACCCAAGATTCTTCAAACTTCCAAATCTGTCAAGTCCAGGAACTGCCCTGAAGCATTATCATTGCGTACTCGATTTGTTCGTCCTGCCCGAAGGTGTGAAACAACAGTACGACCATGACTTCTGTCACTCACAGCGAGTTTGACGGGAAGACGGACGCGTCCACGGTTGCCACTGCGTTTGCATCTGGCATCAAAGACCGCACCATTGTCATCACCGGCGTCAATAAACGGGGGATCGGTTTCGCCACTGCGCAAGCCTTGGCGTCTCAATCACCGCGCTGCCTCATCTTGACCGGTCGTTCAGCAACAAAGGTTCAGGAGTGTATTGATGCTCTAAGCTCAGAGTACCCTAATATCGACTACCGCCTGCTCCAGGTCGATCTGAGCGCGCAAGAGTCGGTCAGGAAAGGGGCATCCGCCGTCCTGGGCTGGGCAGACGTTCCGACGATTGATCTTGTCATCAACAATGCTGGGGTCATGAATATCCCTGAGCGTAAGCTCAGCCCAGAAGGAATCGAGATGCATCTCGCCACCAATCACATGGGGCACTTCCTCTTGACCAACTTGATAATGCCCAAGCTTATCACTGCAGCCAAGAACTCCCCGAAGGCCTCTGTTCGCATTGTGAACGTCAGCAGCGTTGCGACATATCTCTCGGCTCTCCGTGCCAGTGACATGAATTTCAGCAAACCGACATCGGAACTCCCAGAGAAAGAGAAGCCGAATGCCGAGTTCCTCCGTGGTGGCGGTCTGGCTGCGGATGAACATCTCAGCTATATTCCCATGGCGGCCTATGGACATAGCAAGACTTGTAACATTCTATTTTCTGTCGGCTTAACCCAGAAGCTCTACGACAAATATGGGATTTTGAGTCTCTCTTTACATCCCGGAGAGACGCGAAGCGAGTTGTCGAGGACGACCGATCAAGATTGGTTGGAAAAAGCCACCAAGTCGAGGGAGTCGCAGGGTTTCTTTTGGAAGACGCAACCCCAGGCTGCAAGCACTTCGCTGGTTGCTGCGCTGGATCCGAAATTGGACAAGCCCGGAAGTGATGGAAGTGGCTACTGGCTTAACGACTGCCGATTCGGGCGTGCTCCCCCATATGCTGTCGATGAAGTGGACGCGCAAAAGCTATGGGAGCTGAGCGAAGGATTTGTTGGACAGAAGATGGACTGGTGATCGGCTACGGCCTTATAGAGTACGTAGTATCACAAGTTTTGGTCGCAGGCGTGTTATATCAGCCATACTTACTTGTGTCAAATATATCAAGACGGCCGGGTGTCGTGATAATTGACGAAATACAAAGTCAAGTGCAGAAAAAAAGACTTACACCAGCGCCATGAGACGTACTCGGTAAATCAGACCACCTTGGCGGCTGGTGAAGCGATGATGGAGGGAGGTCAGCGCCTACGCTCTACTTGAGCTTGAGGAAGACTTCATACTCAAGCATGTCCTCCATACCTGATGTTGTATCAGCAGGCTGCTCAGATCCCCAAGCAACTAGACGTCTCAGAGCTTGGACGATACGCCTGCTGGAACCGGTTTGCCGAATCTTGCTGACCAAAGACATCTTGAGAAGAGGGCGGCGGCATTTAGCTGTCTCGGTTGGTCACCTTCATCAGCACCTGCCATGTTCATCATAACCTAGAGGCTACAGCTGACGATGCGGAGCCACCGGCCCGGTCCTGAAGACATGGAGGAGGCCAGTATCGGTCGACCTGCACCTTTGTTAGCTAGAGCGTTGTCAATATGTCCCATCGGCTACTCACGTCTTTCTCGACTTGATATCCCAGCAGCACCGGCGCAAGCTCAGAATCTCTCCAGGCCAACGCCTCGCCGGGCTCCTTCGCGGCCATTTTTCGATCCCGCTCTTGTTGCTCGGGTCCGTCGTGCAAATGATAGAGGTATTGTTGGAGATTGCCACGTTTGACTATCATCTCGGTCCTGTCCTTTCGACATCTCTCGTATAGGTCTAGAAGCTGTTTCTTGACTTCTGGATTCTTGGGGTCTGGCGCCCGGGAAAACAACTCGCCCAGCACGGCAGCGTCTTCGAGACACATGCCCGCGCCCGAGGCCAGATACGGCAGCGTGGCGTGTACTGCGTCGCCGAGCATGGTCAGCGTTCCCGAAGGATGGCTCCAGCAATCCATGCCCACGCGAATCTGCAACCGCCATTTATATACCGACTCGCACAGCGCCAGTAGCTTCGGTATCCGCGGATCCCAGTCTTTGTACAGCGCGCGCATTTCTTCCACATCGCCTGCCAGCGTGTTGGCGCTCCCCGGGGGCATGTCGTCCGGCACCAGCAGGACCATGTTGAATAGCTCCCCACCACGAAGCACATAGTTGACCGCATGGGCGTCGGGGCCGAGCCAGTAATTCACCTGCGGCTCCTGCACGAACGAGGCCAGTTCGGGGTCCTTCAGCATGTCCGCCGTGGACAGCAGTAGCCGGTACGCCAGATCGCCTGTCGGGATGGGCGGGTCTGCTCGTCCCACGAGGATTTCCCTCAGCCGCGAATTGATCCCGTCGGCCCCGACCACGAGGTCGGCCACATACTCGTTGCCGGATTGGCACACCACCGTTGCAGTCTGGGCGCTGTCGCCGCCGGGAATCCGCACGTCCACCACCCGGGCCTGCGTTGTGATCTCGGCGCCTAATTCGACTGCGCGCTCCAGGAGTACGCGATGCAGATTCGCCCGGTGAAAGTCCCAGTAGAATGTGCCGGGATACTTTGCCGCTGACTCTTCAGTGTCGAGGTACGAGATCAGATTCCCCTTCCACCCGCGCATGTTGACTCGCGACGGCTTGGTGGCGTACTCCTCCAGTCGTTCCCGGAGGCCCCATGATTGCAGCACCCGTGAAGAGTTGGGCAGGATCTGGATGCCCGCACCGACTTCCCCGATCTCCGACGAAGCCTCTAGGATCCTGACACTGTGCCCGGCGAGGAGCAGGGAGATGGCAGCGCCGATGCCTCCGAGGCCAGCCCCGACGACGATGACATACAGTCGCGTGGATGGGTCTCTGTGGATGGGTGTCTTGCTTTGTGTAGAGCTAGACATTGCGAACAGGGTTTGACCTTTGGCTGTATCCCCCAGTCGCCGATGCTGCAGCCTAGGTCCTGTTTGACGGAATGCTAAACACTATCAGGCACTATCGTTGATGGAGTAAGCCTTCACTGTCGGAGAAGGCCACGTAGATGTTTATCGAAACAGTCCGGAAAATCGATGAGAAGAAACCAAAGGAGGGAAATTCAATGTCTCCAAATATGACGGTCCGTGTTCGTGTGTTGAGGAGTCGATAGTCCTAAGTGTCGTTGAGCACGAAACTGCCTAATGTAGAAAATGTTTGTACGCGATTTCTAGCCTATTCTCACGGCTGTCAAAGTGGTCGACCGATCATGTGCTGACATCACACTTCCCAATCATCAGTCGACCCATACATCTCGTGAGGTCCATACTTACACAATAGAGTACCATCAATCGCGTACAGGGCCGGGTGGCACCGTGGGCTGTTGTGTAGCAGGGTTTGAAAAGTGGGCGGTCTGTGCTGGGGCTTATCGCCCCCTCGTTGAGATTCGGCACCAAGAGTGGGGGACGGTCACGACATTTGTTGGGGACGATGTACGGTGTCCAAGAGCGTCATGCTGAGCATCATACTGGGGCGAGGCGGGAAGGGGGGACTGTGGAAAGAAGATAGTTCTATGAGAGGCAGGTTGTAGAAATGATGATCGTTGATATATCAAGCCATACTATGATGGATTTTGCAGGGATATAGTTCATATTGATGAATGAAGACCATCGCCTGCTCGCTCCTTGCAAGAATTAGATATGCATCCAATTACGGGGTGCTTGAATGCCCAGTCACCACTTCAGCTCAGCAATGGAGGATTCTTCAAGATCTCTCCTGCCGGAGCCGGCATCAGGGCGCCTTCCGGGGGCGTGTTTTTGCTCTTAAAATCGTCGCACATCTGCTCCATCGTAACCCATTCAACGCCTTCATGCTTGTTGATGTATTCGATGATCCTGAGAAGAAGAAGCTCGAGTCAGCCCCTAAGCAAGATAGATAGAGACACGTGAGAGGGGGGCTATAGGGAAGCTCACCTTTCGTGCATAAGCAAAACATGTGGTCGACCTGAAACGTCCGGGTGGATGGTCATTGGGAATACAAACTCGTCGAATTCCCGGTAGTAGTAGTCAAAATGGTCCTGCAGAAACAGAGCGATTAGACATCAAGAATTGGAATCAGAACAAAATGCAGGGGTGCATACCTTCCAGATGTCCTCAATGTCTCTCGGGTTCACCCAGCCGTGACTGTTGGCAGAGTTTTTGATGAACATCATGGGCGGCAAGTCGTCTATGTACCACGATCCAGGGATCTCAACCAGCCCGGTCATTTTGCCGTAAACAAGAGGCTTCATCCACTCTTTGGCCTGCTTGTTGTAGTCGATCTTGGTCCACGTGTCGCCGGCCCGAAGCCAGTACATCTGACAGTCCTCATGGCCCATGGAATGATCATACTCGATCCCGTAGCTGAGCAAGAGCTCTGTGCCAGCCTCGCTGACTTCCCACCAAGGGGCAACACTGCCTCGCGGTGGCTTGCCGCAGAAGTCGGTCAGCAAGCGGAACGTCTTGTCGAGAACGTCCTTTTGCTGCTCGAACGTCATGTCTGACGGATTTTCGTGTGAGTATCCATGAAGTCCAATCTCGTGGCCGGCGTCCCGAACCATAGCGCATTCTTCCGGAAACGTCTCGAGGCTGTGTCCCGGGATAAACCAGGTTGCTTTGATGTTGTACTTTTCAAACAACTTGAGAAGGCGTCGCGTTCCATGCGTGCCGGCGAAGAGACCTGTCGAGATCAAGGTAAACAAACGGGATGACATTCAAAAGAAACAGTACACCCTTACCTCTGCTGATATCACTGGTTGAATCTTCTCCGCCATACGATCCCAGCCATCCGGCGACGGCGTCAATGTCAACTCCGTAAGTGACCAAAACTCGTTTCTTTCCCATCGCCGATAGACAGAGCACTGCAGCAATTCCGTGTTGGAAGAGTCGTCGCCGCCCCTCGAATCTCGGAGCTGATATTCCGAATAAGACGCTGCAGGTAAGGCTCCTGAAGCAATGATGTGGTAGTGTCCAGTGCTATCAGAGAAGTGTGGCTCGCGTTTCGTCATTAATGTTATCTACTCTTTATCGGCTTCTGACAGACGGTTTCGAAGATCTGCCTATCAGAAAGGTGGTCAACCCGTCAAAATTGGAGAATGCAAGTGTACCCGGAGTTGGGCGTTATTTGAGGATTCGCTCCGCTTTGACGATTTCCGTGATGCAGATAAGAGGGACGAGCGTTCGATGACCCGAAACTCTAGGGCTGATGCTCAAAAATGGGGACGCAAGTCCACTGTGCCGGCAGCCTTGCAAGCGTCTTTGTTGAGAAAAGTAGCCGCCGAGGCCGCCTAATGGACCCAACCATGCCTTCACTTATTTGTCGCTGAGGATAAACTCTACAAGCAAGATCTTTTCCAAGTGTGATTGATCTCGTTGTCGTTGTGACCTCCTTCGAAGCCGACAGCCTTGCACGTGACGTTGAAGATGAGCCGAGTGGGTGTTCTTTCCTCCCAGATCGTGGTTGATGAATAGAATGTCCATTTATGGCTAACCCTGGTGTAGTTTTCTCTCAAAGGTCGAACCGCGCTGGTTACCGGAGGTGCACGAGGCTGTGGTCTTGCGTTTGCACAAGGTCTCGCAGAAGCTGGAGCTAATGTCGCCATTTTCGACATCCTGGATCCCGTCGAAGCCTTCTTCGAAATCGAGAAGACGTACGGAGTCCGAACACAATATTACAAGTGAGTACCCCTATTGTGCTTGAATTTCTTATCACCGTATGGAGATTTGCATGAAGAGCGAAACTGATACGAGGATAGGGTGGACGTCGGAAGCTTGGAAAGTCTAACGCAAGGCTTTGCGACCTTCAAGGCCGATTTCGGTGGAAAACTCGACATCTGTGTCCCCTGTGCTGGAATCAACCGAAACCTTGCCTTTCTCGACACTCCTTATGAGGAGTATCAGAAACTGCTGTCGGTCAATGTGACGGGTGTCTACTACACCGCTCAGCTGGCCGCAAAGCAGATGATCGAGAACGGCTCAAAGTGCGGCAGTATCATCCTGGTGGCCAGTATCGCCAGCTACATGGCAATCAGGAGTCAGTTGAGCAGCGCGTACTGTGGGACCAAGGGGGCTGTGAGGGCCATGTGCCCAGCCATCGCGGCCGAGCTAAATAAATATGTGTGTACTGGCCATCCCCCAGCAGTTGACAAGACAATGGTTTGCTGACCCCCCTTTCCAGGGCATCAGAGTGAATTCAATATCTCCAGGTTACGTGAGAACGGAGATGACTGCACCGGTAAGGCATAAGCTGCAAATTAGAGAAGAAGACATCATGCTGACATTCTAGTTCCCCGATCTTTTGGGATCGTGGAAAGACGAGATCATGAACGGCAGAGTGGCAACCCCGGACGATATCAGAGGGGCGTGTGTCTTCCTGGCCAGTGACGCGAGCTCATACATGACTGGGCAGGATGTTTGCGTCGATGGTGGAGTGACAAAGTGGTAAAGCACACGGTCTTTTGTCTGTGGGCAGGCAGTGATCTGTATGTGGTTGACTGAATCTATGCTATACCATGAGTAGTTTATCTATAACCGCAGCAGCTCCGAGAACCTTTTCCTCTTCAAATCTGTGTCCGACTATCTACAGTCCCACGGGATATCCTCACATCGTCTCTAGGTTATAGACCTTCTAATTCTAGGCGTCGTAGTCATTACGGGGCTTATACTGCTCCGTTGGAAACTTGTCTATCTGCTTTTCCACGGTCCTAGTAGGGAATAAGAGCGCAGTATAGTCCAGGAAGTTCCAGACCTCAGTGTATCTAGCCTACCGATATATTCGGTACGGCACCGCTACGTGTGGCATAGAAGTTGGCATTAGGATCACGTCCACGTTACGCCCGGAGAGCGGCCATTTCGTCAAATTCTATTTGTAGTTATATGCCTACTAAGCCTTAACTTTACGATTATTAAGCTGCCAGTACTTATATACCGATATTACATAACCGCGGTTAACTAAGGCTTCGATATAAGGAATATACGGTTCTCCTCCGGCCTCGACCTCTCGACGAATATTTTTACCTCTGTCGGCGGTATAGAATAAATCCTATTCTAAAGGTTAGTATTACGCCCTTTTCGAAATAAAGGTCTTCCTTACTATAATCTCGACGTATTCTCTATAGCCTGAGCTATCCCAAATAATAATCTTGTAGCCGGTAGCCTTTAACTTTTCCGTAAATTCCTTAAGTACACGTTCTATCGGATGAAGTGCTTTCCTCGGGTTCCTCGCCATTGACAGGGCCTTGGTACTTCTCGACAAGTCTGCTTCGAATCTCACACTTCTCCCGCACAATCTCGGTCCATGGCTTGGTCTGCATCTCTGACCAAGATGCCACTGTCACAGAGCCAGTTTTTCCGCTTTGACGCTGTTTCCTCTTGACTCTTCTCGCATATCAGCCAATGCTGACACAATGTCTAAGACTCCGATAAGGGTGGCTGTGGTTCTGATTGTGACTGTGGAGGTGGATTCGTACTCGTACAACACCAGGCCCGAGCACCCTTCACAAAGTGACTCGATGATCAACCCTTTTCTCTGCGGCAAAGCTTCCCGGGCAAGAGTGGGGAATGGTCGTTCTCGCCCACTTTGACTGAACTCACCGTACAACCATCCAGGCCGCATCACTCCAACCCGTTCTGCCCAAACCGGCCCGACTCATGGATGGTATACGCAGTATGAGATGCGGATAATCGATTCCACAGTCAGTCACCTGACAAGGACCGTGTTGCCCGTTGAGCAGACCGTTTGCTGCGAGCGAGATATCTTTAAAATCCAGCCTTTCCCGACGATCCTAGTAGAAACATAAAGGACGAATGAAGCGTACCCGATCTCTCGTCTCACCAACAATGTCTCCCGGTGTCAACGATGAAGGCTTTGATGTCGACATGAATGGACATGACGTGCATGGCAACAATGGAACCGTCGAAGATGTCGTTATTGTCGGCGCTGGCCCTGCAGGATTGATGATGGGGTAGGCGCTTTATTTCCAGCCTTCTGTGCACCTCAGCAAGGCACCGATTCTGACCTGCCACATAGATCCAACCTGGCTCGTTACGGCATCAAGGCGAAAATCGTGGATGATCGAGATGACAAGACTTCTACCGGAAGGGCAGATGGCCTTCAACCGAAGACGATAGAGACTTTTCGTCAATTGAGACTGGCAGACTCCCTCCTCCAGAAAGGCGTCAAGATCTACGACATATGCTTCTGGGTAGGCCTCCTCCACTGCAACTGGGACGAAGGTTCACTCGATCTGAGTGAGATTGTATCAAACACTAACGATATGTTTCCTTCTCTAGAGTTCAACGGCCACCGAGTCTCTGCACCGGACCGGGAGGGAGATTCACTATCCTGAACAGGTAGATGTCAAGGACCCCTTTATTCTTCTTGTCCATCAAGGAATGGTGGAAGACATTTTCATCGAAGATATGAAGGAGCGAGGCATCGAAGTTGCACGAAGTTCACCGTTCATCCGCTACGTGACTGACGATCTTCCCGGTGCACCTATTGATGCCATCTGTCATAACAACAAGACCGGATGCAATGTCTCGATCAAGACAAAGTATTTGATCGGCTGTGATGGCGCCCATTCCAATGTCCGAAAGAGCATACCAGGCGCGCAGATGGTTGGAGAGAGTAGCAATTCCAAGTGGGGAGTCATTGACGGTTTGTCTCTATGCAGTCACACACATGCTCTTGACCCCTTGGAAATCTGACTGTTCCCATAGGTGTGATCGAAACCGACTTTCCTGACCTCTGGAGCAAGGTTGTCATCCACTCAGAGACTGCCGGAACCGTCCTGTGCATTCCTCGTGAGAGAAACATGACCAGACTGTATATCGAACTGGATCGTTCTTTGGACGACAGTGTGCCGGCGCAAGCCACGCAGGAATACGTGATCAAGCAGGCACAGGAGATCATGTCTCCATTTTCCGTGACTTGGACTAGTGTTGGTATGTATTTTGCCTTCACTTCGTGCATCCAACCGTTTCCTGCCGGATCATCAACTGACTTGGTTATCTGTGCAGAATGGTTCAGCGTGTACAAGGTCGGGCAACGGGTAGCGAGCACCTTCACCGATGAGAGAGAACGAGTGTTCATCACAGGAGATGTGAGTCTTTGTTTCAACAGACAACACGGCAATTTATTGATTGACTCATCTAGGCTGGACATACACATTCTCCCAAAGCTGCTCAAGGAATGAACACGTCAATGCACGACACATTCAATCTTTCCTGGAAGCTCAATCTGGCCATCCGCGGCCTTTCAACGCCTAGTCTCATCTCAACCTACCAACACGAGCGGAGGAAGATTGCGCAAGATCTGATCAACTTTGATTTCGAACACGCCGCTGCCTTTTCCGAAGGTGACTCCAAGGCTCTGGCCGACAACTTTGCCACCAATGTCGGCTTCATTTCCGGTGTGGGTGTCTACTACGCCCCGAACGTCCTCAATCTTCCAGAAAAGGTTCCCAAGGGCGTCATTCGCGCCGGTGAATTGATGCCACCAGCTCCAGTCAGTCGGTACATCGACGCAAACCCGGTTGACATCCAGCTCGACATCCCCATGCTGGGTCAGTTTCGGGTGTACTTCTTCGTCCCAGACATTCGTTTGTCTTCGGGATTCCTCAATGCGGTCTGCAGCCATATATCGTCGACAAAGTCGATCATGGGTCGTGCGACCATTGCAGCAACGAAATCCTACGCCAATATGACCCCGTGTGTCGTCGAAGCCGACGATTTCATCCAGCCGGCTCGCTACACAGCCGCCTCACAACTATTCACCTTTGCAACAGTGACAGGGATGGATAAACCAACCGTGGAGATCTCGGATCTGCCGAATCTGTTGCAAAAGAGCCGGTGGACCTTCTACCTCGACGACTTGAAAGATGGCAAAACCGGGCTCAGCTGCACGGATAAATGGCTGGGCGGTGTTTCCCCACAGGAGATTGCTATTGTGAATGTCAGACCAGACGGATATGTGGGAAGTATAGGAAGATTCGGCAACAAAGCGGATGCAGAGGCTTGTTCCTGGCTAGATTCATATTATGGGGGGTTTCTAAAGGGATAGAAAGAAGAAGGAAGACGGCTTGGACAGATAAGGCCTAATACTAGTATAGCTGGCATGTGAAGTACCCAAGGATACCTATTTCAATACAGTTTCCCTTCTCTTCTCCCCCGCCGTCACTGATAGATATTCTCTATACTAAATACTGTCCTCTCCATGGTACATTACACAGCAACGTGGTAATGTGTCTCAAATGTCTACTGCAAATAAAACGTGTTCGATGCACAACGGTGTGGCCGCTGAGGATGACCATTGGCCATTAGAAATGATAGAAGATTGAAAAAGAAGAGGACTGTGAACTGTACAAACTGATCATAACAGATCGTCCGTCGCATATAGGTTTGCAAGCTGTAGATTCGAGTGCCTATCACTACAATGATGATCAAAATGAAGAACAAACAGCATGTATAAATTCGAGTGTTCCATAATACTCTTCTACTATCAACCGTTCACATATCCATCTTGAAGAGCCATTACACATCGTTTGAACACTAAGCCACTATCGCAGTTGAGGAGACAGCCACAGGGGCCGCGGTGGTTTTCTTGAACACTTCTGCTGCCGCGTAACTCTGCTGGTAGCTTGACTTGACGGCTTCCTCCACAGTGATCGGCGGGTATTTGGCCGGCTGGCCCTGCTCGCGGCAGTTGGGTAGACATTCAATGATGTAGTCCGGGTTGCCGCTGAAGAAGAAGGGGATCGAATATCGTTCTTTTCCTGACTTGTTGATGACTCGGTGCAGGTTGCTGATGTACCTGTCGTTGGACCAACGCATGAAGGCATTCCCCAGGTTGACAACGTAGGCTCCTCGAGTTGGTGCGACCTAGATACATCACACAGCGTTAGAGTTGCTTAGCCCGGGAGTGAACGGCAGGAATGCAGGTGGTTGATGGATTGTTCCGTTCATGAGGTGAACAAGAAGAGGGAAAATGGGGGTATCACGCACATCCAGCCACTCGTTGGTGGTCTTCTCGTAAACCTGCAGACCATCCACCTCATCCTGCATCAGCAGCGTGATGGCACCAAAATCCGTGTGCGCCCCGATGCCTCGCGAGATCTTCTCGTCCGAGTCGGCGGGCTGGGGTGGGTAGTGGAGACATCGCAATGTGGCCACGGCGTCGGTGGTGAAGTCTTTGAAATAGGATGGATCGAGATCCAAGGTCTGCGCGATAACGGCCAGCACGTCGCGGGCCAGCGCGTGCATGGCTTGATAGTAGGCCATGGTCACGGCCTTGAACTCGTCGATGCCGGGCATGGTTTCGAGCCACACATTGGGTCCGCTGTTGAGCTTCTTGTGCACGAAGTACGGGTGGTCTTTCGAGATGTCCTCGCCGATGTACAGACCTTCTTTGAGATCGGGGGCTGTGCCGACCTCGAGAATCTGAGATCCGATCTTCTCGTAGCCTCGGTTCCAGGTGTTTTTATCTTGAGAACGGACAGTCTTTGGTCAGCTACATGAACACAAATACACACGATCACAAAGGTCCAATGAACAATAAGAATTGGCGGGTCGAACTCTCTCTTCGCACGTACCTTTGAGAATCTTGTCTTTCTCTTCTTGCGGAAGAGCGAAGAACCGCTTGATGTTATTCAAGACTGCTTGCTGCAACTCTTCCGGCACTTGATGGCCGGTGATCTGGAAGAAGCCGTTGTGCAAACAACACTCTCGGACCTCGTTGATCAGTTTTTCTTTGGCCGCTTCATCGTCTCCATAGAAAGCTAAAGACAGAAACAACACATATCATATCAGCAATCATCCTCGATTTTGTGGGCAGCCAGCCAGTTCCTGTACACCGTCGTCAATCAACTTACCGCTGAAGTCTAGGATCGGGGGTGCAGAAGCGATGGTCATGGTGTTGCTGGTCTTTTTCGTATCGACCAAGTGACTTGGTATCTCCGGCTTGGGTAATCAGTGTTCGAAAGAAGCGTTCACTGTAGAGCACAGCAGAAACTCTTGCACTTGTTGGAATTTATAAAAAGGACGGGTGGTCGAAGACTATCGGTTGTACAAAATGCCAAATCACCCTGTATGATGGATGCGTGGATGATGGGCTTGCATGAGACAAGGTGCAATAACTTGTGTACCGATTGATGTACGAGCTTGTTTAACTAGACACAACCGATTTATGTGCTACTGAGACCAGACTAAGAAACATTACTGTATGTATGTACATACCTGCCTGGGCAGCAGGTGACATGATACCTCCAGACTACTGCCCATGGCCGAGACCTGCCGTCATCACTATGTACATACCCTCTGGGAGAGGGGGCTTCTCTCAGCCTCAAGGGAGGGCCACATGATTGCTTGGGAAGATCTCGTTCATCATGGAGTGGGCGATCAGGCAGGAGGCTGTCACTGTGCCGGGGCCAACCTCAAAAGTGGGGGAGGGAAAAGACGGTCCTTGTTGGGACTGTACCGGGCACCTGGCAGCCTTTCGTCCTTATCGGCAGTCTGGTCCATCACCTTCTCACTCGCGTCCTATCACTTCACGACAGAGGCCACAGCACATCCCGCCCCACGGCTATTAATATGGTCGTGGGCCGTGCTCACAAAGCTGGGCCGTGCTCGGTGCCTTAACGGAGTTTAGAAGATTTCCTGCCGCACAGGGAGACCGAGTGAGTAGGGAAAATTCTGGCTCTGCAAGGGCAAACTCACAATGACGCTTTGGTTGTTGGGAAACTGTCTGATGAACGGGGGAGATAGCTAGGAGTACGCGACACTGTTCTTGATCAGATGACTTGTCGGCAGAAACGGCCAAAATGACCTGCGACCTCCATGGGTAATACAGGGCGCGTGAACGCGGTGTATCGTCGTAAGAATGAGCATTTGTGTATGTCCTCCATTAAAAGTGTTGCATTTCTAATCTGCTCTGGTCCCAGCCTTACTTCAATTATGCATCCTACGCGCCCGGAGAAGGTTCTGGCACAAGACCTCTCAAAACCTTCATTCCCTCGTGGATGACCGCCCAGCGAATATTGGCCAAATGAGTTGACATAACCGTGATCAATCCCGACGTCGAATGCTTTCCTAGAACACGCCAAAGAGTCTCCGGCACCACGCTGGTCATGCCGCTCACCAAAGCATTCATTTCGGCTTTGGCGTGCCACATGACACTGTCGGCTGCACCACGGTCTGAGACCGAGCCAGTGACAGAGGCAGGGGCAGGGACAGCTTGGGCGTGGCGCGGCGGGGGATCTGGCGACTTGTCGTCCACATTGGCGTAGTGGAAAGCCCAGCAGGTGAGGGTCGAGAGGTACAAGCACCAGGGATAGTGGAAGGCATTGTTGACATCCCAGTTGTCGAGGTTCATGATGCCGTCGCGCAGGAGGTGCGCGGCGTGCCAGGCTGCTTTAGCTGCCGGCGTCGTTGAGCTACCGCCGTCGTGCGGTTTGGCCCAGGCTTTCACGATGCGTCGTGACCGTTCGTAGTCGGCTCGTGTGACGGGTCGGCCGATGATGTGGCGTGCGCCCGCGTAGATCTGGAGGTCGAGGATTTCGACGTTCAGCGTGATGTGAGCCGCGTGGTAGATTGCCACCGTCGCCGTGCTGAAGCGCGTGAATTCGGCCCGTTTCGATGGGCTGTCGTTCAGGGAGAGCATCATGTTCATGCAGTACGTGTCGAAGTCGGCTTTCCACGCATTGTAGGACTGGGCCAGTCGGTCTTGCCATCGTTGTGGGTCGGAGGAGCCGTCACCTTTGCAACAAATAAATCAGTCAGTTGTCCCTGTGTGAGAAGAGGGATGGAAAGAAATCGTCGATCCAAAGTGGATGCACTTACCCAGAGAGGTTTGATCTCGACGCTTAAAGTCCCATTGGATCGACATCAAGCCATGAAGAACGAGGAGTCGGGACAAGGCGTTCAACTCGGGTACTTGCGCGCCTGAATCCGGATTCATGTAGGCTTTCAAGACAGACAGATAGGGAATCTGAGTTTCTTTTCTCGCCTGCTTCCACCAATCTTCGGCAGTGCTCGCTTCCCACATGGCTTGACTGCACGGCAGCGTGGTCCGTAGTTCGAACGAAGACATACATAGCGACTGTGAAAACAGTAAGGCGTGCTGAGTGTCCCAGAGGAAACAGAGGAAGGCAAGTCTGGCAGGGTTTAGCAGAGGCCGGTACACCAGATACAATGAGCGATCATACCTTTTTCGAAGCTCAACATCAATCGCTCTGCGCCAGTCGGCTTCGAGATCGCCGGAGATTTCCCCGACACTGGGCTGTCGCACAGTCTGGCAATCACTTCTCCGGATCAGGCTAAAGGCGGAGGTGTTAGTAAATCCCACGTCTCGAGATGGGATGCATTATTTTGACTTACTTGATCAGAAGACCGTGAAACAGATGGGCCATATCATGCTGTTTTTGGCCGGCTCTACTTTTCCCAAAGCATTCCACAAGCAAGATGGTCTGCAGCAGCCACAGTTCGGGAGTCGCTGAGAAAGCCGAATGTTGGAAGATCTGGGCTCTCAGGACATCGTGGATGCAAACAGCTAGCCGGTGGATGGCCTTTTCGCTATAAGTGGCACCGAGCAGTATGACTGCCAAAAGGAGCAGCGGTTCCGTTTGGGAGGGGTCGAAAGTTGCCTGGTGTAGAAGTGGGTAGGTGACATTGAATTGAGAGAAGAAAAGATCGAGATAGGTTTGCAGGCAAGAGAGGGACAAGAGCGGATGATCTCGCGAAATGCCTGAGCCATCTGGAGTTCTTGGCCGAGCACTCATCAACAGGTCCAAGATCTCATTGCGTGAAATATCGTCCATGGTCGGCCTGTTTGTGCGAGATCGGCTAGTCAGGAACAGCTCGGGGTCGAAGGGCGATGGAGGTGTATTTTTGGGACGATGAGGGGGCTTTGGAGGTTGGTCCTGCATGTCCTCCCGTATACATTCTTCATGAGAGATTGAAGTGGGAGCTGTAGAGTTTGTCTCTGAACAGGAGTTCAGGCCCTCGTGGGTTTCCAGAAAAGAAGGTGACGCATAGGCATTCATGCTCGCTGCCTGCGTGGATGAAGAATCAAACCGATAGAACTCTGAGGGTTGTACCGAGTTCTGCGTCGGTTGCAATGCCTTTTGTTGATAGAATGGAGATGTTGATGTCGAATTTCCTTTCGTCTCCATGTCGGAGCTGAATGTATCAGTGCCACTCTGGCTTGTCTGCTGGAAAGGGAGGCTCTGCAAGTTGGGGCCAGGAGTAGCCTTTTGAGTTACGGCAGGCAAATCACAGGATAGCTGTGTAGCTGCTGCAGTCTTTGTGCTATCACCAATGTCAAACAGCCAATTGTAATTGCTCATGGTGGTAAAGGGCATGTTGAATGAACTTGCTAGAGGGGAGGTCAGTCACGATTGACGACGGCTTATACGGAGCGATCATCTCACCTGTGTCAGGGTTAAACATGTCGTCAAAGGGCGCATCCATCTGGATGTTCATGTCGGAGGGCTGAGAGCCCCAGGACGAGTTGGCCAGGAAATCAAACAAGTCAGGCCCCGACACCGGTTCCACGAAGCTGTGGTCGCTGTTGTCGAAGTCGGGCAGTTGGTGGGAGAGGTGGTCCATCGGTTCGGCGCTCTGCATTGATCTCGCGCTCTGCATCGATCTGGGTGGTGACAGTGGCTCGATATGGAGGCCCTTTTGAGAGTCGAAACCATCCACCGCGGTTTGCTGACCCAGCGTGTTTGCATTGATGGCTTGCGCCTTCTGGGCCGCCCGACGAGCAGCAGCGGTTTGAGTTGGTCTTTTGGTCACGACATTGCCGTCGACATCGCGCCAGAGTCTCTTCCTCGTCTCAACCACTCCCAACCCTTCGCCGCCGGCCTCCTCGTCTTTCCGTCGGTGGCGAGCCATGTGCCGATCTACGAAGGTTCGGCGGTCAGAATGCTCTATCCGCGAAATGCCTGAACCATCGATGTGCGGGAGGTTACTATCTTACCTAAAAGGTCGGGTCGCTTGAAATGTAAGTTGCACCTGGGGCAAGTACTGTCTCCAATGCCATGGTTCAGCTCATGGCGCTGAAGGTGGTCGGATCTCGTGAAGCCTTTGCCGCAACCGTCCCAGTTGCAGACGTATCTTCTGGGTCTCGCGGTAGTGGATGTTGAGACCATAGGTACAGTTACTTGCAGCAGAAAGCCTAGACTGAATCACAGAAACCGGCCAGGGAGTCCAAGATGGCTCAATGAGACACGATGAGGGTGAAGGGCTGGTGTTTACAGGGCCTACCGAGAGCAAGTTGGCGTCCTGGGTCGGAGAGGACAGGGCCACGACGCGGAGGACTCGGGTGCATTGCTGCTTAAGAATAAAACCGGACGATAAGACACAGCGGGGCGGTGTCAAGTAGCCAACTAGGACAAAGACCCAGACAATTCTACGCAGGCCGTATTTAGTCTAGTTACTTGGAAGGCGACGCACGGCTCATATCTACCGAATCCAACCGGGGTGGGACGATACCAGAAAAGGTGGGCTTTGTCCAAATGACACCCAGTAGGTCTACTCGCCATTTTTTGGTTTGCTATTTACAGTTTCCTGCGTGTTGGCTACCTTCCAGAACAACCGTCAAAATCTCATGGCCGTCCGAGTGTTTTCTTTACTTCCCGTCGGACAGTGCGAGCACATTACTCCTACACAATCATGACGCCGCCACTCCATCCTCGAAGAATGGATAGTCGGTGTAGCCCTTGTACGGAGGGTCGGCACCGTAGAAAGTGCTGCGGTCATACGGGTTCAGAGGCAATCCTTCCGCCAACCTGCGAGGCAAGTCCGGGTTGGCAATGAACCATCGACCGAACATGATGGCGTCTGCTTCCTGTGCTTCAAGCTTAGGGAGGGCATTGGTGGCGTTGAAGTTGCCAGCCGTGATAAATTTGACTCCGCCCTTTTGGAGGATCTTCTGGAAGGGAACGAGCGAAGGTTTCGCATCTTTTGCTGTCGCTTTAGACGTGGTATCCACGAGAGCGGTCAGCTTCGCGCTCTCGTCCAGAATTTCGTCAAACCGGGGTTCAACCATGTGGACGTATGTGAGACGGTTGACTTCTGGAAGGTCGGCAATCTGCTGGCAGAGGTATGCCCAGTGTTCGTTGGGGTTCGAGTCTCGAGTATCCTGGTAGTAGTTGTACGGCGACAATCGAATGCCGACTCTGTCTGCTCCGATGGCCAATGTCACAGCCTTTATAACTTCGAGCGGGAACCTGCATCGGTTTTCGACGGAACCACCGTAAGAGTCGGTCCTCACGTTGACATTGTCGTGTAAGAACTGATCAAGGAGGTATCCATTTGCCCTAGAGAAAGTAATCAGCTGTGAATACACCGACAAACTTGCAGTCGCGGGCTGTACTAACCCATGGATCTCCACGCCATCGAATCCAGCTTCCAACGCCCTTTTTGCGGCCGCGGCGTATTCTTGAACCATCTCTTGAATCTCCTCGACCGTCATAGATTTGGGAGGGCATGATGCGTAGTCGGTGCCGTCGAGGGCTTTGCCGGCAAGCGGAATGCTGCTGGCACTGACACAGTCATGTCCATCGAGGAGCGAGGGCACCGTGGCGCGACCGACATGCCATAGCTGGCAGAAAATGAAGCCACCCTTTGCGTGAATCGCGTCGGTGACTCGCTTCCACCCGGCGATTTGAGACTGCGTGAAGATTCCAGGCACTCCCGGGTAGCCAGCGGCCTAAAAAGAATGGTCATGAGCTGAGTTGATTTGCGGCCTCATCGCACTGGAGTTCTTACCAGACGGGAAATGGGGCATGCTTCGCTCAATTGAAATCCTCCCTTGCTTGCTCTCTGAGAGTAGTATTCAACGTTAAGGTCGGCCGGCACATAAACACCATCCGACTCCTTCGCTGCTCGCATTCGAGTCAAGGGCGCCATCATGACACGGTGCTTGAGGCCCAAAGCCCCCAGCTGGAGCGGCTTGAACAGCAGGGTAGCCTCGAGGGGCCGAATGCCCGTGGGAGATGTTCTGGAGGGCATTTCGACTTGGTATCTATCTCGACGGTATAGACAGAACGGACGCGACACACTTTATTTGGATAGGATGGATGATTGATCAATTAATCGACTTGAAACTCTTTTGTAACTAAAAGATTACGAAGGGATCTACAGGCCTCGCGCAGACGGAGACAAGTCTTTTGCCCTGATCCATTCTCCCTCTTGAAAAGCCAGAAGTGGGCAAGTGATGTAGCAATTGAAAATAAAGACAGATCCGACCGCAAGCTATGCATGCTGCGGGTACGGGGGATTTGGCGTACATAGGAAGAAAATATGGAGTCGGCGCAGTATCGAGCTGGCGGAGGAACCAAGAAAGGGAAATCCCGAATGCTGTTCAAAGGTGGGGGATCGAGACGAATGCCACACTGCAGTGGAGCTGATAAGAAGGTGAATCAGTCTCTCGAACGGGATGATGTGGTAGTAGTAGTGGATAGAAAGAAGCACCGTCGCTGTCGCTCATGTCCGCGAGGTTCAGTCGTTTGCCACATACTAGTAGCAGGTGTTTGTTCTACAGCCTTGCCCATTAAGAGGCTCATCAGGCTAGGCAATAATACGACATATAAGAGGTTTCGCTAATTTGAATCGGAATAATAAACAAAGCATGAAAATCCCTCCCTTTCTACCAGTCCAACTCAATCTGCGAGAAGAACCTCCCTCTCTGCTTCGTCCAGCTTGTCCACCTTCATCTCTTCCTGAAAGATTGGCAAGCCAGATCTCACGATTCCTGCTCCAATTTGTCGTCTCATGATGGCTTACAGGTTCCCTTCGATCGTGTGCTGGGACAGGGTCCCAGGACTGTGTGTGAAAATTTTCCTCCAAACCATAGAGTCCTTCCCTGTCTGCTTCTCGGATGGAGCACTTGGTTGACAAGAGTACCGGCGTTCAGATAACCTTGGCCGTTTTGCGCACTTATTTAGGCTGCTCCCACACCCGCTTTTAGACAGCGTCGATGTTTTGGATCTGAGTTGTACGATGCTTTGAAGAGTGGGGAGAGCCTTGTCCATAGTATACCGGGAGGCGATAGATAAGGCTCATACCACTGACGCAAGGTTTTTCGAACATCAGATCAGGCTGATGAGGCTGTTGAACAGGACTGAGTTCCCTGGTCTCTCGTACAACGTCCCATTCTAGAGTCCAGGTCAAACCCAGCCATTCTACTCCTTAGTAGCAAGCAGAGTCGGTACAGTGGGCCATCTTCGATTTTGATCTAATACCTGAATGTCATGCACGCTTGTCCAGATTTTCGTGGAAGAGCATCCAATAAATAAAACTCACAGACTCATAACAGACCCGTCGTAACTAGTACAAGGGTTTCTCTTCAAACACAACAATACTAGCCCTGATCACTCCTCGACGACCGACACAAATAGTCTACACTCATGGCGGAACAACAGGCTATCAGCGAGCTGTTGCATGCTTACGGCGCTGCACTAGACAAGGGCAACGTGGACGAGACTGTAGCTCTATACACCGATGACGGCGTCTTCATGGCTCCAGGATACCAGCCGATGGTCGGGACGGAGGCTCTGCGCAAAAGCTACGAGCGAGTCTTCGCGAGCACTAGACTCGATATCGAATTCGACCTTCTGGAGATCGTGATCACATCGGCCGAATGGGCGTTTGCAAGATCGACGGCAACAGGAACCAAGCTTTTTATCCAGCGAGGCGACTCGGAACCTCACGCCAATCAGGAGTTGTTCATCCTTCGCAAAGTGGATGGAAGTTGGAAGATTGCTAGATATGCTTTCTCAAGCATGAAACCAATCGTTTAGAGAGAGATGGTTTGCTTTGGTACGAAAACCTTTCCAGGATCTACGAGGGGGGATGGCTGTAACCATCTACTAGCCAACTGGAGGACGTGAATAGAAGAGTCTGATCTGCAAGATGTATATCAATCAAGAGGAGCTGCATTGTTACTGATCCTCCAAGTGTTCTCTGGCGTATGTTCGTTTCCCTGTCCCCGACTCTTCGTCCTTTTCTCTCGCCCCGCGGCACTCGTCAACGATTCCTCCCTTGCCCCCTTGTCGACACAGGAATAGTCATACATACAGTATGTTTGAGAGGACTCCGGACATTCAGCCATCTAGATATGGTTCCCTTTCCTCATACGTCTCCAGTACAATTTGGCAGTAAGTTTTCTGGACTGCTTCCCCCACTTAATCATGATGAGGAACGACAAGGTGGTGACCAGAGCCAACACTGCCGCGACAATGAAGGTGTTCTGGTAGCCGGAATGATCTAACCAGGGAGTAACGCCATAGTTGAATCCAAAATTCATCTGTGATGGGTTGTTTAGCATGGGGGCTTGATTCACGTCACAAGAGAGATGGATGGGCTTACCGTATTACGGATCAGAACGACCGTGGTCATGGCTTCTCCGCTGAGCTCGCCACAGCAGTCGACAACATAGCTGACTACGATGGAACCCGAGGCTGGACTCATGAACCCAATGAAGGCCATACCGAAGACCAGGCCCACCCAGCTGATGCCGTGGGCGGCTCCCACGCCATACAGCAAGATTCCCAGAGGCGTCAGGATGCAGCCGGCAGCGAACAGCCAGAGTCGGAACTCTGGTTCCAAGACGCCCTTGTTTCTCTTAGCCAGGCGAATGCTCAACATATCGGCCACCGTTCCGGCGCCGTAAGCAGAGAGCATCGTTCCGATGACCTCGGCGATGTACGTCAGTCCGACAATCTGTTGACCAAATCGTGGTCAGTCAGAGCTCAATTCGAGAGACTCGCAATCAACCCAAGTGTGGGTGAACAACTTACATCAGCCTTGAAGCTGTACGGAGGTGAGGCAAAAATCAGGCTCACGGTTGCATTGACCAACGCAAACCAGCAGAGATAGCATCCGTAGATGAACCCGGAAAAGACGACGGTGGGAAACTGAAGCATGACCGCAGGCCCCATGACCCCCTTGAGGAACTGCCGGGTAAAGCCGGTCCCGTTGGAAAAGGGTGCCAACTTCTGCCAGTAGGACTTGACGGGGTATGAGTTGTGGCTCACGATGTCCACCTCGCCGTTGACATCGTGGGCCGGTGTCTTTTCTGCGGGTTTCTCCAGAGTAGCATCGTCCTGAGACGTCGACGAGCTAGCGACAGGTTCGGCGACATGGCGGGTGTACTTTGTTTCTTCCATGAAGAAGAAACAGACGCCGAAGCCAATGGCATTGAGGATGGCGCACCAGAAAAGAACCCACGGCCATCCCTGCGAGTCGTTGATGAATCCTGCCGGCACGCAGCCGAGTTGTCCACCAAACAAGCACATGACATACAGGCCCATGAAGGTTCCTCGCTCGTGGGTGAACCACTAAGTAGATTATATGTCAGTGTCCAAAGCGACCTCAGTTGGATAGGAGCGAGAAATACCAGATCAGCCATGGTGATCTCCACCAGAGCCTCGCTAGGGGCGCCGAAGAAGCCGATGAGAGTCCTGCTGGCAGCCCAGGTGCCGTTGGTTTTACAGTAGCCCGCCCACACGTTGAACATGGCAGTTCCCAGCAGCGAGATCAGGTAGACACCTCTCCTTCCAAAGACCAAGCCGACCGGCTGCCACAGGAGCAACCCCCAGCCAAACAGCAGATACATGTAGCCCGTGCCCTCGTTCAAGCGAGTGAAACTGATTCCACTCTCGGCGTTGATGGGGCTGAAGACGGAATAACACGCCGACGACGAGACGCACACACACCAGGTGTAGAAAAGAGCACATGCCGTGGATCTCCATTTTCGAGCCCGGCTCCAGTTGAGGGGGTCTTCTGGATCGGAACTGGGAGTCGGATTGAGGACGATCTCTTTGTGCGCAGCGCTGTGCTTTGCGTGGACCGTGCCCGTGAAATCGACCAAGGTGATGGTTCCAGGGTACTCGGGGTCCTCGACCCGGGTGTCGACGGTGGCGGGAGATGTCATGGCGGCGAAAAGGGCGTCCGATCGATGTTTCGATGTTTTGGGCAGCTTGTCGACGCCTTCAGTCTTTTGGGGTAGAATCCTGGACTGGAACCTATATAGCAGAACATCTGGGCGAACAGTTGAGGCCAAAGATGGGGAAAAGGCCCCATTTTTGGTGGATCCATGCATATCGCTCCTATCAGCTACGGAGGTATGATAACGGGGGCGATCCCTCGATGTAGCCGGTAGTCGTGCACGGTTGAGGGCGCATATCGTTCGGGGCGGTCCTCCTATATTGAGATCTAGTACCTTTCTAGTCACGCCACCATATAGAGATGTGGCGATAAGACGGGCATTGGATGGATATCCTCCAACCTTGCGGAACGGGGACCAGATTGGGTGAACTATGACTATCCTGTGCTCGGCTGAACAGGTGCCACAACTGATGTAGGTACTTGGTCATCATCAGCCTACTGTGTACATCGACACCTCTACCTACTCGTACACCACCCTCACAGTCAGTAGCGGGTAGTACCTAGATACCGATGGTGTTCGGCCACATCCACCTCCTTACGGTGCATGAGCATGCACCATCGTCGGAGGTGTCCCTGGCACAGCACTATTGTGAAACAGTCAACCTGTACTCGCTTGGTTTCCTGATCCGGTAGCCTGGTCGGTTTGATTGGGCTCGCTTAGTGGCAGCCTCGTCAGCCTCGTTTCCATGCATGGCGACTAATCTACTCCGTAGTGCAAGTAGCTTGATAAGCGCATGCGGGCTCTGGATCTACACAGTACGGTCGAGGGACTTGATAAGAGGAAATGTCTCTCGCTATCATCCCCCACTCTTGCAATAGAAATCGGTCAATTCAGTTGCAGCAACGCCTGCCATCTCTATCTAATGCATTCTTGACGACCACGTCCAATTAAATTCAATTCTTCCGCTCAAACGCCACAGCTGCTCCATCTTTGCAGTCTCTACAAGATGCGTACTGAGGCGTTTGTCGTGCTGTCGCCTGGCGGCCCGTTCGTGCAGCAGCCCGTCGAAATCGACGTCGACGGTCTGCAGCCTCACGAGGCTCTGGTCGAGATCAAAGCAACCAGCATTTGTCACACAGACATCCATTACATCAACGACACCAGTCTTGCCGGGCGGTTCCCTGGTGTCTTTGGCCATGAAGGTATACCACACATCTCTGCTCCAACTCGGCACAATCAAGTCTAGCCCCTGGGTAACAATATGTTTTCATCGGTGCTTTGCCTACATCCTATCCACGACCCACCTCTCATTGCAGCCATGATGATGATAACAGCTGACGGTGCCTTCTAGGTGCCGGTGTGGTGAAAAAAACTGGGAGTGCGGTCACCCAGGCGTCGCCCGGAGATCACGTCTGCATCAGTTTCGATTCTTGTGGCCACTGCAGACAATGCGTCGGGGGTCAGACGGCCTACTGTGACTCCTGGGAGAAGTTGAATTTTGGTGCGTCCAGACCAGATGGCTCAAAAGCCTATTCTTTTCCCGACACCGCCAGCAACGGGGACTCGCGGAGGCCCATCTCAAGTCACTTTTTTGGCCAGAGCAGCATGAGCCGCCACGTGATATGCAGCGAGCGGTGTCTGGTGGTGGTCAGGAAGGATGTGCCACTGGAAATACTGTCACCACTTGGATGTGGTATCATGACTGGTGCAGGTGGTGCGTCTCAGTTCTCCCCCTCTACTCAAAGGCCGTTGAAATGCCGACTAACGCTTGTGCCCAAGCCATGCTGAACCACGCACTCGTCACTTCGTCGAGCCTTGTCCCCACAACCGTTGCAGTTATTGGTACTGGTGGTGTGGGTTTGTCAGCTATCATGGCTGCCAAACTGGCAGACAATCCTCCCCAGCGGATCGTTGCTGTCGATATGGTGTGGTCCCGGCTGAACCTTGCGCGAAAACTGGGAGCCACAGATATAATCAACTCGACAGAGACCCCTGATCTCGCCGAGGCTTTTCTTCGAATCAGCAGGGGTCGAGGCTTGGACGCAGTGATCGACACGACTGGCCGTCCAGATATCATCAGCGCTGCTCTCCAGGCAATAGAGAAACGGGGCAAGGTCATCAGCGTCGGTCTGGGTAAGCCAGACGGAGAACTCAAGACATCGATACCCCGAACCCTCCCTACAGGTCGAGTGTATGAAGGGTGCTCGATGGGGAGTTGTGAGCCCAAAGTATTCATTCCCAAGATGATTGAGGCGTGGAAAGACGGTCGTTTCCCGTTTACCGAGTTACTAAAGACATATCCGGCGCAGGATGTGGCATTGGCGGTGAAGGAGATGCATGCCGGAGAGGCGATCAAGGTGGTTTTGCTTTGGGAATGAGTACATCATACCTGGTTATGTACTCGCATGATGTAGACACGTGACCAACAGTGAGGGTAGTCCGTGACCCAAATCATCCGAGATGCCATACTTGAACAGGGCACTAAGTTCAATGTGTTTCAAGTCTATTGTAAGGAAAAGACATGGTTGAGAAAGGAGGAGCGTCGAAGATCAGGTGAAGGTAAGTGTAGAGTGAAAGTTGAGGCACAGGTACAATGTATCTTGAGGTAGTAGTAGTAGTAGTAGTAGTGTGTCCTTACTGCTATTAGTGGGATATCACGAACCGCACAGACTCCCCTGTCGGACATAACACGGAGTTAAGCCAACATCGCTCGTGAGAGCGAACGTCGTCCGCAATGTCCGGCGAGGTGGCCGGATCATCTGCTTTGAAAGCACCTAGGATAAAGGTACCGGTGGAGGAGGCAGCAAAGCGGAAATGTGACGCAAGGAGCACCGTTCCAGATACACCGAAAGAATACATAACACCAGTACTGAGGCGGACCTCAGCCTCGTTAGGGAAGTTCTCATGCCTGAACAGTGAACACAAAACACTTCCCCCACCCACTTCGGCCCTTATTGTCTTTTCTCCTCCAGAAGACGGAAGCTTGCCAAACAACGCCATGGCCACAAGATATCTCATAACTGGCGCGAATCGCGGGATTGGCCGAGGTCTGACCAACCTCATCCTCGCTCGCCCAAATACCACTGTCCTCGCTCTGGTACGGGACCCGGACGACGAAACAAGCAAATCCCTTGCATCGGTTCCACGTGGGTCAAACAGTATTCTCATCGTCCTACCCTACGACGCGAAAGACCCCAACGATGCCGCCGCCACTGCGATTACAACAGCCCAGCGCGACCACGGGATCACACATCTTGATGTGGTTATCGCCAATGCAGGAATGCTAGGCTGGTACGGACCGGCAGTCGATACCTCCCCAGAAGCGATCCATGAACATATCACGGTCAACACTGTCGGGCCCTTGCTCCTGTTCAAGGCATGTCTGCCACTGTTGCAGCGGGCATCCTCGTCTCCGGAAGAGAAAGGTGCTGTGGAAGATAAAGGGCCCGCGAAATTCATCGCCATCAGTTCCGCCCTCGGATCTACCACACTGATCCCGCAGTTCCGGCCGTCTAAGACCCTTGCATACGGGTTGAGCAAAGCTGCCTTGAACCATACCTGTCGCAAATTCAGTGTCGACTATCCGGACCTGGTGATTGAGATGTTGACGCCTGGTCCTGTGAGGACGGATTTGACGCGAGAGTTTACGGCTGTCTTCGACAAGGCCTTGAAGGCGAATCCGAAGCTGGCTGACCGGTTCGCCGACATCGACAATGTGGTGAAAGGTTTGTTGGAATGCATCGACTCGGCGTCAAAGGAGACCAGTGGTGGCTTTCGAGACTGGAAGGGAGAAGTCATACCGTGGTGAACTCAGAGCAGGGTTATGCTTTCGTAGAAGATGAAAGACCCCCCAGAGACGGGACCTGTCCCAAAGATGTGTCAATTGGGCTTTGCATCATATATAAATTGAAACATGATAAGCGTAGGACCACAAGTTTTTGGACGGAATCTAGAAGAAAAGGCGTCCATCCATCCCAGCTTACCCAAACCAGATTATGATAGTACAGGTGATGGTTGGTACCTGTATCCAGCGACGGCAAAGCGCCCTACGTAGCCTTTTTGGGACTGCCAATGATGTAAACTTCGGCTGAAGCACAAATGGCCGAAGATCCATTCAGGCTGCAGAGACCTGTGACGAGGCAACCAAACTAGAATAGAGGTTGACCGAGCTCAGTCAAGCTCCGTGCTTGGAATCTCTTTTAGAGGGGGATCGGAATGGGAATGCTCCCTGGCTCATATCTTCATGAGGTTAACATGGGAAGAATAGACCCAGGGGGCTTCTTGAAATGGGTGTGCGAGCCATAGCTTCTATTAGAGGGCAAGCGAGCTCCTCAGTCCATGCCAGGGCGCCTGGGTCCGCTACCGCCATGCAGGTTGTCGAGCCGTTACAAGACCTTCATTGGGAAAGCCTTTTGTGACAAGTGAGACACTCGGGACCCGTGCACCTCGGGCCTGAGTTGAAATTCTGTTCGCAAGCGCCCATGCTTACTGTTGTGTTCAGGTTGCTGTGTATACGCCTCATGCTTTGCCAATGCGATATCAGGCTTGCACAGCCATCCTTCAGGTCAACCGGCGTGATGCCTAGGTCTGGAAACGGAAACGGAGAGTTGAAGATGTCCAAGATTCGCCACTGAGTATTGTGGTATCGGGAACAAACATTGCGACATAGGATCAGTGGTAGACAAAACCACCCCCGTAACTTTGAATATCGTACATCCCACGTTGTCGTGCTTTGCTTGGTGCCTTGTGCATAGTTGGAGTACTTCATCCCATCTGTACGTTTCCATATATTGTACCCCGCCGAATATGCAACGAAAAGCAATCATGTTAGCCTGGAGGGTTGTATGCCGGCTTTTCAGAAACAGCAACTCTGGAAGCGATTGTGTTGGAGCGAGGCCACTGCAGTAGTCGACGGCGGTAGCGCGTTGCATCAGCGCGCTGTATCCAAAACAAGCACGTCATTCGCTCGCAAGTGGTGCTCTCGCCAGCCAGGGCTTGTCAGTTACCTGCACCGAACACCGCAAGATCTGCCAGTATACCGAAGCAATGACTGCGTTCCATTGCAGCGTCCGAAAGCAGATCGCAACGAGCGACCGTTCAGAGGTAGTTCGAGTAGCGCCCCTTTCGAATGTCCAGATGCTAAATGGGTATAACTAGGACAAAGGGGCCTCCGAAGAAGAGAGCCATAACACCGTGGGCTTGCGAGATCCCTGGTCAATGCTCTTCAAAAACTATCGCGTTCCCATTCCACCTCACATCCTTCCTTTGTCTTCTTGAAATGTTCAATGCGCTCAAGCATCCAACCAGACGTCGTCTCTTGCTTTGAATCGACGGCGTGACCCAACTTGATAGAATGATTCAGTTTGCAAGTGCCTGGATGCCACGAAAACTGTATGCAGCCACCGTCGGCCTGACAAGCCTCGCGACAATGCTCGATAGACCTTGTGGCCCATCTCTGGCGCGAGGAAAGACTATCCCACAACTCCTGCTTCTCTTGATCGTTCTTCCCATCCCAATCAGTATTCTCTTTGACATGGTTCTTCGTAGGCTTGGTGAAGACCTTATCTGCAGAGAGGTTGTCCCAGTCCGTTACGTTGTGCGCGATGAGAGGTTGAACAAAATAGTCGAAGGCATCGGCGTATAGGTAAGGCCTTGAGCCTGGCCTCTGGTCGTCCCAGGTCTTGTTGACCCATTCCCTCTCGAACTGCCAGAGAGCTTCGATATCGTTAGAGTGAGAATGGTGCCAGGTAATAGCGGGAGTACACCAGATACGCTCGTTCCAGCTGAGGGCAGAAGGCGGATCAACCTGGAACATGGGCCAGACGCCGCTGACATTGACTCCGGCATGACCCATGGCAACAGCAAGCATGACATCTCCACAACAAATGGTGGAGGTTTCCTTCTCCCAAGCTGCAATTTTAGAGGGGCTTCTTACCTTTTCGAACCTCTGCACGGCATTCCTGGACAGGATGTACCCAGTACCGCCCTGAGCAAAAGTTGTTGGACCATGCCAGTAGACGCAACCTGCGTACAGTGGTTCATCCGGATCCAGCTGCCGCAACAGGAGCAGCAGATTTGTCCAACCCAGGTACGTATCCGCGTCAATGGTGACGTACCAGTCGGCATTCGGATACTTGGTGTATGCCTTATGCAGCATGGGGATGTTCTTCCACTTGTCCAGGTTCCAACCTTTCTCGGACCCCAGCACACTCACATCACCGTGAGCGGCGTGGACTGCGTGGATGTTTTTGTAGAACTGGAAGTCTTCATGGTGTTCCATGTACTCCTTGCCTATCTCGTCCAGCGCATCATGAATGTGAAACTCTCCAATATCTTGCTCCAGGTCGGAAAATATCATCAGATTCGGCACGCACTCTGCCAGGGTGACGATCTGTTCGGGAACGCGGGCGAAGGCTTCGGTGGCGCCGGTCTTGACCATGACAACGACTTTGTCTGCACCGGGGATTCGACGGCAAGCTGGGATGAGCGACTGGAAAGTGGCAGCGAGCGAGGCGGGCGAGGCGGGCGAGGACGTAGCCGCATGGGTGAAGTCGGGAATTTCTGAGATCAAGCCGTGATCGTCGAGTTCGCTGAAATCGTTGGTGAAGTCGACGTCGCCTACATCGTCGGGGTTGACTTGTTTCCCCTTCCACCAGCCTTCCGCCGTGGAGAATCCAAAATCAGAGCTTTCGGGGGAGGGGAGGTAATACGATCGAAAGACGAGCAGAGCCAAGAGCACGAAAAAGACGATCAGGAGCCTCGCAGGTGACAGACCTCGTGGCAGGGTAGGTGCCATCGTGCCGCCCGAGTGATGCTCAATTTGCAGGATACAAGAGCTCGTTCTCAGCCAGAGCGACAAAGAGGGACGAGCGAGACCATGGCAGCGGGAGGAAGACTTACTTACCTTGTCGGCAGCAGTGAAATAGCAATAGCACCAAGAGCTGAGGACGATGGGGAGGGATCGCTCCCGTCTCTCCTCCATGTTTCCTCTTTGCAGAGCTAGGACTGTGCCTATCCATCGCAAGGGGTGTGTGGAAATGAGTGTTTGATGAGCAGAAAATCACAAGCCAATCTTGGAGTCTCAGTTTGTGTGGTTTGGCGCAGGCGCAAATCTTTGCAACCCCTGTAAATCCTCCAGCGCAGGCAACCTCCACCATTCGTACTGACCACCAATGGGCGCCTCATCTCCCGGCCGCCATCGCCCTCCGCGGCTTCAGCTGTCACCTCCTGTCTCTCGCCTGTCTCCGTTGGGCCTGACTCCTACCGTACCGAAACAAGGGATGGACGGGATCTACTCTGCATCTTCCACCAGATGATCCACTGCTCAGGTCGTCGTACCTTTCCAGGTGCATTTTAGTATGGAATGAATCGACCTATTTCTGCCTGTGTGGTGCCACCAGAGTCCAGATACTTTCCACCTGCGCTCCGACTCGCACGGTTCCTATCTTGTGGTTCCTCCCATGCAAGGAAAAGGGATTATCATGGCAGGGTTGTTGTCGGCCTCTATAGCTTCTTGTCAACCACCACTCCATCATAAGCCTTACGCAGATACGGTCCGAGCGTGCGACGTCCTGCGATGGGTCGGATCTGGCGTCACTCACGGCGCACGAAGCTGACTTTGAAGGGTGTTGTAACGAAATAAATTGTCCCATCACCTTCCACCGCATATGTGACTGCTCTTCTGGCACTAATGAGAGGCTACCGGCGGCTCGATACGAGATTAAGATTATCCTTTCTTATCAAATAAGGAGGCCACCATGCGAGGGTCATCCTTTGCCTGTTATGAACACTTTGAAGGCGAGGAACGACTTGAACCGGTACAAAGTCACGACTACAGCTGATTAATACACGATTTGTCCCGGCATAGAGACGCACAAACCACAGCTGATGTTATCAACGGTTGCTATGTCATCTGGTGCCATGTCTTATGCAACTGAGTCGATGGGAACACCACCATCCAGAGACCGCACTTGATGGCCGCTGGCCGAGTGTTGAATGATCACAGGTTGGATACATCTGTGGTAAGTCTGCCTGCCTCAAGGTCATGCTGCTTCTGCCTCCTTCACACGATGGCATTGGGATACATATGCTTTTGCCTGAACCGTGGTATCCTCGGGGTCGTGCCCTGGTATGACTTCCTTCTTGTGGCCCCCTCTCCTTGACTGCTTCTCCTTCCTGTGGCCAAGTCTCTGCCTTACACACTGGCCCTGTTCGGCCTGCAGGCTGCCGTGGTGGTGATCAAGGCTGTCTCAGGATGGCCAAACTTCTCCGTCATCCTTTGTTGCACAGTGACCCAGGCTCTGCCTTTCCTTTCCCACCCAATGACAGCGGATGTATCTTTGCCTGTTCTGCTGTTGACTGTTGTCTTCTTTCTCCAGCACTGTCTCCTCACACAGAATCTGGTATGGCCGGTATGCAATCTCCAACGGCTAGAAGATTGAGGTGATGTCAAAGACGTGGCCAGAGTCCCAATCCCATTGGCAGTCCAGCTTCATCCAGATGCCCGGGTAGTCGACATTGGCATCCCACTCACTTCTCTTGACCTGGAACTGCTCCTGAAAGCTCAAGAGGAGATTGAATTGGACAGACAATCGCCGGCTTGGATCAAAGAGAAGGTCCTGCAGCCACTGAGGCAACCTGGCGTGGACTTGTTGGCGGATTATGTCTCTCTGCGGAGAGAGAATGTCCACCTCGTCAAAGTCGATCAGAAATATTCCGTCTAACGCCAATCCTCTGGCTCTGGGCCGTCGTCCTCTGTCATCTCGGCAGATGATGATCTTTTCGAGCTTTGGAAAGTCTGTGGTGTTCAATGGTGCAGAAACACCATCCTCGAGGATGATGGTTCGGATTCCACATGAGGCAGGGTCGGTGGGCAGAGATCGACCAGGTCTGATTCCGTTGCGGCATACGAGCGTCTTGATGAACCCATCGAACTCGGCGCGCAATTGGCGACATGTACCGATGAGGCCAGCTATGTTGGCTGGAGCAGGATTGCTGAGGATGATGGTACGGCACGGGAAGAGTTGTTCGAACACGGCGTCCCTCATCTCTCGGGGAATGCCCATGAGGCTGGGAATGGATTTGATGAAGTCCGCCATCTTGACTGCTTTCTTTGCGTTGCTCGAGAGAAAGAGGAAACGTGAGATGTTTTTTGAAGGGACAAGTTGTTTTGAAGGGACAAGTTCGTGGAGGGATTGTGGGTGTGGTTTTAAATGTGTCCCTCGGCGTGCAGTCACTTGCGTTGTCATGGTTCTTCATGCATGCTATTGAGTGCGTTCTTTTCAGTGACAGCGCAAACCATGACATTGTCAATAACAATAACACCAACGCACTCAACGCGTTCTGGACACGGCCACAACTGCGTCGGCGGGCCTGTGACAGTCACTGACCAGTTGGCGGGGACGAGTACGTGACTATGACCAACAAACTGGATGGTGATGCTTCTGCGTTCACCATCCTCCTGGGAAGTCTTGATCTACTCAGCCATCCAGCTTCAACATTCTCTTTATATAAATAAGAAAATGGTCTGAGTTCACACCAGGCTGATCAAAGAAGTGAGTGCGATACCCCTATCTATACCTTATAGACAGCATCACGAATTACTGCAGGACGATGCAGAGCGCACACAGTGAGCACTGAGCATAGCAACAGTTATTGACAGGTGTGGAAAGCACAGGTCACCACTGTAGGGGCAGCTATATCTGACCTCATTGCTCGCCACCACACCACCATCACTATATCCACACAATCGTGACAATGCTTACTTGACGGAGAATGATGGTGGCTGACAGTGACAACATGCACAAGGCATTGCGTTTCTTGACTTCGTTATTCTGCAAGATAGAGAACGGCACTGGCCAACCCGGGACGTGGATCTCGCAGATGAGAGATGTCACAAGGCTTCAGCCAACGGCTTTCATCTTGTTCAGGAGTGGAGCAGTGTGAAGCCGCAACACATACGAGACAACAATTGCTATGGCTTATAAAAGTTGGAACAAGCGTGTACATCTAGTGGAATCAGAATATGAGTGGACGCATATCAGTTTCGTAGGATTTTCCTGTTTGACTTTTGACCTCCTACACAAAGACCATTGATCGATGTGGACTGGCAAACAGGGTCCAAAGGCTCCGCTCATAGTCGTAGAGCATCAAGCCTTCTGTCATCCAGATTCCAACTTCTATAGAAATCCAAAAGTACACAAACTCATACTGACTAGGCGGCAGATTGACTCTTCTTGGCCTCCAGCAATTTGTGCGGATCCACCATTCCGTTCAGCTCTCTCGTCCGCCATTGGATAGCCTTGCAGAGACCATATAAGCAGCGGATGGTGGGCATTGAGGCCCCTGCGCGCTCCCCTTCTCTCAGAGCCTCGCCCAGGATGTTCTCATACTCGATGAATCGGTGCTTCCGTCTGTCTTGCAACATGCTCGGAGCACAAAAGATCTCGACGGGGTCGCACTCGACCATATCCTCGACCAGCGATTCCGGCAAATCGACATCGGCCGCCGCCTTGGCCGCCGCCCGAATCTCCTGCATGGCCGGCCTGACCAGCAGATCGAGCGGGTTCTGAGGATCCTTCTCATCAAACCACAGTCGAAACCGGCCAGTGTCCTGGTCGGTCAATGCGCAGATTGGATTCCAGACAGCATTGTACATGAGCTTTCTCCAGCGCACGAACATGACATTCGAGTCGTAGCTGCACTGGACCTTTCCCGAGGCCGAGTAGAGCCTGACGAAATCCTGCGCCGCAGCGACTTGGTATTTCTCGTCGATATTGTCGGAGAAGAACGGGCCGATGACCAATCTGTCCTTGTCGTTCTGGAGGATCTTGCCTGGAGCCAATTCGTCGGCGCCCATGAGCGAAACGCCCGAGAGACAGATGTTGCTGGGGAAGGCTTGAAGGAGCGGTTTCTCGATGTTGAGGCCGTTCTGGATCAGTACGATCACCGAATGGCCCGGCGTGACGGCCTGCCTGATCAGGTCGACCACCGTGGGAGGCACATCGGGCACGTTCTTCGTCGTAACGATGATGTAGTCGAACGGCGGCGCCGAGCTGTAGTCGAACGGCTTGATAGTGCCCAGGTCGGGAATCGTGTTGAGCACTTCACTCGGTCGCCAGCTCTCGAACGTGCCGTGGTCGCATGAGTCGATGGTGAATCCGCGCTCCTTGACCACCGCGTAGTTGGATCTCAGGACCGCCGTGACTGAGGCCAGTCCGCCCTGTTCGAGGTTCAGAGCCGTCATGGTTCCGATCCCGCCGCTGCCGACGAGCAGGATCCGCGCTTTCTTGTGCTCCGACATCTTGACCTGTCTGTGATTCAAGAGGTCTTAAGGGGGTTTGTGCGGTGAACACCTCCAACGGTCGTCTAAGTAGGATTTTTGTGACTGATGTTGGTAAAGATCCAACCTTGTTCGAGGATGAGCGACGATGCCCGCAGTATTTCTCGCTTACTCACACAGCTCCCAGGTGGTAACGACACCTTTATTTGTCGATGAAGTGTCTTTGCGTAACTGGTTCAGTGCACACAGTAGAAGGACGTGGTAGACGCAGAACGAGTAGTAAGAAATGATGATAGAACCATTGTATCGGAACTAGGAACTTCAAGTTGTGATAGGGCGCTACTGCAGCCTCTGCAGCACTCGCATTCAACCTTCCAAGCCTAGACTCTTCGGAACCCCTTTCCCTTTTCCCTCGAAACCGATATCCACATAGATTTGTTGTGACGCGTTCCTCCGCTAACGAAGGGTCCGAAGGAGATGGCCGCTGAACTCGAAAGGAGGGTGTTGACCGCGCTGTCTGATACCTACCCACTTCCTAGCTACCTCTCTATCTAGGCACTCTCCTCGTGGGTACCCTCCAGGTAGGCAATGGTGATATCAGGTGTGGCAGTTGCAATGGCATAAAAATCGGCCTTGAGCCACAGAGCTGCCAGACTCGAGTGGGATTCTCTGTTCTTGATAGAATGAGCTTCATCAATGATGCAGAGACCGAATCTTCCTGACAGATCATGCTTCCAGCTAGTATCCGGTGTCGTCTTCACTTCACCCAGCGCCTTGGCTATCACTCTTTCCACTCTCTAGTTACACCTTTGAAGATCTGGGAACTTCACTCTGTTCAGCGGCTAGGTGAGTATATTGTCAGGCCCGACCGAGACCACCCCCAAAAGTACTGATTTTGAGCACAACAAGTTGTGGTATATAAGTTTTATGAGACACGAGGATTTCAGTATTTGCTTCATCAGAGAAATCATACATTCTTTCCCTTCAGCAACACATTTCCTACATCAGCTTATTCCTTCCGAGCGGCAACAAGTTCCCAGTCCTTTACACGAGACCTTGCAGGAAAAGTTGCATCTATCCGGAGTAGGTGAAACCTTCAACGCAAGCACTCAAGCTTTCGACTATCTGACCCGCCCAGGACATCCGTCATGTGCACCCAATACTACCACCAATAATACTAATATGGGTGCAGAAACAAAGGCGAGTTCAGATAATACGACGAGATATATAATCGACAGTCGAACCTCCAATATGCTCGCACCGACTCAGAAAATTTAGTTCCCCGTAACTATTGCTCGAAGCACCTACCGAAAGCGGATAAGGCTACCACAGAGTACATAGTGAGAGCTCAAACGTCCCAGATCCAGCTCGGCATTGAGGATGGCGAATTGCCTCGGATGGAAAATTGTTAGGCCGTGGGCAGTTCCCCGGCGCACAAAGAGATATCTCTTACAGATTCAGATATTTAGGCACAAAGTGCTTGGAGTTCCAATTTTTAAAGGTCGGCCCCCTAGCGAGCATGGACTTGTTCGTGACAATATCGCTGGTTTGCATCTGGACGGGTCTTGGGGTTGCTTAGCATCGCTTGCTTGTACTCAGCGGATACACACACTTAAGATTCAGCAAGCATTCTCTGTGCCCCGTAACAATGCTCGACATGTTCCAAAAATTGCGTTCTTGATCGGGCACGATGCTGGAGTCCAAGGAGGATCTTGAGAGGGTCACGGTCTTGCGGGATGCTGTCCGACAATGCAATTTCAACTTCGGCGCGACGCTCACTGTTATACAGCCTGCAAGTGTATACGCAGCCACGACACCACAGTCCAGTCTCAAGTCTTGCGTTGGACAAGAGTGAAGGGAAGAAGATGGATCCCATGCCTTTGTAATTGTTGCTTGGCATATTCTTTTGCATTGGCAGCATAACTGGGTCGCGGTCGAAAGGGTGGAGTGGCGCTTTCTGGAGCCATCGGAACATGTTGATCCGGTCGACTTTCTTGTCTGGCATGAGACTTCTGAAGTAGCTGAACTCCTCATCTGAAAGTGTGTCATCTCGTTCTGATATCAAAGGGTCCTGGGCCATATTTTGTATTGATCCATGTATCTTGAGGGCAACAGTCTTCGCCGATTTTACGCCGACAAGGTTGATGCGTCGTTTTCGCAGTGTGAATCCTCTGATTGGGTAGAACCCAGGAACACTTAGCAGATGAGGTATCTCTCTCAACTGGCTAGCGTTAAGATGGAAGCATTTTGTGGCTAAGGACGCAGGAATGACCCAAAAGGACTGGTTTCTGCGAAGGCACTGGTAGCAGCACCGCTCACAGCTTGGCAAAAACAAGAAAGCTCCGTAATTTCCACAGGAGACGCAGCGCTCTGACAAGAGAGCTGCGTGGAGCACCGCAATCGTGTGGTAACAGTCCAGTCGTGTTTTTGCCAGTGCTGCTATCGTGCGAGGTGCATACTCGATCAGATCTCGGTAGGAAGGTAGTGATTGCAACAGCAGAGGCTCGCGAACAGACTTGCGAGAACCGTGAAAAATTTGGAAGTCCAACGTGGTGAGAACCATCTGCAACAATTCGAGGGGTAGATTATCGAGGACTTCTAATGTGGAGGATTTTCGCTGTGGGTTAATGGCTGCACGCTTCGTTGGCTCGGGAATCGTGATCATCGTATTCAAAATGAGATCCGGCTGGTAAGCAATGCGATTGATGAGCATTTCGGCCGACAAGGATTGGTGGGACGACATGTTGCTCCTCTGGAAGCAACAGCAGATGTTGAACATTTAGTGCCATCTGTTTCTCTGATCACTGCTTCTGTTGTTCCAATTGTATAATGGAGTCTTGCCTTCGTTGTACCAATTACCCTCGCAAACCGAGTATCATAGTCAACTCTGCATTCAATCCTCCTCTCCGTGGCTCTCTGAAGCCTTCATCCTGAGACTCAGGTGCGCTGGCATCGTCTTGTGAACTCAGGACGCTGAGCTTGTCCAAATTCACTGGCTCAATTATCTGTGCGACCGGGTCTGGCACTAGTTTTGACGGGCATTCGTCTCCTCTCCACAGCCACGGTCGATCGACGAGGAGCATATTTACAACGCCTAAGCTTTCAGAAGAAACTCTGGATCCCGCTACAGAGCCTTGCAAAACGGGTTTCCACCTGAACCACACAAATGTTTGGTCCTGAAACTGTGGGGCCAGTAGCGGGAGAAGCGCTATTCGCCAGGTTGAATTACCATGCACTGCGATTCCATCAATCGTGCTTGTTTATTCAGGTCAACATTTCCAGGCAAAACGCAACCTGAAATACAGTCTTGTCATGACTCCTTCGACATCGACTGCCACACCTTACTGTTTTGTCACACGTAAGAATTGTCTCGCCTATACATTACGTTCCTGATACGGTACTCAACAAGCAACCTCTTGGTGGATTGATCAGGTGTATGTCTGTCAACGGCGGCAAATCTATTCGCAAGGGATGTTAAGGTCCCGCCACTGCTCTCCGAGTATAAAGAGCATATGGAGCATTCACTTCGAGACTCTCCAACCGAGGCCATACCTAGCATTCCAGCGCCTGCAATCGATCCTCAAGGCCAGGACTCGACCGTTCCTCAGTGCCACGGCCAGTTGGTCCCCCTTCACATCGAATGTTGTAACATCAACCCCGGCGGGTAGTCGAAGGAGAGGCTGGCTGTCACAGAGAATCCACTGGTCATCGACGTGTAAATTTTCTGGCGAATCATCCATCTTGATAGCTTGGTTTGTAGCAGCTATTTCGAGCTCCCATACACCACAGTTTGTGATAAGACGCCTGTCATCGGAAGAATACTTCAGCTGAGTGACTGGTTTTGATGTCTTGATGGTTTTGATTTCTGAATCATGAGATCGCGACTTGAAGACGGCGAGTAGGTCAGACAGCTTATTGCTCTGACGATGTGATAGACGGTTAACAGGTTGTGTCCATCGCACCCAGGACGGTGGCTTATCTGACGCATCGGTCGCTTGAGGTTTCGACTCGAATGCATTCAGCTGGCCTGTCGTCGCATCCCATATCTTGATAGTCTTGTCACCAGATCCCGACACGATCCGTTGGCCATCGGGTGAGAATGCCACTGCGCTCACCCAATTTGAGTGACCGACCAGCGTCTTCTCCTCCTGGCCTGTCGTCGCATCCCATATCTTGATAGTGT